ACACCCCCCCACCCCCCCCCCCCCCCCCCCCCCCCCCCCCCCCCCCCCCCCCCCCCCCCCCCCCCCCCCCCCGCAGCAAGCTTTGGCTAGACCCGCCGCGAAACTCAGTCTTGGATTCACGAACGGCCAGAACCTCTTCGTCGTTGATGCCGTCTCTCCTTCCCCAAGTCGTGCCATACCGGGGGCAGCTCCTCCTCGAGAGGTGGCATCGTGCGCGGGATCGCATGCGAGGAACTGGAGCTCATGGGGAATCTCAGCGGCTCCGGTACCTCGCTATACCCCATGGCCCTATTGTACATGTACACGTACATGCTGTCGGGGATGAGGCGGTGCTTGTGCAAGTGCTTGATCATGAAATAGTCGGGTCGCACATCGTCCATGGTCATGCCCTCGTCGAATATGTGCCCCCGGATGTGCTCCATCCGCGAGTGGAAGTTAGCCTCTCGCTGGGCTCGGTCGGCCGCCTTGAAGGGGACGTAGTCGCAGAACCAGCAGATAAGCTCTGCGGGGTACGTGTCCTTCATGTGGCGGGAGTGGTGTGCGATCCATTCGCTGATCTCGTCGAGGCGGTATGTCTGCGTGCAGTTCCTCAACACGCAGAACTCGCACCAGAGGCGAGACGAGCCCCAGGGCTGCTGCTCTTGCTCCGCGGTGGAGGCTGGAGGGGGGGTGGGGGAGCTGCGCTGAAGGGCCTGCACGAATGTCGGCTGCTGGCCATGTCTCGGGGGATTAGAGGTGTTGTTACTCGACGAGTTCTGGCCGTACGTGCCGCGGGAGAAAACGGTTGACCCATTCGATGACGGCCCGGCGGTGCTGCTGCTCTCTGCTTCGGAACGCAGCGTGAGGGTGGTGGTGGTATAGGTCGAATCCCAGGCAACATCGAAATCATCATGGATGTCACAATAGTCGACATTGAACAACTGGACAGCCCCTGGCAACTCACTCGGGACTTCTACCCCGACTGACATCTTCTCGAATCTGTCCGGGTCTCTTCCAGAGAAGTCCTGTAGGAAGTTGCCAATGTCGCTCGCGAAGTCGTTCGAGATCGACTGCGGTTGCGATTCCGAGTTCGAGTTCGAGTTCGATTCCATGCCAGCGAGATCGATGCAAGGACTTGCGGGGTGACCTGGAGGCGTTTACAGGAGGTGGAGCGGGGATTATCGTTGTGAAGGGCTTCGAATAAGCCAAGCCCAACAGTGGCAGAATTGGGCAAGATGGTGAGTTGGAGGGGGAGCACGAACAAGAACAATTCTAGGGTGTCAAGCGAAATAAATCCTCGATCCTCGAGATGAACGGAGCCCCGGTGTCGAAATGATACAGCCGGACTTGAGTCTGGTTGATTTCGGTGGATTTGGAGTTCGAGGGACAGCACTGCAGCAGGGGTTGGTTGTGTTTCATGCATACACCACCTACGAGTCCTACGAATGGGTGCGGGACCCAATACCAGTTCAAAGTGACAAAGCAAAGAAAAGTATTGTTCCCGGCTGCCGTTTTCACCGCTATATGATGGTTCCGGGGTCGACCGAGGTTCGGCTCCGTGGGTTCGATGACATGACGAGACTTTAGGACATTGACATGACAGTGACTTTGTCGTGCGGCACAACCATGTCTGTCGCCCTCATAAGGAGCGGCGCCTGCATCCGGCCAAAAGAAGCTGATCGACCAGCTGCACATCGATCAGCTTACTAGGACCCAACAACCCCGAATATATCACGCTCTCCTAATAGGTCCGTCCGTACGGATTACAGTACTGAGCGACTGCGTATTCCCAGTTATCTAGGTACATAGGTAATGCAACCTGCTAATCCGTCAGTTTATCGGAAACGTACTACCGACTTGACAGGTTCTCTGTGGTTGGAGTTGGCAAGCTATCTCCTAACCGCACAAATACATTGTTTCTGTGCCACGAGGCTGGATCGTATGGAGGACATCAGGTTTTATCTGTGCCCAGTGGCACCAACTTTGTAAATAAGCTTGTTCAATTCCGCCCGTCGCCCGGTCTCTCTCATTCGGGACTACATAGCACTCGTGTCTTGGAGATGACATTCCTGTACTGTAGATGACTCCCGTTCTCGTCGCCCGTCTTTATGATACCCGGAAACGTGACGCAGCATATATCCCGTCGCGCAAGGCTCTCCTCGTCCTCTCCGCCGATGTCCTCCATCGTCGACGGATCGAACATGGTTTTCTGATGCGGGAGGATCTCGGGCATCGACACCTTGAAGACGGCTTTCTGAATCACCAGGAGCCGCGACAGTTCTACCGAACTGGTCACTAGCGCTCTCAGAGCCTGGTCGCGGGCCTCGGTGCTGGTCGCTTCTGTTATCGAGTCCAGGATGCTGTTGACCCTGGAGACGACCGTCTCTGCTATCCTTGACGTCTCCGCCTGCATCTCGTTCGCTGCGCCCTTCTTGAGGATGGTGAGAGTCAATGACCGCCACTGGTTGATGGGCTCGGCTGACGACGCTGCCCTGACTGTCAGCGGTTCTCTTTCTCCCCCCCGAGTGTTCTCAAGAATCGGTGCCTTCATACCAAACGATGACAAGAACGCCTCTAGTTCCACGAGCTGCAGTGCCTTCTCAGGCGGCAGGCCGACGAAGTATGCGTCGAATACCAGCTCGACCAGTATCCTCGACACGATGGACTGCAAGAGGTGGACCTTTGAGGTCATGGCTAGGTCCTCGTATGCCGGGACGAGCCGGCCTAGCTCGCTTACTGTAGACTCGTCCGCTCCCGATAGGTCTGGTTCCGCATTGGGAAAAGACCTCCATGTCAGTAATTGCGCTCAAGGGGCTGCTGTCTGGGGCGGTATAATATAGATAATCTTTGCTTCTCTTTTCATGAAAAAGAAAAAAAAAGGAGAATCATGTAAAAAGAGACAGCTTACCAAGCTTTACCCTCCTAAAGTTGACAATGACCCAGTTCTGCAGACCATTCCCCAGCCTAGCCATACCGTCGCCAAACACCTCGTCGCTCGTCCGGGTCTGCCCGTCGGACCTTGTGCTGGTGCTGACCCACTCCTTGAGCCCGCGCACCTGGGACCTGAGGGCGCGCACCTCGGCGTCGCGGGCGGCGAGCTCGCGGGCCGCCTCGTCGCGGCTTGCGCGCAGGGCCCCGGCCTCGTCGCGCGCAAGGCGCAGCTCCGCGCCCAGCGCGCCGCAGCGCGCCTGCCAGAACGTCGCGACCTCGCTCTCGTTGGCGCTCAGCCGGTCCAGCTCCCGCCGGAACTCGCCCTCCATCACGCAGAGCTCCCGCTCCAGGCCCGCGATCCGGTCGTCCTTGTCCCGGCTGGCCTGGGCCTGGGCCTGGGCCGCCTCGCCTGGGCTGCCGCCGCTGTTAGCGGCCTTTCCCAGGTGCCCTCCTCCTCCTCCTCCTCCAGCTCCTCCCCCGTCCTTGCCCGTGTTGGGTGGCGGCTGCGTCGGTCCGCCGCCGCCGCCACCGCCGCCGTCGCGGTTGTCAGGTGCGGGGGACGAGGAGCCGCTCAGGGCGGCGCGGGGCGGTGGGGCGATGACGCCGAGGCCCCGGATGGAGGCGGAGGCGGAGGCGGAAGTGGAGGTGGAGGCGGTGGGGTTTGTGGAGGCTGAGGAGGTCGAGGGGTTCGCGGAAGCGCCGCCGCCGGTTCGGACGGCGCGGGACGGCGACGAGCCGGTGCCCGGCGCCGGGACGCGGCGCTTGTCGGGCGGGCTCATGGGCTTGAGCTTCCGGGGCATCAAGTGCGGGGGGCGGGTCCGGGGATCGGTAGATAAAGGGGGGGGGATGGTTTTCCCTGCGATTTGGGGGGTTTTTTCGCTGCTACGGCTGGGACGGACGAGGGTTGGACGAGCAGGATTGTCGGCGGACGGTCTCGCTGCAGGGAGGATTCATGTTTGATAATGGCCAGACAGTCCGGATCTCGAGCAAAACTCCTCTGTTGGAGCCGAGGGTTGGGGTCGAAGGCCCGGATTGTGGCTGCCTGGAAGGCGATTTTTGTGGACGACGTGACGTTGGTGGGTTGGCGGGTGCTTGCAGGCGTTTCAGAGTGCATATGCGCCACTAACAATTGGGCTGAGGGGGGTTGATTTGATTGTGTGGGGCCTCCGCATGGGGAATACCCTCATTCTCGGTAGCGGACTCGTTAACGGTTAGGAGCAGCATTCTACAAATTTGATACACATTTTGGGGTCGTGAACTCCAAATGATTACTGTCCGCTCCGGGGCGGCCCGCACGCAAGTACTAGACTCGGGATTCCACTCGAGCAGTGCGCTACGCTGAGATATGGGGCAAAATAGCGTGATATGGCACCTGCTCTAGAGAACGATTTCCGCCTCGACTTCATATGCCTCGTCCTCTACCCCATCCACTTCCGTCTTCTTCGCACCCATCTTGCAGAGGGCGATCTTCTCGACGTTGAAGTTCTCCATCCAGACCTGGTCTTCGTAGCGGTCTAGTATCCCGCGCGCATCGATGGTCAGCTTCTCCCCCCGCTTCCCCCTGTTCTGCCTGGCGTCTCTCCCTCCCCTGACATAGATGGTGTTCAGGACTGTCGCATGTAGGAGAAGCGGCCGGGTCTCCAGGATGAGGAGTCCGGCCTCCTGGAATACCGCCCTGAGTCTTTCGCAAAACGCCTGGAGGGTGCCAAGCTGGTCAACCGGAGGTGCATATAGGATCGAGGCCTTGGAGGCCGACTGCATCGGCGCCAGTCCCTGGAGCGTGATGGTCGGCGGCTCCATGCTCGGCTCTTCCGGCCCAGACCCTGCTCGCCTCGGGGCTGCCAGCAAGTCCTTCAGCCTCAGCGATCTCAGCAGAGCCGTCGCCTCCTCGAGGCCTTCGCCCCTAGGGAAGGCGAACATCCCCAGGGTGAGGTGCATGGTGCCGACTGGCCGGATGGCATCTCGGGGGATTCCAAAGCTGGCGGGGCTTGAAACATCAGCAGCGAAGGCTTCCAGAGTCTGTGCCAACTGTGGCCGAGAAGAGGGTGTGACCAGTGGGATGCAGAGAAAATGTGTCGGAAAGGGTTTCGGCGGCATGTCGGTGGTCTGTCCCACGGCCTATACCTGTTCGCTTTCGGCCTCTGGAGAACTGCAGCGTTGGCTGACACGCCCGAGGCAGCTGCGGACCCCTCGGCCGTTACCTTTGTCCTTGTCTGTCTACCTAGGTAGGTACCTATTTCGAGAGGACTAGCTTGAGGTAAGATGGATGGCTCAGGCGAGAACTACACGTGGTGCTCCGTGTAGACAGCGAGAGGAGGGGTTCGCCGACGAATGAGATGCTGATTATTAACCTGTATTTTGGGCTTTGCAAAGGCATCCGTGCCAGGTGGTGCTGTGCACTGTCTAGTTGCTGGTAGGGGCGGGGTAGCAAGCCACAACCTTGGTTGGTGTCATGAGAACAAACCGGTACGGAGTAAAAGGAACACGGCCCCAGGACATTGCTGTTCTCCAGGATATCACCAACGCATCACTGACTGAGGTGGCATCTCCCCAGACAAAAGAGAATTGAGTCAAGGGCCTAGATCCGTCAACTCAAATTGAGAATCTGGGCCGAGAAAGGTAGGTTTCGTGTGAACCATAGAGTCCCTATTGCACGGCTCCAAGATAACCAAGGAGCGCGCAGGAGCGCGCAGGACCGGCCAGTGATGGCCAGCCCCCGTCCCGTGGACTGGTAAGCCCCTTGACTATCGACCGTCGTCGTGCAACTGGGTATTCTCCTCGCCTCGCCAATATACATCGTTCTGTTGATCCGAGTTCCCACCCCCATGCGCCTCTCCCAAGGTGGGCGCCTATCCAGCTGCCTGAATCTGTAATGTCTATGGTGACAAACGAGCCATGTGTGATCACGAGAGGTGTGATGCGGAATATCTTGTGCGCAACGCAAAGGGCCTCGTGTCGCGCCTATGACTCCATCTCTCGACGTCAAGATCGGTTGGGTGACAGCCATCGTTGCTTGTGCTGTCATCTAGGAGCCGGGGGGCGGCCACATCCTCGGCGCGACAGGATGTTGACACGCTCTTAGACCTTGAAGAACTCCTTGAGCAACACCTCCAGATCAGCCGTATCCGTCTTGACCGTTTTCAGGGCCTCGCTAATCTTGTAAAGGCACACTGCTTGGTCTGCCTCAGGCGATCCATCAAGGTTCAGGTTATGGCCGTATTGCTGGATCACCTGGCAACTGTCTCTGACTTTCAAGAAACCTAGAGTTGCAGAGGAGCCCTTCAAGAAGTGGCCCAGGCTGGACAACTCGCTGAGGTTCCTTTCCCGTCTGCAAAAGGGCAAGAACCGAGCATTGATTAGCCCAGAGTCCCCAACAATGAGGAGGAGACAGTGGTCCCCGCACTGGCGGGACGGCGAGGGGGATTGACGAAGCGAAAAACGCCGTGCAATAGGCAACAGGGGGTTGGACTAGGTTTCGAACTTACAGGGCGTTGTCCATCTTGGCAAAGGTCTCCTCGGCCTGCTCAAAGAAGTTGAGAACCAGCGGCTTGCTGAATTCCCGCTCCTCCTCACTGTCATCCATCTCCAGGATTTGGGAGAAGGTCGACAAGTCGACGCTGTCTCCAAAGTCAAGCATGCTTGCGGATGCTGCCGACCCCTCGTCAGTCTGTTACTGGGGTGGTTAGTTGGCTCATCATAACCAGACAAGTTCCAGAAGATACAGAGTGCTATGGGCCGAGATCACGAACTCTGCGATACGATGATATCCGAGTCTGTCTCATCGGAGGATGAAATGCGGATTGAAGGTGGCAGTAGGCCGGGGGTGGGCTGTTGTGAAGCGCGCAATGCGACCGAGCAGGGTCGTAGGCACGGGTTATGTACTCGGTGATACGCAGGAGCCAGAGTAGGGGGCGGGGGGGAGGAGAGAGGTACCAGGACCCCACGCGATCAGGCTCGTCTCGGATGGGCCTTGAAGGTTTGGTGTGGTGTGGGATGTGAGGTGGGCTTACAGAATGAGCCAAATAGCATACACAAAGAATATGCGAAGCGGTGCTAGCCGACACAGTGCAGCGCCACGTAGGTATCTCTGGTATCTCGGGCGGACAGACGAGTTTCGGGGTTGGTTTGCTGCAAGAGTTTTTTTTTTGCCTAGAGGGGTTGGTCCTATTTGTGCGCGCTGGGCAGCTAATAAGTCCTTCTCGCAGCAGATGAACAGCGTGGAAGCCAAAAAAAAAGTGTGGGGTCCAGGTGACAGCCGGGATGAGGTTGGAGCCGATCAGTACGTCTAGAAGGGACTACTGACGCGTTTGGCGGGTGAAGGGGGCAGGTGAGACGGGGGACGGCGCCAGTGCAAGCGTCGAAGCGACTGGTAGAGAGAATGGGGCCGACGAACGATGGCGACAGAACCGAATACCGAAAAAGGCTGATAGGATAGTGTGAAGCTCCAAGAGTGGGGAGGCTGGGCTCTTAGGCTTTAAGACTCGGCCGCTGGTTCTCGGGGAGGCGGATCTTGGGTGCTCCCCTGGTCGATACTGTAGCTAACGGCGTTTCTATCAAATGAATCGATGCAATGAGTATGGATGACGAGATAGTTTCGACGGTTTTGGATTCGCGTTGCTAGGCTGTACAGGGTACAGTGCAGGGTACAGTAGGGTGCTTCGGACGGCCCATCAAGATGGCCCTGACGCTTAAGCACCAAAAGGTGAAAAAGGCCGAAGAGGCGTAAATATTAAGCTATTAACGGAAGCAACGAATACTGGGATCTGGCCACCGTTCCCTTGATCGACAGTGGGGAGCAAGTATGTATGTACATGTACATCCCCTCGTTTTGGCGGTAATTGTGTAGGGCGGGCTAGTAGGCACTACCTAGGTAGGCAGGTACTGTACCAAAGAAGGTAGGTGCATCTTGCACAACCCACGTCGAACGGAGAGGCTACCATCGAGGCTACCTGAAAGTTCTGGATAGGCACCGGCCTCCATGTACACGATCCAAAATTATGTCGTCTGTCTACAACGAACTGCGCTTCTTCCCCTTTTCTTTTTCTGCGCTAGGGACTAGGAGGCGAGACCACGGGGCCCAACCAGTTTACCAACCGGCCAACGAGATCGTACTCGACAGCAGGCAGCTCCAGGCGCCATGAAGCTACCAGCGGTCAATAGAGGCGATGGCAACTGTTGGCCAAGCCCTGCCTTTGGTACTTGAGGACTCCATCTAGCCCGCCATAGGACCGACCGTCTAACCTCGGGCCTCGACTAGGACAGAGAGAGATACAGAGAGATGGCCGTCTGGGCTGCTGCATAGGCACACATATTGCCGACGAGCTAGCTAGGATAGGGCTACGGCTGCCCCCCTGACAGTTTGTTGGCTATGCCATCCCTCCCTCTTTCCAGGCAAATCACTGGTAGTATCCGACCTCGTTCGCACCGGGGTTTGCAACCTCCTCGGGAAGCCCCTTGTGTCACCCAAAGGGATGGGGCAGGCGTACCAAGAGGGGACACGCCACTCGCGGGGGGGCGATGAGGAGCATCTCCCAATAGCTTCCCTTCTGGCAAGGCTCGTTTCGAGATGCAGGGACTAGAGCGGTCCGTCAATTTAAGGGCCTCGATTCCGCCGTCTGCTGTGCAAGTGCTTCCAGAATCGCCCCTCCCGCATATCAGGGAGCACGGCCACTCAGGGAGCACGCCACTGAAGACGATCATTCGGGGTCGCTGCAGCCAGGAGAATGCAGCTAGCTATCTTAGTCTCTGCAGCAACGCGCTGGGTCAAGTCCAAAGGACCCCTTCTTTCCATCGGGAATCAAGACACGTCCGCCCCGAAAAAGCCGTTATCCCCTCCCTCGCTTACGTCTGCCGGGACGGGACGGGCTCGACATATATGGGTATGGCCCGGTATCGACAGTGGGAGTGGTGTTCTTATCATTACTTCTTCTAAAGCTTGTCTTAATTCCCCTTTTCTTGCTGATGCTATTTCAAGGAGTATACCCTTTTTTAAACTTCCGCCGTGTCCACGCCAGATGCGCGTGCCTCTATAAATAAATAGAAACTGGTATTTTATCGACACTATGTTTCAATTACAATTCATTACGCAAGATGGAAAGGTACCGGTACCAATTAGGGTTCATCTGCGCATTCTCGACGTCATTGACCGTCATAGCTCGGACCACAAATGCAAGGACAGGGGCAGCTGCAGGGCTAGTTGACGTGATTGGCCGCTGGGTGGTGTCGCAAACAACGGATGTAAGCTAGGTAGCTTCGCAAGACCGACGACATTTGGTCATTCTGGTGCAGTGGTGCAGCCTCTCTAGCCGCGGCGCTGGATCTGCCTGGCCACTTTCGCCTCGACACAGGAAGTCGTCCGCAACAGCGGATTGAGAGACAGCTGATGCATATTTCTAGCGATCTATATTCGAGCTGTTACATCCAAGGTTCTTGTGAGGCCGCCGACTGGTCGTTTTTCCCTCTCTTATTCGCCGGCTAGGCACCATGGTTGTGTCGCTGGCGACGGTGGAGTTTAGGTCAGGAGTGGAGCTTGGCAAACTGACTCGGATATCGGCACCGCTCGTAGTGTACCACAGTAGGCCAATTGGTTCCTGCAATGGGGAAGTCGAATGGAAAACCACCGGACTGCACTGTCCGGCCACCCATCCCCCTCCTTTTCCATCAAGACATACAGGAGCTGGATTCGGCACCCAGCACATTCAAAACGGCGGTAAGGAATTTCATTTGCCAGCCCCGAACTGCAAAACGGGACCGACCTAGTGTAACTGCGCAGGGCACACACCCTCCACATCGCTTTGCCCCATTTTCCGTGCTGCTGACGATCGGTACAGTGAACTGAAACACGTGCACTGGACCCTTAAAAAGAGAAACGGAAGTCCTGGTGTTTGCGAGAGCAAGCCCGGGCACAGTGTTGATTGATTCCAAAAGGCATCCGTTGACCACGTACGCAGGTATGTACCTACCAACCTTCTAGGTTTCCATGTGCGTGGCTCCTCACTACCCCTCCCACTCTCCAAACTTTTGTCCCGCCCACGGCCTCGAGTTTTTGCAGAGCCAGCCTCCACTTGGGCATAATGACTAGGGCCTCGGTAACAGCTCTGATGGTAGGATATTCTATAAAATTATTACCGTACGCGACCTCTGTTCATAGCACCTAGGTTAATCACATAAGCACCTCGCCTCGGAAGGTGGAAGGTCAGATAGGTGCTGCGCTTGGACAACGTCACACGGGCAGGGGTTATATAAGCTTAATAAGCTCCCGTTGTTGTCGGTATGAGATTTACGGGCCGCCTAGGAGGAAATTCCCCCCTCCCCCGAAGAAAACCTCGCATCAGGCATCAAGAGGTGGTGGATAAGTTCAGCCTCGGAACCCCGTCTGGGGAGGTAAGTGATTTGTACGTAAAGTAGTTGGACATCACCACGCCATCCCGATCCTTCCAGCCGTGCTCTGGGTCCTTGGTCCGTCATCGAACCACTACGGCTCCTTGGCGCGAGATAGGTCTCCCCCCCCCAAATCTTCACCTTTCTCCCCCAACTAAAGTTCCGTCGAACATGCATGAGAACTGCATAGTAACACGCCCAAAACCTGTTTTTGCGCAACTAAGCACCACTCGTTACTCCTCACCGGCTTGGCTGGGCCTATCACGATTCACGAAGGGTCGAGATATAAATTAGCTAAATCGTGCCATTGGAAGTGACTATCTAGCCTACTAGCAACTTCGACTACCTCTCACAAGCGTTTCCCACCGCACGGTCTTGTGGAGCCACACGCTTGTTCGGTAAGACGTCTGGCGCGTTGCAAGCTCATCTCGAGCCAGTCATGTGGGGGCTAAAATCGATGTCTTGGTTGGCGCTCGACGACAAAGAACCTAGATGCCACGAGATCGTGATAATTGCCATGTTGCAAAGGGGTTTCAACGATCGGCGGCCAGAAATGCGCAGGCGCCAGCATCGCGGAGCTGCTCAAGGGCGGGAACCGCCCAGCTGAGTCTTTCCAGCCCCCCAACCCCGAACGAATATGAGCTTCGAATAGGGGAAAGGGGGGGGGGGGGCGGCGGCGCGTGATCGCAGTTCTTCGACGCGGAGCGCGTTCCGCGTCGCATTAGCTCATGTGTCGTGTCTGCAATCGTAGGGTCTGGGCTATCGGCAATTCGGCATGCGCCATCGCGGCGACGGGCTCTGTGACCGCAGGCCCACTCAGAGGAGGACTTTTGAGGCCACGCTGAGGAGCCAGGCGGCGTCCTGCCAGCCGCCCTCGTCTGGTCTTGGTGGGGGCATCCGTTCCTCCATGGCCGTTGTGACCCCCTCGAATTGGCGGGCACTACTTGATCTCCGTCGCTCAAGAGCGACCTCTTCCGCCCCGCCGTCTGTTCCCTCCCCATCGCTGTCCGACTCTTCCTCGTTTTCCTCAACTGAAAACAGGCCCAACCCGAGGACGCTGTCGAACCACGTGCCTACACCCACGCCACTCCCCCTCTTAACAAGCCTCCGGACGTGGGCTTCGTCCTCCTGAGTCGTATCCTGCTCGATGGCCTCAAGCCTCTCGTCGAGGTTGACAAAGTCGGGGCCGACGATGCGGTCGTCTTGTTGGGCGAAGTAGCCATCCATGGGCCTCTGTTCCAGAGGAGTCATGGCCTGATTTCGACTCCCGACACGGCTGTGCGAACGGCTTCCAAAGCGGCTGGTCGGCGGAGAAGGCAAGCGGTCGTCATCTAGGTGGACCGCACTGCCCCTGCGGCTAGCATGCCGGCTCGCCCACTCACGCTCCCGCGCCAACTCGCGCTCAAAGGCCTCCTCTTCGCCGTCCCGTACGCCGGCCAGGCTGGTTGAGCTGGCTCTCGATACGAGCCAGGACTGGCCCTTCGACTCACGAGTTTCGCTCGAGATAAGCGCACTTGCTCTAATGAGCCAGTCGGTGTCATTCTCATCCTTGACAGAGACAACATCGTCCCGCCTCCACCTGTGTCTGGGAGATGATACATCGGACGTTGAATGCGAGCCATTGGAGATGAGGTGAGTGGCAGACTTGCTCTTTGGCAAGCTCGCTGTGGGCGTAGACGCGACACGAGTGTGGGAATAAGAACGGCCTGGAGATCTTGATAGTAGTCGGGGGGTAGCAGGTGAGGACTTGGCCTGCAAGTAGGACGTGCTTTGATGAGGCGTTGCAGACAGAGGGTCTAGGAAATCATCGTGGTCGTCCAGCGGCAGCTTGGAAGTGAGGGGTGCCAAACTCAATCGGTTAAGCGTCGTTGTGGACCGGTTCTTCCGCCGTATGTAGCTCGAATGCTGGTTGAATGCGACGTCCATGGCGCCTAGTAAACGGCCAGTTTTCTAAGCCGGGTTGGTCCTCGATCCCTTGCTGCGCTCTCTGTGTTGTGCTCGTACACCACAATTGATAACAGAGAATCGCGTGTTGGGAGGAATGAGCTTGCCCTCCCTTGGCGAAAACTCTGGGGCTCCTGCATATAGCTAGCTAACCCTTGTACCGCAGTACCGAGGACCCGGCTTGCTTGTGATTTTCCCGGTCAGCTATGGCAGGGGTCAAGAACGCCACCAACCAGCCAACTGCGCAAAGGACCAGATCCTCCGGGTGCAGGGGTCTGTGCGTTCCAGCTGGAACATACCAGGCTGTTATCTTCTGCCAGATGTCTTGCAGCTGCAATACCTAGCCTTTGCAATTGCGACCCTTGCTTTAGTGGGGGCCAGTGAAAGGCTCTGGCAGACCTATCAAAAATAACATCTGGCAATGGCCGGCTACCACCTGCAGTGCGTTGACCCACCGCGGAGATGAGTTCGATAAAACAGCGAAAGACTAACTATTTTGAGAACTGTCCCACACAGCCAGCTTGCTTGTTCAAGATCCAAAGATCTCGCATTGTCGTTCGCCATCATTACGATTTCGGTACGGCGACTGAGAGTAGGCAATGAGTGTAGACTACAGGAGGCTACACGCTTTCCACAAGCACATTAATCCCACGTCTATAAAAGTTGTTAGCACGGCCCCGGATCCAAGCTCCGATTGAGGCCCAAAAGGGTTAAGCGCCATTCATTTTATCCTCGCCGCTGGTTATTACATTTAGTTGTGGTTACGTTCAGTCCCGCAAACTCTGTATGCAATTATACAGAGCTCTAAGCTGTGAGCAATGGGTTAACAAACTTTGAAGTTCTGATATCCTGAGGGGTCGCATGCGGACTGACATTGTCTGACAAGCTCCAACCCATCCAGCCTTGCCAAGATTGGGAGTAACAAAAGAGAGGAAAGAGACTGCCAACGATGCGGAACTTGCGCAATATTCGATATGGCGCCTGGACGGCGCCGTTTGACATCACAGGAATTTGCTGGGATGCTGGGAGGGATGAAGCTCTCGCTACCTTTGGCCCGTCTGGGGAAGAGGGCAAAATCCAGTTGGTTAGGATCACTGGCCATCGTGTGTCGTCATCTGAGTTGTGAGTTTGCGAACGGTGACGGAGAACCCGGCCTAGTCACTAACGCATGACCCCCAAGCCAATGCACGCCCGTTGCCTTGTGGGATGCGCCCAGCCCGAACCCAGAGCTGGCCTTAGATAGGGTAGTGGATGTTCACCATTTCAGTGACAGCGCCACAACCTGTCTCGTCCTCGAAGGCGGGGATATAGTCATCGTTCAGGAGACTGAGGATTCCTCCTCCTCCTCGAGCGATGCGCACATTGAGATCGTGGGATCTACTGATGCTGGCGTTGCCGCTGCTCGTTGGTCGCCAGACGAGGAACTCCTTGTCATCGTCACGAAAGCCGACACCGTGGTGCTCATGAGCAGGAGTTTCGATGTCATTACCGAGACAACAATGACCCCGGAGGATTTGAACGCTTCTAAGCATGTTTCCGTTGGGTGGGGTAAGAAGGAGACCCAATTCCAAGGAAAGGGGGCCAAGGCTCGGGCTCTGCGCGATCCTACCATCCCGGAGAGAGTCGACGAGGGGATTCCCAGTCCCAACGACGATGGCCGGACCACTATCAGCTGGAGGGGGGACGGTGCGTATGTTGCCGTCAACTCTGCGGGCCCGGGGTCCAGGAGAGTCATCCGTATCTACACCCCCGTAGGGGTTCTCGATAGCGTAGGCGAGCCCGTTGACGGCCTGGAGGGAGCCTTGAGTTGGCGCCCCTCCGGAAACCTCATGGCTGGCGTCCAGCGGCTAGCCGATCGAGTCGATATTGTCTTCTTCGAGAAGAATGGCCTCAGGCATGGCCAGTTTACTCTTCAGATTCCGCGCGACACGAGGGGCGCAACGGAACAGATTGCGCTAGAGTGGAACTCGGATTCCGATGTCCTTGCAGTCATCTTGAAGGACAGGATACAGCTTTGGACTATGGGTAACTACCATTGGTACTTGAAGCAGGAGATCCTCACCGGGTCTCAACGAGTCAATTTCGCATGGCATCCCGAAAAGTCTCTGCGCTTTGCTGCTTCCACCTCAGGTAAGAAGGCTACCTCGTCTTCCGTCCTTCACAGGCTTATTCGAGGAACAGACAAGATGCTCATGGCCGAGTACGCCTTCACCACAGCGAAAGGTTCCTTGACTCCTCCTCACGACCATGGAGCCGTGGCAGTAGTCGATGGCAGGACTGTGAAGCTGACCCCGTTTCGGACTGCAAATATGCCCCCGCCCATGGCCATGTTCGAGTTAACCGCCGACTCCAGCGTAATTGACGTTGCATTTGCCCCTGATAACTCAGCACTAGCAATATTGCACCACCTCGGAGTCGACCACTATGCCTGGGAAACAAAAGGAATGCGCTCAATGGCGCCTGCGCTCCTCGATAAGCTAGAGTTCTCGAAGACGGAGGCTGCCTTATACGAGGAGGTCCCCCTTCAGATCACACTCCCTGGGAAACACCGGCTTCGACTCCTGCAGTACGACCAGTGTCTCTCTATTCTATCCTGCGACTTGGATGAATCACGTTCGTGGGCGAGGATGGATGCGGACTCGGTATCTACCATCGGATCCTTTGCCGGAGTCACTGGTACTCAGATATTTGCTCAGGAACTGTCTGGGAAGCTATTAGAAGCCTCAAGAGGAGAGACGGCGGCCTTCCCGACCAAGTTCCCTACTCAACTCCCATGGGTCGAGGTCATTCGTCATGAAGGCGACAACATGGCCTTTGGACTCTCCCGAAATGGCCACCTATATGCGAACTCACGACAGCTAGTGAGGAACTGTACATCGTTCCTGGTCACGCCTAGCCATCTCGTGTTTACGACAAGTAACCACTTCCTGAAGTTTGTCCATCTGGCTGGTGCTGAAGGTATGTGCAAGCTCACGAAGCGATGTCTTACGGAAGGGGGGAACTAATTATTATAGAACTGGAAGTTCCGCCCGACGACCCGGAAAGCGATGAGCGATGTAGGAGCATCGAGCGTGGCGCGAGGCTCGTCACTGCTATGCCAACGAATATGAATCTAGTTCTGCAAATGCCGAGGGGGAACCTCGAGACTCTTGCGCCACGCGCAATGGTTGTAGCAGGGATCAGGCAGCTCATCGACGAGAAGGACTATGCCAAGGCGTTCGCCTACTGCCGAACCCAACGAGTCGATATGAATATTCTGTACGACCACCGACCGGAGCAGTTCCTATCCAACGTCGGGCTCTTCCTTGACCAGATCGAGGATGTCGCGCACATGGACCTATTCTTGTCTTCGTTGAGGCAAGTATCTATCTCCACTAGCCCTCTAACCAGTAGTTACTGACCCTGCAACAGGGAAGAGGACGTGGCCCAAACCATGTATAAGGACACAAAGCCCTCGAGGAGAAACCAACCCGAATTTCCCTTTGGGGCCCATGGGTCTGCCCCAACCAAGCTGTCACCCACCAAGTCCTCCAAAGTCAACTCGATATGCGGTGCCGTACTGGAGGCTCTCCGGTCGCGCAAAAACGGCAGTCTCCAAAATATCATCACGGCCAACGTCTGCAAGAGCCCCCCGGCACTTGAAGACGGCCTTCTTGTTGTTGCGGACCTCATGCGACGAGACGAATCCTTGGCCGAACGGGCCGTGGAGCACATCTGCTTCTTGGTAGACGTAAACAGGCTATACGACCATGCTCTCGGGCTGTACAACCTCGACTTGACCCTCCTGGTTGCTCAACAGTCACAACGAGACCCGCGGGAATACGTTCCGTTTATTCAGAATCTGCATCGAATGCCACAACTAAGGCGGCAATTTGCCATCGATGATCACCTAACCCGACGGGAAAAGGCCCTGGGCCATCTACAGGCCCTGAATGCCTTCGAGGAAGTTTGCACATACACAGTGAAATACAGTCTTTACCAGGCAGCCCTCAGGCTCTATCGGTATGACGAGCAGCACCTCAGGACTCTCACGGAGTTGTATGCGTCACATCTCGAATCGAACTCCAAATTCCGCGACGCGGGCCTCGCGTACGAGTCAATAGGCAACTTCGCCAAGGCGACCAGCTGCTACCGCGGGGCCGGCGCGACATCCTGGGGGGAGTGCCTCTTCGCCGCCCAGCAGCAGACGCCGCCCCTGTCGGGATCCGCGCTGTCGGAGCTCGCCAGCGCCCTCGCCGACGCGCTCTACGAGGCAAAGGACTACGCGGCGGCGGCCGTCATCCACGCCGACTACCTGTCGTCGACCGAGGCCGCCATCCGCTGCCTGTGCAAGGGCTACCTCTTCGCGGACGCGCTCCGCCTCGCCGCGCTCAAGGGCAGGCCCGACCTGCTCGAGGGCGCCGTGGACGCCGGCCTCGCCGACGCCCTGTCGAGCAGCACCGAATTCCTGGCGGACTGCAAGGCGCAGCTCCGGGCGCAGGTCCCGCGCATCCTCGAGCTGCGGCGCAAGGCCGTCGAGGACCCGCTGGGCTTCTACGAGGGGGAGAGGCCCCACGGCGGCGGCGGCGGCGATGTCCCCGATGACGTCTCGGTCGCGGCGAGCTCGCGCCTCAGCACGAGCGCCAGCCTCTTCACCAGGTACACGGGCAAGGGCCAGGGCAGCGTGGGCACGGCGGGCAGCGCGGTCAGCCGGGCGACGAGCAAGAACCGCAAGCGCGAGGAGAAGAAGCGGGCGCGCGGGCGCAAGGGAACCGTCTACGAGGAGGAGTACCTCGTCAACAGCGTGCGGCGGCTGGTCGAGCGCGTCGGGCTCGCCGGGGACGAGGTCGCGCGGCTCGTCTTCGGCCTGGCCAGGAGGGGCATGGCCGAGAGGGCGAGGGCCGTCGAGGCGCTGGCGGCCGAGGTCGTCGACGGGTGCAGGGCGGCGATCGCGGAGGTCTGGTCGCCGGTCGAGGACGGCGGTGCCGGGGGTGCCGCAGCCGCTGGGGAGGGCGAGGGGCCGGCCGCGTATGTGCATCGTTTCACTGGCGGTGATGCAGTCCTGCAGGACAGCCTGGCCGCCCGGGACGTGCGACAGGAGCCGCCCACCATAGCCGACTTTGCGAAGCTATCGTTGCTTGGGTAGTGGTAGCAAAGAGCTTGTAGATGCACCTCTAGACAGATTAATGACACGCCAGATATGGTTAACTGACAGTCAGGGATCCTTTTTGTGTGTACCTTCTCTAGCCATTTATTTAATATTCAGGGGTTTGATACATGATGAATTGGTATACAGTTTCGATATGGTACAATACATCTGATATAATACTACTACTACTATTCCCCTATGAGGCGGGTGGCCGAGTCTCTGCCGGCGGTTCTGACGGGGTCTCCAAAGAGATGGAACCCACGCCGCTCTCGATCTCGCTCGTCCCACTCGCCACCCGCGGGGCCCGCCCCTGGTTCTTGGCCATGATCTGGCCGATCTTCTCGAGCATCTCATCGGTGAGCTCGGGCTGGCCCCTCGCCCTCCGCAGCTCGCGCCGATGCCTGTTGAACTCCTGGAGCGGCGTGAGCATGGACTTGACGCTGTCGACGCGGGCCTTCTTCTCGGCCTCCTCGGCCTCCTTCTTGGCAATGTACTCGGGCGTGTGCCGCGTGCGGAACTTGCTGTACTGGTTCCGCAGCTCGTCTACTACCGTCTCGGGTATCGGGGGCCGCAGGAGGGTCGGCACGAACGTCCTCTCCTCCACGTCTATGCGCAGGGTGTCGTGGGGGCCGTCCACAACTTCCTCCTCGACCTTGGTCGGCCACGGGATCTCGACGTTGAGGCCCGGCACGAACCTATCCCATGTGACTTCCTCGGTCGGGCGGTCGTGGTGTATGTTTATGGGTTTGAGTTGCTTGATGACGACGTCTCGGACGACGCCAGTCTCCTCATCCTTGAGCGGATAGACAAGACGGACGGCCGAGATGGGGATTGGGGTCTCGAAGGTCTGGATTTTGGCGTCCTTTAGCTCCTCCGGGAGCGTATATTCGGGGAGTGTTACGTTAGTCTGCCCGGTAAATCGTTAGCATGCCCGTTTGACTGGCCTCGACCCCGTGTGCGATGCCATGTAATATTGGGAGGTGTCCTTTCCACTCACCTTTGCAATATCGCCCAGAAGCAAGGTTCCCTGGTCCTTGTGGATGTCGCCCACCACACCAATCTTCCCCTTCAGCCAGCCATCGATTACAGCGACCCGATCCTTCTTTTTCAGGCACAGGTACTTCGCCCCGCCGGCCCAGGCACACCGGGCATTGAGCTGGGCCGGGGGGAGCGGTTGGTGCGGCGTGGCGCGACGCGAAGAGATGGAGCCCCATTGCACGACGTGAGGGTTGTCGAGGACGGGAACGTCGCGGCGCGGGGCCAGGGGGCCCAGCTCCCAGTCCTCGTGGCGGGCCTTGATGGCGGCGCCGAGCTGATATCCGACCTCGCCGCTGAGGTGCTTCCGCTCCTCCCTCAACTCGGTTTTCCGGTTCCGACGGTTGAGGTCGCGTACCCGGGCCAGCCGCCGCGCGGCTTGGCGCTCGACCATCCGGGTCCGCCGGATCAGCTTGTCCATGGTCGTTGTCTGCCTCGGGAGGCTGGTTGTGGGATTATGTATGGTTTTCGGGATAGGACCAGCACAAGCAAAATCTCAATTGCTCAAAAAGTTGTCGCTAAGGAACCAAGCATGGGGGTTGGTGGGCACGGTTGTTTTCTGTGCAGACGGGCAGGGGTGGACCCAGTAAGATTCCAGCCAGGCCAGATCCAAAAACAAGTAAATTCAGCCACTGCGAAGACTACCTACGGATTACCTAATTACGGATCCGTACGGATCCGTAGATGGAAGGCAGACAGACCAGAGTCCTTGGAGATGGCTTGACCGAGGCTACGAATGGCATTTGCTGCGAAGCTGCATCAGGATCAGAGGACGAGTCCCTATATCCTCTGCGTTGTTCCTCCCTTCTATTTGCTAAACCCAAGGGAGGACTGCCAATCGGGAACTGCTCAGTTGACTCCCTGGATGAGCTGTTCAATGCGGCTCATGCATGATTACACTGAAGCCTGGCTGTCACAGGCAAGTCCTATCGTCCTGCTAAGGGGTGCATAGGACTTTGCTCTGCGCCACCAAGAATTATGTCACTGTCTTAGCCTGGGCTATGTAGGTTTCTTTATCCGAGGACCCTTTTCAGCTGGACGGGCATTTCCAGCCTCCGCTAGTAGCCTCCATTTCACTAGCACGTCAGGCCGAAAGGGTATCATGTACTATACCTACATGTGCCGGTCCTTCGACGGCCGTAGTTAGGACCTCAGTAAACTTCCCTTCAATGAATATCATGATAGCCTAGGGATACACATATATATAATATACATATTGCCTGCTGCCATGGGAATGCACAATTGCACATACGTAGCTGTCCTGGTCCTGCACAAATTCACCTATCTACCTACTTATGCGGAAGGTAGACAGGTACCACTCACTTCCTCTCCAATTCCAGGGGCTGCCACCTGCCAGTCACCTGGTCCCCCCCACTTGCAAGCTTCTTGGAGACCTCTGGAGATTGCAAGCAAACCTGAGTCTCTTTTGGTGCCTCAGGACAGCCATTATTGCATTCTCAGCAGGCTACGCCCCCCAAATCTTCGTCGCTCCCAGGCGGTCCAGTCACAGCACACCTCCTCTTTGGTCCCGACCACTGCCACACACCCCCCCAACACATTGTCGCCTTGTATCTGTCGTCAATTGAGCTGTCATCCTTCTCTTCTTCCCAAACCCTTCTCTCCCCCCATTCAATACAAACATCCCCTCTCACTTCAACAACAACTCCTCTTGCAGTGACCCCATCGACCTCCCGTCAGCTGCAACTGAATTCCCCCCGTCTCGTACCTTTTTCTCCCATCTCCCGTCTCCTCGTCTAGCCCGGCAACCATGGCTGAAATCCGCCGAAAGCTGGTCATCGTTGGTGACGGTGCCTGCGGCAAAACCTGCTTGTTGATGTAAGTACTGCTGGTTGCTCTGCCTGCCACCCGCCGTTTCAATCACCTTTCCCTCCCTTCTTCTATCGTCACCCTGCTGATCAATCTCTAGCGTTTTCTCCAAGGGCACCTTCCCAGAGGTAAGAAGGCATCCTGCATCCTATCCACGTCCCGAATTCGTCATTCCTTCCAACCCATCCATTCAGCTTCGAACGCTGCTAGCCTAGCTTCAGCCGAGGCCAGTCCGGCTGCCTCAGAAACGAACAAGGCCATTACCACACGCACCGTCAACGCCGCAGCCCCCGGCAAACTGTCCACACATTCGATCCCGCTGATTGCCCAAGCCCACATGTGCTGACAATTTCGCTCCACAGGTCTACGTCCCGACTGTCTTCGAGAACTACGTCGCCGATGTTGAGGTTGATGGCAAGCACGTTGAGCTAGCACTATGGGATACGGCTGGCCAAGAGGACTATGACCGCCTGCGGCCCCTGTCCTATCCCGACTCTCACGTCATCCTCATCTGCTTCGCTATTGATTCTCCAGACTCCCTGGACAACGTTCAAGAGAAGGTCAGTGTCAATCCCCGTGTATCCTGACCGACCGCCTTCGCGTCGTTGTTGGACGTCTAAAAGCCGGCAAAGCCACTTCATTTGCTAACACGTGCCTTTTCAACAGTGGATCTCTGAAGTCCTCCATTTCTGCCAAGGTCTTCCCATCGTCCTCGTCGGCTGCAAGAAGGATTTGCGTTATGATCAGAAAACCATCGAGGAGCTGCGCAAGACCAGCCAGAAGCCCGTTTCCCCCGAGGAGGTGAGTCCCACCCCATCACTTCCCCCGTCTCCACGCCCTTGGATTTCGAGTCTGCCATGACTCTTGCCCATGATGGACGCTGACCAGCCGTCAAAATGCAGGGTGAGGAAGTTCGCAAGAAGATTGGTGCTCTCAAGTACCTCGAGTGCTCCGCCAAGACCAACGAGGGTGTCCGTGAGGTGTTCGAGCACGCGACGCGGGCTGCTCTGCTGAACCGCCGGGGAGGAAGACGCGACAAGAAGGGCAAGTGCTTAATTCTCTAGGCGCCCGATGCTTCCATGTCTCTACACATCAGCCACGAACCCAGACACGCACACACCCACACAACACATACCACGAACTCGCACTTGTAATCCAAACCTCTTCATCTTTCCAGGCCTTTTCCTTTTTGTCTCGTCTTCGTACAGAGTCGTTTGCTGCCGCACAGGGGGATGATTTCAGGGTTTGTGACGGATTTGATCTCTTGGGCTGAACTCGCTGCACCCGGGTGGAGGAACGAGTAACTTGAACCGCCTGCATTGGTTTCAGCTGGAGTTTGATACTATCGTCTTGCCTCGCGCCGGCCTCGTCATATTACTCTAAATCCATACAGATCTTCTCATAGTCTGGACCAGCATCCGTCTCCTCGGCCGCCCGTCCCCGTGCTTGTTTTAACCATGCTGCTCCCTATTGCCATGATTCCACCCCGGAGAGGCCGGCGGGCAGGTAACCTTGCCTGATATCAGGGGCCGAGAAGGCGACTTGGTTCTGAACGAGAAAGAGACGCAGCCCCGTCTTCTGAGCGGGAATGCCCTCGCTCTGGTCCTTGATGGCGCTGCAGATGGTCGTCCCTTGTTCCGTATTTATCAACTCGAATGTTGCCCTTCCCTGTGCAGTAGTCATGTTCTGTGTCGATTTTGGAGTGCTTAACTGGATCTGGATTCCGGACTGGGGGTGCTTAGGTTTATTCTTGAGCGCTTTACTGCACAACAATAAGGGGCATTGGCGAGCGGTTGGGAGGGGAAACGTCACAATATTAGTGCCCTTTTGCCATGTGGTCTCTGATACACTTGAAGCTTCCAGGGAAGTTGGATTTGTTCTCTCGCCACAGGACGATGGGTGGGTCGTATTTAGCTATAAATACAGCAAGGTAAACTAGGTAATAGTCGGCTGACGGTGAGTTCCCATCACTGCCACCATATCAGGTTGCGGGCGATTCCGACCGTTTCTGCTGACGGTCGTGACGGTCCTAGGAAGACAAAATAGCTCGCCGCCCTTCACCCTTCCCGGCCTCTGTTCCCAAACGAGACGGCATGGCGCTAACGAAACTGGCTCACGACTCCAGGGTCACCTCCTAGCAACAGGTCCTCGTCTCTTCTCCCACGTCATGTCCTAGCCCCTCCTCCTAGAGGCAGGTTCAGGCCCTCTTTAGTTAGGGCAAGACTGGGGGTTTCTCATGTCAGCCTAGCCAACACGGGGGGGTTTTGAGGGAGAAATAAAGCAAACCGCTGTGACACTTACAGATCCGCAAGAACCACACGTCTTCGTTCCGTCCGACGAGGCTCCACACTTTGGGCAGCTGCTTCCGTGCATTGTCGAGAGATGGTATGACGTTGGGAACGGGTTGGGGCTTTGCGTCTTGAATTTCGTGACGGAGCTTGCTTGTATTGTGAGTTTCGGGTTTGGCCCTTTGATAACCTGGAATTGATTTTTTGGTGAGGGGGGTTGGAAAGCGGGGGGAGGGTTTTATATTCGAGTTTATTTTATCAAACACCCGCTCTAAGCCTCGCGGCCGCGGCCCCCTCTCTTGGGGAGCTGATCAAGTCATCATCGGGTCAGGTGGAGGGTATGGGGGGCACGCAATGAGGTAGGTGGTCAATAGCGAGCAAGTGGTTGCCTCCCGCCCGTTCTGACATGTCCCTAGCAAGCTAAGTGCATCACTTAGGCAGTCAGGCGATCGATCTGGGAAGGAGCAACTACGGGATAAACCCCCACAGCGTCGGAAGCGTGTGGGCTGTTTCGAAAGATGGGGAAACGGTAGGTGGTCCAGGAGGGCCGAGGCTTGCCGCATCCGCAAGTTCCTAGATAAGGCTTTAAGACTCGACGCCATTGGTGGCATTGTGAGGGTACGGTCCGTATTATACAATATTCTATTCCCAGTCCCGTAAACCTGTGACCGCGATGCAACACCAGGCAACCAAGTCCCCCAAGCCAGTTCTATAGATTCTAAACAAAAGGTCGGGTTATGTTCCGTGCTTACCGTCTACACACACTGCACAGCTCCTCCTTCCCCTAAGACGAATCAACCGTCAATTAGCTGGGGCGGCTCCCTGTAAGCCGGAGACGAAGGGAAATAGTAATCGGGACTTACCTCTTATGATCTTACCAACGGACTGTAACAAACTGATGACCATGACAGTGCACCCAAAGGCCACCACAGCCATGGCCATATACGTCCTCCACGACCGCGTGGCCAGCTTGATGTAGCAGAGCGGAGGCAGGATGTAGGCCATGGCACAGGCGCTGGTAGTGCCGACAAGCTCGAACACGGACCCCAGGTCGCAGGTGACGAGGCTGAGCGTCATGGCGCTGACGACCAGGCTCGTGCTGAAGATGAGGTGAAGGTTCATGTTGAACGGCTGGCCGGGGAAGTAGTAATTGAGCATGACCTCGCGGCAGACGAAGGCCTCGAGCGGCAGCGTCGTGAGCATGTTTAGCCCGAAGCACAGCCGCGCGACGTTGACCATGGTGTTGTCCGATGGGAAGTTGTTGAGCACGTTGCCGACCGTCTTGTCGCCGAAGACGAGGAACCCGGACACGGCCATGACCAGGCACGCAACCATGGAGACGCCGGTCGAGTAGTGCGTCACTTTCGAGAACCTGTCTATCGTGGGCGTCTTGAGGGAACCGTAGATTAGGAGGGAATTATGATGACAAACAAACGCTGCCATGTCTCTGTCAGCCTAAAGGGTTGCCTTCCCCTTTCACGGTCGAAGGGGGACACAAGTGCCCAACATACCAAAAGATATAACGCCAACAGACTGAAATATGCCGCCGTTTATGAAGTAATGACTAGGTTCCAGACTGCCCCTTTGCTCTTTGGGGGTCAGGATACCCTGGGTAAGGACTGTAATAACAATGATAGCCATGCTTATCAAAGCAAGTGTACTTGCTTTTGCAAGCTGGGAGGGAAGGTAAAGTTAGCCCTGATATGCTCACCGCATCATCGGCTCGGACGGGTATGAGGTTCGGAAGGAAGGCGGAGGGGGGGTTACCTTGGAAATATCCCGATATAACGTCAAAGGGTAGCTGATGCCCAAGACGAAGACCACGATCGCGACCCTCCGATCGGCCAGCAGCCCCACGACGGGGACGTCCCTCAGCCCCGGCCAGACGGCGAGCAAGACGTGGGGGATGGAGTCGCCGACGATGATGCCGAAGGCGACCATGCCGCCAAAGGCAAAGGCCCACTGCGCGACCGAGATGGCGATCAGGCCCGTCCGGCCGAAGCAGTGCTCGACTGTGCCCTGGAAGCTGTTGGCGCCGCTGAGCTTGCTGTTGAGCACGATGAGGCAGATGGTCCAGTCGACGACAAAGGTTAGGCCCACGAGCAGAACGATCCCCGACAGCAGGCCCGCCTGCCTGAACGCGTACGGCTGCCCGATAATCCCCGCCCCGATGATGCTGTTAGCCATGTTCATGAATGCCGGCCCCATCGACGACTTGGGCCGCCGCCGCTCCGCATCCGCCCAGTCGTGCACCGCCTCGTCCCTGCCCCACGGCCCGCTGTTCGCCAGCGCCACGGTTGGCGCCTCAATGTCCGTCAGCAGCGGCTGCCGCTGCTGCCGCCGCCCGTCGCCCCCGTCGTCGGCGTCGTCGCCCCCCACGTAGTCGTACTCCCGCCCGCCCGGGTCAAGGGGGTCGTCCTCGTCGTTGCCGCCGTCGTCCAGGCTGTCGCGGGCGTGGTGGTACGCGCCGCCGTTCGCGCCGGCCGCCGCCGCCGCCGCCCCGTCGACCACGGTGGGCCGCAGGTCGAAGCGGACGCGGTTCGGCGTCCGTGGCGTCCGCTGCCCCGGGGGCGCGAGGGCCGCCGTGGGGGGGTGTACCATGATTCCATCGTCGCCGTCGCTGTCGCCCTTGCCGCTCTCGTCTATTCTGTAGTCTTCACCCTCGTAGTCGTCATCGTCGCCGAGGTCCGGCCCTGCGGCCAGGAGGACGATGTCTTCGTCGTTGTCGGCGCCGTGGTGGTGCGACGGGGGATTCGCGCTCGCCCCGGTTCGGTTGCCCATCCTTTGGTGTCTCAGAACATTTTCAAAGGGCGGGGAACAAGCGTCTCAGACCTCCGCTTCCGTCCTAGGAGGGTTCTTTAAGGTATCGGGGGGGAATTGGAGGGGAATTGATGGTTTTCTCGTTATCTTTGACGGTTGGTTGCGCTGAAAGAAACGTCCCCTGTATTGTCATGTGATACAGGGGTTACCCCGCTGTCCCGCTAGCCCCTGAAAACGACGAAAACGAGCCTGAACAGGTAGGCCGTCCCCATGTCATCCAAGGCAAGGAAACAAAACAAAAACAAAAAAGATAATAACAACGTTCTCGAATATAGTTACCGCCGAGAAGCCACCTAGTTGAGGTGTTGCGGTAAGCTGGGGACTTGTTATGTACGACTTCCAACTTGGGAAGGAGGATGGCTACTGGAATCCATGATCACTGACGAAGCTGTACGCACATGTGGTGATGATGACTTAGTCTACTTGCTTCGCGCCCGACTAATAGATACATTAAATAATACTAAAAAACAAGAAATGGCGTCCCGTAGTCAAAGCCCCTCCCTGATGGACCCTCGAGTCCTTCGTGTTCGGCCCTGGCTCCCCTGGGTATCATGTGCGTCATTCAATCCTCCTCATGCCATTAGAAGATGAATCAGAGTGGGTGGGCGCGTGTGAAGTGGTAGAGCTAAATTCTCAAGGACATGATGCGCCTTCTACCGGCGCAAAAAGGTGCTCGAGGTAGAGAGTAATAACGGAATCGTTGTGTGAGAGGGATGTGCAGTTATGCCACCAAGGCAACAACAGCAACAACCCCAAGGATGGAAGCGTACTTGTTTCTCTCAAGTTGCTCAGCGGGTGATTCCTTGGTATGAGTCGGAGATGCGCCAGTGGACTGTGCTACTGGTGCGCCTGCTGTGACTGAAGTTTCGTGGCCACTGAGGCCGGGTAACGAGGAACCGGAAGGGATACTTGCTGGCACTGCCAAGGTGCTGTCCGAGGTCGGTGCTGGTGCATCAGTTGCATTAGATGGCTCGGTCGTTGCTGTGGTTGTTGTCGGCTTCGGCGCTGTGGCCGGCTTTGGCGCAAACCCGATTCGCTTTTCATCCGTGTCGAAGACAGTGTAGACGTTCTTTAAGAACATATCTCCAAGCAACCAGGCATCCTTCACAACGGCGTAGCCATAAATATTACTCGTACATGTACCGCCGTCGGAAGAAGATGTAAACCAGTCCGCTGGAGATATGGTGTAGCTCACGCCCGAAAACGAGACGTTGATGGGTATGTCGCTCTTGCAGGGCACGGTATAGGTGGTTCCGTCCGAGCTTTTTGCGCCAGGAATCAACTTGTGGATGGCAGCAACATCCTCCTGGGGTCCAAACACGTATGAGGTACCGGTATCAATGTACGCCAGTCTTCCCTCGACTCCTGCGTTCTTCCCATCGTACGCCAGGTCATCCATTGCTATCGCCCAGTCGTTACCCGCCTTGGATGAGACGGGGGAATAAGAGATGGAGCCCGTATACTTGGAGGGGTTTGTCCCACCGAAACTAACTTCGCCAGTGTTCGGACCATCCGAGCTGCGGCTCAAAGACACACCAAATATATTGGACTCGAGCAGCTTGGCGTCCTTGACGACTTGGAGGAAGTTGTCAGTTGCGGTAGTGGTCATCGAAAGACCCAGTATTCCGTCGAAGGGATAGTGGCTGAAGTCGTCGGATGTTGCATTGGCAAGGCCGAAAGTCATGGGTACATCCAGCCCGGCCACCGAAATCGTATCCTGTGCGAGACTGCCACCAACGGTTCCCGATCCATAAGCGATAGAGAAAGTCTCGGATTTCTCCTTGAAGGTATTGGAGTCGGATGGACCAAACAAGTTGTGCAACTTGCAGGCGGACGTCTGACAGTCCGATCCCATTATCCACGTGGTTCCGGCACCCGTGTCAAGGAGCATGTACAGCGGCTTTCCGTTCGAGCCGATGCCAGCTTCGACGAAATAACAGAAATCGGTCCCGTCCTGATATATGCCTGCACTGTTCTTTCCCGGGGACGGTTCGGGGGGCACGACCGAGTACTTGTTGTCTCTCCGGGTCAGGTCGGGCTGCTGCCGGGCGGTGCGTGTGGACTTCCGATTTCCATACTTTCGAAGCAGTCGACTTGCTTGTCGGGCAGCTCGAATAGGTGGGTCACTGTCGACCTAGAATCAATGCAATTAGCAACTGAAGGGCATCGTTGGGAGGATCTGAGAGTCTGGCAACGCACTTGAGGAACCCGCTGTGACAATTTGTATGTCACGACATCCGAAGAGGTCTGTGGAGCTCGTTCGCCAACCGCCCTCCTCAATTGTTCGCAGTGGCCCTCCGTGCAGGCATGCCGCTGGAGCCATGGGAAGAAGGCATGAATCGTAGCCACCCATATCGTCAGCTGGATGAAGATGACGGCTCGAAGCATATTGGAGGCCCAATCAACTCAGCCCTTGCCTCTCTCCCTCACCAGTCTCGGCCAAGACTTCTCGATATATGGTGCTCCAGGGCTGCTCCAAGGTTCTAGGGAGAAGAATCGCGTCGGGAATAGCTTCAGTTGGTCCGGCTGCAGCGGGCCAGGGGAGAAAGCCGCGTTGACCTTGGACGATACGGGGTGTGTAGGCGTGCAGGGCTGTCCGTCGAAGGGGGACCGAAAAGCCGAGTAAATATCCCCAAGGCCCAGAGATGAACGGCCCAGTGAGGTGTGGAGAGTGACCAAGAGTACCAGACTCTGGCACAGGAGAAACAGAAGATTAGGAACTATGTGAACTGCATTGGGACCGGACTTGACGAATACTCGGTCACTCTGCTCCTGTCAAAACAACAGTTTGTTATAAAAGACTGGAATGTCGAAGTCTTAACTCGCAAGGAAGCTTGCGGATCCGTCCGGGGCAAGGAGGTACAAGGTGGGTATCCAAGACAAAAAGGCTTCACCAGAAAAGACACAATATAAGACAGCGAGAGTGGGTGGACGAAGATGAGTGAGGATAGGAGAGATCGAGAGATAGAGAGATTAGAGATATAGGATGATAAACAGCCCCGGCGAGGAGGCAGAAATAAGACCTCCGAAAGGAAAGTGGCAACGGAGGGAGGTGGAGGACAGGGAGGATCCCTCATCGACACTTCGGAAACGACCGACCTCTTCGGTTGTGGAGGTTGGAGGGGGCAGCACTGCTAACATTGCAACGCTAGAAGGAGACAAGCGCATGCAGGCTGCCCCACGACAGAACTAAATGGGGCCAGACTCAGTGGCGATCCCACAACGACGAGTCACGAAGACCTCGAGCACGTCCGCAATGAAGTCACTGCATCCAACTGAGGATCGATGATGTGCGTCAGCCATGAGGTCGGGCCCCAGGCCCAAGACGCTATTTGTGCTGTGCGCAATTCATGTTGGCTCCACGGCACGATTCGGTTTTTGTGCGGCGATATTAATTGCCTTGCTCCTCTCACCTGATGGGCCTCGACATGCTTCCCCAGTGTTGTATGGAGCAGATGAATCAGACCCCACTCGCCTACTGCACCCCTTGCCAATTGTTCCAACTTCCAACGTTGCCCTCCGCTCTCTAATTGGACCGTGGTTTCGAGTTGGCGACAAGCGGGCTCCTGCCCAGGCCCCAGAGTGCCACAGTGAGACCTGCCTATGGCTCGTACCCGTAAAGTACGTCACTCGCCTGAACTAACGCCCAGCCGCCTGAGTTCTGGAACAATAGTTGCGAGTCAGCCAGTGTCAGCCAGTGTCAGCCAGTGTCAGCCAGTGTCAACCAGTATCGGCCAGCGCCATGATATCGCCCTTGGGTTTCTCCTTGGTTGTGCATTTCGCCCCTGTCGGTACCTCCACTTGCCTCCGTCTGTGGGTAGCGATACAAACCTGGAACCCCTGGTCGATCACCTCGCCATGCAGGGATCAGGGGTGTGGGCCCCGATGAAGAAAAACACCAGGCTCGGTCTCATCCCACAAGCCAAGCCCCGAATCAAGATCTTCTCCATCCGAGCACAGTAACAGTCAGTACGTTAATATAAGGTTGGCGCCTTGCGATGTCGACAGCACTGGGACTGACTCGTTCGTCTGACATCACACGGCTCCGGAAGTTCACTATGGGACAGTTTACTTGCAATCACTTGTATTAACCATCTCTTTGCCCCCCAAATTTTCACCCGCCAAGTCTCGTAATGAATATCCGGGGTGTCATGCAACCACGCATCCGTTTCCAGGTCACCTGTTGGTTGATCGTTCTTGAGATGGCTAGTCATTGCCAGGGGGTTTAATGGGGATGTGACGATATTCTGGGTAACTTCCCGGCAGAAACCCGTGCATTATTATCCTGACAGAGCTTTGTTACCCTATGTATCGTAACCGGCGATGAACCGTAATTGCGATAAGCTACCCGCTTCTGGACGCCACAAACGCCCGGAGATAATAATATCGTTGTTCTCCAGGGGGTTACAGTCGCCTCCAAAAGCGCCTTCCCGCCGCCTTTTAGAGATGCGTGCATGATGCGGTTTCAGCCACCGTAGAAACGGCGAGAGCTGTTATCACCAACGAAGTTGCATGTTAATATAGCAGCCCCTGATGTTCTGTCCATTATTTGTTGATATACAAGGCGAGGGGTCTTGAGCAAACGGGCTGGGCCTCCAGCGCCCTCAAGCTTTGGCTCGATATGTCTCGCACCATGATAGAGAAGCCTCCAGCCTTGCCCGGTCCGCCGAGTCTTGGGTAGCTTGAATAGCGTGCTCGCAGGCTGTCTGAAATTCAGCGTACTCGCTACCTCCCACGCCACTCGAGGCTGCCAGTGTCTGTAGAAACACCCAGACAGATTCATTGGTCCAGTGTAGGTTGGTGGCTAGGCTCAGAACTTCTCCAAACACATTTGAGGTAGCGGTTGCCCCCGAGGGAACATGCTTTGAGAGCAGAAAGGACAGGAATGACCACCCCGAGATATCGCTATGGTGTCTCAAACACCAATCCTTGATAACGAGCAGGAGCCTTTCCTGGTGAACCGTTACATTCAAAGTCATGAGCCATCTAGCGTGAGACCATGCATAGTAGTTGCGTGGATGTCTCTCTCCGGCAACGGTGATGATCTCGACAACGTCACCGAGCACGTCCACTGACAAGTTCAGTGAGCAGTAGAGGCTGACAAGCCAGCGCCGGTGACTCCAAAGTGTTGGGGATTTTGTGTGCCGATGCAATGGGCTGGTGAGCAGACTGTCGATAACTAGTCTTTCCATCCGCAGACGATGCTCTATCTCATGTGCTCCCGAGCCCGACAGCGCCGTTTGAATCAGTCGCTTCCGAGTGTTGGCTGCTGTGAGGTGCTCTGGATCCATGAGGAGGATCACGGCTGTCGCAGCCGAAAGTTGCTCGTCCGGCGCTTGTCCTGCCTTCTCCATCTCTGCCTTCAATATTTGGCGGGCGACAATGAAGGCCTGGACGAGGCTAACTTTCGAAACCCCCAAACAAGCTGCATCTCTGAGCACATGAGTCCCCGGTGGCATCTCATGGCGTCTCCCTAGGATCTCGATCTCTAGAAGCCCATCAGCCCCCCTTGGATCTAAAGCCTGAGATATGGCCTCATACGCAGCCGCAGCGCTGCTGGTGCCTAACGAGGCTGCAACGTCCTTATCTAATGCCCTGGACATGGGGGGTGGTGATTGCTGGCAGTAGGCTTGGGGTGCAATACTCTAAGCCTGCCCTTTCCCTTGAGACAGCAATAGCATGGCCTATTGAGAAAGTCGTGAGCTAATGAAACTCTTCACTATCGACAGCTCCGGTGGAACCTTTCTCTAAAAGAGCGTGGTTAATGATCCAAAGTAAGGCCCCAAGGGTGTCGAGATAAGCTTCAGCGAATCAAACCCTAACCCTACAGGTTGGTGGGGTGCACCTATCTATGGAAGACCAGGCTGGCAGCCGTTCGATTATGAGCATCCACATCATCCACATCACGACCGTCAGCTCCCGTCAGCTTCCGTCCCCTCTATGACCTCTCTTCACGACCCCAATCATGCCTTCACTACAGGTCATCATATTCTTAGTCGAGCTCACCGTGCAACTCGTCAACTCCATCGGGGCAACAACGATCAACAGCTTGGTATGATGTTGCGCGCATCGATTCCCAAAGCAACGGAGAACTGACCCAAGAGTTATAGCTATGGCGTCTATGTAACGCGCTCCCCACTTCCCCCTCCCAGAACTTCGCCGAGCATCACAAGCTGCAGAAGGAGTACCTCAGCTGCCGGCGAGAATTGAACGCGACGAGTAGCCAGGACGAGTTCGCCAAATGGGCCAAGTTGCGGCGAACTCATGACAAGCTCCTAGAGCAGCTCGAGAAGAAGAGTACGAGAGTCCCACAAACGCACAAATGTCTACAGCACAACCGATATTGATCTCCCGAACTAGAAACCTCGCTCGACGCCTCCAAAGCCAAGTTCGACCGATACACCGCGACCGTCCGATGGATGCTCACGAGGGGTCTACAGTGGTTCCTAACATTTTGGTACGGGAGAGAGCCGATGTTCTGGCTACCTTACGGATGGTTCCCATACTACGTTGAATGGTTCCTCTCCTTCCCCAGAGCCCCGATGGGCAGCGTGAGCATCGTCGCCTGGCAATGGGCCTGCGCGGGCATTCTTGCGTTGGCCGCTGAGACCCTTACGGCGATACTGGGCCTCGTCCTAGGATCACGACAAACGCAAGGGGTCCCCATGGCCGGGAGCACGGAGAAGGACCAGAGAGGGGAGGCAAAGACAAGGGCAACACCGGTGCGGGCATCATGACCAGAAGATGTGTATTAATATAATTTCTGGGGCATCACGGTGAATTTGAATGATATGTCTCTCATCTTAATTGACGCAAAGCTCCTCATTGCCGGAGCTTGGATTCTGCAACACGATCTGAGATGACTCTTGGCAGAGTACTTGGGCTCGTTCTAGGCTTCATATTGACTCTGGCGACCATTGGGCCCTTGAAAGGGGGTCGCCAAAGCTTCGAATGTGCCAAATGTTATAGATGGACCTACCTACCTGGGAGTTGCGGTGACACCGATGTATCCTGATATTGGATTACGGATTGTGCACGCTTCCACACGCATGACTTGATTATGCCCTTCCAACCTACGACAGAAGTCGTAGGCCCAGACTGCCAACTGGCAGACAGAGAAGAATGTGCATTTCGGGGAAGAAAAATTCATTCGTGAGGCTGCTGCCGTAATAAATACCTTTGTCGGCGTGGCTGGCGGGGTGGGGTTGCGCCACAACCGGGCTCTAGGGACCCCTGCTTGGTTTAACGGCCAATAGGAACAGGTGTGTTGGAAGTTCAACTGTCAGCCTTGCGGATTCTGAGATCAAGCAATGTGGTATTTTGGTAAGCTCTCCCTTCCTCGATCTCGGCACCCAGGGGAACGACGACCACTTGAAGTGCGCCGTCATTCGTATACCTGTATTGGCATGCAATAAGGTAGCGAGAATGGCAGTGCTATCGTGGGGAACGTATGTATTGCCCCTCTTCCTTCTACACTCACTGTCCGCCGACTTACACGTCCCTTTGCGAATAGGCTCAAGTCCCTTCTCATCTTCTTCGGGCCCCTGCTCCTGCCCAAGGCGATAGGATACTACCGATCCGTCCGAAATGGGCCCAAGCGACACAGCGTAGCTATTCGTCCGCTGCCCTACAAGGCCTCCCTCGCCCTCGCGGCCCTCATCGGCGTCTCGCTCGTCTTCTTCGCCAAGGCGCTGCCCATCTTCGCGCCCGAGAACATCTTCCGGGTGACGCAGTCGCGGCTCCAGGCGCCGGTGGACGTGCTCTTCACGCGGCTGGCGGCGATGCGGCCGGACGGCGTGCTGGGCCCCATCGACACGGCCCTGCGCGCAAAGTTCGTCAACCTCGAGTCGCGCCTGCTGTACCTTCGCTTCGGCCCGGATGTGCTGGCCTCGTGTCCCTTCTGCGCCGCCGACGAGCCGACATCATACCTCTACTACGCCCTGCCGGCCCTCCTGGCCCCGCACCTCGCCAACCTCGCCCTCATCGCCGCCGCCACCTCTCCGCTCATCGCCGGCCGCGAGGCCTCTTCGTGGCGCCGTGCCGCGGCCCTCACCGCCGCCGTCGCCGCCGCCGTGGACGCCTACCTCGCCACCTCCTACAACCACCAGGCCAACGCCCGCGCCCTCCGCCTCGCCGACGTCGACGCCTTCTTCTGGACCGCCCGCGCCCGCCGCAACGCCGCCCTAGGCCTGATCGACGCCCTCCTCGCCTGGCTCGTGTACCTGACCGCGACGAACCGCGCCTTCGTCCGGCCGCCCTCGGCCGCCGAGCGGGCCGAGGCCGCCGTCCGGTCCCTCGGCGCCGCGCGGAGCAGGCTGCACGCCGTGGGCGTGGTCAGGAACGCGGGGAGCCGGGACGCGGGGCTGAGGGCGCGCGTGGCGGGCTACTGGGCGCGCGAGGCGTCGGTGATGGGGGAGGTCATGGAGGATCGCGAGGTGATCGAGGGCGTAAACGACGCGCTGGAGAACCGTATCGACATCGCGACTATATCAAGGGACGCCGAGGCGTACGCCCGGAGCGTGGTGGTTCAGCCCGTGAGGCAGACCCCGGTTGCAGGATCGGAGGAAGGTTGAGGATTTGTTTGATGGCTTCGGCGAATAAAAATAAAATAAAATACAAAAACCCTCTCTTTCTTGACCACAGCATCTATCTAGTTGTACAGAGAGCTCACTGGCTTTTATTCTAAGTCATGAGTGGGCATTTCTCTGCCCCGATCTTTGCGAGGCACCCGGACCCGATGACCTCCCTCAATGGCATTTAGGCCTGATTAGAAAAACAAAGGGGATTAATCTAGCCATCAAATCATCCAATGCCCTCAGCAAGTGCGGGACATCTAGATATGGTTCATGCTCGCAGAAACGTATGCTCGCGGGACTTCGCATCCCGCCATCATGCTATCCACTTCTAGCTGTGGCCTCTGGTATCCGGTCTCGTCGCAGCCGTCGCGACGCTCGACATGCTGCCCTTCCTCGAGGGGGCCCCTGCCTCCTCGACACTCCGCTCGAGGAAGCCGGCCCAAAGCTCGGCGAGGGATTCCTTCCCCGGCATCGAGGACGTCTCAGAGAAAAACTCGGTGTTGAGGGCGGGCGAGCTCGGGGTGCGGTGGAACGGCGAGCTCGGGAGGCGGAGGGTGCTGCTCGCGGCGCCCGGCCGCGCAAGGCCTGCTTGTTCTCTCTGCTCGTCGGTCCAGTTTAGGAGCCCCGCGATGACTTGTAGTATCTGGAACTTCTTGGGATCGGACCTGTCTAGGGAGAGGAATTGGAGGAAGTGGTTTGTGACAATTTGCCTAGGGAGACTGTCAGATTTCGGCAGCTCTTCAGCTTGGGGAGTACGTCTCTGCGCTTACCTGTCAATGGTCTCTTCTGGTTTCGTCTTCTTGATGTACTTTAGTGCCTTGGTGAGATGGTCGTTCAGCACTATCGCCTCGTGTCTTAGCTTGCCGATCAGCAAGTTCTTCTCCTTGACTTCCTTCTCAAAGGGGGCTGTCCGTTCGAGCTCCTTGACCAAGTTCTCCTTGGCGGATTCGGCCTCGGCCGCTCTGGAGTCGGCATCCTGTGCTCGCTTCCGCATCTCCTGGAGCTGCTCTTCCGAGGTCTCGACCATCTCGCGTAGCTCCTTCTTCCGCGCCTCCTGTATCTCCTGGAGGGCTCTCTGTAGGCCGTCAATGGTTTGCGACTGGCTATCCCGCTCCAAGGCCGCTCTTTCATATGCCTCCCTCACGGTGGCCAGCTGCTCTTCCAGGTCTGCGACCTTGTCGACCAGGCTCTCTCGCATCGACCTCTCCTCCATTGCGATGACTTCCCACTCGCCCATTGCGTTGCTGGTCGACTCTAGCTCGCCCTTGAAATGCTGCATCTGCCTCGTCATGTCGTCTTTTTCCTTCAGCCAGTTCTGCTGGGAGAGGTTGTTTCTACTGCGCAGACTCGACAGCTCCCTCGACTGCTCCTGCATCTCGTCCTCGAGCCTCTTGATCTCGTCCTTGAATGTGCGAGAGCCCGTCTGCAGCTCCTCGTTCTGCGCCTCCAGCTCGTCAATCCGGTCCTTGGCCTCTTCAAGCTCGGCTTTATCACGCTTCAGCCGGTCGCCTAGGGTCTCCTTGATCTTCTCGACCCGGCCCCGGAGGGTCTCGTACTGGGTCTCGACATGGTCCTTTGCGGCTTCGCTCTCCTCGAGGTCTGACTTGAGCTGGGTGACTTCGTGGTTGTGCGTTTCCTGGATGCTCTCAAGCTGCTTCCTCAGCTGCTCCACCTCCTGCCGGAGGGCCTCCCGCTCCTGCGACATGGCCTCGAGCTTGGCTGTGGTGTCGGATGCTTGTTCGGTATGGCCGTTTGTGGTGGCATGGCCGTTCGCGTCCAATTCGGACCTGGCGGGGCTTTCGGGCATGGTGGGCTCGTCTGGCGCATTCTGTTCGTCGAGGGTCAGGAACGACTATTACCAAGGTGGCGGCGGAAATGAGGTCTGCTGTCTACCCTTGCAGGGGCACGCATTTACTTACCACTTTGGGAGCGTCTGGTATTAGGTCGGACACGTCCTCTCTCTCATGGTCCTGGGCCCCATCATGGTCTACCTCGGCGGCAGGCTTCGGTTTGTTGGCATTCTTCTTCTTCTTGTTGTTCTTCTTCTTGCCGGTCGGGGCTGGCAGAGACGACGATGCGAGTCGGGGTGTTAGTCCAAGGGTTGCCATCTGTGTAGAAGGAGCTGGCCAATAGCTATCTGGCCTTAAGCACGAACCTTGCGAAACCGATTGGACCGGCTCAAATGGTGCAGTCGAAGCCATTGTCGATTCGGTCTATCAAAACGAATGGCATCGGATCACAGCCGAAGAGCAAATGGTGCTGGATGGAGGGACGGTAGGTAAATTAGTGGGATTCCTGGCCTGTTGTTCGTTTGAATACCTATAATATGCGACAATGGCAGGTTCTACAGTACGAACTCACACGTAAGCATTTCGGGGAATTTTAGTGAGAGCCCCTCCATGGATGGCCAGTAAGACTGGGCAAGAGGAAACACATTGTATAGCTATATAGCCCCAACATTGGTGGCTCACTGGAATGGCAAATTTCACCGCCAAGCAGCACAGCACCGTCTCAGACTCGTCCCATCTTGGCATTATGGTTTAATCCAAGCCTGCGAGTTGTTTTCAACAGCGGGAGGTCGAACCTACCTGCATTGAACGGACAGGTTGATTCGAATCTCGGATCACATGACAGTCAGTAACTAGCCCGAAGTGGTGGGCTTTTTACCACCTCTTAGCACTCGTTTTTTTTTCCTCTTTTCTTTTCCTTTTTTTCTCCTTAACATATTTCCCTTCTCCTCCCGATTCAATCTAGGATCTGCCTCTCTCACCAGTACTCTAGTGGCTTATCTGACAATTGGGCTGAAGTAGAGCAGCTATCGCGCTTTATAATCCTGGCGGTATCCCGAGCTGTTGCTCCAAATGGATCCTCCGGGTTCGCTATGTGCGTACATAATACCGAGTTCTGTGACACTCAATGCCGCGGCGGTCCTCCCGCAACTCGAGATTTCCCTTCCTGTTCCATTTCTGGCGCGCCCACCTCGTACAGGCTTCGCTAGCTCTGGGCGAGGCGTCTTGGCAGCTTTCGAGGTCGGCCAAGACCTCCGGACTCTGCAGCCACCCGTATTCATCAGTCGAATTCGTATCCCATGTCTCGGTTTGCATGTTCTTGGCATGCTCTGGTTCCTTTTTGAGGAGGTTTCAAGTCATTCGAGGGTTACCCAATGCGGTGCTAGACCTTCGATGATAATACAGCATTGCCATTTAAGCCTAGCTATGAGGACTCAGCAATTAAGAGCAAACTCCATGCGAGTTAAGCAGTTAGGCACAGCAGTAACATGCATGGGTATTCTTCGTGACCGTCCTGACCCAACCTTACGACCCAGCTTCCAACCGTCTCTGCCCACATATGCAACCTATGCAACCTATGCAACCCCCTGGATATCTTGCCTGTCCATAACCCGTTCATAGCCCAATCGTAGAGCCCATCCATCGTGATGTCGTTAAAAATCATTCCCTGACCGTCATGCTATCCGTCTGACGAATCAGTCGTCGCGGTGGGAGTCTTGCTCGTCCACCAATATCACCACTGTCAAAGTAGCCGCGTACGCCTCGCGGATGGCGCATGCCATGCTAGAATTCGGTCAGTCAGTGAGTCCGGGAACACAAGCAAAATAGCTCACCAAGTCCTGCCGATATCTGCCACCACGGCACTGAGCTCCCAGTGCGAGCACCACGCCCTAGCCAGCACCTCATTGTCCGGCACCCCGAACGCCTCCACCACAAGGACCCTCTCCTCGTCATCCGACACCCCCGACCCCGCCGCCGCAGCAGCAGCAGGAACCTTCCCGTTCCCGTTCCCATTGCCGGCAGACGGCCCCGAGCCCGCCACCCCCAGCCCCGACGCCGCCGTCGTCGACGACGACCTCGCGCTCCCGCTCCCGCCTCCGCGGCGGTGGCGCTGGTGGTGGTGGCCGCGGCCGCCGTCCCACCCAGAGAGGTCGACGAGCTCGGCGGCGCCGAGCGCGACGTACGCGTAGTCGAAGAAGAGCGGGTGCGGCCCCGCGGCGCAGGGCGACGCGCACACAAACGACACGTCGTGGTCGAGCCGCAGCGGCCACGACGCCCCGTCGACAGCGAACTGCACGCTCGCGTCGAACCAGCGCGGGCCCGGCTCCGAGGCGCGGTCGGCGCACGCTCGGAGGGTCAGCAGCTCCACGCGCACGTCGGCGTCGTAGGCCCCGCCGCCGCCGCCGCCGCCGCCGTGGCCGTTGGAGGAGGAGGAGCGTTCCACTACCGGGAGGTCGTATTCGATCACGGGGAAGGTGGACGCGGGCGGGCCTAGGGGGTCGCCGCGCTCGGACATGGAGCGCACGTCCTCGGGTGTTAGCTGGTGGCGCGGGCGGCGGGAGCGGATGCGGGCAATCTGCGAGCGTGAGAGGTCGACGGTCGGGCGGGCGGGGCCGACCCAGCCGGCGATGGAGTGGCAGGTCGGGGCGAGGACCTTGCCGACGATGGAAGCGGCAGTCCAGTAGGTGTAGCTGCTGCGGTACTGGAAGCCACAGTGCGGGTGCAGGTGGGTGAGCAGGGCGAGCTCGTCGGTGGCCGGGTCCGGGTCCATGTCGATGAGCGAGTTCATGATGAGGAACGGGAACGTCGCCCCGGGGAGCACGAGCCCGCTGAAGAAGGCCATGGCGTGCGAGCTGACGAGGTCGAGCGTCTGGTCGGCGTCGCGCCGCCGCAGCACATCCATCGTCGCCCCCAGGTTCGGCCACTTCATCATCTGGGCGAACCGCTTCAGCATCTTGACCTGCCGCCGCTTCAGCTTCAGCCGGAGCCGGACTTCGTCCCCCGTCTTGCCGTACTCCTCGATCCTGACGTAGTCGCGCCATCTCCGGGCCAGGCCGAGGCTCCACTGTATGGTCGGCGGGATCTGGAGGAGGAGCTTCTCCTTGGCCTCATCCAGGTGCTGGCGCGAATTGATCCGTAGGTCCAGCTCGATGCTCAGGAGGAGCTGGTGGAAGAACTTGACGTACGTCTTGTGGTTTGCCGGTTCGGTGTCGAAGATAGGCCTCGTGGCGATCTGGTTTCTAGGTTTGGTGTAGTCGATCCAGTCTCCCCGAGACAAGACGATTATTAAGTCTGTTATCTGCTTGTCCATGGACTTGTGCGGGCTGAACATCTTGTCCGGATCCCGGAGGAACCTGCGATACAGGTTCTTGTACATCAGCTCTTCGTCGTCGTCCTCCAGCCCCCTTTCCAGCTCCTTTATCCGCTGTAGGATCACATCCAGCTCCACCTCTCTCGGGGCAACGCCAAGATCGCGCAGGGCGATCGACGGTGGCACGACGCTCGACATAGAGACCCAGTGATTGAGGGTGATTGTCCCGGGGCGCTTGCCAAAGAAGAACGCGTAGCTCGGCTGCTCGAGGGTCTCCCATGGCTTGGCGGGCTGGCCAGAGCCGCCGAGAAGTCTCAAGGTCATGAGCTGGGTCATGGAGTCGTGCAGGTTCGCCGCATCGGTCTCCTCACCGCCATTTCCAGCCACGGTAGCAAAGAGGGCATAGTAGTGATCCGAGGCATGGGGTACGGGCCGCTTGTGGCCCCTGAAAGCGGGCACGCCGCTGGAGATGAGCTCCATGGCCTGTCCGAGGGACAGCTCCTCCCTGCTGGAGATGCCCGAGGGCGGCCACTCGGTGAGCGGGCCCGGCACGTACGGCCATCCGTCGGGCGCCTCGCGGCCCTTTCCCTTGACGGAACTAGGATCAGGACGCCGGGCCCTGCGCCGCGGGGTCGGAAGCGACTCCGGCTGGGTGGCGCCTGATCCCGGGCGGCCGAGCCTGTCGCCATCGCTGGCCCTGCGTAAACGCGGCTTTTCCTGTCATTCCCGTGTCAGTTTTGTTCACGTCTGCAGTGGGCCTTGGCGGATATTTGTCTCCTACCAACTTCCCGCTTTTGGTGGCCCAGCTCTTGGTGCGGAACAGGTCCCAGAAGCCCTTCTTCCTCTCGGGTTCATTCATCGCGAATAGCCACAGCGACTATGGTTCTCTCTTCTTCTTCAGGTTTGACATTTATGGTCTCTGGCAACCCCGGGCGCATTTCTACTCTTCAATAAGCCGAGCGGGAGAGGCAGAGAGGCAGAGAGGCAGCAGCAAGCAGCAGCGACAGGAGAAACGAGATGGGACGCGTCCGAGATGTGGCTGCGCAGGGCAGACTGAGACTGAGTGGCACCTGCCCGGTTCCCTCAACAAGTCGCGTTTCTGGGAAGGGATTTTGTTTTGGAATTTTCAACTACGTGCGTGTGAAATGAAAGCAGGAAAAACAAATTACTGTCGGCTTGGAGACTTACACAGTGAGTTCGGTCTCGAATCGTTTGGCAGCCTTGTTCGACCCTGTCGAGCTTGAAGTCGTGTCATGCAGGACACCGAGACATCCCACATGCCAGCAGTGCCACCAATGCACGACGGCTCCGAAACCCTTCCATGTTCACTTTGTCCAATCCAAGGCTACCTAGTATGCAGTATATATGCAGTGAATTTTCATTAACCCTTCCTTTTCTTAGGGTTTTTTTGGTCGAGTCTCTGAACCAAGTTCCACTTATACCTACCTACACCTACCTATAATTACTCGTAACTTGAAATTGACAATGAGATCGTCGCACTCCTGGTGCTGATGGTTGACTTATAAACTGGGAGTCAAACACACCTACATACATATATAGATTAGACTCCAATGCTTTCCCCCAAACCCCGTATCCCAAGCCAATGAGTAAATGCTGCAAACAACGAGCCTCGAAATGCCAAATTATACACACAAGCGCCCTTGCGCCCACTCTCATGGCGTCCGTTTCCTAACATTCAGATATCCAAGCAAACCACTTAAACCCTGAACCGCAGCTCCTCGACAACAAACGACGAGTTCCCGGACCAGTCATCATCACCGGCGCCCAAGCGCGCGAACGCTGCCCGATACTAATTCAAGGTCCATTGTCAGCACACACGACCGACATCATGATCGAACTCGGAAGAGACTCACCGCAAAGATAAAGTTCAAGACCAGGGCTAGCATCAACGCGACGGCAATGACGATGGGCCCGACGACGTTGTCGAAGTGCTTGCCGCTGCGCTGGACGATCATGGACCGCCGGGCCTGGTGCATGTGCATGGCCCAGGCGCCGGCGAACACGGCGATCAGGATGTACCCGATGCCCATGGCCTCGGCGAGGGTGTCCCTCCCGCCGGCGGTGTACAGGCTGATGGCCAGGCCGCCCAGGAGGATGCAGATGTGCTGCCACTTGAGGAACGTCCGCTCGTTGGCGAGCCACACCTTGGGCTCAATCTGCAGCGGGCCTGAGTTCTTGATCCACTCAGTCGGCTCCACTACCCCTTCCGGCAGCGCCGTCTCCCTCGACCTCTTGGCCCGCGCGTACTTGGTCAGGGAGAAGCCGCCGGGGATCACCGACGACACGGTCCCGTAGTTTGGCCGCTCGTCGCCGGCGTGTTCGCCTCCTCTTCCCTCCGCGGCGGCGGACGACGTGGGCTGCCCCGACCTGCCGATCGCGGATGCAGGCGTCGCTGCTGCGGCTCCTTGCGGCTCCGTGGCCCGCCTCTCGCTCATCAGCCGCTCGCTCAGGTAGGACTTGGCAACGGGCGAGCTCGTGGTCGGCACGAACGAGCTGACCTTGTTGCCCAGGAAGCTGCCCACGACCTGCTCGTTCTCGGCCCTCTGCGCGCGCCTCTGCTCCTCCTCCTCGAACGCGACCTGCGGGTCCTTGCGGATGTCCGTCTCGAGGTCGCTCAGCCAGAACGGCAGGATGTTGACGTAGTCCTCAAAGAGCGATGCGACGCCGTGGAGGAACTTTGAGAACCGCGGCGCCGGGTGCACGAGGTGCGACGCCATCAGGTCCGCCACCCAGCTGGGGCGCTTGCGGTTGGGGCCCTCCTTCAGCTTGATCTCCAGCGTGGCGTACGGGAACCGCGACACCTCGCTCTGGTTGATGTTCTTGAACGGGTAGGCCATGTTGCTGCTGTCAATGTCCGAGCGGTGCCAGTCCTTAGGGTCGCGGCACGGCCGGCTGCGATCGAGCGTGTCCTCCCGGATGAAGGCCACGTCCGTGTCTATCGCGATCCGGACGCGGTCGTCGCCGGGCTTCTGGAACGCCGACCGGGCGTAGTTTGCCCGCAGAACAGGCTCAAGCTCGTGCTCTCGCACGAATTCCTGCAGAGCCTCTGCCGTGGCCCTGAATGATTCCACCTCCTCCGCGCTCTGGCCCTGTCGCTCCATCTTCTGGATGGTCTTCTCCATCTTGTACTCGCCGTCCAGGAACGGCTTGACGTATTTTTCCTTGATGGTGATCTTCCGCTCCTCGCTGCTGCCGTTCTCGTTCAGGATCTTCTGCTCCAGAAATATCTCGGGCTTCTGGCTCAGCGGGCCGTACCACCTCAGCCGTAACGACGAGGCGGCGGCGTGGGCTTGTCGGTCCACCTTCTTCGAGTACAAGTCGAATTTCGAGTTGTCAAAGTAGATGGAGGTGAGGGCCGGGTCTTCGGACCCGTCGAGCTCCTTCGAGGACTGCTGGCTGTACACCAACGCCGGGAGCCGGCGGAGGATGAGCGTCTTCACCTCGATCAGGTTATCCAGGTGGACCCAGAACTTATAAGCCATGTATTTCTCGCCGTTGTGGGTGGCGGTGGCGCTATCGGGGTAGAGCTCGGCTATGTGGCCGTCGCCGGCCCCGTCCTCCTCGAGCTGCTGCCGGACAGCAAAGTACATGAGGGATAGCCTGTTGAGCAGCGGCGAGTAGCCCTGCTCCGAGTTGAACGGGCGCTTCGAAAGGTTGACCTGCATCATGGGCCGGATCTTGTATCTCTCGCCGCGCTTCCGATCGTGCTTCTTGACGATCTTCAGGAAACCCGTGTAATTGATGTTGCTGTACTTCTTGAGCTCCTTGACCGTGTTGGTGATGTCGTCCAGCTCCGCCTCGAGGGCCTTCAGCTGGTCCGCCGGCGGCACGTCGGCCTCGGTCTTGTCGCCGGCGGGCGTGAGGTTCTTCAGCGCCTCGAAGACGGCGTCGGCTCGCTCTCGTAACCGGCCGACCGTCTCTTCCTGGAAGCGGCATACCTTCTCGAGCTGCGTGTTGAAGACCTCGTCGCAGAAGCGGTTCTCATCGTCCTCGGTCCACGGCACATCGTCATCCTGGAACTTGCCCTCCCGAAGCATGCCCTTGAGCTTGCCATAGTCGATGTACTTGTCTTTCCATGGCGGGTAGACGGACTCGACGAGCGTCTGGCCAAATCGCATGTCGGTCTGCTTTGAGTGCTTGGTTTGTCAATTGGTGTCAATTGGGAACACGCCGACGGCAACAAGGGTTGGAATTGATGTGAAACCGAGATCGAGAGCCCTGGGAATGGCCACAGAGCAGGAATATACCTCGCAAAATGTTCCCAAGAGGTGGGGATGAAGTCTGAACTTATTAGCACATGCATGCAGATGTACAGCTCCCCCAATCTACACTACGACCCCACGTGCTTGCTATAGCTAAGTTAAGTGGTCAGCACAACATCCCGGCTAATAAACTGGAGCTGTTCTTGCATGTAGACAACCCCTCTATCCTTTATGTCATAGTGGTGACAGGAGCTATTATTACCTACATGAGGGCTTCTGCAGGGTCTGCGGGCATAAAACCATTGGATGGCGGTTGCATCCCACTTTGAGTTACATATTTTCCTGTACTTCGTTCCGCTTGAACTCATTCCAAACCCCATTAAAAACTAGACGCCAATCAATGCCGACGATGGTCTGAGAACCATTCCTGGTCTCATCCATCGCTACAGGGTAGAACTTCTGGGGTATCATAGAGGGTAGTCAATCGCTAGAGAAAATGAAACGGGGGGATCAATAATTCAATAAACCCGAGGGCTCTCCAAGAGAGTCGACGCGGTCGGGGTCGTGACCGCCGAGCCGACTTCGGCGTGCGGGTTGCGCTCCCTCCTCCTGACGGCCATCTTCCTCCTCAGCGTCGCCCAGTCTGACTTCCAGTTCTCTATGCTCTGCTGCAGCTCCGGGTCCGCCCCCTCGGGCACGTACTCGTAGCACATGACCTCCAGCGCCCTGAGTCGCAGCTGTAGATGGCGGAGCTCGGATTCGTTATCGTCGACCTCGTCCGTACTATGATGGGGCCAGTTAAGCACGGAACAAGCCAGACGGCCCCCTTCAGAGCTCCCATAGGGCGAGATGCCCGACGGGGACGCTTCAACAAAACTTACAGTTTGGTCATGTCCTCTTCCAGTTTCAGGATTCGCTTGGCGGCGCCTTCTGCTCGTTCAATGAGCATCTCTGATAAATGCTGTTGGGACTGATTAGCCACTCGGATCCACCACAAGGCCAAAAATAGGGGACAAAAGGCTAGTCTTGCCTCTGATTCCTCCCGCCGGGCCTGCAGGCTTGAGAGGGCCGAGGTCAAATCGGCGCAGAGTCTTTGGGCTTCAACAGCAAGACGGTCCGCAACTTCGGTCGAGGGTTTGGCGCCAGCCCCGGCGCGGTTATCGGATGACGGAACGGCGATCGGGCCTTCCGCAGCCGTGCCGGACTCAACCATCTCAGGGAAGCGCGGGGCAAGCCAATCAGGAGTAGCCGGTGTCCAGAGATCATGTTGCTGATGCTCAGATAGCTGGGAAGGACCAAGTAGGAAACTTCCTCGTCCTGGCAACGGTGGGCGTCGGGGTCTTCTAGGCCGGGATGCTCGACCGTCGCTAGTGAGTATGTCTTCCATATCGCCAACTTTGGCGTGTAGAGAGTCAATGCTGGCCTCCTGAATGGCCCCGCCACCAGACAGTCGCTGCACCAAGTCATTCAGCCGGTCTAGAAGGACATCCTTGCGATCCTGTGTGAGGCTGTCTAGTTCGGAACTCGGGTTCTCCCCCAGCGAATCCTCGTCGTCGCTCAGCTCACCGCCCGCATCACTATTGCCATTCCTAGAGAAGGCCGGAGGGAAGTTCACGGCCAGGTGGGAAGATAGCTGTCTCCGCAGAGGGGAGAGGTGTGAGGATCCGAGACCGAAATGGTAAAGACTCATAGGCGAAGGTAGGGTTGGTGATGACATGGGAGAATACGCAAGCGGCACCTGGTCCACTTGGTCCACCTGCAGCTCAGGAGTCTGAGGACGACTGCCGTACCGTTGTGTTGCGCCGACGATATCGGGCTCAATTTCGTAGTCCGGGGATACTGGTGATGCGGGCTGCGACCGGGGCGAGGACGACGCCGTCGCCGGCCCTAGTGCCGGCATCATGGAAAGCCAATAGAGGGAATGGAGGAGCAGGTGTGGCTCTAAAGTCGCTTATTCGAGCCGTCAATCGGGCAACCAATTCCAAGAAATATGCCGGGTTGATGATGCCTGAGGTGAGTGGGCAATTTGACCTCAGCATACTTGTTCCATACGCATTTGAACAGAGCAAGGATTATATTCTTAGATGCGATTACAGGGTATATTCGGCACCAGGGTAATTAGAGGACAGTGACTAACTCGTGCTACAAGTTAGCGAACTACGAAGTACACATCGACATTCTGACGCATCTATTTCACCGCATAAGTCAAGTTCAACCAAGTCAGCCCTCCTTGCCCTCTTACTTGACTTGGCCCTTATCCAACTTGCCAGACGACGATGATGCGCCCTGCTAGGGTAGTCGTGATCTAAACTGCGTTGGTGTTTTCACTGATACGGCCAAGCAGCACAGAAACAATGCCCATTCCTTACCTAGGTCGTCCATGCTCTCAAGCGAAGCATCCAAGTTCTCAGGTCTTCATGATAAAATTTCACAAGCAATCTTGTCCTCACTGCCGGTTCTTGGCTACCTCTAATACCTCAAGGAGGATTGTGGCGCGACCAGCATAGAGAATGAGGCTTGACGAATGAGGCTGGTGGGCAGCACTGATAGCCCCGACCCTTTCCGATGGACCGAGACTCTCGGGAATTGCATGAGTGACCGAAGTTCCCCTCTTTTTTGTTTATTCACATGCGACAGGCCCCCCACTTTGTCTCTTGACGAGGGTTGCGCCTCTCCGTCCTACCTTGGGCGAAAAGGTAGCTGGTGTGAGTTTTATAGAAGCCGCAAATCTTGGCTTGAAGATCCAATGTTCCCCCGAGAAGATGTGACCTCTTGGCAATCCGCGGATGGAGGGGGGGGAAAACTGGTAATATTTGCTGCCGAACTGGATGATGGTACTTGTACAAGTCAATGGGAATGTGGGGTAGTGCTGCATTCGGCTCTGCTTTAGCATCGAGGGGCAGGGCGAGCTTGTAACTTAGCGCCACTTCTGACAAGAGTCACAACCGCTGCTCCGGAAAAGCACATGAGCATTCTCACAGCACTCCGTCACCTCTCTCTATTACTCTATCCCTAGTTCCTAGTCTCATTGTAGAGCAAGGCGGTCATTTTTTGCACCCGGCTGGCAATATTTTTCGACGAGATCATATTATAGCACTCGAACAAGCTTGGTTTCCCCTCTTAGTTTTGTTCCTTTGCGTCATTGCTCCTGCTATCCGCCCGCTTGCCTCGGCTATAGCCCGTTGCTCTAAGCCTCGAACCCGGGCGCCCGACTCGATATACGGAACCTAGTCGCCCCGTCTTGTTCACCTCGAATACCTACCCATACGCCCCTCCATGGTGCACCAAGCTCAGACGGCATTTAGCTCTCCTGGACAAGCTGGCCACACCACACCTGAGCCACGGAGATGTCGTGGAAGAAGTCCGAGATGTTGATGGACACTATCCGGCACTATGCCAGCTTCCCTGCAACGGGCGTGAGCTTGAGGCAAATGGTCCAATTCGGCGAGAAGCCGTCTACGGGTGAGAATTGGCCTTCTTATATTGCCGGGCCCCTTGGAAGTACCAACGTTGCTGACCACGCCACCGGTGTCAAACAGGTTCCCTCTTCCGAGCCTCACAGTTTCTGGCCGAGGAACTACCCATCCGTCTAGCCCACCGGGTCCAGGAACTAGATAGCCTACCCGATGGACTCAATGAGATGCCGTCTGTGAAGAGGGTGCTCGACTGGTACGCACAATCGTTTGAGGTATGTTGAGGACCGCCACTTATATCCGTTTTGACCGGAGATGACTCACCGGGTTGTCGCAATCAGGAAATCACCACTCTTCCGCGCCCAGAACTGAAGAAAGACGTACGGGAACGACTGATGCGACCCTCGAGGAACGGGGGAAAAAATGCCGCGTGGCTCTCAGAAGCAACGCCGAACCCGAGCATCGACGAAACACAATATAACCCGTGGCCAATGGTGTCGCAGAACGGAAACGGCAATGGGTGGGCTAAGAAGTACCAGGGAGCGAGGAGATACTTTGCAATGGTTGACGACACTGGAAACTGGCCACCCGAGCTACAGCTATATAACCAGAGGTTCGCTCAGACCCTACATAAGATCAAGAGGAGGCACGATGGCGTCGTCACAACCATGGCACAGGGCATCCTGGAGTACAAGCGGAAGAGGCAACGGATGCAGATCGACAGCAACATCCAGTCGTTCCTGGACCGCTTCTACATGTCTCGGATTGGCATCCGCATGTTGATAGGCCAGCACATCGCCCTGACCGACCAGAGCCACTACCGGGATCCCAGCTACGTCGGCATCATTTGCACCAAGACGAACGTCCGAGACCTGGCCCAGGAAGCCATCGAGAATGCCCGCTTCGTCTGCGAGGACCACTACGGCCTGTTCGAGGCCCCCAAGGTCCAGTTGGTGTGCAACCCGAGCCTGAACTTTATGTACGTGCCGGGCCACCTCTCGCACATGCTCTTCGAGACGTTGAAGAACTCGCTCCGGGCGGTGGTGGAGACGCACGGGCAGGATAAGGAGGAGTTCCCCGTCACCAAAGTCATAGTGGCCGAAGGGAAGGAGGACATCACCATCAAGATCTCGGACGAGGGCGGCGGGATACCGCGGAGCGCCATCCCGCTCATATGGACTTATATGTACACGACCGTCGACAGGACCCCGAATCTGGACCCGGATTTCGACAAGAGCGATTTCAAGGCGCCCATGGCCGGTTTTGGATACGGACTGCCCATCTCTCGCCTATACGCCAGGTATTTCGGGGGTGACCTCAAGCTGATAAGCATGGAAGGGTAAGATTATGTTATGTCACATTCACTCTGGCGCGTCCCATAGAGCATAGCACTGACAAAACCCTTCCCCCCTCTCCTGCAGATACGGCACCGACGTCTACCTCCACCTCAACAGACTCTCGAGCTCTTCCGAACCCCTCCAATAGCAATTAGCAGTCATGAGGGGCACGACCACCCGAGGATTGACGCTGACGATGAAACACAAGCGGTTAAAGGGCAGGGAGGTCACCGAGCGGAGGCAGGTCGGCGACGCCGAGTCCTTGGTCAACCCGCAGGGGGTCGCCGGGTCGGTGCGCTCCCCTGGAGGCGATAGCGAGTTGTAAGAAGAAGAAGCGAAGATGAACAAAAAGCGGAAAGGTTGGGGGAGCGGGATGGGGACGGGTTGTTCATATGGATCTCTCGTTTTTACTTATTTTCTCCTCTTTTTTTGGGAAAGCATTCAAACGCATGGGGCGGACAGGGTCGGATTTGGGCGGCTTTTTTATTATCGTCTGTCGCCCCCTTTTGGACACGGTCAAATGGAAAGGTGGATAGGAGAGCAACCTCATTCATATGGGATGGGCCTTTGGGCAGTTGGGTAGTTGATAGGGGACCCATCTGGCCTCGTCACAACCTACATTTGCACCCCAGGGACTTGTCGCATAATATTGTAAATAGTAGAGGGCTAGACAGAATTGTCTTATTCATACCTAAAGGTACCGAATGCTTCTCTTATCGAGAAAACTGCATGTGACAGACTCAATTCCATTACTCCCCATCAATGCCATCTATGTGTACAGCCTGGAAAAATGCAGGGTTAGGAGGGCTAGAGGGGCTTCTCGATGCCGCCCTTCTTAATGAACGCCTCCCAGTCTTCGAAACCGCGCGTCATCCCAATCTGGGCAGTCTCAACCCAATACATTTCCACCCCCAAACCCTTCCCGCCAACACACACAAACACACAGACACTCATCAGATCAGGCCTTGTACAGCAAATCCAAGAACCCAGTAGCCAGATCAACAACGACGGCCTTGTTAGGCAAGCTCCCGGCTACGCCGTACAGCGCAGCTGCGTCGCCGCCCGCGGGACCCTTTGCGCCCTTGCCCTCGACGGCGCGCACGCGCTCCTTCTCGCGCTCGGCCTCGACGACGGCCTCGAGGTCTGCGGCGAGGCGCTCCCACACCTTCACGAGCGGCCTCGTGATAGCCACGTGGATGGCCGGCGGGTTCTGCAGCGCGTTGAGGTGCCACCCCTTGGCCGACATTCCGTCGGCGATGTCGTAGACGTCCAGGTTCCGGGCCCGGAAGGCCACGACGCTGACGAGGGGCCGGCCCAGGATCTCGAGCTCGGCGGCCAGCGTCGGCGAGTCGCGGATCCGGTCGGCGAGCTTCTTGGTGGCGCCCACGATCTGCTCGCAGCTGTCCACGTAGCCGGCCTCGCCGACGCTCATCATGCTTGCCCAGCAGCCCGCGATGAGGGCGCCCGGCCGGCTGCCGGCTATGCCGGGCGACGCGTACACGCCGCCGCTCCAGCTGGGGTCGACGAAGTACTGGTAGGTGCGCAGCTCCGCAGTGCGGTAGAGGACGGTACTGTTGCCCTTGGGCGCGAAGCCGTACTTGTGCGTGTCGCACGAGATGCTGGTGACGCCCTTGACGCGGAAGTCAAACGGCTCCGTCTCGAAGCCTGCCTTTTCGAGGAAAGGCACCAGGAATGACCCCAGGCAGCAGTCGACGTGCAATGGTAGACGGCGCTTGAGCGCAAGCTTCGAGAGCGCCGAGATATCATCGATGATACCGTGTGGGAAGTTCGGGGCCGACCCTACAAGAAGGATCGTGTTGCTATTGATGAGGCGAGATACGCGGCGCACGTCAACCTGGTAGGTCGGGGCGGGACAGGATACGAGATGGATCTTGATGTTGAAGTATTCTCCAGCTTTCCTAAAGGCCGTGTGTGCCGTTTCGGGCAGAATCCTACGATAGATCATGAGCTTGAAAGGCCGACTACTTGGGCGGGGTCACACTCAAGGACAGGCAGGACACTTACATTTCTGGTTCGGTGACGCCCCGTTCGACATATGCCTTCTGCCTTGCGCTCAGGCACGCCATCAATATGCTCTCGGTGCCGCCACTTGTGCTCACGCCTGCCGCCCCCTGCGGCGCATTATAGAGGTTCAGCACCATGGCGACAACCTCGGCCTCCATCTTGCGCACGCCGGGGAAGACGTCCGGATGGATGGGGTTGGCGACCGTGAACTTCCCATATGCCTCCGTCTGCAGCTTGAGCAGCTCGTCCTCGCCGTGGTAGACGGCGCCGCTGACGTAGCCGTCCTCCCACCGAGTGTGGTCCATGTTCGCCAGGGTCTCGAGTTCCTTCCGGACGGCGTCGTCGGTCCAGCCCTCCTTCGGCAGGGTTAGATACCTCGTCGTGTTGGCAGGTACCAACTTGGTCTGCATCTTGCCGAGCGCCTCATCGACCTGCTTTCGCACTCGGGAGCGCACCCCAGGTGCCCGCAGGAAGTAGCCGTACAAGACTCGGCGGACATCGGTGTATAGCTCGACGATCGTTCCCAAGAGGCCCCGTCCCTTCAGTTTCCACAGCACCCGTCGAGTCCATCGCAGAACAAAGAGGAAAAAGACGATCTGGCGAAGCCTGTAGACAGTCCACTATCAGCAATCGGCACGAAAACAGCTGCTTTGCGCATGATCCGCAGCCAGCGGCGAGGCTCCCATGGGTCGGGTCTTTCGACAATGCCTCCTTTCTCTGGGTGCGGCAAAATTGCCGAGGTTGTCATGGATGGATATGGAGCAGCTCAACTTACAGATCCAAGTTCAGCACGGCCAACGGGTTTCTCGGCCGAGCTTTCTTGACACTGTTGAAGCTCTCTCTCAAGCTGATGGGCATGCGAGAGGTGCCCGGCATTTTTGCAGATAATATGGGGGCCCAGGACGAGCTACCCAGTCAAGTTGCCATGGAGAGACGTTGTTCGAAGGTCGAGAACCAAGAGGCGTACCTTGGTAGTAGCTACGGTACCTTCGAAGGTTGAGGGAGGGGCGTGGCGGCCCTTTTCTTTTCGTCCGAGGCTCCCGCTAACCCCCCGGTCCATTCCTCGAGCATGTGGCAAGCGCCTTCCGTCACCGTGCATTGTCACTATCCGAAACTGGAAATAAGCACCCACATGAAGCTCCCTATGGACCTGGGAATGTACCTGTCCGGTAGGAACCAGCAGCCCGAAACTTACGGAGCAATCATGGAAGTCACAGCTGCGCAACGAGACCTGGACAAGACTGAGAGGGCCTGAAATATAAAATGGAGGCACCGTGGCCACCACCTCCTAGCTACCTAATGCGTATACGTATGAACGAGAAGCGGAATTAGATCCCCCATTTGCCCCACCTCTCCGATCCACGGATTGGGATCTCCCACATGAAAACAGAGCCAGAACGCCGGTACTTAACTCTTCCAGTTAAAGCCCTTATGGAACGCCCTCTAAATGATTTCCCAGTTCCTGATGCACAGATTAAACCGCTCCCGCTTGTCAGGACTCGCTGAATGCCGACCGCCATTGTTGTGTGAATCGCTCTGCTTCAGTCTCACAGACCTTGGTGCTGGTCTTGCCACAGTCATGAAAGCGCACGGCAAAGTCACCAGGCTTGTATTCATGTCCAAAGCCAGGCTTGTTGTAGGAATTGATGGTGCCCTGTGGTACGAGGGCAAGCTTTGACAATATAGTCGGGTGCCATTGGACGATGTGTTCCTTGGAGAATATTAGCCACCGGTCCACAGAAGCAGTCGTTTGTAAATGATAGCAGGTATCTGCCACTCACCAAGGCGTGTGCCTCAGCCTTCTGGAAGTTGTAGCTCCGGTAGATGGGGTCAAACCATGTCTCGAGGAAGAACCTAGCCCACTCGCCATTCCGTACCAGGAAACTGCCGGCCGACAGGCCTTCAGTATCCTGTGTGAGGACAAAATCCACATCTTGGCCCTTGAGATGAGTAAAGGTCCGGATGATGCTGTCTGGTGGGACAATTGGCTGGTCCTTAATCATCAATGACTCCAACCGCGACGCCTTCATCACATGTTCCTCCACCGTAAGCTGCGGGTTCATGATGAACGAGTTCTGATCCAGGAACCAAATGTATGAGCAGTCCGGGAACCTGGTTATTGTGTCTCGCATAGCCACCACTTTGGTCCACGAGAAGGGCGAGCCCTTGAGGTCGTAGTCGCCGATCTTTGGGAAGAAGGTCTCGTAACCTGTAGTTGGGGATTAATTTCCAGTTTTGGCTTGTCATGGTAAAAAACCTGGGCTTGCATACCGTGCTTTGCGGCATACTGTATCCTATTCTCCTTTATCTCGTCGAGATACGCTTTACTGTAGTGGGATTGGTCGAGCACCGTCACCAGCACAGCGGGTGGCTTTCCTGAAGGCACGTACTCCTTTCGTGCAGCATGGCCTCTACCAGGCCGTATAATGAGGTATAGGAAGGTGACAAAGGCGAGCCCGGCAAGGGCAAGCACCTTCATGCGCCTCCTCCTCAGAGCGGCCCATTTTGTCGAGTGCGGGACAAAGCTCGGAGGAGTCGAGTTTTTGCGAGGAGGGTATGCGAAATGCATTTTCTGGTGTGATTGCCCCGAGGTAAATCGCCTGGGGCTTGCAGAGTAACAGTCAAGTGGGTGGGAACCGTGGGAACCGTAGGATCGGTATGTCGGTATGTCGATGAAGGATCTTTGGTCGAGGCAAAATGGCTTGTAGAACGTGGGAATATCGGAATAAGTTCGAGATTTGACACTTGGCGAAAGTGCCCTGGCGGATGGATAGCTTCTTGGAACGAACAATAAGTTAGGAACCCACTGAGGAGCACTGCAATACACAAGGACGAGGTTGCCCAATACCTCAACCAAGGCCATGCACAATGTAAGCCTCCTAAAATATTGTCTTGGATCTTCTAGATCTGCTGGATCTCATATTGGGTTTTCAGATCCCTGCGCCACACCCAATCCAAGGCTGGATATTGGCGGCTGGTGGCGGCTGCCGGCGATTGCTGAGCTGAGGTTCGTGCACCTCAAACCTCCTTCAATGTCCTGGAAATTGGAATAGCTTCACCTGTCCCAGCAATGGCGGGTGACAGCGTGCAGTATTACTGCATCAAGGAACCCTGTTGTAGGCTGTGTCAGTTCCAGCTTGAGGATGGAGAATTTGTGGTCGCAGGTACGTCATTATACTTGTAATTCATGCGATAGAAGTGTGCTCATCTTGCTTCTAGCGATTGAGGACGACCATGTATCCGCTTCATTTTCTTTCCGTCGCCATGATAGGTTTGAAGATGACGAGGAAGCGATCACGTTTCATATGTGCTGCGAGAGTGCCTGTATAAAGGGAGAGTGCCGAGTGCATTGCTTTCACGACGCCTGCTATCGCTTCAAGCTCTTTCTGATAACCTCAAAATACCTCGCTGCCACCGAGTATAGTTTCAGCCTGCCTGTCCGTGATGGGTTGAAAAGGCGAGGTCGCATCCAGCGCACATTTGCCAAGAAACTGAAGCTTGCTTTCTTGAACCAGCTGCCCCAAGAGATCTGCCATATGGTGGCAGGATACCTGGTTCGGGAATGCGCCATTGTCACTTCTCAGGAGCTTGCCTTAGACGTTAGTGCGTTTAATTCTCTAGTCGACCTTTCCCATGATGTCTATGCGCAATATGTGAGGATTGAGGGCGTTCTGTATCTTCGGTCTCTGCACAACAAGTCGTTTTCTGAAGGCAAGGGGGAAAATGTGAGAGTCTTTAAGGCTTGTTCAAGGCGTCCTATTCGAAATATCTATATCAGATATGATTATATTGGCGTTGGACATATTGTTTTGTTTTGCCACAGGGTGACTTCGATGGTTGCGGAGTATGGTGGACAGAACTGTCTCAAGAAGGCGGCATTCTACAAGTCGCTACACAAACAGATGTAAGTCTATTCTAGCTCTATCTCTGACGTCCACTTACATGTCCTAGAGCTTGAAAGTTCGACGTCTTCTGGATCCTACAGACTCCACATCCAAATGTGACAGTACTGCCACTCCTCCTGGTTGGCCGACACCTGGGCTGGCCTGCAGGGTGATATACCTCGAGACATGCAAGATCGCTCGAGGAGAAATCAACGGCCTGCGGATGAGCTTCTTCGATTGCAACAGGCCAGGTACAGAAGGTTACTCTGCCGCCATCTGTGGATTCCATCTATCGAAACTGTATGCGCATCACTCTGCCACTTGTACACGTTTCTACGAGGAACTGGACACTGTCTGTAGTGACATGCTATGGGTCTATATGCCGATCGACCAGGATGAATACTTGAAGGAGGTTTGGGTTATCCGGCACCCAGGTGCTGGGTTTCTAGCGTTAATGGTAAGGCTAAACAGTGTCTCCCATCAGAGCTTTGGTTCTAACATGGTTCCTTTAGCTCTGGACTAGCTTGGGACGAGCGGTCATCTTCGGAACCTACATTGTCAATCCTGAGCTCCAGTTCCATCGCATCTATGCTACAACCAACCACCCATCGCGGATATACTTCAACGAGTGGGATCCTAACCGCGACGATATGCGGATCAAGTTCTTGGGAATTGACACCAACAATGAGACAGGCATCGCTGCGCCTCAAGGCGAAAAGCACCGTCGAAGTCAATATCCACCCTCACTTATCCCAACCCTGGCACCACCTTATACGCAGTACAATGAACTCTGGTACTACACTAACTGCCGCATGGAGAAAGTCACAGAAATCACTTGCTGCGTTAACAAGACCGCTATGCACAAACCTATCATTGGACTGCTACTAGGTTATAAAAACGGCCGTCGATCGTGTGTAGGACAGTATCGCGTGGACTGGGCGATTGCCTCTTTCAAGGTCGATCCGGTGGGGAAACTAAAGATAGGGATGGGCAAGACAGTAAAACGGTTGCCATATGTTGCAGAGGTCGGCGCACAATGTCGGACTGGCTCTGACTCACGACGCTGGATTGAGATTCCCTGGCAAGGAAGACTTGAATGGTGGTTTTCACCACGACAGTGTGAATTACGCCACTTCGACTGAAGTATTAATAGAGCTCTACATATTCTCCCGTTTGTATCAGGCTTGCCATGCAGCAACTCCGTTACGGAACCCCAACGGGCATGGAGAAGAGCAAAATCGGCGCGGTTCAAGAACCACATATTCCGGCAGATTGACGCCCTCGCACCGGGCCCTGACGGAAAGCAGAACAAAACGTTCACTCTCCAGGGCAGTGCTCGGTCTTGATCTTTGCACGCAGACTAGTTGACACAACGCGGGAGCGAGAGTCGTGGCAACTTAAGAGTGTGCAGGTAAATGCTTCTCGTTTCACCGATCATGAAGTGGGACAGCATGGGACAGCACCAGATGGAGACCGCCAAGATAATATGGGATGTCTTGTTTGCCTCCGATGAGAGGCACAAGGCATAACGAGCAAAACATACACTCGACTCAAATGTCTTTCCTCGACTCTTCAGCCGGTTGAGAAGAGTCTTGAACGCCATCATCTTCACCATTACCGTCGTCATCTTCATCATCATCTGGATCGTCCCCTTGAACGTCGGTGACCTTCTCGCTTACCGACTCAAGCACCCGCGAACTGAGGTGGCTGACCAACTTCCACGTAGCCTAAACAGCAGTTAGTATCCGAGGTTGAAGCTAGGAGAGCGGGTATCGACACTTACGCCCATAAAAGTAATCAGACCGATGATGATCAAAGCCCAGTTGATACTTTCAAGACGATCACGCCCCCTTCCACCGCGCCGGCCGCCGCCACCACCAAACGCTCCACCATGACGGAAGTTAAGCCAATGCCAAGGCGACATTGCGAGAAAGCTCTTTATGAAGCCGAGAAGGCCCAGAGAGAACAATCCTTTCATAAAGTGGTAAGCCCAGGTCGCGGGCTCGTCATTCTTCAACTCCTCCCGCAGCCCTTCAACATCCGTGACAACGTCTGCGATGGTATCGGCAATGCTCCCCAGAGGATCAATCCACAGGTTGATGATGGGATCGGCGATGAAGCCGAGCAAAAAGATGCTAGTCAGCATGACGAGGAAGGTGAGGGCAGCCCTCGTCCAATGGCTCGACAGCCAGTGGCCCCATCTCAGTCGTTCCAGACGGTACTCAAACTGGCAGGTCGGGCATCGCCAGAAGTTCCTGTCCGACAGGGGCGCGGCTTGTCTCCAGGCCTGGAGGCATCCTTCGTGGACATACTTCTGCGAGCCTTTGCATCTGCAGGGGCAGATGAGGCGTCCAAGTTCGGGATCTTCGGAGACGTACTTCACGCGGACCTTGGATGCAAAGATCCGGGCTGCCGAATCGTCAATCTCGGTCGTCGGCTGGACTACTTCCAAGCAGATCCGGCAGGTCCGAGGCTTGTAGTGACGCTGCCGTGGATGAGCTTGACGCTGCCGTGGGAGGTTCGGCTCCGGGCCTTGGGCCGCTTCATGGCGGGTTTCGGCAGAGCTGGATGCTCCGGTAGTGCCACTTGTTTGTTCAGCATTCATACCAGCAGGCCATGACCACTGCGGCTGCTCAGCAGAGGAATATGGATCCATGGTTTCCGGTTCAGTTATTGCGAGAGTGTAGGCCGAAGATTGGTTATGCAACACGCGTCGGAAGGCCGGAGGAAATAAGAGAAAGATGCGGACGCCAAGTGTCCAATCTAACCAGCTCTATCCAGCACCATAGCACCTCAGGCGACGAGCTTCGCCCAATCAAGGCTGAGGAGTCACCTGCTCATGTCATTGAGGTAAAGCTTGGAGAGTACCACGCCGCACTGTTGTCTCTGGGAGCAGGCAGTACGACAAAGTGCAACTTAACTGTCCAGGCAGATGAATCCAGAGCTTGAGAAAGTTATAACCTAGAAATGTTTACCCAATCTAAGGTCCACCCATCCTGATCGGCTGTGGGAAATCCCAAATTCCGGTTAGGCCCACCCGCCCACCTTCCTCTGACCGCCCTGCCCTTTTAGAGGTAGCTTAGTTGGCCCGAGCTTTGCTACGGCTAGGCAGGAGAGCTAGACGCGCAAGTTCAACAGGCGGCTGGAGCTTTGGAAACACCATCATCCCCAGCACCTCTCACCTTCACCACTCACCTCTTTCCGCGGCCAAAAACGACACGATTCCTACACATTTCGCCATTTAATCTGACCAGAGCACCTCCTCGCTTCTGGAATTATGGCGGACAGATACTCTTTCTCTCTCACGACATTCTCGCCCAGGTTTGTTGGACATCTGGACAGCATTACCCTGCAATTTGACTGACTGTTTATATAGCGGCAAGCTTGTACAGATTGGTAAGCCCGGTGTCTTCTAGAATCTGCAGTCACTCTGCGGAGCCTCTGCGGAGTACGGCAGCCTTTTCACGAGAGGTAGATAGCTAACCACAGCACTTGCAGAGTATGCCCTCAATGCCGTCAACCAAGGCGTGACGGCCCTTGGTATCAAAGGCAAGCCATTTCTGCCCGTTCCCTCACAACAGATAATGAGGGCGGTACTGACAGGCCCTAAGCTACCAATGGCATTGTACTGGCTACCGAGAAGAAGTCGTCGTCGCCCCTCGCCGACCCGACGTCCTTGTCCAAGATCAGCCTGATCACTCCCGACATCGGCATGGTATACTCGGGCATGGGACCGGACTACAGAGTTCTGGTAGACCGGGCACGGAAAGTCTCGCACACCGGCTACAAGCGTATCTACAACGAGTACCCGCCAACAAGGATACTGGTGCAGGATGTTGCGAGGGTGATGCAGGAGGCCACGCAGTCCGGCGGTGTCCGGCCTTACGGGGTCAGCTTGCTGATTGCTGGCTGGGACGAGGGCATTCTGCCGGAGGAAGAGGAGAAGGATATCCAGACCGATGAGGGGGAGAATAAGAAGCTGAGCGGAAAGACGGGCGGCATTCTCAAGGGCGGACCCATGCTCTACCAAGTCGACCCGTCAGGGAGCTACTTCCCGTGGAAGGCCACGGCCATTGGAAAGAGTGCGACGACGGCTAAGACTTTCCTGGAGAAGAGGTACACCGAGGGGCTAGAGCTCGAGGATGCCGTCCATATCGCGCTCCTGACCCTGAAGGAGACCATCGAAGGGGAGATGAGTGGAGATACCATTGAGATCGGTAAGTTGGCGGGAAGCCCACGCTGAGAAATGTCGTGATTGCTAATTTCGCCCAGGTATTGTTGGACCCCCGGCGGACCATCTTTTGGGTGTCGAAGGCGTCGAGGGTGCGAGAGGGCCGCGTTTCCGGAAGCTCACACCCCAGGAGATCGAAGATTACCTGACTAACCTGTGAGGAGTTGTTGGGGTGCATTCTATTCCAGCCGCCTTTTTCGCACCTGTACAATAGAAATGGATTGAGAGGCTCCTGGGAGCGAATGAGATTGGAGGTTAAAAAATCATGCTTATTTTGGGCAAAGACGGGACATGTTTCTTTTCTCGATCGCGGGGCCCTCGGCTCTGCCCTGGTCCATCTCTCAGCCTTTTCCTCATCTCTATCCGTACCGAGCTGCACATCTATCCCACTGCAGTCAACCGATATGTCTCCTCTAAGAGTCTGCCATGCCACCCCCTTGGCCACCCCATCACCATGCGTAGCAAATCGACTCTGCAAACCCGTCACAACGTTGCTGGGTCACAAACCGCCAGACTCTACGCTCTCCCCACTAGTTCGAACTCGAACACCTGCAAAATCCTCGGAAGGGCCAACGTAGCGGCAATGTAAGTGAGATTCGACGTTGTTATCAGATCATAACAGCCTTGTGCAGTACCGAGATACATCCCCACCTGGCAAGGATTTACCGGCCTGTTGGCACCTGCTATGCACTGATCCCTTGCATGCATAGTAAATTGCGTCCCTTGAACAAGCCATCTGCCGGAAGATATATTGTACGATGGATAATATTGGAGAGAAGAGAATGGAATGACAGAAATGAGAGGAGAGCAACCGACACAGGGCCAGATTCTATGGTAGTGAGTGCCCCTATTGCATCTCCTGTCGGGACCTACCTCGTCATGTAGAGGTAGCTAAGGTAGCCAGTCTCTTGCTTCCACTTGTGTGAGGCAGGAACTCGATACTCAAGTGCGCAAAATATGTGGATCAATGGATGGATTCAGCCAGGAAGGAATCCGTGATTTCTTCTTGATCTGAAAATCTCGAGTGACTGTGCTCTTACTGCCTCTGGATTTCATAGGTACGCGTTATGAATGATCAAATCAACCGCCACGATGTCGGAGGCCCACCTCGATGTGGGAGCTGCCTGCAGCCTTGCGTCGAAAGTTTGCCCAACAGGAGCAAACTTTGCCGCTTGTCGAGGCCAGGATAAAGAAGCTCATCAACCTTATCAGAAGTGTCTGGCCATCTTTCCATGTTTCCTGTGTTTTCCCCCATTGCATTGCATTTCTCCTGCCGCCCGATTATATCATCAACTACCCATTGCGCGTTGTCGACGTTTCCTACGTGGACGGGCCGCGTAAGACCCCAAGTCGACTCACGCCAGCTAGCAAGTCGAGCCTGAGCCGCGCAACAGCTCCAATACCCCTCTCCCGTCATCGCTGTGTGTGATTCACCGCCGTGTTGCTCTTCGGCCGTAGCTCGTCAAGTGACGAGGATGGTCTATTGCAATGATTCAACCCCGTCAGAGTCGGGTGAGGAGCCGATCCCGGATGATGGATACCACCCGGGGCTCTTGGCTCCTCCTGTTGAAGAGCAGCTCTCCGCGGCCAGTCCTGAGGGCACATCTGACAGGAGTCTGTCTCCCGACGAAACGCAACATCCTGCCGCCATGTCTACCAGGGCGTATCAGCAGGAGATGCTCGAGGAGAGCCTGAAGCGGAATATCATCATTGCAGTAAGTGGGAGCCCACATATTGACGCCCTTCAGCTCCCCTGACACCAGACCGCAGATGGACACCGGAAGCGGCAAGACTCAAGTGTAAGACCCACGACATTTGCTCCATGTCATTGATCCGATCCCGTGTAGTGTAGCGTCAAACTGACCCATATCCAGCGCCGTGCTGCGCATCCAAACAGAGCTCGAGCGCAATCACAAGGTCTGTCCGGCCTGCCCACCACTGCTGGAACCTGCGACTGATGTTTGAGGGCAGCGTGTTTGGTTCTTGGCGCCGACTGTCGCCCTCGCTTCTCAGCAATTCGAAGTGCTCCAGGCACAGATCACAGCGGTGCAAGCAAAGTTTCTGTGTGGTGCAGATACCATGGACACGTGGAGCGACCAGCATACATGGGACGCCATGCTCGATAACGTGAGGATCGTCGTCTCTACCTACCAGATACTATTCGATGCCCTGAAGCACGGCTTCGTTACGCTTGACTCCTTAGCACTCATCGTGTTCGACGAAGGTTGGTCTGCACCTGCCCCCACGAAGTCTAGAGCTGATCCCCCTTACTTAGCACACAACTGCCTGGGGAAGAGCGCCTGTGGCCGGCTCATGAGTGAGATCTACTGGCCCGCGAAACAGAACAATCGAGATGTACCCCATATTCTCGGTTTGACAGCCAGCCCCGTGATACGGTCTGGCTCTGCGAGCCTCGAGGAGCTGGAGCAGAGACTGGATGCCGTTTGCAGAAGCCCCACCAAGCACCGGGACGAGCTCATGGCCCACGCCAACCAGCCGGACATGTCCATTGTCTGCTATGGCTCTCTCCCCGTCCCTTTGGAGAGAGGTGGCGGCTATACTCCCAACATGCTGGCGCTGCTCGATGCGTACCGGAACCTGGATATCACCGAAGACCCGAGCATCCTGCGACTGAGAGCAGAGAATACCGTGAGGAGTCTCAACAGTCTTGAGAGGGCTATCATGAAGCATGATACTTTTGTTCAAGGCCAGATGAAGTCCTTTTGCGAGAGGAGTGCCGAGATTTGCCGTCAGTTGGGACCCTGGGCGGCAGATTACTACGTGAACCGAGTCGTCTCGGACGTCACTGCGCGGTTTGAGTCCCGGGACCACTTGGTCACAGACTCCAAGGATGCAGAGATGCTGTATCTGGTGGGGGTTTTCAACCGGATCCAGCTGCAGCCTCCATCGGATGACCTCACGACCAAGAACCTATCGAACAAGATGAGAGAGCTCGTCCGGATACTCGTCTCATTCAAAGAAGACCCCATGGGCATTGTGTTCGCCAAGGAGCGGGCAACGGTAGCGGTGCTCGCGCACTTCCTGTCCATCCATCCTGAGGTACGGAGCCGCTATAGGGTTGGCGCCGTAGTTGGTATCTCGAAGCCGCCCGGAAGCAAGCAATCATTCCTCGACTTGAACCGCAAGGACGACCTGGCCTTTCTCCAGCACTTTCGAACCGGAAGGATAAATCTCCTCGTGGCCACGAGCGTTCTAGAAGAGGGTATCGACGTCCCCGCCTGCAACCTTGTCGTATGTTTCGACAAGCCGGACCAGCTGAAATCCTTCATCCAGCGCCGCGGACGGGCCAGGAAACAGACCTCCCAGCTGTCCCTTCTGGTCGATGACACGTCGATCAATGCGGTAAAGGAGTGGCAAGACCAGGAGAATACCATGAAGAATATGTACAAGGACGAATTACGGGAGCTGGAGCACATCAAGTATGTCGAAGAATCGGAGGACGTCGACTTCTTCCCTCTGCTCACGGCCCCGAGCACAGGGCTCAGCCTGACCATCGACGATGCCAAAAGCCACTTGGAGCACTTCTGCAGGACCCTCACGTCACGAAAATTCGTTGACACCAGGCCCTACTATGTTGTTCGCAACGTCTCCAGCGTCGATCCGGAATCTACCCACGTGCCTGGCCTGGTCATGCTGAGGGCGACAGTCCACCTCCCGATATCTCTGCCCCCCGAACTACGAACGGCGGAGAGCAGCCGCTCGTGGTTTTCGGAGAAAAATGCCTGTAAGGATGCTGCCTTCCAGGCCTACAAGGCCTTGTACCGGGCAGGGTTGGTGAACGAGCACCTTCTGCCCATGAAGGAGTCGGATATGTTCAAAAGCATCGAGACCCGCCCAGGGATGGCCACTGTACGGGAGCAGCTGGACCCGTGGCCCATGGTCGCCATGGCTTGGCGGGAGGGCCAGAGGTTGCACCGGCGCAACTTGACATTCACGGACGCGGATGGGTCGCATTTGGCACATTTCGAAGTTGCACTTCCGGTCCCAGTCCCCAATTTTCAGAAGCTTCTTCTCCACTGGGATGCCGACACTGTTTGGACGGTAGAGGTGACGGACTCGGACTCGGACACAGACATGCCGGGACTAGAATCGGATGATACGGCGACTCTCCTTGCCCTAGCCTACGGCCATCGATGGCCAATTCAACAGGAGGGCCACATTGTCCACTTTCTCTCCCGGAATGGCCCTCTTGACCGCCAAGGCATTGGCAACAATGAGTTTGAGGCCGATACAGTCGAGAACCTAATGGAAACTCACCTCGTCCGCGAGACCACTAACAGCAACCATCCATACTTCTACGCGGGCTGGCTGCCAACAAAACCCCCGGTGGAGCTTGTCAGACGCCCGTACAGGGGGTTCGAAGAGTCTACTCAGAACGTCCCCTACGTGGCTGTTGGGAACTGGCCCAAGAAGGCAGGCTATTTCCGCCAGCCAAAGCTACAGCCCCAGACGCCCAGTGCCAAACCGTACTTCCGCGTCCTCCCCGCGAGTGAGACCAGGGTCGACAGCATCCCCGCGGTGTATTCGCAATTCGGCATGCTCCTGCCATCCATCATCCACGCCTTGGAGGTCCACCTCGTTGCCACCGAGCTCCTGACGACCCGCCTCAGCAGCCTCGGCCTGACGGATCTCTCCCTCGTGGTCACGGCGATCTGCACCCCGGCCGCCAGGGAACCCACCGATTACGAGAAGATCGAGTTCGTCGGAGACTCCATCCTGAAGCTCTGCGCGACGGGCAACTGCCTAGCGAAGCGTATGTCATCTTCTCCTTGTCCTCCCTTTCTAATACCCCCCTTTTCCTTTCCGAGCCAGCAGCCCCTGACCACCCTCCCGGTTTTTTGTCTTTTAGATCCCGACTGGCCAGAAGGCTTCCTGTCCCCCATGAAGGACCAATTCGTGGCCAACTCGAGGCTCGCTACGGCAGCGCTCGACTTCGGGCTCGACCGGTACATTGTCACCAAGGGGCTGACGCTGCAGGGGTGGCGGCCGACCTACGTCGACGACCACCCCGCGGGCCAGCCCGCGCCGTCGGACACGGCGACGCGGCAGATGTCGACCAAGACGCTCGCGGACGTGGTGGAGGCGCTCATCGGGGCCTCGTACCTGGACGGCGGCCTGCCCAAGGCGCTGGCGTGCATCTCGCTCTTCCTGCCGGAGGGTCGGTGGCAGAGCGTCGGGGAGGCGAGGGAGGTGCTCTTCGAGGCCGCCGCGCAGGCGGACGCGGCGGGCAGCCTGCCCGCGACCATGGACGCGCTCGAGGGCCTGGTCGGGTACACGTTCCGCCGCAAGTCACTCCTGGTCGAGGCCATGACGCACTCGTCCTACGACGTGCCCGGCACGACGGCCTGCCTCGAGCGCCTCGAGTTTCTCGGCGACGCCATCCTCGACTACCTCGTCGTCAGGCTGCTCGTCGCCGTGCGGCCGCCGCTGTCGCACTCGGAGATGCACCTCCTGCGCACGGCGCTCGTCAACGGCGACTTCATCGGCTTCGCGACCATGGAATGGAGCGCTCCGGCGGGAGGAGGAGGCGGGCAGCAGCAGCAGCCGCTGTGGAGCTTCATGCGCTTCTCGTCGGCCGACCTGGCGGTGGCGCAGCGGGAGACGCGGAGGCGGCACGCGGCGCTGCGGGAGCGGATCGTCGGGGCGGTGGAGCGCGGCGGCAGGTACCCCTGGTCGCTGCTGGCGCGCCTGCAGGCGCAGAAGTCGTACTCGGACGTGTTCGAGAGCCTGCTCGGGGCCGTGTGGGTCGACTCCGGGTCGTTTGACGAGTGCGAGGCCGTGCTGGAGAGGGCCGGCGTGCTGGCGTACATGCGGAGGATCGTGCGGGACCGCGTGTACCTCCTGCACCCGCGCGAGGAGCTCGGCCGGCTGGCTGCGTCGGAGCCGGTCAGCTACGTGGTCGAGGTGAGGGAGACGGAGGACGGGGAGAGGGAGGTCGCCTGCCGCCTGACGGTTGGGTCGCTCTGTGTCGGGAGCGTGGAGGGGTGCCTGAACAAGGAGGAGGCGTGGACTAGGGCTGCCGAGGAGGCTATCAAGCACTACCACAGTCTGGGTGGTCGCTGGTCCTGAAAGCATGATGCAAATATGTTTATGAGTTATGATCTCCCAAGGCTTGTTGGAGGAAGGCCTCCCCATCTAAGCGTTGTTTGGATCTGAGAATCCGGCTGGTTATGTAGCGATCACAAATAAAAATGGAGGTCCTAGGGGTTGTTTTGCATGGTATGAGTACATAGGTAACGTTGAATAGTGAGTGAATGCGGTGTTGGGGTTGCTGGCGGGAAAGGTATGTGTCCTATCAACGAGGGAGACCCGGACAACTGGCCAAGCTGGCACGGCGGCGCGTTTGGAAAAAGAAAAAAATTGAAAAAAAAAAAAACCGCCCGAAATACCGGCCGACACCCTCCCAGCCGCCCCTGCCTCAGGTTTCTGTCGAGGGAGGCATTGCATGTCCCAAGATATCGCAATAAGAGGGACGAGTTGGCAGAGTCGCAAATTAAATCCCCAGGCCGAAGGCAGGGTGCAGTAGCTGTGGCAGACCTGAAGGGCCGGGGGAGTGGGATACGTTGGCAGAGGGCACAAGGAGGAAGACATAGGGGGAAGAGAGTACGAGTTCAAGTCCAACTTGAACACTTCCTTTTTTTATTTTCTCTCATTTTTGTGTGTGCTTCTATCACGGGATAACTCTCAACTCCTAACCCTGGGCTACGCCTTACCATTTCAGTCCAAATGTGGCCTGTGCAAGGGACTTCGATAGTTCCTTCCCTTATACTAGGTAGGTATATTGTTGTCGTATGCTTTGGGTTCTTCTTCTTTCCCCTTTCTTCTCTTCCAGTACCATCCATCGTACAAACATGTGGTCATCCCGACGGATGGGTTGATGAACCGAGATCCATGACTAGACTATCTCTAATACCTGCGTATACAGGAATTCAAACACAATGCTTTTGTAACGGGTATTAGGTCCTGGGTAGGCAGCTGGACGGAAGCACGGCGGTGATCAGTCTGACTGACTTATACAAGGTGGCTAGTTGGCATGGGTTTTGACTGAGAGTGCTGTGGAGACGGAATCACTAGCAAATTGCAAACGAACCTCGAGCCCGGCAACCACGCTGCTACCACGGAGTTGCGGGCAAATATGCTTCTGTGCCTGGTAAGGCTGGCGATGATGACGACATGGAGCGCTTACCTTCAAGCTTTCTGGACATGCAATCATGGATAGGTAGGTATTATCCTTTGTTATTACTCAGTTTTCAAGAGAATCCTTACTATACATCTATCAGATCTCTTTCTACTCCGCACAAATAGTACTGCGGCGTAGGCCTAGGTAGTTTTTGACTAGGCTGGGAGTTCTTTTTTTTTTTTTTGCAGATGGCAGTGTCCTTACGTTGTCACGGTTGCTATTGCTATCAGTAGCTGTTGCTGTTGATATCAGTAGCTGTTGCCGTTGATGTCAGTCGCTGTTTCCGCCGCTGTCAGTTGATATTCAATGCTGTCGTGGGGAGGGAACGGGGTATTATGAGTAGGGGGGGTTTTAGGGGTTCCTGGCTGGTGGATAGGAGTGGCGGGTTTCGCCTTCGCTCTGGTGCCTTATTTATGTTCGTTTAAATAAGCAGTCTAGGACAGTATTGTGAGGATTAAGAAAGACATGGTTGGGTGTTCCAGCTGTGTCATGGAAATGGCAGACTTGACTAGGGGGCCACAATTCATACATCTACTGCTTCCCCATGCTTCGAAAAGAGAAGATTAATAGGCCAAAAGTAAACCTCGGACAGTGAAAACCCTGTTCCAAGCTCTTTCGAATCTTCTACATGGCTTGTTCGAGTTGGCAGAAAGGCTAATGACTTTATGTACTATAAGTGGCGAAGTTGAGTGTGTAAGATACGTAGATGTCGAGTCTCATGCAAACCTAGGACACACCAGAAAACTCAAATCTGTGTCCTTATATATATGTTGTTCCCAACAAAGTAGACCTCTTCTCTCTTTCTTCAGTTATTGCACTTTAACCTGATTTGCATCAACAGCCAACACCACGCTGTCCATCCATTGGTTTTACATACATCAGGAGTTTAAGCATTTGCCGAAGAATTCTTCCATTCCTTACTATGTCTCTTATTTCTACAGATATCGAGGAGAAAACCTTCCCACCCTCAGACAATGCTTCCGCAACACAAGATGGCAGAAGCTGCCTGGGTTGTTTGGAGCACCCTCCAGCGTACAACGACATTACGACACCTCTACCGTATTTCTGGCCCGGGCTAGAAAACTACCCGAAATTGCTGCTGGGGAGAGAATGGGTCCGAGCCAACTAACTGCACGACTGTGGCGAGAAGTCCACCTCCCAACATTGAAAGGAAGTACTACAACGACTGGGAGCACCTAGTCCCCATCGACGAATACCTTTATAAACCAAATAGCAGCAAGCTATCAACCTCGTCGGGCTCTCCGTCCGATATCACCCGGGAGCCATGCAAATGTCTCAGTTGCAGGCTCCAAGAAAAATGGACTGCGGCAATGCGAAGGCTCCATCACGGCATGCTAAGGAGGCACAACAACGGATCAGAAGATAGCCATAGGCCCTTGGAGGTTCTCCCTCGGCCAGGACACATAACCCGTGGTCTGCCTCAACAACCTGGCGAGATTGAACAGAAGATTCATGTAAAGCGCGACTGGACTGGAAATTGGGGCTGGGTTCTTACCCTAGAAGCATATACCAAGCCCAAAAGCCCCTAGCTTCCCCCTGGGTCGCCAACGTGGTCATTACTTTCAAGGACTTGCCAGAACAACTACGACAGGGAGGGATTTCCTGGGGAGACGCTGATAGAAACCGGGATCGCGATTTTCTACGGGATGACACAGCCGTCGTTACACACCGCAGTTGGGGCTGGGTGCGCAACTCTGAATTTTGTGTCCGAGAGAATGGCGATTACCTCTGGGGGGCTATAGTTACGATGCGGCATCGCGATCGGCAGTGGCTCTTGGATTCGGATTTTCGAGAGCTCCTTTCCCCTGAAACCATCTGCCTGTAAGCTTTCCCTAACCCAATAAGAATCTGCGCATATTTGGGAGTTCTGACAATATATCACAGTGTTGAAGTCGATCAACGGACAGGGCCAGGAAGGTGCAAAAAGGTGGTGGCGTACTACCAGGACATGGCGTATGGAAACGACACATGGGCCAACCTATCGAGGCCTGGCATGACAGGTTGCCCCAAAGACTTGCAATTTTCATGCACCCACTGCTCCCCCACTCTCCGAGAAGGGAAGACCAGTAAAGGTTCAATCAAGCCTTAGGCAGGGCTCAGCGAACTTGCTTGCACTTACTAGGAGTTTAGGGGGGAAACACAAGAAAGCACACACATCTCTTCCCAAGACTACGGCTTTTGATCATGCCTCAGCATACACATATGACTTGGCTTGATCCTAGGTTTTCTTTTTCTTAAGCCTGCTTAGAAGGTGCAGCCGTATATAAGGTGGCCCTCGCTTGTATTTATTTTAAAAGCAGTAATCAATTAATTCTCTTCTTTATATCAAGAGGGTTTCAATCTCTAGGTATTTGCATGACTACGACCCTGGTATTAGCCTGCTAAGATACTTAACCTTAACCCTGCCAGGCCTTATTACTTCCCTAGAGGCATTATTTTCTAAGATCACTGCTTCTTGCACTTGCTAGCAGAAGACGGCAGGTAGAAAGTAATTATAGCATATATAACAGGACCGAGAATACTCCCAGTCTACTGCCACTAAGGTTCACTACTTTCCAGGGCCTTGGAATCACCTACTCTTATACCTCCCTCTTCTCACACCTTCCCCTAGTCCTGCGTCTAGGTAAGTACTAACCTCGTATAACACGGGGGCAGATGGCACAGGGGGAAGACACAGGGTGAAGAGGGTAGGAAGTTCAAGTCTAACTTGAACACTTCCTTTTTTTTTTATCTTCTCCCGTTTTTGTGTGTTTCTATCACTGGATATCTCTCAACTTTGAACCACGCAAAGTACAAATTTCTCCCCTTCCGCCTCCTTTCTAGGCACCACCTCCAGCAACACTAGCCATGATAGCAATCTGCTGAGCCCTCCTCCTGTCCACCTCTTTCTTTAGCATCGACATCACCGTCGTCACAACAAGAACCATCGCCATCTCCCTCTCCACCTTCTCGCCCTCATCCCACAAACTCAAATCCACCATCAGCCGCCCACCATTCCCGGCGCTACTAGGCTTCGACCCCGGCGTGCGCGTCTCGGCGTTGCGCACAAACTGCGCGACAGGCGTGCGCACCTCCTCGTCCTTCCCGCCACTGCTGCCAGGGACGTTCCTGGCGCGCACAATCTTGACAATCCTGTCCAGGACAAGCAAGCTGTCCGCCCCGGCGGCCTTGCGCTCCGCCCGCGACGCGTACCGCCACTCAAAGGTGCCCAGCCGCGTGCGCACGCGGCACGCCCGCGTCAGCAGGCCCCGGCCCTCGATGGCGAACGCGTCCCAGCTGGGTCCCAGGCCATCGCCGTCGCCGCCGTCCAGGTCGCATGCATCCCCTGCGCCCGCCGTCCCGGGTAGGAACAGCCTGACCTGCGGGTGGCGGCCTGGGCCGAAGCGGTACGTGGTGGTGCTCAGCGGCGCGGCCGAGTCGGTCTCCTCCCCGTCGCCCGAGACGAGGTAGCAGGACCCGGAGCTGCGGTTGGGCCGCACGGAGAGGTACCTGGGGCGGTCGGAGAAGGACCCGTCGGCGTGGACGGGGAAGGCGGGGGTGGTCTCTGGGCGGGGCGGGAGCGGGAAAGAGAGGATGGCCTTGCCGGTTGTCTGGATCTGCAGCTGCACTGTGGGGGCGAAGGTCGTGGACTCGCTGTACGCGGGGGGGACTTCGAGGAGCGAGTCTGCGAGCTCGATGGAGGCCCGCGGGTCGATGTCGCCGAGGCGGGACAGCTCAATGTCGTGGTGGGGGTCCTGGGTGGCGTAGGAGGGGGCTAGGGAGGCTGTCTCGGCTGCCACCGAGTTGTTGGAGTGGCGGGTGAAGAGCTTGGTAGCCATAGTGGCTAATTGGTTGGGGTGAGATGGAGTCAAGGTAAGAATGCCAGGTTTGGGTTGGCACTTTGATCTATAGATAGATTTGCCCTTCTGTATCGACACAGAAGATTGAGGATGTTGATGACAATGGCCTGTTTTGGCAGAGAAGAGCACAACGACTTAGACCTCTTATATATCCTACCTCCCTTACCTTTAGCGTATATATCGGTAACGGCGGCGGATCGACAATGCGATGAATACGGCATCTCCGTGGCCGTGAAAGCCTTACGACTTCGCCAACGGATGACGTTCCAATGCAACCCAGGCCTTTGACGTTGAGGCTTCAAGCTAGAATGATCGCTGGGACCAATCAGCGGCGATGGCGGATCTGGGGAAGGGTCTTCTGACCCGCTTTTTTCTCGAATGCGAAATACGACAAGTGGGGCCTTGCCGCGGCTGTGTACTACTGTCTTTAGACCCACGGATAACCTACCTAGACGATGGCTGATGCCGCGCTCTGCCACTCAGGGGTATCTACAGACGCACCGCCACGCTGGACCTCGTTTGCCTAAAAAAGACAAAGCTTACTTCAAGATTAACATCAACAACAATAAACATCGAGCAGGCCCAGGCACGGAGCATATCAGCCGGGACAACCAGGCAAACCGGACAGTTTGTCTAGAGTGGCCAGCGAGCCATGATGTGCTCGGAGAGGCGCCCAGCATGGACCTCTCGCCGAGGGGGAGCCCCGTCTTTGGACAAGTACTGCGGACTGATCGGGCCTGTTACAGCCGCGCATTGGGTCTGCCGTGATACCTCCCACAGTGGTTGATGGCTGGCGAATGCATTGGTGTTGTCCAAGTTCTCGCCGTTTTGTGTGTTGTCATCCTTGTGGCAAGAGGTTCTAGCGGGCTCTCAACTATCCTATTGACCGAACTTATGAGTTCTGCAAGAAGAGGCATCTTCAGTCCAAGGTGAATCGTTGTTTACGGCCCTGTCCAATGTTGCCTCCATGGCTGTGATGACCAGCCACGGGATAATCCCAGCTGCGACGGCATATTCAAAATCGCGCAAGAGATGTCAGCTCAATTGCTCTATTCAGCTCTAGTTCTTCCAGATTCTGTATTAAAAATGGAACGAGGTGATGGTTTGATAGTTGTATTAGAGTCACGAGTCGTGTTTATATCTGCCTCTGTCTAGATCAAACATAACAAGAGAATTGCTCCACACGCATGGCCAAGTATTACGAGGGCCTCAGCTGTCCCTGGTAGCTACCACCTTCTACTCTTCATTCCCTACAAGCCACAGATCTCTAAATCTCCCGCCCTCAACCTCGACCAGCCGCCTCGGCGGCCCCGCTTCCACCACCCTGCCCGAGTCCATGACGATGACGCGGTCGAAATCCATCACCGCCTCCAGCCGGTGGCTCACCATGACGACCGTGTACCCCTTAAATTCGCGCTCGATGATGGCCTGCACAGCCCGGTCCGTGTCCCTGTCCACGCTGGACGACACCTCATCGAGGAGGAGTATGCCCCCTTCGCCGCGCGCCTTCCCCGCCGGCGTAACGCCACCACCACCACCACCACCACCACCATATCCGCCTTCCCCGTGGGTCGACTCCGACCCAGATGACGAAGCACCGAATAGGACCCTCGACCGCACCCGCCTCCGCAGGATCGCCCTGGCCAGGCTGAACAGCTGCCTCTGTCCCTGGCTCAGCGAGCCGGCGGCCATGCCTGCGCCGAGGCCGCCGCGCAGCTCGACGAGCGACCACAGGTCCACGGCGCGCAGGACGTCGCGGCGCTCGCCGTCGTCCGCGAGCCCGAGCGGGTCGAGGTTGGCCCCGAAGCTGGAGCCGTCGGGCAGGAAGACGGCGTCCTGCGGCACGGCGATGATGCGCCGCCGGAGGACCGCCCGGTCGATTCGGCGCAGCGGGATGCCGTCGATGGTGATGCCGGTACCGGTGCCGGTGGCGTCGTGGGCGGACGAAGGGACCGGGTCGAGGAGGCGGAGGAGGAGGAGGATCGTGGAGGACTTGCCGCTAGTGGGAAGGAGAAAAGACCGTGTGAGGGTGGAGACTTTGTAGCATGGAAGAAGTGGGGCCGGGGGGGAAAAGGGGGGAGGTTGGGAGGATAGGTGGTTAAGGAGAAACGGATGCTTGCTTACCTTCCGCTCCGCCCGCAGATGGCGACCTTCTCTCCAGCCTGGATCGTGATATTGAGATCCTTCAGGGCCAGATGCTTCGCGGCGGATGGCTGACTCTCTGACTCGTCGGTCGGGGCCTCGGCAGGATCACTTAATGGCAGTTTAGCATTTTCCCTTGCCAGGGACTCCATGTCAACATAACTAAGGCTTACCCATAAGATGCCGACACGCATTTGATCTCGATCAAACCATTCATCGGCCACGACTCTGGGGGACTCTCGTCTTCGCCCGGCTGGTTCTCGGGTTTGGTGTTCTCGCTGAAAGACTTCAGCCTGCTTACGGCGCCTATCGACGTCTCAAGCATAGTGTACATCCGGATGATCTGAGACAGGGAGTCGCCAAAACCCATGATGGTCACCAAACTGGCGCCGGTGAACCCGGTATTCGACCGCATCTGGGTAGCGATGGTGACAACCACCACGGCGACGACCGCCACGACGACGTTGAGCGTAAAGCCAAGCCACCGCTGAATCATCGCCAGCAGGTACGCGGGGCGCTGGGATGTGTCCAGCAGCTTGTTGTTGAGACCGATGTTATCGTCAACCCAGCCAAACGCGCGGATCGACGCGACGCCCTTGATTGTGTCGATGAAGTGCGAGTAGAGCGGGCTCTTGGCCTCGAGGTCGAGTAGACGCAGCTGGCGGGATGTGGCTAGGTAGAACTTCTGGAGCCCGTAGAGTAATGCGGCTAGGAAAGGGTAGAGGATGAGCAGGTATGGCGACGCGATGGCGATGATGGCGGCCATGCCGAGTGTAATGAGCCCCACGAGCACGAAGTTGGTGAGAGCCATCGGCAGCTCGCTGTCAATGAGTGTCATGTCCTGCGAGAACAGGTTGGTCACCACTCCCGAATCGGTGGTGGTGAAGAACCGCAGCGGGGCGTTGATTACCGTCTTCAATGCCGCCTTATGAAGCGTAGCGCCGGATGTCGAGATGATGGTGAGGGAGGTGATGCAGACGACGCAGAAGATGATTAACAGAGTTAATCCCTGGAACATGGCAAAGAGGCCGACATAGAAGGCATTCGTATGGGCAGGATCGGGCGAGCTGACATCCTCTGACCAGAACTTGACCCATATAGTCCGCCAGTTGAAGAAGAAACCGCAGGCAGCGCTCAAGGCAAGGAAGGTCGCCAGCGGCCAGAAACCAATACTACTAAAGTAGTGCTTGTAGACTGACATGTCTCCTGTCCTCCGCGCCTGGTCGACGGGACTGCTTGTCTCGGCAGATTTGGCAGTAATGACGCTGTTAAGATGGGCCGAGGCGCTGGTTGTCTGTTGTAGAGGCGAGGTACCGCCCGACCTCCTCTTATCCACACCGTTGAACCCAAGGCCGTGTATGTACTTCTTGTTGGCCACGAGATCGGCAAAGTTACCTTCCTCGACAAGACTGCCGTCGGAACCCAGGGCAATAATATGATCGGCCGATGGAAGATGTCTGATAGAGTGCGTACAGAGGATAGCCGTTGCCTTTCTTCTCTTCAGCAAGCCTTCCGGGCCAAAGACGCGCCAGAACACCTGCTCCTCCGTATCGACGTCGAGGCCGCTCAAGATGTCGTCAAAAACGAGTAGATCGGATTCTAGGTAGAGGGCTCTGGCGATAGAGACTCGCTGCTTCTGCCCGCCACTGATGGTAATACCGTTGCTCCCGACGTTGGTAAGATCTCCATGGGGGAAAAGAGCGATGTCCTTGACCAGCATCGTCGCCTCAATCACATCATTGTACCTCTTTTGGTCCCAGACCGAGAAGCCGATGATATTCTCCCTGATCGTTGCATTGGACAAGAAGGGTGTCTGGTCGCAGTAGCCAATCCGTCGATGGTTAGATCCCAGGACGACCCGCCCGGCGGCAAGCGGCGTCTCACCAAGCAGTGCCTTGCAGAGGGTTGACTTGCCCGATGCGATCGGACCAACCAAGAGAGTTAGCTTGGAGGCGGGGATCGTGACATCGATGTTTTGCACGTTGAATTTGCCGTCTGTCCATCCGAAACTGCCACCGTATATCGTGATAGCTTCCTCAGAGGCGCGACTTGCGCCTGCAATCCTGGACTTCTCGGACGGTGACTCTCCGTCGCTCTCGCGGAAGTCCTCACGCGGTTCCTTCTCCACGAAGGCCTGGATCCGGTCGAGGCACGTGAGAGCTGCTAACAAGGAAGGAACACTCTGGAAGATCATGGTAAGGGGGTCTGACAATAGGATCAGGTACGAGAGCGAGACGAAGATGGTGGTGACGTCCAGCTTCTTAGAAGTGACGGCGAAGGTCATCACGGGCGATAACGTGAGCGGCGTGAATGCAATGACGACAGCGAGGATCTGGACGAAGCGGAACCTAGCCCCAACTTTCAACTCATCCACCCTCATGCCCTGGATGGCCTCCTCGATGGGCGCAGTCAGGCCGGAGATCTTGAGATGTTTCATATTACCAATGACGTTCGCGGTGAGCCCGACCCGCTTCTCGATCTTCTCCATCCACGCCTTTTGTCGTGGGCCGGCATATCTTGCTAGGAAGGAGGATGCGGTCACGCAGAGGGCGACGATGACGAGGGGCGCAAGAAATGCGACGCCGAGTTGCCGCTGGAGAAGCCAGCTGGCGAGAGCGACCTCGACAGTATTGGCCCAGAACTCGTGTAAGTTCATAAATCCAAGGCGGACGCGCTCCACGTCGGTGCTCATGAGTGTTAAGGCTGCCGAGTCATCAGAATCCGACAGCTTCGTCTTGGTGGTATTCTTATACACGACCGAAGCTAGGCACCCGCGGGTCATGTATAGGAACCTCTCGTGGAGATACCAGTAGAAGGCGGTCGAGACGGCGATTCCAGAGTAGATGAGGATGGTGGCACCGATCAACCCATATCCGATATTCTTCGAAGCCTCATCTTGCGGCTCTTGGAGATAGCCAAGCAGGGTTTCAATGAGGAAGGGTTGGGAGAACGTGAACCCCATAAGGGCGATCCGAGGCCCAACAGGAAGCATAAGCGGCACTGCGAGTGTCCTGACGAGAACCCTGGTTAGACCGCGCTTCTTGCCTCTGAAGCTAGCCTTCTCAATGTGCTTAGCAAATGTTCTCTGAAGACGCTCTGCTGCTAGGTTCTGATCAAGGGGGAAGAGGTCGTCGACCCTTAGGACCTTCTTGTAGCCAGTCCAGAACAACGAGTCCAGCCACATGAAGGCTCCGAGCCCATAGATGCCCATTGTCTCCTCGGGGCTGTGCTCTGCCTTCTCCCAGTCCAACCATCGCTTCTTCTGCTGGGATTCCAGAGCGACGAGCGTGGTCTTAGCCGCAACAGACGCAGTAAAGAGGCGTACGAAGGTGGTTTCATCATAGTTGACTGCCGATAACCACATGGACCTACACTGCGTAATGTCAAATAGCAGGGTCAGGAAAAGGTATCCGCCTAGAAGCATCGACGGCCGCGGGGCGCGTGAGTGCTCCAGAACGGACAGGGCAGCCATGCATAGTGCCGACACGAACTCCAAGCATGACGAGGCGATGAAAAGGTCTCCAAGCCTTGCCGATCTGATAGAAGCCAGAACAAGCAGGGCGAGGTGGAGAGATCCATACACAGCAACAGCAGCCTGGCATTGGTATCAGTACAGTTGGATCCCTGTTGGTCTCCATCGAGGGGCCATACGAGCTTGATGGACCGAAAGATTGAGTTCCTTATGATATTTGGTCTTCTGACGAGAAAGACGATCCTCGACAGGGCGAGGGTGACGAAGATGGAGGATGGTACAATGGAGAGGAAGATCTTCTCAAATTTGAGGGTAAAGTCGAAGTCGCCCCGGCATCCCTGGACGCTGGGTCCAAGGGAGTCATCATTCAGACACCCTGAGAATTCTATGTCGAACATGAGGGAAGAAACCTTCGCGTCCTGAGGACAAGACGACTGGCTAGATGGTACGATTCCAGCACCTACCAGAGATTAACTGCGCGGTTGGCCGTCGCGAGGCACAATATAATCAATCACCCCCATGCGGCCCACGGTGGAGGAACTCGTAAGGCTGCTCAGGAGTTGACGAAGCGTTGACGTACACAACATTGGGAGAGTGTCGCCTGCACTTCAATTGCCTGCGCCAAATCACGTACGCAGTATGGACGACGGGTCTGCGATAACTAGATACATTACCAACCTACCTACCTAAGTACCTAACCTACCTGGGCAGGTGGTTATCCACTGATGAGTCACAGTAGTGTACGGCGTAGTTGTGTACGTTGTAAAGACGGATATTTGGCAATAGCGCCAGCCTACCACGCCTACCTAAAGTACGGAATAGGTAGGTGGTTACATATTTCACATGAGTTTGTGTCCGCGGGCAGGGCCAATTGGCTGTTCGGGCGGGGGGTCTGTGCTGGGCAGGGGTTCCGGGCCGCCAAAAATATTTGGAGAAGCTGCCAGACACGGAGCAAGCGACGGCGGTAGCAATGGCGATGGCAATAGCAATAGAGGAGCGGCCCCTGCCTGAATAGCTAAATGCCCCTGCCCGCGCAGACAACCTCTTCAACCAGAAAACGGCCGAACCATTTATCTTAGGTATCTAACGGTTAGCGTGGTGACCGGTACGTACGGACAGGCTAAGGCTAAGTACCTCTGCCTAAAAACGCGCCTATCCTCCGTCACCGTCACCACGCCGACCTGTAGAGCGAAAGGTCATGGCCGCGCGGAGCATTTTCTCTCCAAAGAAGGTGCTAACATGATGTGAGAGAAACATACTAATGGGCTGCATTTTGACCGTAACGATTTCGTTTATAATTTGCGAGCCGCGCAACTCGAGGCGGCGTCAGTCGATGACGAATCTGGGGGATTCCGCAAAATGCGAGAAACAAGAAGTGGGGCCTCCCCGCGATCGGCAGCGTCCGTAGTGGTGTCCACGGTCCGGCCTTTCGCGCCCGTTAGCACGCCGACCTTCGGCGGGGACGCGTCACCGTGTACCTCATCAGCCTCTGCGGAAAGCTTGCTGGCGGAAATGCTACATTTTTTTTTTATGGAGATTTGCATCTGCCTCTAGATTTTGGAGGCTGGAGCTGTGAGACACAGTAAGCACACACAGTATTACCCAGTGTATTATTTAGACGCCCTCAAAACCAGACCAACCGGTGGTATCAAAAAAATCACTGCAACCCCCAATATGCCTCACCGGCGTACTGTAATTTTCAGATGCCGTGGACCCAAAGCCTAACCCGGCCCTCACCCCCTCAAGCCCGACCCGGACTCCATCCACGCAAGCGGGGCGCGCCGCAGCTTTCACCTCGTCTTCCCGAAGAAGCAAGGGTCACGGTCGAGCTGCGTCTCCACCCACACCGGCCATTGGTTGTACACCTTGTGTTCAGCATCAACCAGCCTGTTGAGGTACTTGAGCCACCGCAGCATCCCCGGTTCGACACCGCCGTCGGTGGCGTTCTGAGGTCTCGCGCCCGCCTCGTATTCCTTCTCCGTTATGATCGCCATGATCTGCTTAAGCGCGATCCAGTGCGCGCTTAGGAGGATGTTGACCTGGTTCGTCGTGTCGATGACCCGCTGGAATTGGTCGTGCGGCAGCATCATCCACCAGCCGTACTGCGTGGTCATGGCCTTGTAGGCTGGCCAGGAGTTAGCACAAACACCGATTGAGAGAATAGGGTGAAAAGGGGGGCGCCCGATAGAAACCGCAGGCCCGAGTGTAGCTCACCTCCCCATGATGAGACGCCAAGTTGCTTTGCCATGTCCAAGATCTTCTCGTAATACTGCTGTTCGATGGGATGCTGGCACAGAGGCGACAGACTCTCGACCGCCACCACCGCCGAATCCACCCAGCTCCTCTCGATCAGGGGCATGTTCTCTATGAAAGGCTGCAATACCTCCTGTTGCTTGTCTCCGAGGAAGTCTGCGAAAATGAGATTGGCGCCCTTGATGTACATCTGTATGGCGACGATGACGACGCCGCGGATGAAGGTCATGTACTCGGTCATGCCGTCGTCCAGCAGGACGGACTGGAAGGTCAGCGCGAAGCACGTCGCCATCATTGCATTGCCCTCCTCAAAGCTGTTGGCCTTGGGCGCCTCCGCAAGCGTCTTCTTGATGGCCTTGATGGCCTTGACTCGGTGGTGCATGGCCGATGCCACCAGGCTGGGGTCCCTTTGCGTCAGGTCGGACGCGGCGAGGCCCAGGATGGCGTGCATCAGATATTCGTACTGGAAAGAAGGGGCTTCGGGTTAGGGGCTTCGCGCGCATGGCCGGCGTTGGGACGGCGACAAACCCACCTTCTCAGAGAGGCATGGGATCTCATGGGTCCAGATGGTCTCAGTCCCGATGGGATGGTGTGGGGTGCAGTGAAAGAGGAAATGCTGGAAGAACCGCATATCCTGCAAACTGAAGAGGGGAATCTGGTGCTGGGGCTGCAACCAGGCAGGTTAGTCTCTGGGTTGGCCCACCGCACTGCGGGAGGTTACCGTTCATACCTGATGAACTACTTGGGGCGCTGCTGGATATTCGCACTTCAATCCCGTCTTGACGCAATGGCCGCAGGCCGGTCGCGTCTCTTGACACTGCCAGTGAGTTGCAAGTCAGCCCCGGTCCGGCAGCCAAAGTGGGTAAAGGGACGAAGGTCGACCAACCTTGATCCTCCTTCGTTTGCAATTGAAGCATCCTCTTCGACTTTTGGTGTGTCCTCGTCTCTCAAGCCTTTGTCTGGGCTGAGAAGACGATCCGCTCCTGACTACAGAAGTGTTCGATTGCGAAGTCAGCGGCGGCGGCGACGACTCAGCCAATGTGTGGGATGATGTCGAGCTATCCTCGGCGAGATAGTCCACGTCCTCTTCCTGCAAGAACGCGCCATAGTCGAAGTCGGAGGGTTCGCCGTCCAGCGTCAACATTGGGAGAGTTGCGGATGGAGTGAACTGCATATTAGCAGCAGTGGGTGCAGGGGTGGTAGCCATGGCTCCCTCGTTCTCCTTCTCCTTACTCCCTCGGTGGAGTGGCGCGGGGTATGAATGGAGTTGTAACTGTGAGGTCTCGGTGGATGGCGTCGATATTCCCTCTCTCGAGCGACCATCAGTCAGTGCCGATAGCTCTGGTAGAAGAGAGAAACCCAAACAACTGTTACAATGAAATGAAAGGTTCAGAACATCACGGTGGGGACAAAGTGGCGTCACGTGGGTGATGATCATTGAATCATTCGGACAACTGCTTCATGGGACATGGCTGCGTCACAGCCTTCACCCCTTTGTGGCAGTGCTGTGACGGAGATACCCGGGCTCTCAAGGCAGCTTGGCGATAATACCAAGTTGATGAGGCGAATAGCACCGTCTGTCAGCGCCCTAGATGTTATCCAGTCAAGTCGGATTTCAATTGCGGGTCTGAGGTTTCAACAACAGCGGGTGGTCAGCATCGCCAAATCGCGGGGCATCATTCCGCCGCCTGACTTGGGCCGTCTAAGCTCCCCGCTCCGGGAGTGGCCCCGGTACGATCATTACAACGTCGCTGACAGACTCTGTGATTCAGCCTTACAGGGCGTTTTTCCCCTTGGGCCATTGAGATTTGACACCCGGGCCTCATTGGCCATTGCATTCTTGGCTGGTCGTTGAATCAAGATATTTGTTGCTGAGGGCTTAGTTCATCAGGAAAGTGATCGGCAAGCGAGGCATATCCGTTTCCAAGTATCCCGACGCAACTTGCGCCTGTAGTTGGTCCGCGAGTCTCGCGCTCTGCCCTCTAATGTGATGACAATTCGTGCGCTGCTCTCGGATGCTAACTCCAAGTCGAAACTGTGGAAGGTTGGCAGGGAAAGCAGCGTCCCCACCATCAAGATACCGGATATCATTTTCAATTTCGTGCTCAAGTTGACACGAGAGAGAGCAACACCTGGAGTAGAGTGCAATGGAAGAACGTCTAGACGCCCGAGCATGAGCTAATTGGCAGATTGTAGACTCGACTTCGAGCCTCCCAGCTGTCTTCCAGAGTCAGGATTTGATCTGCTGGTGGCTTGCTTAAAAAATGCGTCTGCACGCGCCTGTCTACCCGCGTCAAGTCGAAGCAAAGACTCGCCAGACAGATGAATATGGCAAGGAAACACAAGATATGGCAACGGGGCAGTGAATCTTTTATATAGAAACACAGTAATCATTGGTAGGGCAGGGCTAAATGCAATGGGCTGCAAACAGACGCTGCCCTGCAGTTCCAGGATCAGAAGGATTTTACCCGTGGGATCTTCCAGGCGCCCAGATCATTCACCAAAGAGGTTAAACTATCCATAGTTTGCTAAGATTCGGTTGTGCTGTCGGTATATTTAGCCAACCATCGCAATTGGGTGACCTGGGGGGGAGGAATTGCCGATGGGCTGTACAGGAGCAAGCAATATCTGGAAAAGACAGGACCACTCAGCGCCAGCATTCAGCCTCAGATCAGCTATGCCGCCAACACACAGCCTCTAGGTAGCTGTTGGTAGAAGGCAAGGAACGAGAACAGCGATGGCCTGTCTATAAATGATCACCATTTCATTCCAACAGACAAAGAAGTTGGTTTACATTCCGGAAAGTACAGATACAGTGCATTCAACTGGGCACTTTACACCGTGCTAGGTATAAGCGATGATCGCCTCGCTTGCTCGTAACGCTTGAGGGATCGAAGCAGGGTCTGATAATCTCTGATTCCCAAGACAGACGAACAAGCTTTTTCTCCCCGGCTCTGTGGCAGGGGCAGCGGTGGCAGGCTGACAAGCTCGATCCGTGGCAGCGGATGTAATTTCGCTTAACAAGGGTTTCAAGCCCAAGGCGAGGACAACGAACTGTGAGTTCCACGTCAGTCAAATCCGACAACTAACCGACTGCTGCAGGGAGGACGTGGGCCCAACAATTGTCTTCCCTGGACAACAATTGGAATTTGGTGGAGCGAGGCCATGCGGCCAAGCGCCAGGCTGGCAATCATGTATGTACCCCTTTACTAAGTACCTTAGGTAGGTAGGTACCTAGGTACTGTACTCGCGGCGGGTGATTCCGGGCCCCACTTATTCCATAGATTCCGGTCCCGTCTCACTCTCAGCTGAGTCCTGGGTCTCTGGTGACGCAGATTTGCGTGTGCCCGGGATGGGAACCCGACTATCGCGGCGTATCAGAGTATAGCCGCCCAGAATCTCCCAATCGACATTATTACCTGAGTACCTAGGTTGATAATACAATCAATGGATGTTAACTTGGTTGATGTCCACGGGCGTTTGAGCTCAAGTACGCCGGGCCCGCGCAGGCGCCGCGTTCGTTCCAGCTCCTGCAGGTGGAGAAGTTTGGATGGTCTAGTGTTTCATCTGTTCAGGTACCGATTCAAGGTTGGGTGCAGGTGGGGGCTCTGTACCTGTGTGGCTGCGTCGCCTATTCGTGGTAGTGGAGGGTAAGCACCCGCCGCTTTTTCTTGGAAACCAGTCAGCGCGCGCCAGTATATGCCCTCAAGCTGACAACCACATGGCACTGGAGACAGCGGCAAGTGAATCATACATTGTGCGCGTTATTTATGCTCACATCTCCTGGTATTGCTTCTGGTTGTTGCTTTTTGTCGGGTCTTGTTTCGAGCTGCTGCCCGGCGATTCGCGCTGCACGGTACTCCGTCCGGCGATTCGCGCTGCACGGTACTCCGTACACTAGTGTAGAGGTGGGGGCTAACAGGGACAGGGGCCGTCTTGGCTTCATCGTCCAAGGTCAACTCACTACCGGAGGTCTAGAACACGGATTCGTCTGGGCATCCTCGGACTCGGCCCGAGAGGTGCGGGTTCTAAGCAGGAATAATAGAATATTCATCAATGAAAACCAGGAAATTAAAACAAAATATAGCTATAATGGTTAGGTATTATGTTCCTTGGAATTATACTGACACGGCAGGCGGGAATCCCATATGTTGAGCAAATATGGAACTCGGCAGGATGGAACCTGGAAGGATCTAGGATTTTTTTGGTAGTTCTTCCAGGCTGGCCCCTCTGTCCGGGTGAGCCCATGCATTCTGGTGGCTGGCCGATCCTTACCCCTCCCCCATTTAGGTACAGGTACCTTTGGACCCAGGTACCTGCATGTTGGAAGGCCGAGACGGGCAAACAGCCCTCACTTCCCTGGGGTGATGGTCACACAGTCACTCCTTGTCAATAAATATCTTTCCTCCCTTCCCCCACCCTCTTTCCATTCTTGGTTCCCACCTTACGCGTGGTCGCCTCACCTTCATTTCAGGAACCTCACCCTCGAGATTTTCCACTTCTTTCTCTTCCTCGGTCGCCAGCTTCGACCTCTGAATTACTTTCTTTGTGTTCTTGTCACCGTTCTATCCCCAACTTCAGACACGCATCACTCCCTCTGCGCGTCTTGGACAGACTGCGACTCGGCACCGATTCATTCTCTCGACCGGCTTGTATCTGTCGATACGCCCTTCCCTTCCTTCACTTCTGACCCTGTGTGGTCTGCTGGCACCAAATCTCAAATCTTTTCCACTCCTTCCAGGCGACACCACCCAACAAAAATCCATCATCAGAAACTCGCGCAATCTACATAAAAGTGTCCGCCCAAAGTTCGACACTTTGGACACCAATTTGAGAGACAAGGCATCCACAAGATCTACCCACTTCTCGCATATCGGCCTTCTCCCTCTATCCCCCCCACTACTTCAATCAACCTTCTACGACTTCCATCTGCCGCCGCCATGTTCATCACCAAGAATTTGACTATGTTGGCTGTGGCAGCCTTGGCCAACAAGGCCCTGGCTCTCAACACTCACCGCCACGCCCATCTGCACATTCACGAGAAGGCCCGTTTTCAGACAGAGGTTGTGACTGTCACGGATTGGGTCACTGTCACTGTTTATGACGATGGGGAGACTGAGACTCCTACCGTTGCCCCCGCCGTGTTTGTTACCGCCGAGCATACACACAACTATGCAGATCACCATGCCCCGGCATCTTCCTCCGAGGAGTCTCCCAGTCAGGTATCTTCGGCAGCTTCTGCGACGGCTGCTGCCGCGTCCAGTGACCCCCCTATCGCCCCTTTGCCAACCACTCTGGCCACCAAGGTGGTAGGGGCGCCTCCCCATGCGCCTCCCCCTTCAACCCAAATCAACATCGTCCCCTCTGTCGTGGCCCCCCCCATTGCTCCATCACCCACCACCGCTGCGGCTTCTACGACACAGGTGCCACAGCCCACAACCAAGCCCTCGACCGGGTCTTCGGGACTGAAGCGTGGCCTTGCCTACAATGATCCCAGCCTTCTTTCGGGTTTCGTGGGCTCTGGTTCCAAGGTCAGCTGGGCCTATAACTGGGGTCAAACCAACGACATGAAGGTCAATGTCGAGTTCGTTCCTATGCTCTGGGCCCCCAACAACGACCATGTTCCAACCTGGAATGCCAATGCCAACAAGGCAATTGCTTCTGGATCCAAGTGTCTGCTCAGCTTCAACGAGCCAGACAATGCTGGTCAGGCAAATATCTCTCCCGGCGTTGCCAAGGACGGCCATATCAAGTACCTGAACCCCTTCCAAGGCCAGGCCCGGATTGGTGCTCCTGCCATCACCAACAGCGCCCAGGATGGTCAGGGTATCTCGTGGCTCAAGCAGTTCATTTCTGTCTGTGCTGGTCAGTGTGCCATCGACTTCGTTCCCGTCCACTGGTACAACACCGCAAGCACGGATGATTTCTTCAACCACCTGCGGGCTGTCCATGCTGCCGTGCCCGACAAGCCGGTCTGGATCACGGAGTTTGCCCCATTCGGATCGGATGCAGAGATCAACACTTTCCTGGCCACCGTTGTCCACACCCTGGATAACGACCCAGACTTTGCCTTCGTTGAGAGGTACTCTTACTTCATGGTTTCTCCTGGCAGCTTGATCTCCTCGGGCACGTCGCTCAGCGTTTACGGCAACACTTTTGCCTACGCCTAAGCCCTCCATTCTGCGGCCCTTCAGGGCAAGCACTCTTCCATTCTTCCATTCGTTGTAACACCACTTTAGGGATACGTTTCAGAAAAGGGGCACGGGCAGAGAGACGCCCTCGGGATACTTCACTTCACCACTTCACTTCAATTGTACATACTTTTTTACGGTTGATTCACTGCCGGCGGATTAGGCACACCCATGGATCTGGCACAATTAGGGATTTCAAGGCTTTTCCGCGATACATGCACGGTATGATGTATGGAAATGGGGAAATGGGACAGCAAATCCGGTCATGCAAGGATCAAGGATAGACAAATGAGTCACGAACATGAAATGGAAAAGACTGATTGTCAGCTTGTGGACTCGACCTGGAGCACACATTTTCTTCCAGACTCAAGACCTATGGTATCCTCCCAGCTTATTACTAAGAGCAAAGTGAACCCAGAACGCCTAGAAGATCCGGCACGTCGAAATGGACAACAAAATACATTACAAACGGAGGTTGTCTCCGTGGGCAGGGGCATTTAGCTATTCGGGCAGGGGCGGTTGGGTATTTGACTAGCCGTCGCTGTCGCTAAAGCACTCTTGCCCGCCATTTTGTTCCGTGCTGGCAGCTGGACTTTTTCATGCTCCAACTGTCCAAATATTTTTGGCGGCCCGGAACCCCTGCCCAGCATAGACCCCTGCCTGAATAGCCAAATGTCCCTGCCCGCGTAGACAAGCTCTTCAAACGCGGACCAGATCAACAGGGTTCTTCCCAGTTGAGATGCGGGCTCACAAGGTAATCTCTGCAATTTTGGATGTGAGATATGCTAAGATGTTAGGCGAATCCCACGGCAAGGTCATGGATGCAACAAAGCGTCCGAAAAAGCTGGCAAACGCTTGAAGATAGAAAAGCCCGAAGATTATTGTAAGGTCTGGAACCGACGGATATCTACAGAGACAAGCCACTGAAGTCCGGTCTGTCTCCCCAAGTTCGTTGGAACCAATAAGAGCCCAGAGAATGTACGAAAAGTGGAGTCACGAACGAATGGAAGCTTCCAACAACATGGTAACGCAGCCTGGGTCCCTGGCTCCTGTGAGGCTGTGATGATCAACCTGGTTTCCAACCGTACTGGCCTCTCTTATATTCGTCCTCTCTCATCTTCACCCTCCGCAAACTCGCCCAAAAATCACGCGTTCTATGTTCACCTCTTCCGCATCCGAAAAGAATGGCCGTTGTCGATGAGCTTGGACTTGTCGTCAGTGTCTGCGTTGACGGCACGCCAGCCGCCGAGTACGATGATCCGGAGCCCGACGTCGCCGGACGACCGGAGTCTGGCATCACATCAGTCTGCGACAAATACATTGAATCTGTAGACAATTCGGAATTCTTGTTAGCCTGGGAGGTCTTGAACTCGCGGAAAAAGATGTATCAGTATCACGACCCATACTTCGGCCTCGCTTTCTACTGCTACGTTGACGGCATGTATGCTGGATCGCGGATTGCTCGCAGCAAAGATTTCCGAGGTGGTCGCTGGCGTATGGAGCTCCGAGGCCTCGAGGATTTTGACCCCAGCGACAATTTGACCCACCTGAGACGATTCAGATTCGCAACTGTCGTTACAGGTAATGATATCGAGCATTTTCGAACTGGACATACAGAGTGCTAATTCTCAAAATATAGTCGACAATACTGATAGTAGAACCGTCAAGGAGGACGCGGAACGTGCGAAGTACCTTGGCTTGATCCAGGTCAAGGTATGGCGTGTGCGTGGGACGCCGAATGCCAAGTCCTCCCCCGTTCTCCCGACCAACCCATCTCGGTCGGCCAATGCCAACTTTACCTTTGCCGAGAAAGCTCTCAAGGGCCGAGCGGTCTCACATGGAACCGGGTAAGCTCTCAGATAGAAGGGCGGAGATATGTCGCTAACTGATCAGGTTCTCTCCCCGTGTCATTACCAACCCACTGTATGAGTACCAGTCCTATCGTCTTGATCAACACCCTATCGCCATTTTCAACTTGAAATATAGATCCAAATGTGAGAGTCTCTATAGCCCCATTCCCGACAGCGATGCTGAACAACCTACCCAGCTGCTCTAGTGAAGGAGATGGTCATTCTCCGCTCCCCAAGCCCGAGCCCTTCCGTTGATGGCCTGGGCCAGGAGGAAGTGCAGAGACTGGCGCGCGAGCGGTTGAGCCAGTTAAAGGTATCCCACCCGTCCTGCTCGCGTCACCGCTTGTCTCATTTAGGCCCCATGTTCGCACACTGACCATCCATAGGCCGAGAAACATGAGCGGACACCAACTATCAAGCGGGAGTTTGGCGCGGTTTACGATCTCACGGGGGAGGGTGGACCACAGCGCCCGCTGAAGATATTGAAGCGCGACGGCAAGGAGACGATCGACTTGACAGAGGACTGACGGCTGAAAATCTTGATGGGGAACGGCGTTCACTGTTTTGGAAGGAGTCTCTTGTCTTGAACCGATACCCCCTTTCTTTGCTGGCTATTATGGCGTTTGCACCCAAGTGGGCACACACACCATACACCGGCGTCCGGAGTCAAGTCGATATCTAATAGGGCCATGAAGTGATCGAGGATAGACACAGGGGTCACGAACATGAAATTAAAAAGTCAGATTGTCAGATTGTGGACTCGACTTCGAGCGCACATTTTCATTCCTCCCAGACTCAAGACCTGTGATATCCTCCCAGTTTACTACTAAAAGCGAAGCCGCAGATCCCGTAACACCTCGTGAGCCCGTCCCGGCTGCAGAGCAAGTAACACCTCCGCATGAGCCCGTTGCGGCCCAAGAACAAGTAGTTTCGAGGACTGGATTTCCAAGATGCATGAGCAATCCATGCCAGGTTACTTTTAGTGTGATTCCAAAGGGAGAATGTAGGGCAGCTGCCATACCGCGACGGGGCCCTTTCGAGTGCCTGTCAATGTTGCTCACACCGTGTGGTACCCGTAGGTACCTGAGGTTTCCAGATCAAGAATCAATCACTCGCTCCTGCACAACCCCATCTGTTCATCCACTCATTTTGCAGACTTCAAGCGGGCAGGAGTAGAGATTAGTGCCTTCTGTACAGGTCTGACGCGAGCTGCAACAGGAACACTTAATTACCAGGTGCCCGTCCAGTCATGTCTATTTTTCTCCTTTCCTCTTTTCTTTTCTACAGCATCAGCAGCAGCAGCAACACAAGTGGTAGTGCGTTCACTTCGGATGACCAGTCGTCTAATATATGTGTATAATTTTAGGCATGCCGGATCTATGTCGAAGTTCCTCAAACTGGGCGCTCCCCTTGATGCGACGGGGCTGCCAGTACACGCCACGTCCGTATCCAACCTTATACAGCCCTCGCCTCACGAACTGCCTTCGTCCCAGGAACGGCCTTCGCTCCAGGAACAGTTTTACGTCAGGAACAGGCTTCATCTCAGGGCGGTAATCTGTACGAATTCTCTTGAACAGTCCTGAAACAGCATTGTGTGCAGGTAGCCAATTAAAATAAATAGCGGTTCAAGTTTCGATCCAGAATCGACCAAGACGTAAGTTTCCCTGTATTATTATATGTTCCATGCCAACTAACATTTACCTGGGGTGAATCGACGACATTTCTACAGAGCTGTTGTCGTTTTATGGGTGTCGCAGAAGGCTCGTGCAACTGGACGTTGTTTTAGGAATTCTGGGCTGCACTGTTTGGGACTATCGGCGCTATTACAACCATCGTATCGGTTGTCCGATCGAGTAGTGCTGTCTGACTGGGTGCAAAATACGCTATATTACCTCATAAGTAGAGTCTCGGCAGCTAGCTAGGTTCTCTAGCAGCAACTCGACGTCGCATTTCTTGCGCCCCTCGTCATCGTCGCCCTGTGCTCCTTCCTAGCGAGGTATACCGGCCTACGACAAAAGGCGTGGATGGGGAAGATCGGGAAGCGGGTCGGACTCACCGCGAACGTCATTGGTACTATTCCCATTTCTGTCAGTCGCTATTGCCGTTGCTCCAAGTCGCTGTTGCCGTTGCTCCAAGTGCTATTGCCGTTGCTCCAAGTCACTATTGCCATTGATACCAGTTGCTATTGCTGTCGCTATTGCTGTCGCCCTCAGTCGCTACTGCTGTAGGTTGCTGTCCAACTACCTAGATACCTCCTTCGCCACGGGCACCTACCTACTCAATACCCCTACCAACGACAAGCCCCGCGCCTTGGTTGTTGAATACTCGGCTATATCGCACCCGTCGACCCAACACTTCGTCGGCCGCTGGTACTGGACTTTGTCTGTATGGGCACTTAAGTTGCTCCTGGTCTGGAAGACGGTCTTGTCTGTACACCCAGGCCACAAGGGCACCAATACCCCCCATTCGCAACGCCGACCACCCTATCTCCCACATCATTAGGTACTTCGCAACCCCGAAAAGCCCCCTCTCAGTGGCGGGTGCAGCAGGCTCCCCATGCGCGAGGGGCTCTCCAGGCGCGAGGTGCGGTACAGGCGTGTTGGCTAGTACAGGGAGGCCGTACCAGGCAGTGCGAGCGCGGCGCTTTGACTAACACTGGACCGAAACGCAATCCTGTACACATATGTTAGATGACTGGTCATCCGAAGTGAACACACTACCATTTGTCTTGCAAGATACTTATGTGGTTGCGGATGTTGTTGCTGATGCTGTTGTGCTGCTGATGTTTGTGATGCCGATGTTTGTGATGCTGATGTTTGTTCTGCTGTTATTTGTGCTGCTGTTGTTGTGCTGCCGTAGAGAGGAGAAGATTCCGTGGGCTTGAGGTTCGATTGGCTCCCCGATCTCAGATGTGCCTGGGGGGTTGGCCGGGTGAGGTTGAGAGGCCGGAGGCTGGGGTACAACAGAGGTTGCTAGCATGGGAGGGTTGCCGAGCTTGGGGTTTGTTCGGCTTGGCCTGGCGTCAAGCTCAGAAAGTAGTATATTTGAAGTCCTGTATACGCATGTTAGTCAGGCATCTTAATTCATCAACCCATCCGTGGGGATAGGACTCACGTGTTTGATGGATAGTACTGGAAGAGAAGAAAGGAGAACGGAGAAGAACCCAAAGCGGACTACAACAACCTGATATAAGGTACCTAGGTACCTACCTACCTACCTGTCTGGAAAATTGACTTGAACAACCTAGGCAAGTACGTGCCTACCTACCTAGTATAAGGCCGGAATAGGTAACTTCAGGGACTTCAGGGCGGAAAACGTTAAACTCATGTGAACTAACATGACCTTCGGGAAGGGAGAACCAACGCCTGTTCCAAGCTTCCACACATGCAACCGTGGTGCTTTCGAATCTCCCGTATGGGCTGTTTGAGATTGACCACCTGAGAAAAGCCCAGGAATCAAAAATAGAGATTATCCGAGGCAAACGAGTGATCAACGTTCAACCTACCAAGGTGAAATAAATAGCGTAGTACTACAATGTAGATTTAACTTTGCTTATGGTTCCCTGTTCTAGTTCAGAGTTCACTTTGCCCCATAAACATACACAGTAGGACAATGCGTCAATCCTGGCCGGTTGTAGTAATTATGCTATGGCCTGGCGGCATCGCCAAGGGCAGCAGAAGAGAGGACGTTGAAGGTGGATGGTGGTGCACGTGCCACGTGATGCTACCAAAAGACCGATGCGGCGTTTGAGTTTACGCCTGAGGCATAACAACCTGCTCCAGGGTGTCCGGTTTGCGAGTATCTGCACAACTAAGTTGGGTAGGAAAAGTACCTCCATTGTCCTGATAGAAGGGCACCTATCTCATCGACTCGTGCCTGCCGAACCTGCGCATTTGGTGGAACGACAAGAGCAAGGGAGGCGGCTGCCGGCTTTGCCAGAAACCACCATGCTGCTACCGAATTTGTGACTGCGGCCACCCAATCTTCCTGAAGGGACATAGCCATGTCTCCAGACGGTCCCAGCAGCATCCGTGTCTTCATCCATTGGCACGACCAGACCGTCTTCGCCGGCGAGGAAGTCAGGTGTACCATCACTTTCAAGAACGTAGCTCGGCCTCCCGGCTCTGCTCCCAGTCAATTCAAGTCCTCGCCGCAACAGTCCCGACATCTCAATTCCAACCACCACCCGACTTCTCCCCTCCATGCCCAGAGCCGAACGAAATCTCCGGCTGGCCTGGCCCCGCCCCCCGCCGCCCGGGGCCACCGATCGAGCCTTTCCTTGACGGTTCCATCCGCCGCTGCCACCTCGCGAGCTCGGGCCGGATCCATTCCGTGGCCCGCCCAAAACCCTTCAGACGACCGTTCCGGAAACGTGCGTGGTGGCGGACACGGCCACAGGCGATCCGTCTCCATTGTCTCAATTGGGTCTGCCAGCGCAGCGGGGGATGGACAAAGCAATGCAGCACCGGGGAAGCCACAGCGGCCTACTCGGGGTCATGCGCGGGCATCAAGCCTACAGATTGTTCCTCGTGGAGGCCCCGCGAGTGGACCTCGATCCGGTGAGAAATTGGGAGAGCCCTCGGGTATAGTACCAGGGGGTCAGATGGCTAACGCCAATTAGCACCGCATTCGCATCGAACCTTCGCCGCGCAGCCCTCGCCGCTCTTCAACTCTTCATTCCCACCAAACCGGAACTCCTTCTCGGGCGGCCCTTCATGGGCTGCTACTGTGCCGAATACACCGAGAACCGGGGCGTCAATGTCGTCCCCTACACCTGGTCCTAATGCCTTGTCGGACTTCAAGTTTCCCATGGCTCAACCGGCGCCGTCAGAAACCCAGGAAGGGGGCTCGAAGCCGGGCGACGACTCTCTGAGGAGTCCCACGTCCGGCTGTGAGGACCCTCCCACCTTCACCGTGAGACCGAAGGATCCGGTGCCCGTGATCAACGAACATAGCTCTGCGCCAGCGGCGCGCATCCTCTCGACGACCAGCATTGCAGGGACGCCAAGGAGTAGCGGGGAGTTTTATTCATTGAGCAACAATTCGACAGAGACTTTGGCATCAGAATATGTCGCCCAGCAGCCCTTGCGTGGTCAAGGCCGGTCGCCACATTCACGGCGAACCTCAAATCTGTCCAATCAGACTTCTGCGCGGTTGCCAGAAACGTTGATGATGGGCTACGCTCAGATCCAGGGATCTTTCACTTTGGACGGATCACTTGTGAACCTGGGACCGTTCGACCAGGTCAAGAGGAAGGCGGTAGTAGGTGGACAAGGAGGTGGAGTTATTGGCATCGAGACTTCACGGCGAGACAGTGGTCTTTTGAGAAGTCTCGGATGGGGAAACTTTACGACCTCCATCGGCGAGCTCCTGGGCAGCAGCGAGCTCAGTACCATCAAGGAGATGCGCGGCGTCGCGAGCTCCAAATCCGTCCCCTTGCTGTCTACACCACAATCCATATTGTTTGTGGACCTCAAATTAGCACCGGGGGAGAGTAGGACCTACGAGTATTCCTTCAAGTTGCCGAAGGGGTTACCGCCAACTCACCGTGGGAGGGCGATGAAGATATCATACAGTCTTGTCATCGGCACACAACGGCCCGGCGGTGTCAAAGAACAGCAGGTGAAATCAGTTGACGTACCCTTCCGAGTGCTCGGCAGCGTCAACAGCCATGGCGAGATTCTGGGCCACGACCTCATGTCTCCTTACATTATCTTGCAAGACCAGGCATCGGTCCGTGTTATCACCAAGACCCATCATAGTCACGACGCTAGGACGGGGCGGGCACCTGCTATGGTTCCCTCAACGATGAACTCTTTCCTCTCGTATGTCGACGAACTCATGGTTCGCACCCGGGAAGATCCCGGCTTGGGGCTTCTCTCGCCGACGGGTATGCCGTCATCGCGTCGGCCGTCGGCCTACTCTGCATTCGAAGATGCCTCCGCTGGTGCACAAACTGCTAAGGAGGCCATCGACTTGGCCATACTACGCGCCAACATGACTGCGGAGGGGCAGCAATCATCGAATCGCTTCGAAATCGCCCGAAACGGGCGTCGCCTCGGAGTCGTCATGCTCGCCCGACCGGCGTACCGCCTGGGCGAGGCAATCACCATGGCGGTGGACTTCTCTGGAGCCGAGATCCAGTGCTTCGCAGTCCATGCTGCCCTCGAGACCGCAGAGCGCGTAGACCCCAGCCTCGCGTTGAGGTCAGAGGCAAGCGTGCACAGGGTCACGCGGAAGATCCACGTCAGCAGCTCCGAGGCGACTCTGTACGCGCGGCGCATCGTCTTCAACCCCACCATTCCCGTCACCGCGACCCCGGAGTTCGTCACCAGTGGCGTCAGCTTGGAGTGGAAGATCAGGCTGGAGTTTGTGGTGCCGGCCCAGGACGACCGGGACCTGGACAGGGATAGGGACGAGGATGGCGACGAGGGCAGGGGCTACGGGCAGCAGCGGCCGCCTGGGAACCACCTGGGGCCGCAGGCACACTCGGGCCCCCACCCGCTGCTGGAGGAGATCTCGCGGGACGACCGCGGTGGCTTAGTCCTCGTCGCGGCCGAGAACCTCGCCTGCGAGAGCTTCGAAGTCGCGGTCCCGCTGCGAGTGTATGGCGCAGTGTGCGCGGGCCTCGAGCGTCTCGAGAGGGATGTCGCCGTCGAGGAGGGACTCGTCGTGTAGATGGCGGGGCCGAGTGGTAAGGCACCGGCTCTGTTGGATTGGCTTGGTGGGGAACGGTATATATTCATATATAGAAGTGATAATATGTGGTAGACGCCCTTATCTTCGGTCTGTGGCTGCTAATATCTGAATCATAATCAGCATTGGCTGTAGAACTTTCAGTCAGGGGTATTTCTAGGTCCTAAGATTGTGGTGATTTTCTCAAGCATGGCAGTTGTTGGAATGATACCAGCTAGGTATCTCATAAATTATACAAGTGGGTTCTACGACAATCCCCGTCCGAGATGCTCTCCCCAGGTAGGATAGGTTGGCCGTCAATTATAGCCCTATTCCGTTGGGAAACCATGCACGTCTTGATATCGGAGGGCGAAAATAAAATGAAGTAAACGCCCCAACTACCTACCCATATGCCAGCCACCTTCTTCGTCCCTCGTCCTCTTTATCCTTACCCCTCTCTCCCAAGCACGTGTAGGAACAGGACAAGTCAAATCGAACTCAAACTTTCCGCCCATCTAGCCTCCGACCTTTACCCTCGTCCGCGGCCTTCTTCTTCCCACCGGCCTCCCCTCCGCTACCATCGCCACCACCACCACCACCACCAGCAGCGCTACCGCTACCGCTGCCCGCGTCTCCCTTCCTCTTGACAGCGCCCCGCAGCGTCTGCCCCTGGCCGGCGAAGTGGGGCCGCCGCGCAGCCTCGACCTCGGCCTCCTTGTCGGCGGCCGTCTTGACGGGCTTGACCTCGTAGCCAAGGAAGAGCTTGCCGGGGGGAAGGCGCAGGGGCATGGGCGCGGCGGGCGCGCCGGCCACCGCTGCCGCCACAGGGGGGGTCGCGGGTTTATTGCTGCTGCTGCCGGTGGTCGTCGTCGGCGGCGGCGGCGGGGGCTTCTTGGAAGTCAGGCGCTGGCCCTCGCCGCGGAAGTTTGTGTTTGTGGCAGCGGCGGCGATGGCGTCATAGTTGATCGCCTGCGCCATGGTGCCCTGGCTGTGGAGGAGGCCGCCGGCGGGGAGGGCGGGGCCGCGGGTGCTGCGCGGGGTGCTGGTGCCGCTCCCGCGGCCCGAGGCGGCGGCGCTGCTGGTGGCGGCGGCGGGCTCGACGTAGCCGACGGGCGGGGCGAACTCGACGCTGACGTCGGTCTCGATCATGCTGACGCCCATCTTTGCCGTCTCGGGCTTGACGTCGAGGACGGCGACGTCGTAGACCTCGTCGTTGTACTCGAAGTTGAAGGTGTCGCCCTTGGTCAGGGCGGCGAAGTTGCGGAAGGCCTTCTCCAGGACGGCGCGCGGGTCTGAGATGTCGAGGAAGTTGACAGACTGCGGCTGTAGCTTGACGAGCTTGGCTAGTTCGAGGGAGGTCGTCTTGATCTGGATCATGTCGCCGACGTCGAGCTGGAGTGTTTGCATCATCTGGTATCCGGCTGTTAATGGTGTGTCATCTCTGGAGAGGGAGATCCCCGGTGCTCAGAGGTCGGGAAAGGCGCGAAGCAGCCCTGTCAAACATACCCACTGGGGGATATAGGCCCTTCCCTCCTCGGCGACGAATTCCAGCACGCCGCCGTGGGTATGCCTCCCCTTATCCCCGTTGATCAGCTCCAACATTATCGGCCACTGGACGTGCATCTTCGAGACCTTGTCAAGGGCGGAGGGTGGCAGGAAAATCTTGGAGCCATAGTTGAGCGTTGGCCTCTCGGCACCCGGCGCCATCACCATGGGATAGCACCGATAGTACTCGTCAAACCGCTGCATCATCGGACGGCGGCCACCCCGGGCCATTTGGTAGAGATCAGCAGGGTTGTTGGGGTCGAAGCCGGGGCCTCCGTAAGCCGGGCCAAACTGTGAGCACCGGGTCAGTATCCTTCTGCTCCGGGGTTCGGAGCGGGGGTTTGGGGCGTCTAGCGCACCATCTTCGCGGCTGTAGTTATGTTCCCCAAAGGACCGATGTCGGTATGGAGGCTTATCAGAAAGGGCGGCCTTAACGACTAAAGGTGTGCCAAACTAGCAATGGTTGGATACTTTGCTGGTGTGCTGGCCTTTTGCTGTCAGTCCGGATGTAGTTGCAGGCTGGAGGTGTCAAGAATCTGAGGCAACTGGAGAATGACGACGTTCTGTAGAACTTAGAGCTACCTTATTAGGTGGGCTCAGGTGGGGTGGTTAGAGGTAGGTACGTACCTCCACTAGAGTGGGTCGTTAAGCGTAGAGGTACCTAGGTACTTAGTACTCATACAGCGCCAAGGGTTCTTCGGCAGGGCTGCGATATATTATGCATGCTTTGTGCATTTATGCGAACGACTGCCCGAAATATCAAAAGCCTACCATAGTCCGCCAGCAGAGTACACGTTCGAGAGATCCGTTTTTAATACGAAGAAATTTAACAGCTTATTAGACTGCCTGTTAAAAACCTGCACAAAGAAAATTGGCCTTTTAGAGTGCGTAACTGTTTTCCAGCAAAAATATGTGAGACCTACCTACTTGATGCTCTTTCCAAAATAGATTCTGCGTTGAGCCTCAGATAACTTCGACAGCTGTTCTCCTAAATATGCCACCTAACTCTCCTAAACATGCCACCTAACTCTCCTAAACATGCCACCTAACTTCTCCAATGCAAGTGCCCCGAGAGGTACCTGCGTTTGCTCAAACTCAGGGGGAATTGTATTACTTGTGTCAAACTTTAACAAACCTTTGCTCCATTGTCAGCCTGAAAACTTGTCTGACAGTGTTTTTCCGTGAAGCGACTAAACGTGTAAGTCTGCGTTGCCAAGCCAACCGCAGGCCGATCACCAAACCCCTGTATATTCGCGTCCCTTAGCTAGGTTCTTCCTTCCTTTGCACAACGTCTTCATTTCCTACCCCCTAACGTTGGCATCGTGACAGGTATTAACTAGGTAGGGAAGGTAGGTAGGAAAAGAAGAATGACATAGTATTGATAGGAGAGGGTGTGCCCAGATTCGATAGCTACAGCCTACATGGAACACAAACCGACTCAAACTGCCTAAGAATGCTCCCACAGAACACGACGTCCCAACAGAGACCATGGCATTTCGGGATGATGATGATTTAGATTATGGCGATTTTGTCTGCTCAAGGGACGAGGATGAGATTGAGTCGGAAGCCGAACCCCGCGATCGCTACAGCAAAAACTTGTACTATCCCATCCCCATAGGCGAGGTCCTCGCCGACCGGTATCGCATCGAGCACAAGCTCGGCTGGGGCGGCTTCTCTACCGTGTGGTTGGCCCACGATACCCACGAAAATAAGCCCGTAGCTCTCAAAATCATGGTTCCGGGGAAAAAAGGAGAACGCGAGTACCACAAGCAGAAGGAAATCATCCAGAAGGTCCACAGCATCTCGGGCTTCGTTACCTACCAGAGTTTCTTCTGCCTCGCCGGCCACGGAGGTAATAAACACATGGTATTGGTGTTTCCTGTGCGTGGGCCAAGCCTTCACTACTGCATGAGATGGGGGAAATGGGGTACTGTCGCCCGCCGAGTGCCCGCTGCGAAACAACTGCTCCTCTCTCTGAAAGGTCTTCACGATGCTGGAATCATTCACCGCGGTAGGTCCACCCTTCCAGAACCCTCATTGGCGTTTCCACAAGGCTAGCTATCGACTCTTCTACAGACCTGAACCAGGGGGCCGTATTGTACGACATGGATTCTATCGAAAACATCACCACAGCCGAAGAGTACAGGCTCTTCGGTCGGCCGCGGAATGTTGCTCTGCACGAGGTGTCCTGGAAGCAGGCGGAGCTAGTGGAGCGAGCCAATGACCTTCCCGGCGGACCAGATCGGGAACAACGTCTACCTCTGCGACTTTGGCATGTGTATTGACACCGGCACGCAGGTGGCAGATAAGATTCAGGGCCCAGGGATGTACTGCGCCCCGGAGCGGTTCCACGACGTAAACCCGAGCTTGGCGAGCGATATGTGGAGCTACATGTGCATCTGAACGGTACCATGCACTGAACGTCATGTACAAGGGATTTCGTTATCTGCCGGAGGAGAGGATTGCCGCGGCGGAACTGTTGGAGGACGAGTCGTTCAATATCATAATGGGTCTCTACGGAGCTTGACTGCCGGGTGTGGAGAACGGGGAAAGGTATTACTATAGCCTAGGATGGCCCATTGATGCAGCCTAATGAGGTTGAACACCCCCTTTCATTCCTTCCCAGACGTTGCGCGTATGTGTAAACCCAATTTTCAAACACATTGATATCAACCACCAACATGACTAACACGATAGATGTCATATCCAGTATCTTCCAACACAATGACACATTCATAATTAAAATATGTTGCATATTTCAAGTGCCTGCACAATTTGGCCCCCAGCGACGCATGAGCCCATCGAGATTTGGCTTGCTCTATAAATTAGGGAAGTAGGTACCTAGGTAGTTCCCCACCAAGCTAGCTAGCTGTTAGTGTTAAATGTGCGGCTCAAGCTCTTCCAGGCAAGCTCCTGACGTCAATCCTAGGACAGTTTTTTAAAGACTCGAAAAAACCACTGCATTGAAGCCTCCATTTTTATCAAACCAGGAACCGACCTTCGTCGGGGATACCAGCGAATTGTCACACATCGACCAACCAGCCCAGACAAACCCCCCCCGGCCCAACCAAAAAGAAATGACCTCCCGGTTCTCAGCCGCGCGCCCCAAGCGGACCGGGGAGACCTTTGCGCGGGCGCGCCACGGCGAGTCCGACCCGCGCGACGGCCCGTCGTCGGTCAAGAAGGTCAAGTTCGACGTGCGCAACCCCTCGGCGCTGGCCCCTGACTCGGGCGGGGGCGGCGGGGGCGGCGGCGACGACGACTACGAGTACGACGAGGCGGACGAGCAGGTCCTCGCCGCCGACGTGATCCGCAGCTCCGCGGGGGCCACGAAGCGCGGCGCCGTCAACATCGACGGGTACGACTCGGACTCGGACAACGAGAACTTCAACGCCCGGGCCGAGGCCCGGGAGGGGAGGATGAAGAAGAAGAAGGGCAAGGGCAAGCGGGGGAAGGCGTCTGGCGCGGCGGAGGACGACGTGGACCTCGCGGACCAGCTGGACAATTACAATGCGAGTCTCGCGTCTGGTGGCGCTGCGGCTAACGACGTGGAGGAGGAGGACGACGAGGAGATTGACATGTTCGGCGTCGCGGATGACGATGCGGCGGAGGGCGATGCTGACGAGGAGGCCGCCGGGCGAGGCAAGGCTGGGAGGAAAGGCAAGGAAGTGCGCTTCCTTAAAAATGAGAACATAGAGGGTCAGGAGCAGACGAGCAAGAGCGGCGGCACCGTGCGGCTGGATGATGGCACGAGCAGCGATGACGATGAGGAAGTCGAGCTCGCCATACAAGAACAGGGTATCGATGAAGAGGTCGGGCTCGGCGGCCTGAAGAAAAATGCGCCAAAGATCGACGCCTTCAACATGAGGCAGGAACAGGAAGAAGGCGCCTTTGACGAGGCGGGCAACTTTATCCGGAAGGCGACTGACCCGGACGCTATCCACGACCGGTGGCTGGAGGGAGTCAGCAAGAAGGAGATAAAGAGGGCTGCCGAGGCGCATGAGAAGCGGGAGGCGGAGCGGAGACAGCAACGAAGGGAGGATGACAGCATCTTGACGTCCGATCTGTTCAAGGCACTGATCTTGCGCCTGGAGAAGGGCGAGACCTCCTTGGAAGCCCTTGCTAGGCTGGGCAAGAACAAGGCAAAACCAAAGGTCCGTAAATGGAAGCAGAAGAAGCAGAAGAATGGCCCGGAGAAGATGGATGTCGACACTGAGGTGGCGGAGGACCCGAAGCAGACCAAGATCAGGGAAGCCATCGATACCATCACGGAAGCAGCCGATCGGCTCTTGAGGAGAGACTACCCGGACATCTATGACACCGAGAGGGAGAGGCTGGCTCGGGAGTACCGAAATGAAACAGGAGAGGATTGGGTAGATCCCCCAAAGCAGGAAGAGGAAGAGGACGGCTCGGGTGCACCTCCCACCAAGATGTGGGAGTATCGCTGGATCGACGGCAGAGACGGCGCCGCGAGCCAAGGGCCCTTTGATGGCCCCACTATGAAGGCATGGCAGGATGCCGGCTACTTTGGCGAAGGCGTCGAATTCCGACCCGCAGGACAGGAGGGTGGATGGGACCCAGTGGGACGCTTTGTGTAACAGTTGGAAATGTAATATAACCCGGGCAACTTATACCTGGCAAGCTCGAGTACATGGGAAAACAACGCCAGCTCTCGTTTTAAAGACCACCTACGCCCGTGGAATGTTATACAAGGGTAATTTATCTACCGATGCCTTTCCGGCTCGGACCTCAAATTTTACCCGCCAGAACGCCAGCACACCATCTCAGGCCCCCCTCTAGCTCACGTCCATCTTATCTACCTGGCCATTTGCGACCGAGAAGTCCACGGCGCCGTCATTGCCGATGAGGCGCCTCTCCGACTCGCTCACGAACTTGACACTCCGCCCGGGGTCGTAGAAGAGCTTGATGCTCCGCTTGACATCCTCGACGTCGACCTGCTTGGCGCGCCGCTTCGCGCATATGAGCTGGGACGTGGTGATCAGGTTGCTCGCGTACCGCAGACCAGCCTTCTCGCCGCTTGTGGTGAGGAGGGCGAGCGCGTCGGCGGATAGGTCCACCTCCTCCTCCTGGGCGCGGATGGCGAGGATTTGCCGGATCTCGTCGGTGGTGTAGGCGTGCGTGTTGATTATGGACACCCGGTCCAGGAAGTCGAGCGGAAGCCCGTGCGGGCTCTTGTAGTCGGTTCCGCGGATCCGGGAGTGGCCTCTGTTGCTTGCCATGATCACGATGGGCGCTAAATCGGTTTCCAGGGCTCGGTTGATATATGAGAAACACTCAATGTCGAGCATGTGCACCTCATCGATGAATAGAACGCCGGGAACAATTTCTGCTTTACCTTCCTCCTTCCACTCGGCAACCTTGGTGTTGATCTGATCTCGGATTTCGCTCCGGATTTCGCCCGTATCCCCGGAGAAGAGAGCGAGGAAACCCTGCGTCCGGGAGTTGATGACGTCGATTTCGTGGAGCGTCACAGTGTGGACCACCTCTTTCCGCTTCTGCAGTTCGCCATCTGGGCACTGGAGGAACTTGGTGTCGACCCCCATGGCGTCGTAGTCGCGAGACCTTGCGTATGATCGGCCGAGCTTCGTGATCTTGCCGGACGACTTGTCAATCGAGATGATGTCGCCAGCCATAACTCTCTCCTTGGTCATGGCGTCAATCATCTTGCTGCCCATGTCATAGACCGCTTCCATATCCGTCGTCTTAATGGTGAGTTTGCCCTGCTTGGCCCCGCCGGTGACGCTCCGGTCGATCTGAATTTCCACGACTTCGCCTTCCATAATTTCGCTTTCCTCCTTGATGCGGACTCCAATAGATTTGCGGAACGCTTGTGTGAGGGCTTCGGTTTTGGACATCTCAAGGGAGAAGATCTCGGACGAGGCGAGGCTCGTGAAAGGTACATCCGGGCCGAGCGACTGCGCCATACCCATGGCAATCGCGGTTTTCCCGGTGCTGCGAGAAGAAAGGAAATATTAGCAAGTTCGGGAGGACATATCGATAACGATTGGCAGTAAGAATTACCTCGGGGGACCGGCGATGAGAACGGCGCGGCCGGCAATTTTCCCCTGCTTTATCATTTCCAACATGACTGCAGCTGCTTTTCTTGCCTTCTCCTGTCCGACAAGCCCTTGAGAGGAAGATCTCGGTTCCAATGTGTCGGAATCAACTCCGAGGCCACGGATATGGGAATGCGCAGCGATGAGGTTTAGCCCCCGGAGCTCCTTGCTCTCGGAGACGGTCATTACGGGCTGCGCAAGTGGAATATTAATATTTAGTAATTAATTGCTAGAGATTGAGATGGAGAGCAACTTACAGCAGCCATTTTTGCTGATCTGGCGAAGGGATAGTTGCGATGCACAAGTCTTGGTGGTGAACGGCCGACGCAGAAAGAAAGGTTTTGGAGAGCTACCAAGGCAGGCGTTCGATGGGAGCATTTGATAAAATGGACGCGCCTGCGATAAAATTTAAGCGCGCTGACTGCACCCCTGGAGGTACTTGCGAGGTACCCCACCCCTCACTGGAATGTACATACAGCCCAAACGAAACAACCAATCCCAGTACCTACCTATCCATGTCTGCACACCACTTCCAGGCCGGGTTTGGGTTGGTTTGTGCACAGCGATACACAAGGATGTCCTAGACCCAAAATAGTTAAATCATTCCTACATTCATTCACCACCTACCAGTAGTACATTCTTCGCATTGCTAGCCTGAAACATCGACAGCGAGCCATAACAGATTTGCCCCCGTCTCTACTTTAGTATGCCGTTTCTTAGCTTGGGAGAAATCTAAGAAAGCGGTTGCGGGCAGGGGCATTTTGTTAGGTATTCGGGCAGCGGCTTTCAACTGTTGGGGCAGGGGATTTGGCTAGCTGTCACTGTCGCTATTTTTAAAGCACCCTTGCTGTCGCCGTCTCTGTTGCTGAGGTGCTGCCATCGCCATTGCCGTTGCCGTCGTCGTCGCTTGTTCCGTGTCTGACAGCTGGTCTTTTGCATGCTCCAACTGTCCAAATATTTTTGGCGCCCCAACACCCTGGCCCAGCACAGACCCTCTGCCTGAATATCCAAATGGGTCCTGCCCGCGAACACAAGCTCCCTGGTACCGCGGTCACTTCCCCATCCGGAAATTTAATAATCAGCACTCGCACGATTGCGCACCTTGGGTTATGGGTTGTGGCCTCTCAGTAATGGACTGAAGAATATCAAATTGCAGACCTAGTTGTCGCGTGGCGCCAGTGACGCCACGAGCAACCAACAGTCATGTCGCACAGATATGATCCATTTCACCCACCTCGACCCTATGGTCGCGGTTCAGACAGGAGCTGGGACTCATCCAGAACCCCAAACGACAGTGAACGCGACAATGATCGCGATCGTATCAGACCTCGAGATCATAGTCGAAGCCAACTGTCGCCGCGAGAGCCACGAGAGCCACCCACAACTGGGTCGTTACCGCCAAACCCCGCCCCTAGACCCCCCCCGAAAACTATGGCAACACATCCTCTACCTGCAAAATCCTCCCAGACAAGGTCTGCACCATCAGCGACACAAGTACCACCGAAACCAGACACTCCAGGTTCTCGATCGAGACAGGAGAATACCGGTGGCCTATGTAAGCTGTCTAGGGCCATCTCTCCGTCGTCGCAGTCCTCTCTGACCATATCTTCTTTTCTCCAGCCGCAAGCTCCACCCCTACTAAACCTAGCTTCGCCAGCAATGGGGACCCGTCTCGAGACGTTGCGAAGGCTTTTCTCGACTTCGGCGAGTTGGTTGCCCACAAGGCCAGCCTAGACCTACAGCAAGATTGCCTAGACCGTGCTATCAAGCAGCGGAAGACCGACTACGAGAAGTCGGTGCAGAGGTACCCCGAGTTCCAGTCGGTTCCAGAGATGCAGAACAAGTTCAGAGACAAGCAGTCCCGCGATGCGAAAAGGCTCGAGGAACTGCGACGTGGCCATGATGCAAAATATACGCGAGCAGCGGAAATGCTGTCTGTCCAGCTTCTTAATGGACTGCCCCTCTTGGACAAGCCAACCCGATTGAAGGAGACTGAAGCGCATCGACTCAAGGATATTAAACCTGAACTTGCATCTCTTAAGAACCAGATGCAACAGCTCAATAATAGCTACAAGAGCCAATTCGCGCACCAGCAGAGTGAATTTGCCGATCAACTTGCGAAGCAGAAGGAGGAATTCAAGAGACAGATGGAGCAGATGAGGAAGGACATGGCAGCGCAACAAGCCGAACGGGAGCAGCGTCAACAGGAAGAGTTCAGAGCCCAGCTCTCTAAATATGAAGTATACACCAAGGCGCTGGTTCAGAACCAAGAGGCCGAACGACAGAGGAGTGTGCAGACCAAGACATCTACCGACGAATTGGCCGCACTGCGCAACGAGAATGCCGGGCTCAAATCCGAAATGTCCGCCCTGCTGGCCCGGGCCGATGATCGAGCTCGGGAGCTAGCCCAGTGCAAGGAGGAGGTCACGTCGTTGCACATAGCTCTCGATGACTGTGTCGCGACGGCGAAAGATACCCAGTCGACGCTCAGGAACGTTGATCTAGAAGGTATAGATCAGATTGCTGAGATCTTCCTGGGTGACTGGCCAAACCTTCAGGCCAGGGTAACAGACCATGAAAAGCGACTCGACGAAGTGTCCCAGGGCCTCCAGGCCTGCCAACCACCTGCAACAGGAGCCGAAGACGGTTCTTTGGTGCATACTATGGAGCAGACCAACCAGAGAGTTGAGCAGGTCAGGCAGATGCAAGAAATGATGGGCGATATGTGGGGTGGCATGTTAGATGACCTGGGCAAGCAGCTGTCCGGCCTGACGTCTCGCACTATAGGCCTCGAGGAGCTGGCGGCCAAGCTTCCACATACGGTGCCGGATGTCGACTTGATCAAAAGCACTACCGACAAGCTTGGTCAAGACTTTGTCAAGCTGGCGGAGAAGGTGGAAGGTGTCAGCGATAAAATGGAACAGAAGTGCGAGTATCTCAACCACCAGTTTACGACTCTCGACTCCCAGTACAACAACATCTCGACAAAGGCTCTCGCAGAGCACATCATCGCACAAATGGAGACGTTCTACCCGACTAATGGGCAGATAGTGGCGGATATAGACACGCTGAACAGGGCGGTCCAGGAGCTGAAGCAGCGGTGGACGGAACTGAGGGAAGAACAGAAGGCGATGCGGAATGATCTTGATGATATTTCAAACCACATGGACCACCTGTTTCCCGACCCGGTGGCGAGTGGAAACAAGAGGAAGAGACTCGAGGCGGACCCGAATGGGCTTCAGAGCCAGCGCCAGGCCAATGGCAAGGGTCGAGCGGCTGATTAGTTGAAGGGCCCTAGCCGAGGTTTGACGAGGCTGATCCTATGCAAGGGAAAATTGGCATCCAAGGGATCTGCCTGCAATGCCAATCCTGTTGCAAAGATGCCTGCCAAGTAACGCGTTATCGAAGGACGGATTTCCGCTTTACATACCTCGTTTGGCGGGAAAGGAGACAGGAAAGGGAAGGAGGGTGGAGGACGGCGAGGGTGTCAAAAATGCAGCGAAGTAACGGCACGAGAAAATGGGAGGAATGAATGGGATACCCCTTGGGCGTTGTTTGCACTAAAGTATGGCTATCTACCTATTAAATTGGTAGGTAGCAAGGGAATGATTGGTTTACGCAATAAGGTTGAACCTAAACCTACCTAGCTTTACCGGCAGGTAGGGAGGTAGATACACATTGTATCATAGGTACCTCGATGTAGGTTAGATAATGTACTACTGTGCCAGTGAATAAACTGCTACCTTACGTATGTTAAGCACTTCTATTAATTATACATACGATGTGGAATAGGTACTGTTGGGTAGTAGGCAGTAATTAGTAGTGCATTGGTTAAGTTGGTCGGTGAGGTGGTAGTGCCTGTGTGGCACGATGCCTGGAAAGCGCCACACGGGCCGCCTCCGCACCGGTGGATTGAGGTACCCTTCAGCACCCTTGCTAGGTTGCCAACCAGGCCCAGCCCAGCAAAATCCCACCCCAGTGGGCACGCCTCATCGCACATCGCACATCGCACATTGCACCTCCACACCTCCGTCCCCGTCGCCTCGCGCCAGTCACAAAACACAACATCCCAGCCAGCTCTGCCAGCTCTGCCAGCTGTGAATGCCCTCGCTCTCCTGCCGATCGCCTCGCTAATCAGGGTCATCGTCGATCGCGGTCGTCGTCGTATGAAGTCGCCCACCACGTCTTCCCGCATGGGACATGCGCTCTTGCTTTTGTACTGCCGCGGGGGTGACAATTGCTGCTGCTCCGAGGGTGCCGTAGCAATCTCGACCGTCGCAAACGCCGCCTCGCCTTAGCCGGCCAACGAACGAGGTCGGACGGAAGGTCTGCTGCGAATTCTGGTACGCTGCATAGCTTTCATTGTCTCTGCTGTCTCGGATCCCTTGCCCAATTGCCCCACCCGCAAACCGGCGCCGAAGAAACGTTGTGCTCATGACATGCCACTCTTTGTGTCTATACGTACAGGCTCAAACCAAGCTACCCGCTGTTCAGCTCTCGAACCACACGGCCGCGAACCGATCAACTGATTGCAAACTCCCGACAAACATCATTTCACTCATTACGCTCGTAAGCTGGCCCTTCCTGGCCTGGCCGATGGCCCGAGAAGCCTGAAAGCAGAGAGAGAGCCTGCGTTGCGCCTTACCGTCCCCGGTTTCTTTATCTGGCCACCCCGGACCCCAAGCCATTGTGCGTCCCCGCGAGCTCTTCTTTCTTGGCCCAACCGGGGAACTATACGAAATATCCTCCTGCATCGCGAAATACCCGATGACCTAGCAATGAAGGGGAAGATGGACGGCGCGGCGAGAAGAGCAGAGAGAGTCGCCCAGCGCGTCCTTCCCGACCGCCCACATCACCTTTGCATCGACGCGAAGCGCCGATATCCGACACCGTCCGGTTTTTGGTTCACCGGCCAGAGTGCGCGCCTGCAGTACATGACATACCTCTCGGATGCGGACCGAGGAGTGCTCCTGACTCTGCCCTTCTTTGAGATCTGCGACGAACTTGACACAATCAAGCCGCCGATGGCCGCCGCACGAGGCGAGGCGAAGAAGAAGATGACATTCAAGGACTACCAAAATAAGAAGAAGTCGACCTCGCCAGCGGACAATGACCCATCGGCGAAGGTCGACTCGCAACCGCCCGACACGGCCCCGGCCAAACAGAGCGGAAGGAAGGACAACCCCAAACCCAACGATCGCGATACCCACGAAGATGCTCGGCCGGACAAGTCGCGGCCGGAGACAAACTACGAGAGGTAACATTTTCCTTTTTAGTGTCCCCAACAAGGCCAGTCTGAGTAGCGGCCGCCTACAGAGACTGACAAGATCCCAGATCCAAGAACCCCTCCCTACCCAGGCCAGAGTCGACCAGCGCGCGTGTGTCGGAAAGCCGAAAACGACACTCGGATACAGAGCAGGTCTCGCCTCCGCAAAAGAAAACCAAGACAGAAGCCACCGCGCCAGAGCTCGATGCGTCTCGCAAACCCAGAGCCGACACCCCTAAGAGCGCTCGAGATACGGCGAACGGCAAGAGCGCGCACAAAGAGACAAAGGGCACCACCCTGGTGCCAGCCGTTAATGGGCGAAGCCGCGCGAGAAGCGATATGGACCGCGCATCTCCGGCGTCGAGTATTCACGTAAACGGGGTCGCACCGGCAAAGGCCGAAACTGCTATAAAACCAGCACTTCCAGAATTACTCTCTCCCCTTCGACTCGGGTTTGACGAAGAAATGGACAGTCCGACGAGGACGGCCAGGAAGCAATCAGAGAAAGAGCAAAAGGACAGTGGCCGCTCTCAGGGCGATGGCCGCACCAGAGTGCCAGATCTATTATCACCCCTCCGCCTTGGTTTGGGTGAGGAGCAAGGCGACCTAGAATGGAAGCTGGCAGAGAAAGGAGAGGAAGCAAGAGCGCGGGAGGCCGATGACAACTCGATGTCTAAGAAGCAGAAATTGCTCAAGAAAATCCCCCCGCTTCTGTCCCCAACTCTCCCTCCTATTATTGAGGAAGAGCTAGCCCGCTGGCTTAAGGAGTTCCCGCCGGAAGATTGGGGCCAGGGGGAAAGCCAAGCCTCTCAGTCACCGGCCGACGTACAGAAAGGGAAGGGTCTACTATGCGACGAGGACGAAGAGAAGCGGCCGTCGCGTATTGTGGTCCTAAAGTACAGGAAGAAGAACGCCCGCACAGTCTCGGCGATTCTAGCGCTGCCCTCGAAATCGCACAAGGAGGCCTTGAAAAAGGAACGATCGATAAGCCTCGAGCGTACACCACCTCCGCATTCCAGAAAGCGGCCTTTCCCAGCAGAGGAGCAGGCCTTTGATCCCTCGTCAAAGCGAAGCAAACCAACGGCGGAGCCATGGTCGACAAAATCTGGTGTTCCGTCCACGCCTCTCAAGAACTCGGCCACGGCCATGTCCCGTGTCACGTCCAACACTTCGCAGGCGCACACGCCCGGGGACCCGACCGGCTTCACGCCCAGCGTCGCAGACCGGCCCCTCACAAGTTCCGACAACATAGACCACGCGAGCGGCGCCAAGGCCGCGACGCTCCGGCAACGGCAGGCCGAGTACACGAGCCTGGGCGGCAAGCTGAAGCACACCAAGGACGACATCCTCCGCCGCCGCGGCGGGGCCGCCGCGGCGCTATCGACGGCGGAGGAGAAGCGGGTCGCGGCGCTCCACTTCGAGATGGTGCTCGCCTACATGGTCGCCTTCAACGCGCTCAACCAGGCGCGGGCGCTCGACCGCAAGGTCGCCGACATCACGACGTGGGAGACGCTCCTGCCGCACCTGCCGGAGCTGAAGCACCGCCTGCGGCGCTGCCGGCCACTGCTCGCGCTGGCGACGCAGATGCACGCCGTGTGCCTGGAGCAGATCACGCACGCCTTCATGACGCTGGACCCGACGTCGGTAACGCTCGCGCACGCGAGCTGGGCCAAGCAGGAGAAGAGGCGGGTGCCGACGTGGGCCGAGGCCGCGGCACTCCTGGAGGAGGTCGCCGACGACAGGATGAGGGCCTCCATCGGGCCGTGGACGGCCGTCGACGACGCCGTCGCGTCCGCGCTGGCCATCATGCGGAGGTGGGCCGACCGGGAGGGCGTCACCTGGCGGCCCGAGGTGACGGTGCCGGCGAGGAATCCTTGACAAAAGAGGTTGGGTTTCCAGGTACTTTTTTCCACGGAGCTTTTTTGGTATTTTCTCTTATTACCATTTTCTACTTTTGTCATACGGACGAGCAGCGTCGGGAGCTGCTTAGAGGAAAAACGCAAATACCCCGATTATATTTTGACAGCGATTACGACCTAACAACCCCCTTGTATGTATGTATCATGACCATTTTTTCTTTTTTTCGGGGGGACCCCTTTCTCGGTGTGGAAGCAACTGGCGTTTTCCCTTGGGGTTCAAAGAGGGGGGAGGTTTGCTATGTCCCTCTCCCTTTCTTGTCTTTCTTATCTCCTTTCCTCCTTTTCCCCCCTTATCCCCCGTGCTGCCTTTGTCTGGATTTGGCAACCGATACCTCATATCGTTCCTCGGAATTGGGAAGGGCGGAAGGGTAAAGGGATAGGCGTTTTCCCTTATTCTTCCTTTTCTTATTATTTGTTCTGGGTGTATTTCCTGGTACTTGCAGGACGTGGTTGGATGATATCCCCCAAGCTATTAAAAAAAACGATCACCATTTACAAACGAGGCAGCCACTCTCTCTTATTGTTCTTCTTAATTTTTTGGGGGGGATGGCTGCTCATGGTGACAGAGATGGCGGTGACCTTTAACGCCTACCTAGCTAGTTGTTTATTCATTTCCCGTTTCTCTTTCGTCTGCGATAGTCGCGGGCGAGGGGGGCGGACGTAATGGACAGATATGAATACTTATATTGATGGAGCCGTGATATGAGGGTTTTTTTTTTTTTTTACCTGCGCCTTGTTTCTCCCGCTTTTCTAGCTCGTGTCTCTTGGCGCAGTCTATTCCCTAGGCGAACAACTTGGGAGTAGACGGATACGTACGTCCTCCACTTAACCCCCCGGTCGCGAGGAGATAGGTCCCTGTCCCCGGACGATGGCTGGGCTCTTCCCCTGGGAACGGCCGACTAGGTTCGTGCGAGCGCAAGGTACTTTCTTGCGGGTGTTCAGTAGGCGTTGAGAACTAGCACCGAATAGCCACGGCCGGCTTCTGGCTTCACCGGTGGCGGAGAGGCTTGTCAATAACGTCCAAATGGTGTCACAGCATGTCGGCTATATCCGAACTGCAGATAATGAGGAATTTCCTGGTTAAGGTCTATGGTATATAGGACTGAATAGCCGCGCATGCGATCGACCGCCATTGCTATAATCGGGGTCGACCATGTCCGTCCCATCCCCCCTTCGTCCAGGTATTTGCTGCCACCCCGTTGTCCGGGCAACGGCCCCGGCGGAGACACGGAAACGATATTCGATATTCCCGACCCGTGATAGGTGCCGTGCTTTTTATAAAGAGAAATCAGGGGGTTCCGTCCCATTTAGGTCTTTTTCATCCATCCCTCCATGCCTACTTTCCAACCCGGTGCTTCATACCGGCTAGACGCGTCGATCCCGGCCGGGTTGCGTGCCCCGGCAAGAGAGGACCCCGCAGGGCCAGGCGGTCGATGGGGTGCACGATGCGGATGTTGGCGCTGTGTATCCAGGGGCTTCGGGTTAGCTATCGTGGTGCGGCCTGGAGAGGGGAGAAGGGCGGATTGGAAGGAAGGTTGATGCTGCCGTGCCGATGCTAACCATCGAGCCATGCATGCGGTGTGGGACTCAACTTACCCATCCCACTCGGCCAATCTGGCAAGCTCCCATCCCCACGCGATGAGCGCCATGACCTCCTCGGCGTGGGCTGCGGCGTCGACGTCCTCGACGCGCGCCTTCTTGGCCTCGGGCCCGGCGTCGTCCTCCTCCTCCGCCGGCGCAGCTCGCTTCCTCTTGCCGCCCTTGGGGGCCGCGGCTGTGGTGGCGCGCTTCTTCCCCTTGGGGACTGCCTTAGCTGTGGTGGCGCGCTTGGCCTTGCCTTTAGGTGGTGCTGCTGTTGGGACGGGGTCCGCGGCGGCGGGGGTGGGTGAGGAGGACTCGGGTTCGAACATGCTTTGGCGATGGCGGGGAAGAGTATGTGGTAGTGGTGCTTCTTGGAGGGGTTTCAAGATATGTGACAATGGAGGGGAGCTGCGGGATACGCGGCATTGAGCTGAATGAGGGTATGAGGAAACATACATGGGGTTTGTTTACTGCTCTGATGGGAGAAGAAAGAAGAGGATGGTATCTAGATAGACTTGAGCAAAAGTGGCTGAGACTCCAAGTGGCCAAAGCCTGCGGCTGGGCGTGGCTCGAGGGGTCGCCCGGTGGCCTGCCGGCTTCCGGGCTTAGTCGGCATCGGGGGTCGTTGGAAGTGGGGCCGGAGGCGCCGGGGGTTCAGGGGTGTCTGCCGAGGATGAAGCTAGAGACAGAGATGGTCAACTGGGCAGTAGAATCCAAGGGCATGTTGGAAGGTGCTCAGGGCCTTGGACAGTATGTTCCAGGGTATCACAAGTCCTTGGTCATGGATGCTGTTTGTACAGAGCCTCGTCCCTGATGCTGAGGGGGTCAAAGGCAACATCCATGGGGAGAGTCAGCAGCAGCCTAGGAAGCTAAGAGGTTGTCATGAGCCAGTTAAGGACCTTGGATTGCTTTCGAAGGTTCTGTACAATAAACATTCATCCCAACCTACAAAAAGGGGTTGGGATGGTTGCACCTCAAGGCGGTTCCACTTGAGTGATAATCGGCCGAATTCAGCAGCTGTCAATGGACTCATTGTTCCTGCAGCTACAATGATCTCCAGGATGCTCAGTGGAGAGCTGTATGGCGAGACAGCAACCAAAGTTGGCCTTAAGTATCTAGGGCACAAGAGCACTTCAGAGCTCAAGAAAGTCACAATGACAATGGCCGCCGCGAGAACAAATAAAATCTTAGGACAGATTCAAGCCGGTATCATTGATCTGGCTGTGCAAGGCCACAATGGAACAGGGAGGACTGGGCAGATCAAGGACCATGATCCTTCCCGGTCTTCCATTTGAGGCGAACACTGCTATTGAACAATGGACAGTGTGGTGGTCTGTCTGTGGTATTCCCAAATGCCACTGGCTCATCGAGTGGCCAAGACGCTATGCCAGTTGGGATCCTTCATTAGGGACGGAGCCAAGGCAGCTGTGCCAAATCCCAAAGTCGAATAGTCTCACAGCAATAATCTCCAGGTTACATGGTGGCATCATCGGCTAAAGCTCCATGTTATTTGGAATGACAAGAGAAAATGGACACTATTCATGGTAAATGCTTCTGGGTACGAACCATCGTCTTTCTGGATTAGCAACTTGTGGGTTATGGTATGTTGGAGCACTCTTTGATTTAAGAAGCCTGTCGACCATTATTACAGGCCTGTCCTTGACTAGATGGGGTGACGAACGTTTGATTCTGGCTTTTCGCCTCAATATCTCGTACTGGAGATAGAGTGCCATCCGCAATAGTCCGGACGCCCGGGCAGTTTGTCCGCGCAAGGTTGGAATCACTGTGGGAGACTGAGCCGCAAGGGAGCTCACCAGACGCGAAGATAGATAGTGGTAGACGTCAAGGTGTGATAGCCCCGGGATGGAATGTATGTCACAGAAAGCAAGGGTGGGCGTTTCACAAAGGAAGGCAAGGGAGTCAGAGACGTGGAATGTCTAGGTCAATTCGTTGATCAACGTTGGGCTTTCCGAGCCAGAAAATCCACCTTATTTCGCAAGGACCAGCCAAGTGTAACCCAGCTCTGCCAGAGGTAGAAGATTAGAAAAGGAAATCCAGATGCAAGTCATTGTCCCCCTTGGGGGGAAAATCCCCTCAACTCTAGAAAATCAAGACCGAAGAAAGCCAGGGCCTTGGCATCCCAGTGGTCTCCAGCTCACCCCCTAAATCTCCTCGTTGTAGGCGCGAGCTTGCTCCATCTGGGCCCGGGCCGCCTCCCAGGCAAGCATCTCCTCAGGGGTCTCGGAATATTCGTCGGCCGGGGTGCTCTCCAGGCCCTCGTAGTACTCCAGGTCGCCATAGACCGGGATGTCGTTCTCACCCGGGGCGTCAGTGTCAGTCAGGCCGTCGTCCGGGGCGGCGGCCTCAGCGGCAGCGGCAGCCTCAGCGGCAGCGGCAGCCTCAGCGGCAGCGGCGGCCTTGGCAGCGGCGGCGGCGGCGCCCTTGCCCTGGCCCTTCCTGGGGGTGGCGGTCTTGCGCTTCTTCTCGACGGAGTCCTGGGCGGAACCGTTGGGACCGCGCTTACGAGGGGTGACCTTGGCAGTGGCTGGGGTAGAGAAGCGGAGCTTGCGCTTGATCTGGCCAAAGCGGACCTGCGGGTATGTGTGAGTAACGAGGTGAATTCTGAGCCGAGCGTGACGGCGTCGTTGCGGCCATGGGAAGGTACATACCTTGGCGGTCTCGGCATTCTTGAAACCAATCTCCTCGGCGACCGCGTCCCAGTTGGTTTCGGGTTTGTTCACCTGGTTCCGGAGGATGCTCAGGAAGAAATAAGCCTCCTGGACGGTAGGCGAGGGCGGTCCATCGGAGTCGCTCCCGGGGTTACCGGGGGCACCTGGGGTGCTGAGGCTGCCGGACGGGCTAGCATCGGTCGTCTTGGTGGTCTTCTTCTTTGGGGTAGTCATCATGACTGTAAGAGAGGTGGATTAGTCTGTCGCTCAGTACCTTGCTTTAGCTAAAATATAACTAATCGGGACCATGGGTTTGACTGGGTCTTGACTGGGAGCTGTGCCTTGTATTGTAGAGTACGGGGAAGGGTTAGGGAAGGGTTAGAATGAAAAGAGTCAGGAGGGGAAAGGTCAGGATGGGAAAGGTCTGGGTGGAAAACGCTCAGAGGGTATGCATCAGTTCTGGATAACTCTACCGAGGTCTCCAATACGATGGCATAATTCGGGAGGTCTTGGGGAGGAATAGTGAGAGGGCAGATGAAGTTCAGATCGACAGACGCAGGACGCGCGAGACGAGACCCTAAACCGGCAGGAGCGAGCGTAGTAACCCAGGATCGCGCGCCTCACATTTGTCTGGGGACGAGGGTGAAGTGCGTATGCTTACGGATAATAGCAAGAGCAACCCGAAAATCAGAGGTTGCAGTGGGTGGTTGGGCTGTTTTGGTTTGGGGAGATGGAGGGAGATAGGTAATGGAGGGGGATGATAGCAGGAGACGCGCATCTGGGTTGAGGATCTTACCCAGGTGAAGAAGACGGTCTTCAGAATCCTTAGGATGCAAATCGGCGAAGTGCGGTAATGAGCACGAGAAATAGGAAGCAGGAAGACCGAGTCCTCGTGCGAGAGATGTGAGGAGAGATGCTCGGGATCCTGCCAGGAGGTAAAGTTGCAATATGGAGGAGGATTGGCAAAGTTTGACGACCGGGCGATGATATTGTAGATGTAAATAAAGGAAAGGACGGACTGCGCGGTTTGATATCAACTTGAAGGCCTAGCCAACGAAGCGAGGAGTGGTGTTCAGTGGCAGAAAGCCTGGAAAAGGCGAAAGCTCTGCCTTACTTTCTTGGATACCTGCAGGCCCGCAGTTCGGTATGACTTGAAAGGAAAGTGGAAGGTGCTCGGGGCAGGGCGAGGTTCCGGGTCCGAGTCCGGGTTCAGGTCCGGAACCAGGTCCGGACCGGCCGGGGGTAGGTTCGAGACACTCGGCGAGAAGGAGAGCAAGTCACATATCCAAGGCCAGTGGCGAAAGACAATGAAGTTCGTGAAGCATCTAGACATTAGTGCCCGACTATTGTCCATCCTAGCAGCCCAGTTAAGAAACATGAGAGCCCGTTGCAGTTTAATGACCCGCATTTAGCAAGAGACAACTGTCTATCAACACATTATGGGACAGAAGGTGCTCACTTCTAACTCCCATCATGGCGTAGGCATAGGGGAGAACCTCGATTAAGCATGGCATGGCTTGATAGTATCCCAGATCTGAAATCAACGCGCTGCATGCAACAATACCCAGTACCCAGTTCGATCCAAATACCCCTTGCTCAAATGGTCTGCCACCAAGAATCGTGCCGCTGGCCACTCCCGGTATGCCGTCATACTTCATTGGTAACTCTGGGCGTCCCATTCCTCATGCTTCACCATAACGTGATTTCCGTTCCCATCTAAGAGGCCACCAGAAAAGGCGAGCTCATCGGCGGCTTGATGGTTGTGCTGATGTTCACAGAAGCCAGTCGTGTAAGTCGCCAAATCGTAGCCGACACCGAAGGCCGGGTAGGTTTGGGCCCGCGACCAGGACGTATGGTCGTGGTGGCTGTACTGCGAGGCCCCAGAGAGGTCGAATGATGCATCCGAATGCAACATATCGCTGTTTGGGCTGGCAGCAAAACATTGAGATGCTACCAGGACATCCGAGTCGCTGCAGGGGGTGAGAAGCCTTGCATGAAGCTGCGAATGCAGATCGGACGGGGGGACGGCACTCGATGCGAGTCCAGCCGTAGGGTTAGGCGAGGTCGACTCTGGCAGCGCCTGGACATGCTCCTGCTTGACCTTGGGCGATAAGACCTTGGATTCTTCCTTGACAGAAGTGTTCGGCACCGCCGGATCCTGCTTGATGCCGGGGTCCGCTTGCTTGCCCTTGGGCTGCTTCTTGGATTTGGACACTCGCGACTTGTTTGCGCTTGTCCGGTTGCGCCGCTGAGGCTCGAGGCCCAACATGGCAGAGCGGAACCGAGAGTACCGCATACGGGCGGCATGGCCGTTTGTGATCTCCTGGGCCAGAATCGGATCATGCGCCACCTTGTTCCAATCGATCTGGCCGAAGGTTTAGTTTCAGTGATTTCAGGGGAAATGGGCTGGGCTTAAAAACTACATCTTTGAGACATTTCTGCTGCAAGATTGCGAAGAGGAATCTGGTCATCGCATTGTCGTTGGCAGACATTTCGGCGGTTTTGGATCCTGCCTTCAACTGGAGAACAACAGCCGCCGAGGAGATCCTCCGGAACAGAAGCACGCAGTGGGAAGGAGGAGGAAGAGGGGGTCAATATGAACCCTAGGCTGGTTTGGTGGAGGGCGAGTAGGGCGAGTAGGGCGAGGAGGGGTGATCAGAGCCAAGCCTTACATTGGCCGGAATCCAGCCAGATGTTCGGATGTGGGGATGTGAGTCACTGGCAGCCTTGCTGTGAATATCGGTGAGGCGAGGCTGGGGGTAGTTATATGTCTGTTTCACCATAGAAAGATATTGGGAGCTGGGGGCCCAATGTGATGGCTCATGGCAATTACTTGGTCCATCAATTGAGGGGAGAAAGGAAGATCTCATTATATGGGCTAAAGTTTGAAGGCGCCATAGAAGAGGAATGGAAAGAGGCGATTGACAACTAGTTGTAGAGAAACTAGCAATAAAATGGGCTTAAGCTGAATGGCAGCCCACTTGCTTTTTGTGAGTTGCTCAGTCAATGGGGGGTAAGCATAAAGCGCCACGATAAGGGCTTCCAAGGGACGAGCATTTCTCCCCCACTCCTGTCTCCTTGTTTTTTGACCATGAATCAGCTTGCCCTGCTGGTTGGCCGCCTGCGATGATGCAAAGCTTTCTCACCGACTCAACAGAAATGCCAGACCAGACCCTGGCAGGAGTGTGTGGGGAATGGAGAGAGGGTGGGTGTGGTGGCAGCAAAGAGGTGGCGACGCGGCATGGCGGCACAACCGCGTAAAGTGGCTTCTCCGGGTATCCAGATCCCTGTTCCTCGGCCGGATAGTGGCAGCATTGCCCAAATCCGGCCAAATACCGCGGGGGCAGTTGGCTAACTTGCATAAGGTGCGCTCATTCCTTGGTGGCAATTTTGCCAATTTTCTCTTATCTCGGCGGGGTGGTGGCCGACTTGAGACGGTCGCTGCCGTTGGAGAAGGGCAAACAAACGACTAGTTTGGCAGGACAACGCAACCAACCCGGTGGTGCCATGCAAGGTTCAGGAACAGGATCGAGGTGCTGGGGTTTCAAAGATGGGGTGACTCACTCGAGTTGCACTTGCAAATTGAGGTGGTTGGGAGGGAAGCTAGTCTCCTCGATCTGATTGGCAAGCCAGGTTGCGAGATGTGGTGCGCGGCATTGAAAGACTCATCATTTTCATGATGATCCATGTCCGTTTGGTGTGTGACAGGAGAGCTTGTAAAAGTATGTACCGCCTAGAGTCTCAGTACCCCGCCTGTACATGAGGTCGCAACACCCCTCTTCCGTTTTTGGATGCAGATCATGGGAACGAGGAAAGCCATCATCCTCGAACGACTGTCGGCGTCAATTGAGCTGTATCAGCTTCAAGTTGCCTTGCAATGTTTCAAATAATCCATTTGAGGAAGTTTGAGAGGTTAGGTTGGCTTCTGAAGTAGTGGTTCGATTTAAGGTGGTCACCAAGACGACTTGGATGACAGCCGCGGAAAAGGAGGAGGTTGGAAAGGGGGACTAACACCGTGGCCTACATTCACACTGTGGGGCATCTCCTCCTTGGTAGTGTCGCGATATTGTCGCCAGGTCATGTGCCAAGTTCCTCAGAGAGCCTGACTGTCTGCCAGCTGGCGACCATCAGCCACCGTAATTCTATGATTGGCCGTTATCCCCACCAGCCACTTCACAGTTCGGACGGTTTCAGGCGCCGCACGTGACTGTTAAGCTAATGCACGAGCCCTCGAACCTTTTGTTTGAGCATTCGACCTCTCAGCTGCTCCCATCTCTACCAATTTCTAGGTTCCCTTAGCAATTTCCTTAGCAATTTCCATCTCGCACGTGGAATCATACGCCGTTAACTCCGCTATCCAAGCGAGTATAATAGACCGAGTCTCTTCAGGATGAACAAGAATTGGAACGACAGGGCCGATAAGGACCTCTTCTTCACCATCCTGTCGGTTAAGAACATTGGCGTCATCAGCGGGGCAGAATGGACCACCATAGGCAACCACATGCGCACCCTTGGCTATGGCTTCACCAATGAAGGATGCCGGTGAGTCTCTCGATGCCACTTTACGTGAGCTTAATCATCATGCGGTCGGTTTCATACCTGTTGAGCCTGGTCGTTCGTTGCCTTGTTTTGTGCCATCTCATCCTCGAGTCCTCGACTTCGAATGCCAAGTTGGCTTGTGCTCCCACACCCTCTGCCATCTATCCAGGGCTGGGTTTCATGAAGCTACGCGCGCGATGAGGCAGGAGGGGGAACCCCAACCTTCTACTTTGCCGTCTTGTTTATTATTGCTCCTTTGATTGATTTGATACATGCCTGACTTGCTCCGCTGAACCTGCGTTTGTTTTGCTGGCGGCTCTGCGGCGCTAATGCACCGGATTCTTCTTTCTTGGGCTGAACCCCGAGTGCTGACATGAAGAACCAAGGCAACACTTCCAAGGGCTCCGGAGGGCCCAGAACAAAGTCGAGTCAAATGGCTCGCCGGGTGATAGCGCAAGGAGCTCAGACCCGACGCTCAATCCCATTACTCGTCGACCGGGCCCGGGCCGGGGTAGGCCACGCAAGTCCGTGCCAGCTCCGTTTTCAGAGTTGACCCAAGACTCAGGTCAACAGCTTCAAGGGCCTCTCGAAGCTCAACCCCAACACCAAAAGGACGTTTCTGCAGGAGCTTCCGCGTCCGCAACTTCGACATCGCCAACAAAGAGCGATCCCCTGGCAGTGGACCCCGGACTTGAGGATCCGGATGAGCAAGTGGCCAAGCGGCCGAGACTCGACGAAAATCAAGATCCGTCCTTGGAGGACGAGGCCGTCTTGAACGCGCTAGCTGGCCACGGCAACCCAACCCCGGTAGATCATTATGCACCTGAGTAAGTCGTGCTGTTCCTCCCGTGGTCCGTGTGCCTACGCGTACACTAGTGCTAATGACCATATAGTTTTAGCTATGGCGAAGCCTAGTAAGTATAGGCTTCCAAAATTGCGATGAAGGGACCCGCGAGCGTGGGGCTCACTCACACCCTATCCAAGCCCTTACGGGGCGCCGTCTTCAAGACCTCCTTAAACGAATGTCTGGGTTGATAGCGGCTACTCTGGCTTCGAGCTTTGCTTCTTTTTCGGGTTTTCTTTTTCCCTGGCGGGTTGCTGGAGTTTTGGAGCTCTTACTCAAGGCATGGTTGCGGGGAACGGAGAACGGAGAACATCAGGCGATTAGTCCCTTACCGATCAACAGTGCTTTATATCCCTTGTCTAGGTAGGCACTTATGCTATGGCTCCCCAATGTAACTGACAATAATGGTGATGATGGTGGCACCCCACCCCTTGTCGATGGCACTTGGACCCGTCACCAGTCTCGTCCCCTTTGCTAAGATGCACAAGTATTTTGGATTGTCCCAGACAGTGATACAGCACAGCACATGCACCGAGATCCTGGAGGGCAAGGCATGGCAGAAGTGGTCATTTGAGGAAGCTCAGGCCAGACTTAAGCTCCTTCCGCTTCCACCCTCTTCCGCTTTCTCGCTTGCTCGGCCTTCGACGACTTCACCCTACCTACATGTACTATAAGTACACTCCCTTTCAACCTTCCAGGGCTTCCTCCCACACCACTTTTTTTCAACCTTCAGCAACTTCATCCTCGACCTTGCATTGTTCTCACAACAAAATATTCACGTAGCCAGCCAGCCACCTGCGAGACAGCCATGGCTCCCCCATCCACCGACCCGACGGCCCCAAAGGCCCACAAGGCCCTAACTGATGAGAAGCTCGCCAAGCCTGAGAGCAAGTGGAATAGCGAGTCCCACGCTGCACTCTGCGGTGCCCTGGCCGATGCCCTTGCTGCCTCAGGTAGCAGTACTACTTCGCATCGCCAGGAGATCCATAGTGCCCTTCTGGAGAAGGGGTTTACCTTCACCTGGGAGGCTATCAGGTAAGAGCAGATATCCTTGGTCACCTTTTCCAAAATCCAAACAACCACCCATCATCTTTCCCCTCCACAACACCACTCAAAAGATCAACCACCCATCTGCCGGCAATACTTCCCTTCTTCATCGTTTTCACCTACTGCTGCCCTCATTTGGACATTATCAACTCCCTCCCTTGCTTTCATCATGCCAAAGTGGGATGAACAGGCCTCGGCCGACCTTTTGACTGCCCTCTATGCTGGGGTGCAGGCCCATTTGACCAGAGAAGTCCAAGGGGAAATTGTGAACTTTATGAAAGCCAAGGGTTATGCTGATGTCCATTGGGACTCGATTCGGTGCGGAGTTTTTCCTTTCCTTTACTTTCACCTTCCTTTCTCTTCTCCATTGGGGGCCTTAGTTGGCTGTACAATCCCCTTGTCGTCCTTCCTTTTCCTCCTTCCTCCGTCTGGCTCTCACAAACCACCTCGTGCAAAGGCTATTCTGCCACAACCAACACAGCCTGCTGAGGACACCATTATCTTCCTCCTTTGTTTTCTACGCTATCACATCATGACCAAGTTTGGCGAGGTCAAAGGTGATCTCTTTGAGGTCCTCTACCTCGTGACCCAACCCGCTGTTACGGTTGAGCAGAGGGAAGAGATCGTGGCTCTCATGCAGGAACGTGGCCACGATATGGGCTGGAATGCCATCCGGTAAGCTTGCGAGCTGATTCACCCGTACCAAGCCACCTTTTCTGCTCCCTGAGGCCGGTCCTTCCTACCATTTTGGCAGCATGGAGCTGGCCTTGTCAGAATGGTCTCAGGTCGAGCAAACCTGACATAACCAAGGCACCGCCTTGGCGAGCCTGGCCTCACACGTCTCGCTGTCTTGATAGAAACTAAGTGGTACTTGCTTGATTCTCTTCCCCGCTCTCCCTCGTATTTCACCCACATTTCGCTGTCTTCTCTGCCAGATTCGGCTGCTTCTGCAACTTTCCGCCATCAGTCACGACTCGCCCTCCGTCTACTTTCCATTTCCCAATAGCAACAACACCAGCACAAATCCTCTCCATTTGAAGATGGCGACACCGTCGAAGGCCACCGTTTGGGATGACCGGGCCCATCTCATCCTCCTGCAGGCGATCGTCCAAGAGGCCTCGATCAACGCCCCGGAGTGGGACAGAATTATCCAATATACACGCCAGTTTGGGTATAACTATACCATGGGCGCTGCCACGTATTCTCACCCTTTCCTCATCCTTCTCTCTTGTCATTTTCAGCGAACTCTCCCTCGTTACTTCCCTCTGCTTCTAGTGCCTGCCTGCGGCATCCAGAAGGTGTCCTCTGAGCCTCAGAATCCCTCCCCATACCTTGACCAACCTTGACCAAACAACAGACATCACTACCACCAAGTGGTAATCTTATCAACCAATATCCTTTCTCGCCATCATCGCCGCGACAAGTTTTACACACAACATCATAATTCCTACCTTACCGCCTTGCATATTAGTATCCCTGCAACATGTCGTCCGATCGCATGAACTGGGATCATGCCGCCGATCGAGACCTCATCGGCGCGATCGCCGACGAAGTCGCCCCAACACAGGAGCAGTTGCGTGCTGTGACAACACGTCTGGGCGCCATGGGCTACACTTGCACCGTCAAGGCTGTCACGTACTGACTTCACTTTCTCACTTCTGCTTCCCCCTCACATGATTCCATTCTTCCTTCCTTCCTTTAGAAACGGCTTCCTCACTGTGGTACTGACATCTCCTTCAGGCAGCATCTCCAGAAGCTCCGTCGAAAGGAAGTCTCCGGCGAAGGCTCCAGCGCCCCTGCCACCCCGAAGACTCCGGTGACCAAGAAGCGAAACCCGGCTGCCAAGAAGACCCCTGCTTCCGGCAAGGGCAAGGGAAAGCGCAAGATGGCGACCGATACCGTCCGTCCCGAGGACCATGGCGAGGACGACGATGAGGAGAGCCCCATCAAGAAGATGAAGGACGAGGATGGCACCCCCGTCAAGCGCGAGTCCAACGTCAAGAAAGAGGACCCCGAGAACAAGGAGGCCAAGTATGCACACCCCGATCTTGCAAGCTTTATATTCGCATGTTGCTGACTCGAGACTGCTCATTAGGCCCTTCGCGTTCGAGGAGGTTATCTAGGCCATCGGCTCTTCTGCATCGACATTCCCCAGATATGGCACGACGGAGACTTTCTTAAGCGAAGGAATCCCGGTCACCGATGGATGGGACACGATCGCTGCGTCTTCTTTGGTTGGTTGTCCATGGATATCACGGACCGGGGTTTTCTGAGGGAGGATTTTCTTAAGGGGGGAATTTTTCTTGTGGAGGACTCTGGGACTGATGGGACGGGGCATCACCATACATTGCTTTCTGCGATTTTCATCCCGGGGTTCCCGGAAGGGGGCGATAGCTTATTGCTGCCCGGCGCCACGAACATGGTCCGTCTCTAGCCTAGCTTTCGTCATGGAATAAGACATTGACTCCGTCCGACCTTCTAACTTGGACATCGTATCCGTACTCGTGAAGCCATGCCACGCCGCCTTCGTAAATCACCACGTAACCTGCAGCCGTTGGGATGCGCGGTGGCGGGTGCGGTGCCCCCCGCTTCAGCCGCTTGGCTTGTCCTGTGTGACTTCCTTACCATCAGTGCTCCTCATAGACCCCGAAGAAGATGTCTAAGATAACCGGATGTTTGCGTGTTTGGGAGAGGGAAGTCTAGGTATGGAAACACCACAGTTGGACACTATCGAATTTGGAAGGAACGACGTGATGATGAAACTTGACCGGAAATGGTTGGACAGTACACCTCTCGGAATGCGGTTAGAGGACAAGCAGCTTGGCGCACGAGACTGTCACGATGAATTGGGAATCAAATGGGATTTCGATGGTTATCTGCAAAGCGAGTCCCCTCAATATTGAAGTGTGTCAAAACCAAAGGTCAAGAAAGAGCCCGGCCGCGTCCAACCAAGTCCGGCGTGGGTATGCGTGTATGCAGCTCTCTAAAAATCCCAAACGCATCCATACCCAGCTGCCAGACGAAGAAGGCTGCAACTCAAACCCATCCACGGGGGGCAGGCCAGATCAGACGACGCCGGCGTCCCCCTTGTCCTGGTGGCCAATCTCCTCATCCGTGTCCTCCGGCTCAGGCTTGATGATTTCCTTGCGGGGCCTGTGGTTGGGAAGCTTCTTGCGCTGGCGGGGCGTGGGACTCTCGCCGACGAGCCCGACCCCGACCTCGGCACCGGCGTCAGCATCCCCCTCCTTCTCGAGGCCAGCTCCCCCCTCCTTGGCAGCACCACCAGCCTTGCTCGCACCACCAACAACAGGCGTAACAACCTTCCTACCCCTCGGGGTCCGTTTGGGAGTGCGCTTAGTGACCTTTGCCGGGGAAGGGGAAGACCCAACGACTCCGCCCGTGCCGCCGCCGTCGTCGTTGTTGTTGTTGTTCTCCTCCTTCCAGCCGAACTTGTTCTTGATCTGGCGCCAGCGCTCCTTGGTGCACTTCACGTCCTTGAGGGCCAGGGCGGCGGCGACGGCGGCCCAGTCCACGTCGGGCTTGGCGATGAAGTTGGACAGGACGGCGTTGACGAACTTGAGCTCGCTCTCCGTCACGGTCTTGCCGTTCAGGCCGGGCCCGCCCCCGCCGCTGCTGGTAGTGGCGGTGGTGTCGTTGGGGGTGGTGGGTTTCTTGGGGGGCATGGTGGTGGCGGTCGTGAGGCTTGGCTGTGGGGACGGTTAGTGGGGATGGGCTTCAGAAAGGAGCGCGCGTGAGGCAGCTTAGGTTGGGGTACAGGATCTCTGGCATGGGTACCGAACAGGGTTTTCAGTACGCGGAGGGGATTGCTGGGAGGAGATTGCTCGGGCAAGGGATGGAGGGTGAATATGCCGACGAGATATGCGGTTCAGAGGGACGAGGGCAGAGTGAAGCAGGGGAATCCGCAATCTTGGTGGGGAGTTTGAGAATAGAATGCTATCCGGAGGAGCACGTAGGGAGTGCTGGATATGTCACTTACTAGCTTGGTTTCTCCTGCCATCTCTCTCTCCTCGCGACTTGGATGCCTCTCGGTAGGAAGATACTGGATTTCCCCTGATGAGATAGTCAAGGTAGGGGTAAATCGTATGGTATATGTGGTGAGAAAGGATTGTGGGCTACGCTTGGTTGATAGAAGTGTAGTGGCAGAAGGATGGATTGGAGAAGGTGCTCGCAAGAGACCCGGGCATTCGAAGACCTTGCAGAAACTTCCGCATGTTTCCGGGGGCACCGAGGGCTACACTTGATAATATCAGCTCCCATACTCGAGACAATGGCTTCGTATCTCCATTTGTAAACCTCGATGGCGATGGCGATGTGGATGCCGATGGCGATCGCACACATCATCTTGAAAGGAAGGACCACGGGTCACAGATTGGGTAGTCTTCTTCAATTCGGGCCACATGAAAACCATCAAGGCCCCTCAATATAAGGTGTATGAGTAACACATAACAGTGGCCTTCAACTATCTTGGTCGAGTTCTCTAGTGGGAGTGGTTGGTGTCTGTATCCCAACTCAGGGGTACCTACCTTCGCCCCCTTAAAAGTCACAATAATAGTCACCACGAGATCCAGCGTAGTTTACAAAGATGCAGATACTCTTGAGGAGGCAAGTATCTAGGCCCCAGCCATTTAGCTATTTCCACTGCGCTACTTATTGATAGGGATATGCCCAAAGACCAGACTGAAAGCCCCTGGACCGAACATGCGAACCAGGAACTTGGTTTCAAGCTTATGGAGGGGATAGGAAGTGTGAATGCGAAATCTTTGTGTTTCATCAAACGATGGCAAATGAACTACCTGCTTGCTTGTAGTTTCTAAAGGTACTCAAAGCCGAAATACTCCTGAGATAATGCTCTGCTGATGGTTATCTCAGGTCCCTTATGGGGAGGCATCAAAGAGCTCCCAACACAACAGGCCATTGAGCATGGACAATAGATGCCACTTCAATTCCTTTTCCCTAAAAGTTACAGAGCATCGCTCCTACCTACCTTGTCTGTTAGCCCAAAGGCTCTAGGCTAGGCTGGACTGAACCTTGAGGTGTCGGTTGGATGAAGATGTAGCTCCATTCCTGGCAGGCATAGCTTATGCCACCCAAAAAGATATATTTTAAGACACGTTCTGACCGCTCATTTGATCTGGATTGTCACTGCCTAGTACAGCAACGAGTACAAGACCGGGTGCCCTGACTTTCGTTCAGAGACACCTCACGCCCCTCTTGAGTCTGGAAGATAGCCTACCCAGAACTGAATGTGCCTCTCAGATTCCTTCTAGCTCTCCCACTCACCCCACTTCAAGACTCAGATATGCTTGAGGTCTAGACAAGCCCGAGAACAGACGTCTGATATCCACACCCTGTGCCCCGAGGGCCACGGCATATCACCCTTCATCCTCAAATCTCAAACCCACCCACCTGTCTCTCCACCAAACCACAGACTGAAGACTGCCTTCTTCTTGCCGCATCATACCTTCCATCAATCATCACTGCCTTTACCTATCCGAATCTTCATCAAGGTAAGTAATATATTTTGAGCAAGCATCGACTCCGAGGGAAAATCAAAGATTGGCTTCGAGTCTTGGAGCTGGCTTGACAACCGTATGCTGACACTGGTCCACAGTCACTGCCAAGATGCCTTTGGACACCGAGAGCCAGTTCAAATTCTTGGTCTCATGCATCAAGCATTCGACCGCCGGCAAGGTAAGCCTACCTCCAATTCAAAATGACCAACCCTGCCATGCCGAGACTAACTTCAAGACAGGTCGATTTTGTTGCCGTTGCGAACGAGCTTCAGATTGTCTCCAAGGCCGCCGCGTAAGTCCCTCCCAAAACAGACCCCCATAATGTGTGCACCGGACGTCAGTTTGGAATTGCCTGCTGGATTTCTCAGACCAAGAAGGGCTTGCGCTGATGAACTATTCATTTACGCAGGGCTAAACGCTATGAACGGCTCCTGAAGGCTCACGGCGTTGCCCCCGGAGGCGGCAACCGCGCCAACACCGCGGGCCCCAAATCCGCCGGCACGTCGCCCGCCCCCAAGCGCGCTGCTGCCAAGAAGCGCAAGATGGCATCTGCCGACTCGGATGACGACGAGGACGTCAAGCCGGAGGACCTTAGTTTCAAGATTGAGACTGAGGCTAAGAAGCCGGCCAAGGCGACGGCCAAGACGACGGCCAAGAAGGAGAGCAAGGCCAAGAAGGAGAAGATCGAGGTGGAGGTCTACCATGACGGTTCGTCGATACTAAATACTATCCCGGAAGCTCCTCCTCAAGTTGGCGAAAGCGGCGGCGAGGACGACCCTTGCCTACTCTGCACGACGGAGCAGGCAAACGGATACGCGTCGGCCTTCGACAACGGCGGAGCCTCGAAACTGTCGAATTCCATCGCCGGGATCCACTCGTTTGACTATGCGGCTAACATGAATTTCCACCCACAGACGATGATGACAGCATCTGAAGACCACAAGCCGGACTTTACCGGCTCTGCTTGGCTTCCAACCCCGGAGCCACATCACTTTTATTGGGGCATGGTCCACCATGAGTCTTCTGACAATGGTCACCAACCATAGGGATTAGGATCACGGGGGATGATAGGATGCGAGAGAGGATGGTGGTAATGGTGATTATTAACTTTGGGAGGTGACAATAACGGTCCATGGTTTTCTATTAGAAGTGGCTGTATCAGCATCGCTAATTCGAGACCATCTGACGTTCTGATCGATGCCCTTGCCCACAGTGATGCTGATGATGATGATGATGGTGATGACGTGACAGAGGTTAGCCGCCGTTACTTCATACCAAACAGCCCGGTTAAGCACCATAGCTTGGATCTGCAATGTCGGACTTGATATGTTAATCCAAGAGGGTGGGCAGCTGATCCCACTGAGAGCAACACGCCCTCCCCGCATGCTGTTGATGACTTGATCTTGCCGATCCGGGATGGTAATTCCTGTCATGTACTTTAGAAGTTCCGGACCCGGAAATTCAAAGGGGATTCCACGACCCCTTCTTTGTCACGGATGTTTGACTGAGCCCAATTTCGTCCTCGAATTCCACATGAGTGGTGATGTGTGTTCCTTCCTGCCAGGAATAGCCTGCTGGTGCGGTAGGGGAGATTTCCACTCTGATTGGCCCCTATCGATCATCCCCTTGACCCACCTCAACAGAGCCGCCAACTTAATTTCAACTTGACCACCTCCTCCTCCCCTGTCTAACTCCTGTCTCCAGCATCATCTTGCATAAGCTGACGCAAAACGTCAATGTGACATTTCTACCACGTAGGTCAAGTTTGGCAACGTCTCGTACGATAAAAACGACACTGCTTTCTGCTCCTGGGTGTCAATCTCAAGCGAGATGATCCCGGTCACCTTCTCCTTATCCAATTGATGCGCAAGCCCAAATGGAGAGAAAGATAATTGGATCGATGGCATCTTTCCGCAACCGGAATGTGGAGAGGAGGCAATATCTAGGTGTTATTTGAATCTCACAGTATTGGTCGTTCTTTGTTCTCTCAGTATTTTCTTACTCGGAGGTTCACCCCCTATTCATGTGGCCCGTGCACTCGTCTCCTTGACTCGAAATGCTGCGGTGAAGGAAGCGTGTACCTGTACTTGGATCGAGGATAGGGCACTCCTATTGTCTATTACGCTCAATAGGACCTTATATCACAATTGACCCCGTTTTATGACACCATATTTCTCTCCCGCCCTCCTGCTCGAGAGTTCCCCCGCCCACCTGAAAAACTCTCCCGTGGGTCCATCTTACCTTTGCCTATCTTCAATATTACATCTCCAACCCTGTTTACCATGTCGCCTACTTCATAACCTACCAAGTTCACAATACGTCCAGCGGTTCGTACTTCCTCCCCGGCGTTATGCTTTCCTCCACCAAAATATCATCATCATTGTTGTCATACCGTGGCCTCATAGTAATATCATATCTAGCTATCCTGGACCATCAACCCGTGGTCACGGCACAAGATGGACGAAACCGAGTGCCACTATGCAGATTATGCTTGGGATTCGACTGCGGACTCGGGCGAAGATCAGAATGACCACCCGATGGATGGCGAGTTCGGCGGCCTGTGCCCAGAGGCTATCGAGTCGGCAGACCTATTCCAGCATCCTCAGAACGATCGATCTTCATATCCGGTGATCGTGGCAGCAGACCTATTCCAGCATCCTCAGTCATACCAATCTTCCTGCCCGACAACGCCTGCAAGCAGCACGTTCTCCGGTTCGACAATATCTCCTCAGGTCGTTGTCAATGGCGTTCCTCACACCGCCGGCGAGGTTCGACTCATGGCAGAGTTACTCACCCAGGCTCGACAAAACAGCGAATTGCCGCCTTCAAAATACCCAAGCTCAAATGCCGTTTCCATCGTCGAGGACTGGAATAAGCTGAGAGCCCTCCGAGAAGCACGTGGAGACCCAGCACTTGCGCCGCCCGAAGCTTACCTCAACCTGCGAGTCACCATCGCCCAAGATATGCGAGATCGTGACGTCAGGCTGGAGCAGGAAGCCGAGGACCAGAGAGGGAATCATTTCGTGAACTCTGCGTTAGCAGTGATCCAGGATCGAGGTCGACTCGCCGAGATCGTTCAAAGCGCCGTTTCCAAAGTTGACGGCCATGGGGCCAACAATGTCCCCGAGGTTGATATTCGTGCTGTCTCCGAACACCTCCAAGCCATAGTAGAGAACACCATGCTTGACTCATCCTCCCAACTGCGTTCTAATATCAGCCGCATGGATGGCCAAATCGACGCCCTCAAAGCCCAGATCGATGTCTTGACCGGCGCAGCCAACGGACAATTGGGAACCCTGGCCGTCGCTGCCAATACGATTCCTGGCACTGCCCATGGACATATTTATGATGCCATGCGGCACGCACTTAGAGACGTTATGGCCGAGGCTCTTCGGACAGTCGAATTTTCTGCGCAAGCTTCCCGATCTCGGCACCCCTTCCCCGCCTTAGCTCAAACCCCCTTTCAAGATCGACCGAGTGTAGGACCCCATCATACACAGGGCGGCGCTTTAGGACTGGTTGCCCTGCATAAAGACAAAGTTACTCCGGCAATAAGGACTCGGAAGCCACGAGGCCATCGGCCTACGCGCCTGAAGGAATATATGGGGAAGCTGTTCACCAAGAAGGAAACCGAGGATTTGCCCTGAGCAGCAACTGCGAATCGAAGGGTACATGGATATATATATCTCATCCCTTCGTACACTCGCGGACTTTTTTCTCGTCAAAGGGGCTGTTCAATCGTCGGTTATCGGGCTTTCGGAGAGCACATCGTTGGCTTACTCGCTGTCGGGGAGGAGTCGAGGACAATCATGAATTTGGGATTTGGAAGCAGGGCATGCTGTTGGGGTCGCGGTCAACGATACACACCCGGGAAGAAGGATGCTATCTAGCAGGAGTCTCTTGATGACCCATCAAGTGTCGCAGGGAGACGAATGGACCTGTGGTTCTCTGGCTTGTTTTTCTTATGTAGGTGTTTGGCACGTGAAATGGGTCCAATGGCGCGGGGGCCATGTTGGCATTGAAGGCGGTCAAGGGTCAGGAGTAAACAATGGTCCCTCTCACCTAGGTGACTTGTTGGATCTAGGTACACCGTTTGACCGCGGCGAGGGAGAGTCTGCTTGTTTTTACCCGAACTTCAAAATACACTCGAGACCTTGGCCACATCGATATCACAAATCCGAATCACTTGTACCATCCATCGTCACGGCATCTATCATCACCACATTCAATCGACCTCGCGAAGCTTACGAGGGGTCTTGATTCCATTCTACGGAGCAGGTATCTTTGGAGAATAACAATCAGTCAGCTTCGTCCTTCCGGGGCAACGAGTCTTCGGTATGCTCTCCTCCTCGTCTTCACCCAAGAAAACCCCCTACTAGGTGTACCCCTACCCACCACACCACTCGCGTCTCCTGGAGAAACCACATTCACCTCCACCTTCCTTTCCACCTGCAATCACAATATCCACTGGCCTACAAATATCTGCCCTTCCTTCTCTTCTTACTCCTCTCTCCCCTCACCACACTCAACACACATCTTCCAGAACCATAACAACAAACCCATCATCGCATCGTAAACATACCTCCCCTACCGCGAGAATCTGAAGAGTGGTCGACTCTAATCGACTGACTTCCTCAAGCCTCGCTAGCTCTACTACGTAAGACCTCCCAGGCTCTTCAGATCCGCGCAGTCCTGCAGGCTTTTTCCAATATCCGAAAATCAAGCCAAATTCTCGCGATATCGAGGACACCCGGTCAGCTAACTCACGCCTTCGCAGATGCCCAGAGCATCATCCCCCACCTCTATCCCTTCCACATTCTTCCTACGACTGCCCAGACATCGCACCGGCGTGCTCTGGACGGACATCAACTGAAAACCCCTATCTTTCTACAGTATCACAGACCAGGTAAGCCTCCAAATTCAGCCGTCATTCCGATATCAAACACTCGGGGCCCTCGCCTTCGCCGGTCACCCCGACAGGACTCTGCTTCTTCCTCGCGGTCTGCCCTCTCCCCCCAAACGACACCTCGATACCGCTTATCTCTTCACTATTGTCCCCCTGCCACACTTTTCCTCCGTACCCACTTCGCCCACCTTCCCTCACTCCTCCATCCTACCTTCATCAACACTCATCTCCATAACCTCCCACCTCATCCTCACCTCTTCGGTGCCTCTGATTCTTTGCGTACGGCATCAGACTCTTCACATCCCGCCCCGCTGCGTACTTGAAGGCGATCTGCCTTTCCATATCTCCCAGGTAAAGAGTATTTGCTTACACTGTCCCGTGCCCCATCCCCGGGGCAACGCGGTATCAACCTAATCTTCTCCCTTCGTGCTGTCAAAATTTCCTTACCTCTGGGCATTCTACTTTACTATCATCAACTCGCTCTCTTCACCTTCTCCGTGGCAGTCTCCTACCCTCCCACTCTCCCCCCTCCCCGCCATTCTTTTCATCACATCCGCGAACTCATTCATCACCTTCTCTGCCCCTCCTCCTTCATCCATCTCATCAGAGGTTGCAGAAGCTCATCAAAGAGGGATATCGGAGTCTAACATGACGTCAGCTCTGATACTCTACGACAAACATGCCGTCGGCTAAGAAAACCCCAGCTAAGGCTGGAAAGACCGTCGCTAAGACGCGTCAGAACGAAACCCGCAAGGCTGTGACCTCCCCGGAGCTTACCACACCCACCCCGGGCAGAAAGAAGAAGACCCGAAAGGCGTGGCCGTACACTCATATCCCTCCCAAGCCCGAAGACACGGCCAGAAATGGTCGCCATGAGGGACGCAACTTGATCACTTGGACTCGTAAGTATCCCCCCACTGAGGCGAATGAGATATGTCTTTCTGACACATCTTGTGTGTCTGTCTTGTGAAGGTCCTCGTATGGCCGAGAAGTTGTTGCTCCACATCCAGTACGAATGCCATCGCTACAAGATTGACCTCCCTTGGGAGAGTATTTCCCATCGCCTGCATCCGGGCTCGTCCGGTGGTGCTATCATGCAGCACTTCAACCGACTTCGTTCGCACCTAGTCGCCGAAGGCCACCTCGTGCCTCCGGTCTGCCAGAAGCCCGGCACTGATGGTGCCGATGTGACTGTTCGTGGGTACATCCGGAAGTACCCCGACTCTGATGATACTGTCACCACGCGTGAGGTCCCCTTCACCGAGCCCATGGAGGATCGTAAGTTCAATCTGCCCGATGCCTACAACAACAAGCGCATCAGCACCAGTTTCAAGCGTGAGCAAATGGGCGGTCGAAAGCGCAAGGGTAAGGCCACGGGCGCCGCTGTGAAGCGATCCAAGACTGCCTCGCCCGAGGTCGACTTGGCCGACCTTGATAGTGATGGCGACTATAATCCCGGCCGCGAGACCCGGTCCATCAGCGTTCGTCGCTCTAGCCGATCCAAGATGACTAGATCGTTCATCGAGGACCACGATGACCACGATGACCACGAGGAACTCGAGGCGAGCTTCGGAGCTGAGCAGGACGTCGAATCCGATGACGACGATGACCAGACCGGCGAAGAGGCCGATGATGAAGCCGAGCAAACTGGTATCGAGGATGAAACCGAGCACACCGGTATCGAGGATGAAGCTGAGGGCACCGGTGTCTATGCTGAATACGAGATTGATGTGATCGATGGCGACGAAGACGATTATAGCGAGGACGGCACCGAGGATGGCGAAGTCGATGTATGTCTCCTACCAACAGTCCAGATCCCCCTGTTTCATTGATATAGTGCTGATGAATCATCTACAGGTTGTCAACGATCCACCTGCTCCCGTCAGCCTTCCGGTTCCTAAGCAGGAGCCCTCGGAGAACTCCGATTTCTTCAACAATGCCGTCCCGTATAACAACAACGACATGATGTACGCCAACTCTCACAATGGCATGATGAACGCCAACTCTCATGGCGGCATGATGAACGCCAACCCTCATGGCGGCATGATGAACGTCAACCCTCATGGCGGCATGATGAATATCGGCTATCACAACGGCATGATGAACGCCAACCATCACAACGGGATGATGACCACCAACTATCACCACGGCATGATGAATTTCAACCCCCAAAACGGCATGATGTATACCGGCCCTAGTGGTTTGGAGTATGTCGCCTCTGCCAGCGGCAATGACTATGTCCCATACAACTATGCCCGGGTTGGCCAGTATGCATTCCAGCACCCTGGTCAGGTCACTTTCGGACATGGCTCGGTTTCCCACACGAGCTCCTACTCTCCAGAGTCTATCAATGGTCCGGCGCCCCATGGCTCTGGAGGCATCGACCCCATGGCGAGCAATCACCAGATTCCTCACGGCCTGCCTGTTCCGCAGCACCAGTTTGGCCACTCTCTCGTGCAGAATGCCGGTGCCTGGGTCAATGGTCTTGAATGCATCGAAGACCCTTTCTATGGTTTCAGCAATGGTGACGATAACGAGTGCGATGACAAGTCCAGTGTCCAACACTAAGTCACTATGTTTTTGGTAAGTATCTACTGATTCCCAGTAACAAATTTCGCCAGACTAACGCTGGTTCCTTAGACATCTATTGGATGATCAGGCCCCTCGAGGGTTATTTCGACATTGCGAACTCAGAATCGAGAACGAATCATGTGACAGCTTCACATTGCAACAAGCCATACCCGACCTGCCTTCTGTGCCGTCGAAGTCAAGACAAGTTCTTCCCGCATACAAAGAAGGAGACTTCTCGGACACATCGAGCTGCAAAGACAAGTGGGCACGGAAAAGGAAGGAAACCAAACATTCCTCACTGGCTGTCTTGTTACGCCGTATTTTCCTTTTCTCTTTTTTCTTTTCACAACAGATTGGCTTGGAACTTTGGCAGACCTTCATGGTCGATATGCCTTGGACACAAGAGCCTCTTCTGGCTTCCCAGAGGACATTCTCAAGCCGCCTTGGTGATGGCAAACACCAGGAATAATGACTTGGTAATCTTTTTCCTTTGGCATTTCCCTTTCTTTCCATCTCTTTCCTTTCGGCAATTGGGATTTCATATCCTGCCGACTCAAGTACCTTTCCTTTCCTTCTGGCAATTGGGATTTCGTATCCTGCCAACTCGAGCAACTTTCCTTTCCCGTGTCGTTTCTCGAGATGATTGACGAGAATGAACATTGATGAGCAATGGCGTACACCGGCAAAAATGGTAGATCGATAGATGTGGCAGCAATGCCCTGGATGGATCAAGAATTGTTGGCAGCAATGCCAGGATGGGTCAAAAGACGCCCGGCGAGGATGCCAGGGTGGATCAAAAGGCACACGGTGAGGACGTCTAGATTTTGCTTGTGACGATAGCCTCATTGCATAGATTGTCAAAATAGAAATGAGACTTCTTTCTAAACATCTCCTGCTGTTGCTCTTAACATATGGTTGTGTTGCCTTTGTCAGATGAATCTACCGATACCGAGGCGTTTCCAAAGCCACGGTATTGCGGGGCGTTTGATCAATATATCTCTGTAGATGATGGATTGGCTTTCCATGTCGACATTTTGCTGACCTTCGATTAACCTATGCATCAGCTTGAGCTGATAAATACCGAGGTTGGGAGTGCCCAGATCCTTGATCTTACTTCTGCTTGAGTTGGACCTCGCAACGCACCACAGAGTAACATCACAAAGATACAGAAATGTTCATCACAGGCAAGTATTCCCTGACAGGATTGACATGAAGGATAGGAAGGACTCCCACTAAAAGCATTTGTTTCTGAAGCGTCAATGGCAGAGGAAGCGGAAGAATAGTAACCAACATAGTCGAGATTATATGTAAAAAAAAGGGGGACTAAAATCATTTATTTCCACAAGGTTGCAAACACCAAGCAGGCATCTCACTGATGTAAATATGGCTATCTAACCCAGAGGGCGGTAGTGAGAAAATAGAGACACTTCACGGGAAAGCCTATATATATGGACAAGCCTGCGTCAAAAGGGGCATTGGATTTGATGATCTCGGCTCAGGGGTACCCCTGAATGCCGGGTTAACGGGATTCGAGTTGGTCAACGTCTGGAAAGGCGTGGTGGGCTGATATAAAATATACATGTGTAAACCAACTGGAATCGATCAATACTGGCGACGGCAATACGTCAAGCTTAGAGAATGGGAAGGGGGTATTCCTGTACCAGGCTTCGAGTGTCGGTTATGTTTCCGGGCCATTTGTTGTTGGCCCGTGGTTTGCCGAATTTCGAGAGAATGATGGTCGTCGATGTTCCTGCCCCACAGAAAGAAGTAGAACGACTCAGTCAAGGAACTAGTCCCAATCCGGAATAGCGGCTCCGAGCTTGGCCTTTTGAGATCATTGACAATTTTTTTTGGAGCTTCGGGTCTTCAGTCTCGAATTTCTCCCTTTCTTCGGCTTCCCAAGACTCTTTCGTAGAGCTTGATATTGATACCCTTTCATACCTTCTTTGCCCCAATATCTCTACCTATACACACATATCAACATGCAGCGCGCATTGACAAGTCGGGCAAGGGCTTCCGTCCTTTCCCCTTCCTCCGCAGCTTCGAAGTTCCGTCCTAGCACTGGCATCTCCCAGCAACTCCGGTTTGCTCACAAGGTACGTTCTCGGACTGACCATCCCTGGAGCTAGACTGCCAACGGAGCTGGAAGCTTCACATATCTCTAGAATCCAATTTGCTGACCACGTGTAATAGGACCTCAAATTCGGTGTCGAGGCTCGCGCATCCCTGCTTGCTGGTGTCGACACTCTTGCAAAGGCTGTAGCAACAACACTCGGTCCCAAGGGCCGGAATGTCCTGATTGAGTCCAGCTTTGGCTCACCCAAGATCACCAAAGGTTAGTTGAACCTCGCCGACTGGGAAAACCCCATGGGCTTTCCGACTTGCTGACACGTATCAGATGGTGTTACCGTTGCGAGGGCCATCAGCCTGAAGGATAAGTTCGAGAACCTCGGTGCCAAGCTGCTGCAAGATGTTGCCTCGAAGACGAACGAGACCGCTGGTGACGGCACCACCACCGCCACCGTCCTGGCCCGAGCCATCTTCTCCGAGACCGTCAAGAACGTGGCCGCCGGCTGCAACCCGATGGATCTCCGCCGAGGCATCCAGGCCGCCGTCGACTCCGTCGTCGAGTATCTCCAAAAGCACAAGCGGGACATCACCACCAGCGCCGAGATCGCTCAGGTTGCCACCATCAGCGCCAACGGCGATAGCCACATTGGCGAGCTCATTGCCAATGCCATGGAGAAGGTTGGCAAGGAGGGTGTCATCACCGTCAAGGAGGGCAAGACCCTGCAGGATGAGCTGGAGATCACAGAGGGTATGCGATTCGACCGTGGTTTCGTCTCGCCCTACTTCATCACCGATTCCAAGGCCCAGAAGGTTGAATTCGAGAAGCCCCTGATTCTTCTTTCCGAGAAGAAGATCTCTGCGGTCCAAGACATCATCCCGGCTCTTGAAATCTCCACCCAGCTTCGACGACCCCTTGTTATCATCGCCGAGGACATTGAGGGAGAGGCCCTGGCTGTCTGCATCCTCAACAAATTGCGAGGTCAGCTCCAGGTCGCTGCCGTCAAGGCTCCTGGCTTTGGTGACAACCGGAAGTCGATCCTCGGAGACATTGCCATTCTCACCAATGGCACTGTCTTCAGCGATGAGCTGGATGTCAAGCTGGAGAAGGCTACGGTTGACATGCTGGGCTCAACTGGCTCCATCACCATCACCAAGGAGGACACCATCGTCCTGAACGGCGATGGCACCAAGGACTCTATTGCCCAGCGCTGCGAGCAAATCCGGGGTGTCATGGCTGACCCCACTACCTCGGAATACGAGAAGGAGAAGCTCCAGGAGCGGTTGGCCAAGCTGTCCGGCGGCGTTGCTGTCATCAAGGTCGGCGGCTCGTCCGAGGTCGAGGTCGGTGAGAAGAAGGACCGGTTTGTCGACGCGCTGAATGCCACGCGTGCTGCTGTTGAGGAGGGTATCCTCCCGGGTGGTGGTACCGCCCTCCTCAAGGCCTCTAGCCAGGCGCTGAAGGACCTCAAGCCTGCCAACTTCGACCAGCAGCTCGGTGTCAGCATCGTCAAGAACGCTATTACCCGGCCTGCCCGGACAATCGTTGAGAACGCCGGTCTCGAGGGCTCCGTCGTCGTTGGCAAGCTCATCGACGAGCATGGCGCCAACTTCAATATGGGCTTTGACAGCTCCAAGGGAGAGTACGTTGACATGATCCAAGCCGGTATCCTCGACCCCCTCAAGGTTGTCCGGACGGGGTTGATTGACGCCAGCGGTGTGGCCTCGCTCCTCGGCACCACCGAGGTGGCCATCGTCGAGGCCCCTGAGGAGAAGGGACCTGGTGGCGGCATGGGTATGGGTGGCATGGGAGGCATGGGAGGCATGGGCGGCATGGGTGGCATGATGTAAAACACTCCTGATCGGCCCTCTCCTTGTTATTTTTGTACGCTGTGCTAGGGACATTTGGCCTCGGTGTTTAGGGGGATGGGTTCAATGTGCCTGTATAATCTCTCCTCTCTTCCCTCACTGTGTTCATACCCTACATGTTCCCCAAAGGCATATCACCCCATGGCTTGGCCTGGATTTGTATATTAATATACCAAGACCAAAATGTGTTCGAGTAGAGAAGAATGAGAACTGGTGTATTCTGGTTTAAACATGCACCTGCTGGACGACGCTTTAAGGTTCCCTAGATTAGATGGGTGCGTTGGATCTCGTATTCCGACCAGTCGAGACTCCCCCCTTCACTCGTGTCAGCCTATGAAGTAGCTCTAGGCATCATCATTAGGTCTGGTTGGGATCGGGCTTGATAAGGAGGTGCCTGTTCGCAAAAATTGGGTACGAAGGCAACCAACTGAGTACCTAGGTACCTACGGTGTGGTTCCGTTGCCAAATCACGTGGCCGAACTGTATGTACTGTGCAGTACCTTGATCGAACGACCCTGCCCAAAACCGCTGCCCGTCTCACAGAGCAACGACGCAATCAACGCAAGCCCACCATAAGGTAACCCCACCCCCACCAGCCCACCATCCAGGCTCCGATGTTTTTCTCCTGCTCCCCTCCTCCTATTTAACAACCCGACCAACCCTTGTGCTCGCAAGTCGCATCTTCCAATTTTCGCCGACTACATCCAGATCCAGTGTGCCCAATCCAATCTTTTTTTCCCCGCCAGAGCTCTGAGCGCCGCCTTATCGTGAGTGCCCGTTGCCCATTTTCCCTGCTCGCCGTGTTCCCCCTCATTTAGACCTCTCTCTCCGTTCCAACTTCGCCATCATTGCTGACGAAAGGTCCCGAGCAGACCCCACAAACCTTCAAGGCCACCTTGACACACCGACATCATGGTAAGATCGTAGTACCTATTGGGGAGCTTGCGCATGCTGATTTTTGCGCTCTTTTACAGTCTCAATCAGGGTCAGTACTTCTCAATCCACCCCCTCTTCTGACCAACACTGCATCACGCCCCGCCTCGGCACAGAAACGACAGGACTCGAAAGCCTTGGACCAAATCCGTCGCATTGAGCACGCGAGAGGCTAACAGCGTATGCAGAGCCACCGTCTCTCCGGAGTGCATTGAGAGCTACAACAAGTTGAAGCTCGACAAGGTATACAAATACATTGTCTTCAAGCTCTCGGACGACAACAGGCAGATCGTCGTGGAGGAGGCCTCAGCCGATAAGGACTGGGACAGCTTCCGCGAAACCCTGATCAACGCCACGACCAAGTCCAAATCTGTATGCACTCCCCAGCCCACCGACTCTGTGTGGCAACCATACTGATCATGTATTGATAGGGTGCTGTCGGCAAGGGACCCCGCTACGCTGTTTACGACGTCGAATATCAGCTTGCCTCGGGCGAAGGAACACGGTACGAAGCACTTCACAGGGAAGCACGTTAACGCAGCGGCTAAGTCTATCATAGGAACAAGATTACCTTCATCGCCTGGTCGCCAGATGATGCTGGTGTCATGGCCAGTCTCCCCCGAAACCCACGCTGCCCCCTCCGTTCTCTACTAACCTTGTTACAGGCCAAGATGGTGTACGCCTCCTCAAAGGAAGCTTTGAAGCGCTCACTACCTGGTATTGCGGTCGAACTGCAAGCCAACGACTCGGATGATATCGAGTTCGACTCGGTCCTGAAGACCGTTAGCAAGGGGCTGGCCGGCAAATGAGCGGACCGGCTGCGAGAAACCTCGGGTATGCGTTTGCAGGACCTACAGCACAAAATGAACACCCCCCAAAAAAGTGGGAAGGCAACCGTGATCCTATCCTTGAATTGAACTCACCTATCGGAGACGGATGAACGAAAGGACATAGCCAATGAGTAGACGGATGGCATGGTGGGCTTTACGCCACTTATGAGGAAACGATTATCTAAATGGTCGTGGACCTTTTTCTTTGCAACCCCCAATCTTGCTCTCCCTGCATATATCCTCGACCGTGATGATGAACTTCCAGATTTGATGCGGGCCGTGGCTATCTATGTAAGCCAGAACAATCAGGTTGGACTGTAGGTAATTCCCGAATGTACGTAACACCGGCTTCGGGAGTATAGCAACCGCCCTTTCCTAGGAATCCTGCCCTTAGCATGCGTCAACCTCTATCACCAGCACCTCTCATAGCTGCAACATGCGACCGAACCGTTTGCCCGCCCGTCTCTGCAAGCCGGCATCCAGGGTCCGCTCATCCCAACAGCCCCACGATGTGCCGTCCCAATGTCCAACGAACGGCCTCGCAACTCCGTCCGTCAAATTGTAACCCATCAGCTCCTTCCCTCCCAAGCCCCACGGAACCGCCCCAGCGCCTCCTCAGCAACCGCCTCATCCCGCACCCTCTGCTGCAGGAACCCCCTCAGATCGCCCCAGAACTCCTCCGTCCCCAGCACCGCCGTCCCGGCAAGCCCCTCCGCGACAACAACCCCGGGGGCTGGCGGTGCCTGTGTCGCCGCCGCCGCCGGTGCCGCACCACCACCAGCACCCCCCATAACCATAAACGCCAGCTCCACAACCGCCGCCCCGCCGTCCTCGCCAACGAGGTCGCGCAGCACCCGCGTGTCGGGCACGGGCTTCTTGCGGTGCAGCAGGCGCACCCGCGCGGCGGGGACGCCGGCGCGCGCCGCGACAGCGGCCTTGATGTCTAGGACGGACGTGCCGGGGGGCTGGGCGAGCAGCTCCGTAACGACGTCGTTTCCGCCGCGCTGCAGGAGGGGCCGGACGGATACCGTTATGCCTGGTTCGGAGCCGGGGGCGCGGCGGTGGGGGCGGGTCATTTGTTTGGCGGGGCGGGGGAGGGTGTACTGCCACCCCCGGGGGGTTGGTTGGTTAGCTTGGGAGGTATGGGTTGGGAGGGGAAGGGGAAGAGCTTACGGGTGAGCGCGCTGGGTATGTTCTTGGGTCTTCGACATGGTCTGGTGTGATCTTTTGCGGTCGCGAGTCCAGCGTGGAGAGGAAGGACTTGGCGAATGACACTTCTGCCATGTTGGGCGGTTTGTAGGTTAGAGATGGGAAGGTGAATTGATAGCTCAGCTCCTGGGTTTTTGGGCGTGGTGCTCAAAGATATCGAGGTATGTACATCCGTAGGTATCCTAAGGTCTGGGGATCGTCATCAAGCAGCCTCGCTGGTTCGGCTAATCCACGGAAGAGGCGGGGCGGGAAGGTTCAGGGACAGCTTCGTTATCTTATCGGCGGAAATAGGGGTTGAAGATGCAGACAACTCTAAGACCAAGCTCTGGAAAGGGAAGAATCGAAGTAAATGCCAAGAAGGTGTCGAAATATCAAAAGCCAGATCCAGGCTCGGAACTCAGGATCACAAGGTGAGTTAGAACGACTGCTTGGGGATGATCTCTCTAACCTCGTAGAGGGTGACCTAGAAGGGAGAACTCAAGAGTCGACTTTCTTGGGCAGTTGAATCAGTCTGCGATCTAGGCAATAAATCTCGGAAATAAGCAATTCGTCTCCTCGGAAACGAGGGATGACGGGTCTGATAGCCCAAGGGGATAATAGGCTTAGCAGAGTACTCCTCGACCCCTTACTTTTTGGGAGGCCTCATCGCCAAGGATCACCATGTCAACATGGACATGACGACGAGATGGATTGTGCGACCCCCATAATGACAGAAGTAGCTTTTGCTTGCAGCCACCGATTCCGTCAACCCTGCCAGCAGCATAGGCGGCTATCTGGCCCAATTGACATGTAGCTGGACCAGGGTGTATGGACTGTATGGGTTCGTATTAGGCATTAGAGCTTTACGAGTAATTAGTAATTGGCCGTGAGGCCCGACGCCGGAAGCGAATGTTTCCGTCAAGAGAAGCTGTCCGGCCTGTTGCCGCCGGTCTTTGTGGTTCATGCCATCATCTCGCTCAACATCATCAACACCAACATTTCCTACCGTCTTCACCCTTCGTTAAACGACGTTAAAAAAGCAGCAACTTTTTGCCCCTTCAGCAAGAAACCTATCTGCTCGACTTCTATGATGACACCCGGAAAAAGCAAGTCTATCCACGCAGAGTGAGATGCCCCGGTGCTCTTACGCATGTTTGATGGAATCGTAAACCCAGTCGTTCAATCATAATCCAGCCCACGGAAATAATCCACACACACCGCACTTGTCTTTGCAAAGTCCAACAGGCCAAAAAGGCAATGCCGACAGCAGAGTCAGAGACCGCAGAAGAAGGAAAAAAAGCTCTAGAAACCCGATGGTCCAACCCAAAACACCGTATTCCGCCACCCATTTCCCCAAAACTGTAACCCGTGTATGCTTGCCCCGACCGTTCTTGCCCATCGAGACCCCCCCAACCCTTTTCATGATATTTTGTCATGCATCTGCATCGTCCCTATTGTCGTGGTCGTGTTCCCTTGTGTTCTGTGAGGTCTGCTGTCTATTCCGGAGGCGGCGTTGAGAAAGTGGTAATAAAGATATACTGGAGAACAGGAGACGCAAGAAGCGAAATTTGAATGCCGCATGGGGGCATCCTGTCCCCTGGAGCAGACCGGAAAGGGGGGGGGGAACGTTGTAAGTGAAAGTGAAGATGGATGAGAAGAAGCGGATCGGTGGGCAGGGAGGGGGGCTAGTTAGTCCCTGACGCTGGCGCTGACAATATCGCGTATTGCCCACTTCCAAGCATCCTTGTCGCGGTTTCCGCCGTAGCCGCCAATCCACTTCTCGCACTTCCTCCTCCAACGATCTTCCTCTTCGCGCTGGCGGCGCACGAATTCCGGTCCGACATCGAACTCTTCACCGACAAGCCAGTCGTCTTTGACGTCACTGACACGCCCTTGGCCACCGTCGCTGGAACCACCCATGGTGTGGTCTTCCAGATCCGGAATGTCCTTGAACACGTCCTCGTCGTCGTTGAGGGCGTCAAACCCGTCCATGGTATCGCCCTGGTCGGATTTGCCGCTCTGGGCGCCGAGCTTGAGCCAGCACATGTTCTGCGGGTCGAAGACCATGCCACCGACGACCTGGACTCCTTTGGTGGCGCCGATGTTGGTGATCAGCGCCGGGCGCGGTGTCGAGTTCTCCTTCTCGCGCATCATGAACGGCGGCATGGACGCGGTAGACGGAGATGACGCTGGCGGGTCAAAGGCATTCAGGACGTTGTCATTGCCCTCCCATCGGAATGTCTCGGGATTGTAAAACATGCCATTCACCACTAGACAGAAAGGTCAGCACTGTATCAGCCAGGTTTGAAAGTCGCAACTTACGCTTAGACTCTTTTGGTGGATTCAGATTCGCGATCAAATGTGGCTTCAGCTGCTGGGTTCGGCGTTGCTTCTTCGACTTCACAGTTGACTGCGGTAAGTGGGGATTCAAGTTCCCTCTCGTCGAGAGCTGAGCAACGCGTTGTGTAGTGAGAGGTGCGAGAGGGCCGCCCGACGGGGTCCGGTGTGCCAGGCTGGTCTCCCTGGCGATTCGGCTGGCAGCAGTATCGCGAGCGAAACTCGGCACAAAGTCACCTCTCGCAGATTGGGGGCCAAGGCCGAGGGGTGATGGCGTGCTGTTCCTGTCGGGCAAGATATTCTGGTAGATCTTATTCCGCAGGTGTGCCTTTGGGCCACTAGTTATGGGTTGTCTCATGTACCTTGCCTCAGCATGCGATGATGTGGGGAGGTCATCAAACCCATCCAACTCGTGGCCGTCACCAAATTGCTTGACACGGCGGGGTTTGTTCAGCTGATGCCAGGCCCCTTCTTGGGCGATTTTCTCCACACTCCGGTATTTCCTTGGACTAGGTGATCGCATGGTTGACCGAGAGACGGCGCGGGAACTGGGTCGGAAATCGATGGCGTTGTCCGAATCGTGGCGCCGGAAGGTTCGGGAGGACTTGTGTGTGATGTGATGAGACTGAGATGCGGAGCCGCCAGCGGGCAAGAATGGCACCGGGGCCTTTCTCGCCAATGATGCGGCGCTCTCCCCCGTCCTCGGTCGATCCACCGGAGTCTTGGGGCGCAGAGACGACTGTGGTCGGGAGGTCATATCCGACCTCGATGGTGGGCGGTCATACCCACCACGCGATGTCAAAGGCCTGGCTGGAGATTGCGGGGGCCTCATTGCAGGTAACGAGCGCTTGAGCCGCAGAAGCTGGGCGTTGGTGGTTGTCGGCGCATCGCGAAGAGAGATTGTCGACGTCTTCTGGCCGAGCTCTCTTCTTCGGGGCGTTGACGGAGGTAATGATTGGGCAGATGAAGGAGTTGTAGGGGTTGGAATGCTAGATATCGAGGATTGGGCTGAATGGCCGCCGAGGCGCGAGAGAGAACGCCTCGTTGGGGGGATAGGACCACCGCTTTCAGAGACAGGTTCTAAGGATGACTGCGTATGCGATCGCTCGTGACTGATCACTGGCCCCATAGGCCTGGGAAGACGGGATACGACGGCAGGTTTGCTGGTGAATTTGAGGGCCACAGTGGTCTTTGGTCTAGACGGGCTAGCAGGTCGGGTCTCCTTGAGTTGGATATTGCGATGAAGTGTCAGCTTCCGGGAATCGAAGACCTCTCCGTTACCAATGTCGAGACCGGATAGGAAATCCTCCTTGTCCGCATCCGGTGGTGGACGTGGTGTCTTGGCCGACTTCGGTGGCTCTTCGACTATCCGCTCAGGGGAGCGGCTCTTCCTCCGGCGGTTTAGCCTCTCCCCAAAGTTAACCGGTCCGCTCGGCAACACAAGGCCATCCAAGGCTTCGTCCTCGCTTTCCGCGGTAAATGAGCTTGCAATGCTGGGGCTAAGGGCCGAGACGGAGGAGCTGCGGTTGGATCGCGCATCTCGTCTAGTGCCCCCAAATCTCGTCCCAAGGCTGCCTTCGCCCCAATCGAAATCGTCCAGGGCATTCGTGGAAGGTGTCTTGGGTATGTCTCTACGTGTAGAGAGTCTCAGCTTACCATCTGATGGTAATTCGAAATCCATTTCAAAGTCGTCATCCAACCCATCCTTCTTTTTCGGAGTTGGCGGCGTGACCAGGGAGATAGGTTTGGGCGCATGACGGCTATTAGCAACTTTGATGGTTGCAGCGCCGTCTCCGAAAAAGTCATCGTCGTCATCGTCATCCCGGAAGCGGTCCAGATCGATAGCGGCAGGAGGAACAGCCGATTTGCCGGGTTCACTCTCCCCCTGGATGACAGCGGGTGATGCCCTGGGCGGTTTTGTTGGGCTGGGTTGTGTGGAGCCACTAACTTGTCGCAGGGCATCCGGAAACTTGGAGCCGTCTTGCGGCTTAATACACAGTGACTGGCCAGCATCGGGAAACTCGAGGTCATCGCCCCAGTCCTCCTGGATGATCTGCTTGATTTTCCTTCCTCCTAGTCTCTTAATCGTACCGCCCATCAAGGCCGAGGGCGGCACATTAGTCGGAATAGGAATTCCAGCCTTTGCAGCTGCGGCGATTGCGTCTAGGGTAGACTTCTCATCGTCGCCTGGCAGAAGGACATGCTTCTCCTCTTCTCCATGTATGGATTCGAAGTCGGACATGAACGAGGAATGTGAATCTCGGCGATGCGAAGGGGCGTTGGCAGATGTTGAGTGGCTCTGGAAAGTCAGATCTTCACCGCCGATTACGAAGTCATCGTCGTCCCAGTTCTCCACCTCATCCTCCACGGGTTGGCGGGGTTTAAGTCGTAAGGTATCCATCGTCGGAAATGTGTGGCTGCGATGCGCGCAGCTAGAGATGGGGTCTTGTCGCGTGCGCAAGAAAGATCAGATGGAAAGGAGATGCGCCTGGCTGGTTTGGGCACGGCCACGATTGTAGGGCGACAGTAGTAATCGGGTCAATGGTGAGGATTCATGATCGTCAGCATCGACCGTCCAAGGCACCCAAGCATATCCTCGCAATCAGATCTCTGTCGCGCCAAAGTTTTGTGTCCAGTCTGCGTCCAGTATGTGTCCAGCGATCTTCCTATATGGGAACCTTGGGATTCTCTCGTGCGGAGTGGCAGTTCCGTAGCGAAATTGTCGTGTGAGTGGTTGAGTTTTCCCGGTCGACGTACTCAACAGGTCAATTTTCGCTCGGCTGTTGGATATGCGGCAGACGTCGATCGAGTATAGGGTTCGCAGTCAATATAGGTGACAATAGGTTCATGCAGCTATGTCAACCACCTCAACGGCCAACGGAAGGGATAACTCGAGGAATCCAGAGGTTTCGCAGGTGTGGAAGTGTTGGCAGGTTCAATCCGAGTTGCAAATTGAAGTGGTTGGTCGGTTTACCAGGATCACCAGACGTTGAGAAAACCCAATGGCTGGGGGGAAAGGCGGCATTCACTGGATTCCTGGCACGGGCCAGGGAAGCATTCACAAGGAGTGGCTGGTGGCTTCATAGTCACGTGGAAGGTGGGGCTGCGCCTTGGAGCAAGCGAAATGATTGGAGAACGCGAGACAACGCGTCTAAGACGCGCTTGCCCCGCATTTCCATTCAGCATCTGTTTCAAGTTTGAGGAACCGCCTTGATTTTTCCTGGGGGTTGTGAAATGATATCAGGGCTGATATCATTGATACAAATCATTCCTAAAGGCTTTTCGACCGCTCGGAGAAGGAAATCCTTATGAACAGGTATCCTCATTCCCGTACCTGAGGTTGCTATGGTTCCTGAGAGTCTAATAAGTCTGCCCACAAGCTTTGGTCCTAACTTTTTGCAAGAGCTGCTGCTGCCTTGGAGGCTTCCGTCTGTCCACCCCCGTGATTCCCACTGATCTTGCATCCACATAAGACAGCCACGTTTGCAGTCCGGCACCTGGACTTTTGAAGAAAACCGTAATCTCCTGTTGTTTCGGCTGTTTATTTGCCTTCATGAGACAACGTCTTCATCCATACAAGGGAGAATGAATATATGAAGGACCCGGGAAAACACGACCAAAATAGAACCGTTTGTCGGCGGCGTCCAAAGACCCCTTGCCGTCTACCGGATCTGGGGAAGGGTAGGTTGTTGCAAATCCTTCGCACTCCTTCGCACTCCATCAATTATTAGGAGGGAATCCCGTTTGCCGCTGGCCGACCCTTCAATCTCGACATCGTTTCATATTTGGCCGGTCTTGTTCGGATGCAACGGAGAGCGCGTGACAGCGCCCTTCCATCATTGATTAACCCGCAAGCCGCGAGCCGCAACCCTACCCATACTAATCATCTGGCTATGACAGGATGACGACGACGCACGTCCTCCGCATCCCTCGCACGGATGAGGAACAAGGCTTTATCCTAGTCCAGGTCACCTCCGCTGGGTCCAGAGACTTGGATATCAAATTGGTTGCGACCGAGGGCTTTGCCCCTTACATGGTCAAATGTGCGTATGCCGTGCGTCTACTTGCAAGCCACCCCGCTCCCACCCGCCCGCTCTAAGGCACATCATCCCGTCCAAGTGGAGCCCTTCCCCCCGGATGAACGGGCGCCAGACATGATTTGCTCGTTCTTCCCTCCCCCACGGAAGCTAATCTTCGAGAATCTTTTGTGACATGCAGTACGACACGATCGCATTTCGCGGCTGAAAGTCGAAAATAGCCCCTGTTCGCAGGACGAATGGGAGCAGTTCCTCGTTTCAATCCTGCTAGATCGGGAGTCCGTCCCCGACATTGAGGCGGCGGCCCACGTCGTCGAGGAGGACTCTATCACGATCACCATTCGCCGGCGAGTCCAGGGGATCACCGTAAGTGCTCGGGGTCCCGCAGATGAGAGTAGATGCTCCGGTTCTGACCCCTGCCTGGTGTAGCAACGCCTTGGCAGCCTTTCCCTGAAACATGACGAAGCTCAAGATATCCAGCTCTTTGAGTGGTGCAGCGCCTCGATCGCCGCCCGAGAGAAGGTCAAGGCAGACCTGGCCTCGACGGCCTCCAGGGCCCGAGAGCTAGAGAGCGCGGTTACCGAGCTCAAGGACCAGCTGGAGGAATTAATCCAGGCCAAGCAGTCTGACGAGTCTGCGCTCCTCGAGAAGTTCCGCGACCTCCTCAACGAGAAGAAGGTCAAGATTCGCGAGCAGCAACGGCTCCTATCTTCTGCTGGCGCCGGCGTCGGCGCCGCTCCTGCCCGGGCGGCCTCCACGCAGGCCGTTAGTGACGCCGAGGAAGACGGCGGTGGCAGCAGCCACGTGCCGAAGCCCTCGAGGCCGTCGAAGCGCAAGGCCGCCCAGGCCGCCGAGCCGGGCGACGAGTCGGACGACGCCCTCGACAAGATGGAGGTGGACAAGAAGCACGGCGAGGAGGACTCGGAGGACGAGCAGACCACGGATGCGGATGAGACCGGCAGCGAGCCCGACGATGACGATGCCGAGCCTCTGCCGGACAGAAGGCGTAATGCTCCTAGCCGCAAGAAGCCTTCGCCCGAACCTGCAAAGACGCGCGCAGCCCCGACGAGGCGGGGAGGGAGGAGTAAACAGGGGGAACCCCCTGAGGCTCCACCACCAAAGCGATCACTACCCTTTGGCTTGGGCAAATCCGCCACGGCGAAGAAAAATACTGCACAGGATGAGGAGAGTGAAACTGATGACGATGAATTATGAAGGGGGGAAACACGGCTCGAGTCCCGGTCTCTTTAATAAAATGATATCTTTGCTTTTCTATCTTTAGTCCGCGTTCTCAGGATACAATACATATCACCGCCTGTCCTCGGGCCCGAACTTGTGGGTCCAGAACGCCCGATAGTGCTTCTGCTTCCCCGCCTCCGCGATCTCTCGGACCTCCCCCGGCGTCAGCTTGAAGGTGGGCAGGTTGGACAGGTAGCGCTGGAGGCGCTGCTCGCTCGAGCTCGTCGTCAGGGTCACGATCCCCTGGTCGATGCACCACCTCAGAGCCACCTCGCCCTCGCTGACGCCGTACTTCTTGGCCAGGGCCTGGTAGATGCCGTCGACGGGGCCCGGGGCCGCCCTCGTGATGGCGGCCAGCGGGGAGTATGCCGCCACGGCGATGTTGTTCTTGCGGTGGAAGTTGAGTAGGTCCCCGTGCTGCAGGTACGGGTGGTACTCGATCTGGTTGATGGCGGGCGGGATCCTGGCCGTCGCCAGGGTCGCCTCGAGGTGTTCCTGGAGGTAGTTGGAGACGCCGATCGACCGGGCCCTCCCGGAGTCCTTGATGGCCTCCATCTCGGCCCACCTCTTCTGCAGGTCCTCGGGCGTGTTTGAGGTGAAGGGCGAGTGGATCAGGTAGAGGTCCACGTAGTCGAGGCCGAGCTTCTTGAGGGAGGCAGAGAAGGCCACCTCGATGGGCACGCCCTCCTTGGCGTTGGTCTTGGTCGTCACGAAAAGCCTCTCCCGCGCGACCCCTGCCTGCTTGATCGCCCCGCCGAGTTCTGCCTCATTTTGGTACGCTGTTTTATCAATTAGCTACTGCTGGCAAAGGCCTGATCCTGTGAATCGCAAAAAAAAACATACACTCAGCACCGTCCAGGTGAAGATAACCACTCTTGATGGCTGTTGCCGTTATGTCGACTATCTTCTGGTCAAAGGGGGCCTTGCCATCGTTCTTGTAGTTGGCCGTGCCCAGGCCGTATGCGATCTAAGTTGATACGATGTTAATCCTAGGAACATGGTGTGTGTATTGCTTTTAGAAGCTCGAGAACCAGCCTTACCAAGGGGATCTCATTGCCATCATTCAGCTTCAGGTTGGGAATGTAGTCGGATTGCTTCGGGCTGGTGCCCGTTGCATCCGGTTTATATGAAGAGCCGATGGAGTTCATTGCGAGGTGTATGAGCTGCCAGGAGAATCCTTTTGAATACTGGACTGTTAAGGGACTCTTCTTTTCAGTAATTGACTTGATACGGGAATCGAGGCAACAGGGTCGGAGTTTGCGACATCGGATCGCTGTATGAATGACCGGAATGGCGTGCTATTATGTCTACACTCTACAACGACCGCCCTGCCCCCGCCCCGCCCCCGCCCCCGCCGGCTATGACGCAACGTCGGCTATCTTTTCCACTACGTTGGCCAGCACGGCACTTAGCAGCGAGAACTGTTTCAGACTAGAGGAAGTCGTGCGGGGGAAGCAATCGCCAGCAGGAGCTCGTATTTCCGAGCTAAGAGTACAATCCATCCGGCAGCCCACGTCATATAAGACGGGTCATCATCCGTGCCATCGGAACAACTGCCGGATCATCGCCGCCTCCCGCCTTTTCAGCCCGGAGTGCCGTTCCCGGGCCTTGGCAGTAGCCACATAGCTTGCCAAAACATCGCCGCCGTCTCATCCTTTTTCGCCGCAACACACAAACTCTCCAACTTCGATCAACCCTCCTTCGCTCGCGTCACTACAGTTTCCAAATCCCCGTATAACCTCCGTCGCACAATCCTATGCCCTTTCGCCCATCCCTCCAGCGCGCCACCATAATCCAGCACCGCCCACTCCCCCGCAGGCTCCCCATCTCCGCCGGCAGGAGGTCCACCACCACCATGGCCAAGGCCCCACCCACCAGCACCGACGGCGTGACCCTCGCCGAGCTCCCCAAGTCCTGGAGCTTCACCTCCTCCCTGCCGCCAGACCCCCTCTTCCCGACCCCGCAGGCCAGCCACCAGACCCCGCGCGACCAGATCCTCCCGCGCCAGGTCCGCGGCGCCCTCTTCACCTGGGTGCGGCCCGAGCGCCAAGAAGACCCAGAGCTCCTCGCCGTGTCCCCCGCCGCCATGCGCGACCTCGGCCTCTCCGCCTCGGAGGCCTCAACCGACGAGTTCCGCCAGACCGCCGCGGGCAACCTTCTGCACGGGTGGGACGACGCCACCGCCTCGGGGCCAGGCTACCCGTGGGCGCAGTGCTACGGCGGCTTCCAGTTCGGCGAATGGGCGGGCCAGCTGGGCGACGGGCGCGCCATCAGCCTCTTCGAGGCGACGAACCCGTCGACGGGCCGCCGCTACGAGGTGGCCCTCAAGGGCGCCGGGCTGACGCCGTACAGCCGCTTCGCCGACGGCAAGGCGGTTCTGCGGAGCAGCATCCGCGAGTTCGTCGTCAGCGAGGCGCTGGCCGCGCTGGGGATCCCGAGCACGCGCGCCCTCGCGCTCACCCTGCTGCCGCGCAGCAGAGTGCGCCGCGAGACGGTCGAGCCGGGCGCCGTCGTCGTCCGCTTCGCCGAGACGTGGCTGCGTCTCGGCAGCTTCGACATCCTGCGCGCGAGGGGCGACCGCACCCTGATACGCCGGCTGGCGACCTACGTCGCCGAGGAGGTGTTCGGCGGGTGGGACCGGCTGCCTGGCCGGCTGGACGGCGACGGCGACGTGGACGGTCTGGCGGAGCCGAGGCGGGGCGTCTCTCGCGACGCGGTCGAAGGCCCCGAGGACGGCCAGGAGAACCGATTCGGGCGGCTGTACCGCGAGATCGTGCGACGGAACGCGGCCACGGTGGCCAAGTGGCAGGCGTATGGGTTCATGAACGGGGTGCTGAACACAGACAACACGTCCGTCAGCGGCCTGTCCATCGACTTCGGGCCCTTCGCCTTCATGGACAACTTCGACCCCAGCTACACGCCCAACCACGACGATCACTTCCTCCGCTACAGCTACCGCAACCAGCCCACCATCATCTGGTGGAACCTCGTCCGCCTGGCCGAGGCCCTGGGCGAGCTCCTCGGCGCCGGCGCCGCCGTCGACGACGAGAAATTCGTCGAGGAAGGCATCAAGGACGACGACGCGGCGAAGCCGCTGATCGCGCGCGCCGAGAAGCTGATCGAGCGGGCCGGCGACGAGTACAAGGCCGTGTTCCTGGCCGAGTACAAGCGGCTGTTCGGGGCGCGCCTCGGGCTGCGCACCTCCAAGGAGTCCGACTTTGAGGAGCTCTTCAGCGAGCTGCTGGACACCATGGAGGCCCTGGAGCTGGACTTCAACCTGTTCTTCCGCCGCCTGAGCTCGCTGACGACGGCCGAGATAGCCACCGAGAATGAGCGGCACGACAAGGCCTCGAGGTTCTTCTACAAGGATGGCGTGACCGGTATTGGCGGCGAGGCCGAGGGGAGGAAGAGAGTGGGCGACTGGCTTGGGAGGTGGAGGGAGAGGGTCATCGAGGACTGGGGCGAGGGCGAGGATAGAGAGAGCGAGAGGATCGAGGCCATGAAGCGAGTGAACCCGAACTTCATCCCGAGGAGCTGGATCCTGGACGAGGTCATCCGCCGCGTCGAGAAGGATGGAGAGCGGGATGTCTTGGATCGCATCATGCACATGGCTCTTCACCCATTCGAGGAAAGCTGGGCGGGAAGGACACTAGATGGCGTCGAGTACAAGGGGGACAGGGAAGAGGAGATTCGCTGGACGAGCGACGTTCCCCGTACCGGGAGGGCAATGCAATGTAGCTGCAGCTCCTGAGTAGATAGATGCTACCACCATACAGCATGTATATTCATCGATTGGATGTTTCTAGGCGGCGCGATTCGTACAAGATATACCCATGCAACCACGGTTCAATTGCTCGTTAGCTGCACAATGACCGAGTAATCAAGTGACTGCCCATTTCGGATATTAATCGTGGTGTCCTTTAGTACTAAGGAATAACTAGAAATACATGACACCCCAGCCTAGGTATGTGTCTTATTGAGTCCAGGATAGCAAGAAAGCCAATATTGAGGTCACATATCCTCTATTCTCCCGTGGCTGAGACACACCTGTCCAGACCATTCTCCTCTATGAAATGAATTCTCCTGCAGCGATATTGGGATGGATGGGGCATGGTTATCTAGGGGGAGGCTCAGGTCTCGATATGTGCGATTGAGATGCCCGCGTCGAAAGGCCGGTTTCCACCCTGGTTGGCCAATGCCGGCCACAACCAGTTCGTTATTGCAAAATTCATAACCATGATGTGTCCAAAGCACCCAGGTGGACGGTAGCCTCCCAAGCGTAGGATGTCGAAGTGATCGTAAACTAGGTGCTGACGAAGATGTTCGTAAGAACGGAGCCTCATATGGTAGAGCTGAAGTTGCCATCTGGGAACCGATCGACGAAATTGATTGCATGACGAAGACAAAAAAGGAAAAGGAAACGCGAATATGACGGTACAGTGGCGGAGACCGTGACGTGGATAGGGGGGGTCCTGACGTCCAGAAAGACGATGATAGGTCGACAGCGCGGCTGGATCAAGAGCCCATGCGTCCGAGTCAACGATAAGCCCCTCCTCCGTTTCCGAATCGTGGGCCAGAGGCGATGCGGCCACCCCCCATGGCAGCACCAACTCCAGGGCCGGGACGGGTAGCCACAGCATGGTTGGTGCAGAGCATGCCAACCCGAGAGCCAAACTTGGAGCCGCGGAGCGAGACCATGTGCTTGCGGATGTGGGCAGCCACAATCTCACGATGCTGCGGGTTCGAATGGGTGAGGATATACTGGATCAGGTAGTTCCCATATTGATCACTGGCGATGTCGATGAGGGGGATGCGGGGACGACCAACACGGCCCTCGCAGACACGGTCAAGGTAGCGTCCGAGAAACTCGGGTCCGCCAATCTTGAGGCACTTCTCAACGACCTTGGAAGCAAACTGGTCCATGCTGTACTCGGCGGCGTAGCGGATGACGTGGTCGATAGCCCGGCTGCGGTCAGCAGGGGCGCCATGCTCGCAGATGTGCTGGATGCACCAATTGCCAAACTGGCCGTGGGCAACGATGTCAATGTTCGCGAGGACCTCCTCGATACAGGGGCGCTGCCAAACAAACGAGATTAGCAAGCAGGGAATGCAGTCAGTCAGGTCAAGTTCGATCCTACCTTGTCTTCCTCCAAACAGTTCTCAAATATGTTCTGAACAACGAGACTACCCGTCTCGCCAAGCGCGACTTCATGCCACATGCCATTAAGGGCCTCGTTTACATACTTCATGATCTGGGGAGGCGACTCGGACCATCTCAGCTCAAAGAGCTTCTGCCAGACATGACAAGCATAGCGGTGGATGACGGTCTCGGGGATCCGTCGCAGGAGTTCGTGAACCATGATGGCCTTGTAGTCCTCGGGGACCGAGTCAAAGGCCTTCTGGACCACATGGCAGCCGAAGGGATCCATTGAGAGGTTCAGGGTATTACCACGGATGGCCTCGGCAATCTTGATGACCTGCTCGGGGGTACCGTGCTCGAAGCACCTCTGGACCAAGAAATTGCCGAAACGGTTGACCATGAGGGGATACGCCTGGGCCACGATGGCCTCGACAATGTCGTACTTCTGCTCGGGAGTGCCAACCTTGAGCTTCTGCTGCAGGAAGATGGATGCCTGCTGATCATTGTTGCAAACGATCTTGTCCACAATGTATTTCCAATCGCACGTCACGTTGCGGTCGAGCAGGCGGCGATAGTTCAGCGGCTCCATTGCGGGCAGGAAAGTCTGCGCCTCCGCCGCAGCAAGGGGCTGGGTGGTACCAGCAGTTAGCCTCCGGTCAGCAGCCAGGCGGGCTTGGGCGATTACCTCATCCCATGTATGGTTTGCAGAGGTGAACTCGGCAGCATGCGGAGAGAGAGTGTTTGGGTACCAAGGCCCGGACATTGCCGCGTTTGAAGGTCCTCCATGCGGGAAGGTTGGGGTCGGCTCATAGTTGGCTGGAACCATGTTGTATCCACCAAACCCAGTCCCAAAACCGCTGTTGGATGGGAACCGGTTGTCAAGTCTATGGCCACGTCGCCCAGTTGCCGGACGCAAAATGTCGTGGTCAGCAGTCAACCGAACTTGTCGGTAAGCTTCCACGCCACTGGGGCAATATCCCGGGGCTGGGTCACCATAGCCCTGGGTATTGTGACCATTCCATGGGGCCTGTGGTCCATCAGACAGAGGAGCCAGGCCTTGGCCAAAACTATGGAAGGCCGGATTGTTGTTCCAGATTCCTTTGCCTCGGTTGAATCCTCCGGTCGCATTGACATCATTGGCATCCGAGCGATATTCATCTTGGCCAGCCCGACCACCGTGGGAGAAGGGAGCTCTCGGAGCAGCATCATACTGGGCAGACCCAGCCCGGCTAGGATTGGCCCGGGAGTCGGTTGCAATGCCGGGCAAGTCCAGGTCAGAGTTGAAGACAGGGGTTCCGCCGCCACTGTCCTGTTGGGCAAGCCGAGAATGGGCCAGCTCCTGGTCCAAGCGAGAGATCTTGTTCTGAGCCTGGGCTAGCTCGAGTTTCAGACGAAGGAGCTCATCCGGGTCTACCTGGCTCTCGCTGGGAGTCTTGCTGGCAGGTCGAAGGACCAGGGTCGGTGGGCCGAATGTCTCCGTCGACGGAGTGGGCAGGGCAGGGCTGCCAGACAACTGGCGGTCCGAGACACGAGGGAACGAGGTGTTATCACTAGAAGAAGCCTTAAGGATTTCATTCTGTTGATGAAGGACAGCTTGCTGCTCAGACAGCTTTGCCAGAAGCTTGTCCATCGGGTAGGTCGGAGCACCAGGGAAGGACTCATGCTCGAGCTTTGCCTTCTGTTAAGATCAGTCCGATACTATAGGCATAAACAGGATGATTAACAAACCTTGGAACAGTTCTGGTTGGCCAACTTCGAAGTGGTCAGAACAGTGATGGAATTCTTCAAGGGAAGGGTCGAAGTCAAGTGCTGTACAAGTTGAGCAGTGTCAGGACTAAATCCTGGTAATATTGGCCGAGTGAATATGTACTTGCCTGGTCAAACTGGGCTCCAGTATTATCTGGATGCTTCATACCCTCGCTGTGCGAGGAACTCTTAGGCCCAGATGGGCGGCGCTGGACAGGCGAACCCGTGGATGCAGCAGCAGACATGATGCTCCCTTGATAGTTGGGCTGTGGTTAGCTGATTGATGCGTGCTTGGCAAGATGAGAGTTATGACAGGTGAAAGAAGATTCTTTTGTGTAACAACAGAGTAGATTGGTTGGAAGGTTGGGGAGAACGGTGAAAGAAGATTAGAGCTGAAGATAGGTGGGTATATGGTGAGATAATGGAGAGTGAATACGATGGTGGCCAAGGCAAGTGCTTCTCCTGTCCTCGGAAGAACTGGGGGAGGAAAGACTGCTAGGGGATTGCTAGCTGCTGGTCGGGTGCAGGTTAGAGTAAAAAATTGAACGGAAACAGGAAGGGAGTTTGAAGCCAGGAGAGAGGGATGATTGTCCCGCCTACCTCGCCGTGACTGGAAATAGGCTTGTGTCCTTTGATGTTGGAGGCCGGAAGTTTGACAACAAGAAGAGGAGGAAGTCGAGAAGGAGGGTAAATGTATGTACCTTCAGGTATCGGGTTAGGTTGTTGTGGACGGAAAATACTTGGAGGAAGTTAGGGACGAGGGTGCGGATAGGAAGCCGTCTGCACACGCAGGAAGAGTGGCAGAGGAAGAAATGAAGAAGGTGACGGTGATGGCAAGGTCTGGCTAGTGGGAGAGAATGGCAGGCACGGCGAAAAATAGGGTAGACCACTAACGCAAACCACTGAATCGGGTAGGGGTGGGTAGTGAATCGATCCTGCTACAAACCTGGAACTTGTCTCGCTCGTCTTTAGTTTTCTTCTTCTCTTCCGATCGTCCTATTATTGACTTGATGCGCTTAATGGATTGATTCGACTTTGCCGATATGTGATGGTGTTGGAAATCAGGAGGTTGCCGTTCCTGAGGATGAAAAGGTTGAATCGAGGAAAGGGTTAGGGAAAAGATCAGGTTGGTGGTGGTTAGAGGAAGGCCGGTGGAAGAGGGAGGCGAAAGTGACCTTGTAGACCCAACGGACTGTCAACAAATACACTCGTGACTTCCTAGAATAGCAAACCAATTTGGAGAGCTGTGGTTGGGCCTTCACTTCTGAAGCAGTGAATACCTGGGTACCTGCCTTCTTCCCTACCACCTGCCCAAGTTGGTTCTTGATCCCAACTTCCACCCCAATCCATTCCCTTCTGTGCAAGCCGCATGTATCAAGGCTAATACCCCCAGACTTGGTGTCTTGTCACCACACTATCCGCAAGATCTGACTGCAGTGTTTACGTTAGCAGTGCTAGAGGATCATCAGAGAAAAAGGGCACAGACAAGCCAGGCCAAGGACACCCAGTGGAGGAATGAAGAGGCTTACATCAAATGCCAGGATGCAATGCGAACATAGGTAGAGAAAAAAGTAGATGCCATGCCACATGCACTCCTAACGACAGCAATTCCATGCATACACCTACGTGTCTAGGCTGTGAAATATCATCATCAGTTTGTGTCGTGCAGCCATGTCAATTGCTGGAGAGCCAAATCCCCCAAAAAGAATGTTCTCTCAGGTCCTAGAACTCGACAGCATCATGTACTAATCCTAAGCCTCCTTCTGTTTCCAGGTTGGTTCCTCATCATGGTCGCAAACACTTGTGGCTTTCTTGTGGAAGTGAAGGAGACCTTGGAATAAAACCCAGTTCCTAGGCTGTAACTTCCTAAGAGATTGGATAGAGTAGTCCTTAGGGTTTTAAGAAGGATCATGCCCTTTACCCCTGAGGTGAGCATCAGGAGAATATCGCCATGTTTCTTTTACTGTCGAGATACCCCTGGTCAAGTACTCTGGGGACGGCACATAATATTCCTGGATCGGACCATGAGAGAGGTATGAGGGTATACTTTTTTCTTTATCCCGAGGTATGTATTCCACAAATATTGTACAACAGCTGGACTCCCCCCGGTTCTACTTCTTCTTCCCCTTTGAATCTGGGATTGTCTGTCAGCAGGTTGGGCCTTTTCAGGGAGGCCTTTTGTTGGCTTACCTATAGATGAAGCTGCCTTCTTTTTCTTGGGCTTCCCCTTCCCACGGGATTTCAGCCTGCTATAGTGTTAGCTTCGACATCCGCCGTAGGCGCGGTTTCACCAAAAAACGTACGCGGCTATGCCCTCCAACCGATCATCCTGCTTCTCGTCTTCTGCGATCAGGTGGAACGGCTGAAACTCTTTTACCAGGTCTCGAATGGTCGCGACCTTTCGGGGGTAGTACGAAGCAAGTGCTGGTCCTCGTAGCCTCTGTCGGAGGATCTTGTTGCCGGTTCGGATGCCGTCTGGGTTGTAGGTGGAGGAGAATACCTGGCATTGGACCTGTGCTGGTCAGTTACAAACGTCCAACTGGTGATGAGGGCCAGAATACGAACCTTCATGAGGTCCAGCAGCCGCGCACGAGGGACCGACATCTTGTCATGTTCTGCAATTACTGGTTTGGCTGACTGGAACACCTGAAATGGCAGCTTTCGCAAGGCTTGAAGTCAAAGACGGTTCTCTGGGCCGTGCACTAGTATCGTACGCTAAAATAATTTGAGCCAATGAGCGCGCCGATTGAGAAGTGGAAGTTTGCAGATTGCGGCACGCCCCGGGGTCTTTGCAAAATCCCTCCGCAAGACGATAAGGTTAGGTACATAGGTAGCTAGGCAGCTTCAGAAAGTTTCGAAAACCTACGAACCTCATTAGACAAAATCAACCTCACGATGTCTAAAAGATCCCACGCCGCTTTCTCCGAGGCCGAATCTGGAGGACCTTCGTCCCTTGCGTCGAAACGCAGCAGAGCCGACGGCGAGGTGACAGAAACTGCGGACGCACTTGCCGTCCTGTTGGACAATGCGAATGAACTGGTGGACTGCCTCAAATCACTCCAGCATCAGCGCGAGCGGGGAGCTCTGGGGATTCAGTCCCTGGAACCAAACACGAGGAAGAGCCTCGCACTCCTCAGCAAAAGCGTCCCGTCTGCATTGCAGACTCTGGGCGCCGAGATAGGGCAAGCTCGAGGGAATGGGGCCGTAGCCGCAGGGCAGCCACCTGCAACGGGCAATGCAGCGCCCGTATTCCCCACGACAATCGCCCCCCCGACGTCGATTACTGCGTGGACCCTGTCAGACATCTCCCACGAGACCCCGCCATTGCCTACGGTCCTGGATCGGGCGCTGGAAGTTGCCGCACTCACCCATTCCGGTGTCGAAGCGGGCCAGAACTACGAACGATTGGAGTGGATCGGAGATGCCTATCTATACCTGATATCTTCCAGCCTCATCCACCAGACTTTCAAGTCCCTGGCCCCGGGCAAGTGCGCCCCGCTGCGGGAGAGACTTGTGTGCAATGCTACTTTGAGCGGCTTCTCGCTGCGTTATAACCTCCACAAGCGAGCCGATTTCCCTGCCGAATTCGACCTCGAAGGTCGCCGGGGGGGTTCGAAGGCGTCGAAGAAGGAGCGCATCAAGGTCCTAGGTGACATCTTCGAAGCCTACGTCGCCGCAATCATCCTATCCGATCCCGAGCACGGCGTGGAGCGCGTGTCGGCCTGGTTAAAGACCCTGTGGGCAAGTACCCTCGAGAGCCAGATTCGGAAAGAGATTGGACTGTCAGGGTCGCAGGCGGCAGGGGTGTCGGTAAAGACACAGCTGGCGAGAGCGATCTCAATACCGGGCGTCAGACTGAGGTACGAAGATGTTGAAAATAACAGGGATAGGAATAGGATGGACGGGGACAGGGCTAAAGGCTTTTCTGTCGCCGTTTACCTCGATGGATGGGGAGAGACGAATAAGGAGCTAGGAAGGGCCACTGCAATATCCAAGAAGGAAGCTGGGGAGGATGCGGCGGAGAACGCGCTGGCAAACAAGCAGCTGATGCGGGTGTATATGGCCAAGAAACAGGAGTATTTGGCTGCACAGGGGAGGTAAATGATATGAACCTCCTATGCTAACTAGCTACCTGCCTAGGTAGTCTTTTATTCCGGAGCACCAGAGTCAACGTGCTTCTGAATTGATATGTGTCATGGTCCAGGTCCACGAACATGAGTATGTCATTTACAGCGGCTTTAGCTAGGTACCTAGCGTGTCTGTTGTGAAATGAACTGCCTTCACATGTGTCTCGGATGGTGTCGCGCGGGCACTGGTTGGCATATACCTATATTGGGTCTAGTTATGAGGGGAAGTGGTCTGGTGGTGTAGCACTGCATGTTAGCTCGGGACGGTTATCAGAGCCCGCGAAAACAGTGGACCGAGATCCGTCGCGCCGAGGCAAATCATCCTGGAACGCTGCCCGGCAGCGGCCAAAGTCCAGGGTGCAAATCCACAGGTGATTACGCGACGACAGCACATAGGTGCTTAGCCGATCTTCGCGGAGCTTACAGCCATGCCGATGACATCCTTCGACTTGATGAAGGACCCATGTTCTATCCCACTGCCTTCAACTGACTCGCCCATCCATCGCCGATACCGTTGCCCGAGATCGGATTCCCACTAGCGAGCTACAACATCTGGTACAACAGGGAGGATAGAGTTAGGAGAGAGGCCAACAGAGCCGGGCAATCCCAATGGCGGAATCAGTAGGTATGTCAAGCCGACCACGTTTATTTACCACTGTCACCAATCTACCCAATTCGGCCGGCTTTGCTTACAACCATCGCCCCCCTTCCTAATCAGACCGAGTCTTCGTCCATGCCCTCAACACCGTCAAAAAGATCCCCAAGACGGGGGCGACGCGGCCGCCCCCGGTGGACCGGATGCGCCTGTACGGGCTCTACAAGCAGGCCATGGAGGGGGACGTCGATGGCGTTATGGAGCGGCCGTCGGGCGGCATCCTCAGCGCCGAGGAGCTCCGGCGCGAGCAGGACAAGTGGGACGCGTGGAACTCGCAGAGGGGGCTGTGCCGCACCGAGGCCAAGCGGAGGTACATCGAGGTGCTCATCGACACGATACACCGGTACGCCACGACGCCGACGGCCATAGAGCTGGTGGCCGAGCTCGAGTTTGTGTGGAACCAGATCAAGAACAACAACAGCAGCAACAACAACAACAACAACAACAATAATAACAGCTCCGCTGGATCCGCCTCGTCGCCGGACAGCGGGGTCAGGAGGTTCCAGCAGCCGCTGAACGGGAGCGAGGGCCCGATGAAGGTCCTGAGCCCGATGAGCGAGGAGGACGAGGCGGAGCGGGAGTCGGAACGCCGGCTCGGCGAAGAAGCGGACGACGATGGGGAGTATCTCAAGAAGGGGGACAAGTGGTCGAAGAAGATGGAGAGGGCAATCGTCAGGCTGTCCACCGAGGTGGCCGCGTTGCGGGAACAGATCACCAGCGGACGGGAGTGGAGGTCGAGAAGGGAGAGGAGCGCCCGAGCTTGGATAGGATGGGGCCTGTGGGCCCTAACGAAGCACGTCGCCACGGACGTCTTGATACTTATCGTTTTGCTCCTCTGGATGCGCCGGCGGAAAGACCGGCGACTCGAGGACTACGTTCGAGGCGCCCTCGGGGTCGCCCGAGAGTATGTGAGGAAGGTATTACCATCACGATGAAGCATGGGTCCGGAAGGGGGAGATCGAGAAGGATGCGACACCAAGTAATTGGACCAGACAAGGCCCGGATTCCCCCACAGCTCAAGACACTACCTGGAGTCATGCCAGACACCTTCGCCGTTTCTCAACCCGTCTAGAGCCACGATATCCTCCGTCGGACAAATATGTCCCCGAAGCAATCTGCACCATGTCATCGGCCAACAATTACGGGTGGGCAGCTGCAATCCTGTCAGGGCATGGCTGGAGCATATATATGCCTTGACAGAATCTACCCCTCTGGAAAGGGAATCAGAGGCCATGTGTATAACGTCAGGGGAGGCATACGCCATGGCGTCATATGAGGGAAGAGGTGCGCCGGGGACCTTGGCATCATTTTGTTTGACGATTACTTTGTTGGTATATTCACTGCTGCCCGTCTCGAGCAATTGAGACGGTGGAATAGAACTAGATGCCTGTAGAAGTGCATGAGCCACTCAGGGGGCTCGTCAAAGGTAGAAGATACCCGGTTGAATAAGGGGATGAAGTTGGCTACGTAGGTAGACAAAACAAACAAACAAGAAGAGCAAAGGAGGATTGGAAATGAAAACGGAAAAAAAAAAAGACGGTCCGGCCATCAGAGATCTTATTTTATTTCACCTCAAATGTTTGGTCCATACAATAACTACCTCGAGGGTCACGTCGAGGGAAGGGGGTGGCGGGTATTTGGTATTTTAGTGGAGGGGTAAAGAAATCGGAGTATTTCGTAGAGCTTGATTCACATTGGACTGCGTTTTAATCACAATTTCAACACATCAAATCGCACGAGCTCCTGGACTTATTCCGTAATTCCGTATCTCATCTCTCACTCCCCTAAGACACAACACATTCTCAGTTACCTCCATACCTACTTTCCTGCTACGGCACTCGGCATAGGTACTCAGCCACGAAACAGTCCGCCGCAAAGAATGGCCCAACCTGGGAATGATGGACACCCTTCGGCCATGGACGTAGACCCTCCGGCTACCTCCAAGATTCCTTCTAGGGTGAAAACCGGGGCCGAAAAGATACCACCCCTCAGAAACATTGTTCCTAGCATCTTTGTGCCTCTCCAGGAAGACATCACCCAGCCCACGGACATGCCACGGGATAGGGTCGAGAGGCTGAAGTGGATCCTAAAAACCATCGAGTCTCAGCGAACGGGTGTGAGGGAGAACATGATCTATCTCTTCGAACGAGAGAGGGACCGGATACTGGCCGAGGGTCGGGAGAAGGAAGCAACGCTGGGAACTCCGGATACACGATCGGGCATACCTCCAGATGAGGTAGACTGGATGATCAGCAATATGGAGGCACCTCACCAGCCCGGGCTCGATTACAATGTGCAAAACCTGCCCCCTCGAAGCTTTGGGCTGCCACCGGCCGGCTTATCAAACCGAGAGGAAACGATCTGGCAACTCCTGGACCTTGTCGAGAACGCCATAGCACAGACACAGGGCTACGACAAGCACATGAGCGATATCAAAAACTACTACCACGGGAAGCTGGAGAAGGAAATACAAAAGATAGACGAGATTGGCAAGCGCCCAGAGGAGCGATCAAAGACCAGGCCATGAGGAGAAGAAGCCTTACGGCACGGCATTCCCAACGACAACCAGACTGGGAGCAGATGAGCATCTCCAGGGTCCTTTGTCTTACTACGATGGAGAGGCTCTCTTGCCCAGCTAGCGAGGGTGTCGAGACTGGGCTGGACAGGGCCGAGGGTGTCAGGGACGACACATCTAGGTCAAAGGAATGTGGCTACCGGCGGTAAGAAACAGTACTCATCGAGCTGTAAAAAACCCTCGTATGCATCCAAATCGGAGCCAAGTTTCGATCTAGAGCACAAGATAGAGGAGGACTTGATAGAAGCAGTAGCATTGCTTTAGAAGCAACACTCCACCCAAGCTCACCTACAATAAAATGTGCCCAGTACAATTTATGATGAGAAAAAGAGGAAAAGAAAAAGAGCTCGAGGAAAATTCGCGAACAGCTTAAGCTTGGGAATTGAGGCTGACTAATCTTACCCAGCCAATGAGGTGCGTTCCGATATAATGCGCACGGCCGGGACTCGCTTCCCGAGCCAAACCTCAATCCACTTTCTCAAGACGTCAACCACCCTTGAAGGGCTTGAATCGCCGCCACTGTCGCCCGACTACTCTCCAATCTCCTCTCTCTCCCCGACCCCGAGGAAGACACGATGTTGCGGCAGGCTCTGGGTCGCTCGGCGTGGCGGGCAGGTCGGCAGGCCACCGTCGCTTGCCGGGCGTTGTCGACAACGCCTCAGCGGAACGCCGAGGTCGAGCTCACAATTGGTGAGGCCCTTTCCTTGCGACGGCTCAATTGGCCTCTGCGTGTTTCTAACTATCGTTGGCAGATGGGAAGAAGGTGTCAATAGAAGGTAAAACATCTGGTTTGGAGCAACAAGGTCAATTGACACTGACACTGGAAATCAGCCGGTGCTGCCCTCATCCAAGCATGCGAGAAAGCTGGCGCTACGATTCCAAGGTATGCCCAACTAACACGCGTCTGTTTTACCGAAACATAAGCTAACTAGGCTGTGTAGATACTGCTACCACGAGTACGTTACTGATCCTAGCTTCCGAAGATGTTGAAACTTGAGGACGATGCTGACGAAATGCCCACTACTAGGAAGCTCATGATCGCCGGAAACTGCCGTATGTGCTTGGTCGAAGTCGAGAGGGCGCCGAAGCCCGTTGCATCATGCGCATGGCCCGTACAGCCCGGAATGGTTGTCAAGACCAACTCGCCTCTGACGCACAAGGCCCGAGAAGGAGTGATGGAATTTCTGCTGGCAAACCACCCACTCGACTGCCCCATCTGCGACCAGGGCGGCGAGTGCGATCTCCAGGACCAGTCTATGAGATACGGTGCGGATCGGGGACGGTTCCACGAGATCGGGGGTAAGCGTGCGGTCGAGGACAAGAATATCGGGCCGCTCATCAAGACGTCGATGAACCGCTGCATTCACTGCACGAGATGTGTGCGGTTCGCCAACGACATCGCTGGTGCTCCGGAGCTGGGTTCGACTGGCCGTGGCAATGACCTGCAGATTGGCACGTACCTGGAGAAGAACCTCGATTCGGAAATGTCGGGCAATGTCATTGATCTCTGCCCAGTCGGCGCCCTCACCTCAAAGCCGTACGCGTTCAAGGCGCGACCTTGGGAGCTGAAGCGCACCGAGTCAATTGACGTACTGGACGGTCTTGGTTCAAATATCCGTGTCGATTCCCGTGGCCTCGAGGTCATGCGCATCATCCCGAGACTTAACGACGATGTCAATGAGGAATGGATCAACGACAAGACGCGGTTCGCTTGCGACGGCCTCAAGACCCAACGGCTCACGATGCCTCTGGTTCGTCGAGAAGGCAAATTCGAGGCCGCCTCCTGGGAGCAAGCCTTGACTGAGATCGCAAGCGCGTACCAGGTTTTGGCGCCCAAGGGCAACGAGTTCAAGGTCATCGCTGGGGAGCTCACCGAGGTTGAGTCGTTAGTCGCCATGAAGGAGCTTGCCAACAAGCTGGGTTCTGACAATCTTGCCTTGGACATGCCGTCCGGCAGCCAACCGATTGCCCACGGTGTTGATGTTCGGTCTAACTACCTCTTCAACTCGAAGATCTGGGGTATCGAGTCCGCTGACTGCATCCTCCTGGTCGGAACCAACCCAAGGCATGAGGCCGCCGTTCTCAATGCCCGTATCAGGAAGCAATGGCTCCGATCCGATCTCGAGATCGGCGTAGTAGGCGAGACCTGGGATTCCACCTTTGAGTTCGAGCACCTTGGCGCCGACTTTGCCGGCCTGAAGAAGGCTCTAGCAGGACCTTTCGGCAAGAAGCTGCAGGCCGCCAAGAACCCCATGATCGTTCTGGGCTCTGGCGTCACGGATCACGCTGATGCCAAGGCCTTTTACGAGCTCGTTGGCGGTTTCGTCGACAAGAACGCGGCGAACTTCTTGACCGAGGAGTGGAATGGCTACAACGTTCTCCAGCGCGCTGCTTCCAGAGTTGGCGCCTTCGAGGTCGGTTTCGTCACCCCGTCTGCCGAGGTTGCCGGCACGAAGCCCAAGTTTGTCTGGCTCCTTGGTGCCGATGAGATCAACGAGGCCGAGATCCCCAAGGACGCGTTCATTGTGTACCAAGGTCACCACGGTGACAAGGGGGCCCAGATCGCCGACGTTGTCCTCCCCGGCGCCGCATATACGGAGAAGGCGGGGACCTACGTCAACACGGAGGGCCGGGTCCAGATGACGCGCGCGGCGACATCCCTGCCCGGCGCCGCCCGAACCGACTGGAAGATCATCCGGGCGGCGAGTGAGTTCCTCGGTGCGCCCCTTCCGTACGACGACGTTGCGCAGCTCAGAGACAGGATGGTCGAGATCAGCCCGGCATTGGCTGCGTACGACGTGGTGGAGCCGGTTTCGCTTCAACAGCTGAGCAAGGTGCAGCTCGTGGACCAGAATAAGGGCTCCAAGCCGTCGGGGGCACCACTAAAGAAGGTTATCGATAATTTCTACTTCACGGATGTCGTCTCAAGAAGGTGAGAATCACACTCCCCCTGGTCCCCTGATCAAATTTGCGCAGATTGCTAATCCTACGGTACAGCTCGCCTACGATGGCTCGTTGCTCAGCAGCAAAGGCGACGGGGAACCCGCAGACCAATTTCATGGCCCAGGGAATGGATGACGACAAGCCGATGGGCCAGGTTGCGTATGGGGTATAGGATAAGACCTAGGCCTGGACAAGTTAGAAGACGTTGAAAAGCTATCTGAAGCTCCCCCTTTTTTTCCCTTTGTGGTGTTGCTGCATCATTCTGTATATATACGGGAGTAACGAGGTAGACGTTGAAAACGTAAATAAGATCTGAGCAGTTGTGTTTTTGCTTGGACCTGCGACAGTGACAATATTTGGGTCGACCGGAGCGTATGTTACAGATTTGTATTCCCCTTTAGCCCCTTTCGCGTGACTTGCGAGAGAAGTCGGGTACTGCTCATCTACCCCCTTTCATTGCTTCTATTTTCCATCTGCTTCATCGAACAACAAGTAGAATGTCGAAATTGCCCATGAATGTCTCCCTAACGCCGCTGGAACACATGATGCCAAATATTTCGTTCGGTCACCTCGCCGCTACCGTCCCACTCTCCTCCTCCTCCTCACGGCCATCGTCTTCCACGGGAGGAAACTCCCGGTCGAGAACGTCCCGGGGGAGAGGATCCTCGCCGCCCTCCCCGGTCGTCCGAGCAGCACCCTCGCCACCGCTGGTGCTCGTAGCCCCGGCCCTGGGCGCCTGCCTCTCCCACGGCTTCCGTGGAGCTTGCATCTTGCCGACGGGAGTTATGCCCTGAACAAGCGGGATTTTCGCATGAGTTACGGTTTGGTTTCACCTTTTGCCATCAAAAAAGAGGGGGACGCAACAAAAAAAAAAAAAAACTCACAGCCTGCCGGATGACGGTATTGGGAATCTCCCTCACGCCAGGGACCGGTTTTCCCGACGTAACGGCCTCGATCACGGCCCTGAACTGCTCCGGGTAAGGCGCGTCCGGGCCAGTCCCCGTCCCCGTCGTCCCCGCATCGTCCCCACGGCCGCGCCCGCCGGCGGCAGCCCCATCCACGGCCTTGACGCCCAGGTCGGCCCTGGGGGCGTGGAGCTGCCAGGACGGCAACGACGCCCTGCCGTCGCCGTCGCCTGCCGCCGCCATGCCCAGGCGGCGCTGAATGTCCTCGATGCGGGCGAGGATGAGGCGGTCGGGGCGGGCGGCGGCGGCGGTGGGCGTGGCCGCGAGGTGGGCGGCGTAGGCGGCCGGGTCGATGTGCGCGTCCAGCCGGCCCTGGAACCACCAGATGCGGGCCTGGACCGAGATGGCTGTGGCCCGGTCCGGGTCGGTGCTCGGGACTAGGGGGCCGAGCATCGCTGCTAGGCCTTGCTGGAGGGGCGGGGTCAGCGTGTGTGCTCCTTTGTGTCTTGGGGGAATTGGGTTGCTTTGTCTTTTATAGGCTTACGAGGAATTGCCGGTCTTTGACCCATGGGTAGTCGTCGAATTTCCGGAAGAGGCCGTTTGCTTCTGAAGGGGCTTGGGAGGCGCCCTCTTCTATTGTGCCCTCCATCTCTGCCTGCCTAGGTAGGAAGTGGAGGAGTTACGGTATGTTTTGATTTGATTTGATTTACGGGGGGTAATTCCGACGTCCTGCGGTCTCTGGCTGTTGGAGAGGCAGATCGAGGGATGGGGAACTAACGCCTTAAGACAAAGCTGCAGCGACGCGCATGTGACGGACTCAGATGAGCCACGTCCGTGAGAACAGTCTCCCGGGTTTATATCGTAGGCTAGATCCTCGAACTTAATTGCGATCCAAGAAAATAGTACAAGAAATCGATGTTCTCAATTTGTGAATTCAAGAAGTAGGTACTTCCGTTGGTCGTCGTGGGGATGAATGTGCTACCTACTCCCCCGAAGTCATACCGTACAAAACTTCTCACGAGAGGTTAGACAACGCCGCATATCCTCCCCTCTGGTTTAGCACAGAAACGTAGTGCCTTTGGCCACGACAGCATAGCATTTCACAATCCTCATTTCTCGCTACATTAAAAACGATATATCTCTTATCATCTCAGGTTTTGAAGTCACAACTACAGTGCATCACACTATACGCACACTGTACCTCCGCGCAGTCCCAGATTGGTATTCATCCAACCTGGCTCCATTCAATCTCGTCCCCGACGGTAGCAAAAACGGTCCCGTCTCGAGACCACCGCAGCACCAGAAATGCGCCGCGCAGCCTTGAGGGCCTTCCGGACGACCCTTCAATGTAGCGTCCGCGGGCCAAACCGAACCCTTCCCCAGACCTACCACCGCCACCTCGGCCTCGCCGCGCGGTACCTCTCTTCGTCGTCATCGTCGTCGTCGCCGTCCAGCAGCGGTCGAACCCCACCGCCGTCGCCGCGCTCCCACCGTCCGGGACACGCGCCCCTGGGCGAGCCTCTCCGGTCATCCATGTACGTCCGCCGGGCGTCGGCGGCGCTCGTGTCGGCACTGGTGGGCTACGGCGCCTGGTACAGCTACAGCGGGAGCGGCGAGGGCGCGAGCCTGTCGAGGGCGTACTCTTCCGACGCATCAGGCGGTGGCGACCCCGCCGTCCCGACCAGGTCCGTCTTGGTCATAGGCGCGGACGAGCTGCACACGGGGACGTTTGTCGGGGAGGGCCCGATATCAAAGGCCACCGACGAGGGGAGGAAGGTGGTGGAGATGCTCACCCCGGAGCAGGCGACGCAGCTGCTGAGGAAGGGCGAGGAGTCGTATTTTGTCAACAGGGGCCAGGACGTTGTCAGGTATGACATTGTTCAGCTGGCTAGCAATGATCCCATCGAGGATGACCACGCAGAGAAGATCGTCGAGGTCCCAAGCAAAGCGGATGGTACCGGCAGCGACTGGATGTTCTGGGGAGTTTTCGACGGTCATTCGTAAGTCTTTACCCTGAGCAGCAGCGGGGGGTTCTTCAGGGCGCCTTTTATACATATACTAACACATATAATCCTAGCGGGTGGACGACTTCTGCCAAGCTACGCCAGTCTCTGATCAGCATTGTCGCAAGGGAAGTGAACGACACATACAGGGCCGCCAACGGCCTGGTGCCATCTCAGGAGGCCATCGATGCCGCCATCAAGACGGGCTTCACTCGGCTAGACGACGAGATTGTCCACCAGAGCGTTCAAAAAGTCCTCCAAGCCGGCAACAAGGCCGTGGCTGCCGAGACGCTTGCCCCGGCCCTATCGGGGTCATGTGCCCTGCTCTCCTTCTACGATAGTAGATCCAAGCTGCTCCGGGTCGCGTGCACGGGCGATTCGCGGGCCGTCCTCGGCCGGCGCTCCGAGTCGGGCAAGTGGACCGCGACGCCGCTCTCGGTCGACCAGACGGGCAGCAACCCCGACGAGGCAGCCCGGCTGAGGAAGCTGCATCCGGGCGAGGAGCACGTCGTCCGCAACGGGCGTGTCCTGGGAGGCCTGGAACCGACTCGCGCCTTCGGCGACGCCACGTACAAGTGGACCCGCGAGGTCTCGGATCGGTTGAGACGGCAGTTCTTCGGCCGGAGCCAGTCGCCGCTCCTCAGGACCCCGCCTTATGTCACTGCCGAGCCCGTCATCACCACGACAAAGATGGAGCCCGAGCAAGGCGACTTCGTCGTCATGGCGACGGATGGCCTCTGGGAAATGCTGACAAACGACGAGGTCGTCGGGCTGGTTGGCAAGTGGGTCGAGAACCAGCGAGGCAGCCCGTCAAACTCGCAGTTCGACTCGGTCTGGTCCAAGATTTTCGGCTCTCAAAAGGGTGGGCTGCCCGTCGAGGTGAGCAAAGGGAATGGGGACATCGATGGCCAGAAGACCCCTATCCGTCTCCAGCAATGGGGGGTGTCGCCGGATGATAAGGACCGCTTCGTCGTCGTGGACAAAAACGTGGCGACCCACCTGATCCGCAACGCCCTCGGCGGAAAGAACCAAGATCAGGTGTCGGCCTTGCTTACTCTGCCCTCGCCGTATTCCAGAAGATATCGGTAAGTTCTTCACCTCCCTGCTACCTTGACTCCTGGCGCTCTTTGAGCATGGCTGACACTCAGATCAAGTGACGATCTTACCGTACAGGTCATCTTCTTCGGCCATGGCGAGAAGACGGGCGAGGTGGTGGTCAACAAGGAGGCCACGGCTTCTGTCAAGCCGGACCTAAAGGCGAAGCTCTAATTTGGCCTGGATACCCCACAGGATAGAATGTTGATTGAGACTCGATTTGGGAAGGGTTGGCTACGGAGCGAGGCGTACAACGTATGTGCTTGATAGTTTGGTCGAAGACCTGCCTGGAATACCGAGATATATGCCTCGCCAGGCTGCTCGGGTCTTCAAATTTTACTATACAAACGAAGCCAAAACTCATGCAGCAGCTATGAACTTCTTGGTCTAAGAGCCCCTTCAACCCTATCCGGATATATCCGAGGATATCCATATCTGGACAGCCATCATTCAGCATGCGGAATCCAGAGCTCTGGTTTCGGGTGTGGATGGCGAATATCAACTGGAATTCGAAGCACCGAGCTAGCTCCTGCACGCCCATAATCTTTAATATATTCTCCTAGGCCCAACGTTTCACTGAACTAGAGGACGTGCCGAACCGAGCTCATTTATGGTCTACCTTCTCAAGATTTACTGGCACCCTCTTCCTATCCGTTGAGAAACATGCCGGCTGTCAAGCAACTTTCGTACATTGTGAGCTCGAGTATCTATGCGGCAGTTTTGCCATTGGCTTGAATACGATGCAGTCCAAGTGAAAGGGAATGAGAAAGAATAGAAAAGAAAACCAAGGTTCAGTGAGAGTACGGTGCCGGGTGAAATGTCAATGAGTTCGACAGGGTGGGGGCAGGTGGGTAAAATGGGGGAATCTAGACCAGAGAGCAACACAGCACGGGAATTACACGATCCTCTTGTGACGTCACACCTCTAGCTTGCCACCAATTTTGCAATCTCGCCGAGGGGCTGGACAATCGGCCAGGCACAGCAGGATAAAGTGCTAGGTGTGTTGTAGCCGCCCGGGCCTATTCTCTCCTGTCTACTACCTCTTGAAATTGAAATTTTACGTGCGTGACGGTAGTTCTGCAGCGATTGATACAGCTGCCCGTCTCATTGTTTGGTGCAGCTCTCGGTTTGTTGTTAGCAGTAGTTCTCTCTCGTTCCTGACGCTACGGAAAGAACGCCCGCCCCTCGATCCAAAACCTCAAGCATACCCTGTGACACCACGGAGCACCATGGTCGTTTTTGACAAACACGAGCACCTCACCGAGGAGGAGAAGCGCCTGAAGGAGGATCGGGACCGGACCAAGTACTGGAAGAAGTGGGGTTCTTACCTCGCTGAGCGGCAATGGGCTACTGGCACGTCTTCTGCAACAGCAGCAGCTGGTCTCTCGTCATGCTAACAAGTCAATTGCAGTGCGAGAGGACTACAGCGCTGACGGCGATGCTTGGAATTGTCAGTGGACCGCATTCTAGACCCCCGGCCCTCCCCCCTGACCCTCGCAGGCGGCCCCCCAGACTAACACCATGACCCCCATAAGACTTCCCCCACGAGCACGCACGCTCCCGTACCTACAGGTGGGGCGAGGATGGCATTGCCGGTGTCTGCGATTCACACGGACTCCAAAACATTGCATTTGCATTCTGGAATGGAAAGGAGTATGACTGACTGCCTGCTCCTCGAAATCGTCCTGTGCTGACCATTGCTAGCCCCTTCCTCAAGGAGAGGCTCTTTGGTTTATCGAATCCCCAGGGAAACCACGGAGAGAGCATCAAGGAAGCTCATTTCCACCTCGACAACACTCCTGTAAGCAGCACCCTGACCGGACTTGCTCTTCCTTCTGCTAACCCACGGGTATAAAGACGCATTCGTACATGAAGTATCTCTATAAATACCCGCAGAAGGAGTTCCCCTACGAAACTCTGGTGGAGGAGAACGCCAAGCGGACCAAGGAGGAGAAGGAATACCAGTTAATTGACACGGGAGTCTTCGAGGAGGACCGATACTGGGACATTTTTATCGAAACTGCCAAGGAAGATGACGATCCCGACGAGATACTGTTTCGAGTCACGGCCTGGAATCGTGGCCCAGAGCCAGCCCCCCTCCACATCATCCCGCACGTCTGGTTCCGGAACACTTGGGCATGGGGACGGGAGCCGGAGGAGAAAAAGCCGTCAATTGGAGTGTATGCTGAAAACATGGCGAAGTCGAATCACAGTACCCTCGGCGAGCGGTACTTCCTCTTCTCGCCGTCACCCGGCGTCGGACCCAGCGGAGAAGATGTCGAACCCGAGATGCTATTTACCGAGAATGACACCAACTATAAGCTGCTTTACGGTCGCGAGAAGAACGAGCAACCGTACGTCAAGGATGCTTTCCACCGCTACATTGTCGATGGCGAAAAAGACGCTGTGAATCCCGAGAAGACTGGAACGAAGTCTGCGGCCTGGTTTTCCTTCAACGAGGCAGGCGGTGTGAATCCCGGCGAATGTGCAGGTAAGGATTACATGGGTCGACATGTTCTGGGATATGAAGACTGATTTGCTCCTAGTGGTTCGCTTTCGCTTTACAAAGAGGACGGACCCGTACCTTGACGAGGAAGAGTTTGACGACCTCATCGAACGAAAGAGGGAGGAGGCAGATGACTTCTACTACCATCTCAGCCCGCTCCCCATGTCTGATGATCTCCGCAACATCCAGAGACAGGCCTTTTCGGGCATGATGTGGTGCAAGCAGCACTATCATTTCATCTGGGAGGAATGGGCTAATGGAGATCCCTCCCAACCGCCGCCACCTCCCGGGCGAAAGGGGCTGCGAAACTCGCCGTGGAAACATCTGTATTGCGACGACATTCTCTCCATGCCGGACTCTTGGGAGTACCCGTTCTTCGCGGCCTGGGACACCAGTTTCCACTGCATCCCTCTTGCCATGATCGACCCCGAGTTTGCCAAGAAGCAGCTGGACTTGTTCACTCGGGAATGGTATTGCCATCCGAACGGCCAACTACCAGCGTAATATCCATCCCGTCCCAATTATCCTGCATCGAATCACAGACTGACAAGGAACAGGTACGAGTGGAATTTCAGCGATGTCAATCCCCCCGTCCACGCGTGGGCTACATTCCGCGTCTTCAAGATTGAGCGCAAGATGTACGGAAGGCAGGATCTTGACTTCCTGGAAAGGGTGTTCCAGAAGCTCCTCTTGAATTTCACGTGGTGGGTGAACCGGAAAGATGTCGAAGGTAAGAACGTCTTTGAGGGGGGTTTCCTCGGCCTCGACAACATTGGCCTGTTCAACCGTTCGGAGCCGTTGCCTACCGGCGGCACTCTGGAGCAGGCAGACAGCACCGGGTGGATGGCTTTCTATTGCCTGAACATGCTCAACATTGCCCTCGAGCTCGCGAAGCACCGACGCACCTACGAGGACATCGCCTCAAAGTTTTTCGAGCACTTCATCCTCATTAGCGACGCCATGACGTTTAGGATGGGCCATAAGGAAGAGCAGTCGCTGTGGAATGACGAAGACGGCTTTTACTACGATGCCATCGCCTGGGGCGGCCCGTACATCCAACAGCTCCCAGTGCGCTCTCTTGTCGGGCTCATCCCCCTGTACGCCACTCTAACCCTGGAGCCGGAACTGATCAACAAGCTACCATCCTTTAAACGGCGAGTAGATTGGTTTGTGAAGAACCGCTGCGACGTGGCCGAACGGACCATGCACAGCATTGCCAAGAGGGGCAAGGGGGATCGTATCCTCCTGTCGCTTGTTAGCAAGGATCGACTTGTCAAGATCTTGCGCCGGATGTTGGACGAAGACGAGTTCCTGAGTCCGCATGGAATCCGCTCGCTCTCCAAGTACCACAAGGAACACCCGTACTCGATGGAGGTTAACGGCCAGACATTCAGGGTCGGGTATGTACCGGGAGACTCGGACAGCGGATTGTTTGGCGGCAACAGCAACTGGAGAGGTCCGATCTGGCTCTGTGTCAACTTCCTCCTCGTGGAATCGCTGCAGCGTTTCCATCTCTTCTTCGGGCACGATCTCCAGGTCGAGTGCCCCGTCGGCTCCGGCGACTTTATGCACCTGGGACGCGTGTCTGAGGAGATTCAGCATCGGCTGCAGCACCTGTTCGCCCGCGGAGACGACGGCAGGCGCAGCGTCAATGCAGGAGATGATCTCCTGGACTTTGACGAGAACTGGAAGGATTACCTCTGGTTCCACGAGTTCTTCGACGGCGACAGCGGCCGGGGCCTCGGCGCCACCCATCAGTGCGGTTGGACCGGGCTGATTGCCCGAATGATTCACGATACCGGGTAAGACCACTCCCCGTTCTCACCATGATGAACCCAACCCCCTCTCTTTAAATTTGGTATTAACATTCTGCCCTCCCAGCGTCAACTGCCGCCTCCCCCAAACCCCAGGCACCCCCTCCGCGGCCATGGCCCACTACTTTGATGACACCCTGCACCGCCACGCGCACGGCTCGCAGACTCCCCGCTCGTCCGCCATGCCGCGCCTCCGGCGCTCCTCGACGGGGCGCTCCATGGCGGCGCGCAGCGACTTTGACGGCGGCCGCGACAGCGAGGAGGGCGGGAGCGTGGACACGGCCGTCTACAGCCGGCGCGGCTCGACCGCCAACCACCACAATCATCACGACGACGACCAGCCGGACCGCCTGCGCGCGCGCGCCGAGGCCGACGAGCACCTGCGCGCGTACGTCACCGAGCAGCTCGAACGGGTGCGCAGCGCGAGGGCCGCGGGGGACGGGGACGGGAATGCGGATGCGGATGAGTTTGAGGCGCGGGCGTGAGTTTGGTGGGAGGTGGACTAACTAGCGCTGGAAAGAGGAGGGAAGGCATGGTTGATCGGATCGGCCGTGGCTGCTTCGGGGGCGAACTCTTGGATGGGTTGGTTATCTTTAGATGTATTGGGGGACTTTGGGACTGGGTGAGGATATATAGACAGGCAGCAGCGGGGGCACGGCACAGCACATATGAAAGGGGGTGGAGGGTGTTGGGGAGGACAACGAGGGCGATCATGATTAAATCTCTAACTTCTCTCCCGATATATCATTCGTGTGGTAAATATAAACGGCGCCAACATAGAAGATCAAATCGTTTTCTCACCCGAGATACTTGTCGATGGATGTCTACAATCACGATCCGTCACACATTTGACTCACGCTCAGGCGATGAAATGGGGGAAATGTCTCTCTATTCAGGACTCGTCGTATACACAGCTTCCTCCTTCTATGACTCGTCCTCTCCTCCTCCTGCGCAAGCAGACGCTTGACCGCACACGAGACCCGCCTGCCCCGATCACGAACCGACTTCGGGTAACAAAAAGGAAAATACTTTTACAGGACGTCGGTCAGGAGCTTGTTCATCTTAGCCATCTTCGACGAGACGCTGAGGTCGATGGTCCGGTCACCAATCTCGACAACCACTCCGCCAACGATGTCGGGGTTCACCTATCAAGATTTAGCATGTTAAGACCTATCCGGTCGGATGGGAACGTAGGGATCTACTCACGGTGTTGGTGACCTTGAGCTTCTTGCCCTGGCCGACGTAGCTGGACTTGGAGACGGCCGCCTCGAGCCGGGAGAGAGTCTTGTTGTCCAGTTGCTGTTTGATAATGGTCAACGATTTGCTCTTGTCGAAACTCACACGACTCCCCGATGAGGAATATAAAAACAGCCAGGAATTTGGGGGGCGGGGTTTGAAGCAACACAACAACCAAAAGACAAGAGAAAAACCACATACCTGCGCGCTCGTGACGACCATCTCGACCTCGCCCCTCGCGGCGCTCATGAGCTCGCCGAACTTGGAGCACACGCCGCCAAGGAGGCCGAGGCGGTTGTTCTCGGCGAGGGTGCGGAGGAAGTTGCGGACCGTCTCACCGGGGGCGCCGACGCTCTTCTCCAGCTCGGCGATGATGGCACCCTTGTCGCCCGCCGTCAGCGTCGGCGCCGACAGGATCGTCGACAGCTTGGGGTCCCGCTCGACCAGGCTGCCGAGCGCGCCGAGGGCCTTGGCCGTCGGCTCGAGGGTCGAGGTCTTTACGGCTGCGGCGTACTGTTTGGGTGCGGGTTAGTGATGGGGGCTTGTTTAACTGTGTTGTTTGATGGCGGTGGGCTTTATGATGGACGGGGGAGAGGGGAATGAGGCCGTTGTGTGTTTGCACGGGTAAATTGTGAATTGGGGGTTGGGGAGGAGAGCCATGAAGCAACCCAATTGAAGTCGGGAGAGAGCAGTGTATCGTGTGATGGGCCGCAATGGGAGGGGAATTGGCCGTACCAGAGCCGTGGCATAGGTGCCGTCGAGACCGAAGAGGGCAACGGGAGGCTTGATGGTCTCGTTGGCGGCGGCGGCGGCCGGGGCGGCGAAGGACCGAGTCTGGGAGAGGATGGCTCGCTGGGGAGCTGCGGTCCGCATGGAGCGGAGCAATGCTTGTCTCGACAACATGGTGGGCGTGGAATTGATGGCAATGACGGAGCCTCGAATTGTCCTGGCCAAGCTTCGCTTTCGAGGATTGAGGTTTGATGTTCGGCAATTTTGAGAGTGGATGCCTGAGGCACTAGCGACTCTACCCGACAAGCGTGGATGGATCCGCTTGCCAAAAAAAGCCGCAGGCCATAAGGCCTCCTTCCTTGGCAGTCTTCCATTTAAAGATCTAATATTGAGAGAACATATATAAATATTGCGTGGGATTCAATGTAGCTTGCATCTCAAACGGCCATGTTGTATTGTTTCTATGGAATTAAGCCGTGCAGTCCCAACATACCTGGCTCAGACTGAAAGAACAGGATCGAGTTGAGCCTGAGGGGTTGCATATGGCCCTAGACATTAGGTAGGGGTCAGAAAGACAATTCAGTTGGCAGTCCGTGGAGGAGGCGGCGTGTGAGAAACGCAGAATGGGGAGTTCCGGAGACGATGGTTGGGGGACCTTCCCCATTTGCACCATCCAACTATCCATGTCATCCTCCTTCATATCCTGGCTGTTCGGGGCAGGGAATAGACTGATAAACTTGTTAGAGATGGTATATGTATCGCAGTGGTGATCCCTTCTGGTCCGCATTCCTCTGACTACCAAATGATGGCGAGCACACGAGAATGCTGTTATGGCAGACGTCATCGTTTAATGGGTTTGATTCCTTCGCAAGGTTCCCTCCATATTCCCGACAGTCTGATACTCGTATCTCTACAGGATATGCTTGATGCCAACGACAGTAACGTACATAACGATTCGAAAAGCAATACCTATCCATGAGTCAGTCGCGACGTCGGTATCCCAGTGCAACCCTTCCGAACCAAACCTGCTCCTTGCCCTCATCCAAACGCCAGGTCGCCAAACACAATCGTGTCTCGTGAAATGTGACTCGGGGTCTAATCACTGCGCAGCATGCTATCCACCAAGTCTCCAAGCGGACCCCAGAAGTCCTTCCCACTGGCGAGGTTATGCTCGTCGATGAACAAGACATACTGCTTGAAGCTCGTGTTGAGGTGGGGCTCCAGTCCCAGTTCGCGGATGACCGGGTAGTGGTGGCAGTAAATGTGGGCATATACACGGTACATGCGCTTGAATATCTGTCGTACCAATGTCGGGAACGACTTCGGGAAGGGGACGCCTGCGACGGGATTAGCAACGTTACGCGAAATATCCAGCTGCAAAGGGAGAGACCGTACCGATTCGACTAGGCAGAACGGACTCATTGTCGATGCTGGCTTGAACCCACCCCATCAGCTGCTCGATATATGCCGGAGCCGGCATCTTTGTCGGCCGCTTGAAGTTCTCGTTATCCTGCCAAAGGTACTCAAACCTACCAACCCGTAAGCAGAGGACTCGAAATTATAGTGTCTGCTATCGCATACTCATCTGTAGCCTTCATCTCAGGGCACGATTGTGGGGAGCAGAACTCCGTGATGGCGCCGTATAGAAGGTTGATCTGGTTGTAGAAATCCACCACTGCGCCTTCTGTCAGCTTGGGGCCATTGATTATATTCCAACTCCTGGCGGCTGGGGGCCCTTACTGTTGACGGCCAACCACTCGTTCTCGTCTTCTCCTTCTGGCAGCTTCACCACTTTCCGAAGGCTCCCACCTCCTAGGGTGGCTTCCGCATATTGTCGCAGCTGGTAGCTCGTGGTGCTACCTTTCCCAGTTACTCGGGGCCGGAACTGATTCCTCGTCCGTTGATTACTGCCATCATAACTTGTTAGCCGGGCTGTTCATCGATAGCTTCACAGGTCGTGGCGGTAGAAATCGAGCAGCATCTGCCCCTCTATCCTCCCATGGTCGCAGGGGTAGGATTGGGTTGCCGTGAATAGAGCTGGAAAAGAGGCACCCACACAGTCGTAAGAAAGGAACTCATGTTGCAATCGGGGGTATTGACAGCTAAAATAATGGCGATCAGCTGCGATAATTCGAGAACATGTCAGCAGGGATATCTCAGTGAGAGGGGTCCAGAAGGTATACCTATGCAGGGGTTCGGAGCAGTCCCAGTTAATGGGACACAAGAAGGTCCCTGAAAAGTTAGGAATTTATGTCGTTCTCCTACTTTCGCACGATGCTCAATAGGTGGTTGAGGCTCAGGAAGCATGCAGTCGGAATAGGTGTGGTCATGTTTTCTTTAGGTTTCCTAGGGCAACCAACCAATTATCCGAGCTTTCGCTACCCGACAGTACATGCCTGTAGTACGTCAGCGGCTGGCCGGTGACAGTTGCGAATGCCCCGCATAGATTTTGTACTCCCGTACCTTGTTCCTCAATAGACCTTGCAGAAGGATCAACCTCCCAGCCTCCCCCTCATTTTCCAACAGACTTGGCAGGGGAAAGCCATCTGAAGACACACTGTGATCGTCAATTTTCCCACGAGTTATTGCAATGATCCGTCATATCAGGTTTGTAGGCATCTCCCGCCCCCTGCTCTCTCGGTTGAACCGGAGAGGTAAGTACATATACGGATACCAAGCTCCTCAATCATCTCCGCCTTTTCATCCCTGAATAGCCTCAATTGCCGGATGTGGGGAACCTAGCAGTCAACCCCGACTTATGACAGATGCAGGAGGGCACTAGGTGGCGGCAACTACTACGCAATACACAGATTCGGGTCATTGAGAACCGAAGCCATCTGCTCCTGGCTGCTATAATGGACCCCGCAGTGAATGCTGTTTGTTGAGAGGAGGATAATCTCAAGGGTTGCTGGTTAGGTATCCTACTATGTAAGAAAAGGCAGGTACTGGTAACCATGCAATCCAGTTCCGCTACGACGGTACCAGATATTTGGGTCGCAGCTTGAATGTATAATAATGGACAGCTTCCGCCGATCATAGGGTCTCCGGCTTGACAGCTTGAAAGTCTTGCATCGACGAAGGTCCGAAGTCGAACAATGAAGACGTCTACGATCCCCTGCCTGCTCCTCTGGCTAAGCTCTGTAGTGAGTGCCTCCAGCTGTAACCAGAGGCGAAAGGTCGTCCGCGCATTCAATGTCCACCGTAATGGAAGTTCTAGCACAACTCCGTTGCAGGTCGGCAACGGCAACTTCGCCTTCGGTGTCGATGTCACGGGCCTGCAGACCTTCAACCCCTTCGGGACAATGTCAACATGGGGCTGGCATAACTTCAGCCTACCTACGACGGAGAATCAGACATCAGTCGAAGGTTGGTGGCTATGGACTGGCAGCATCTGGAGAATCCTATCGCTGACGAGCCCCAAGACTTCACAGGCTTAGACTGGTGGACGCACGGCAGGTTGGTCAACTACAACCAGCCAAACCCTGCCGAGAATGATATTTCCAACTGGCTCATCCAGAACCCCCAGAGGCTGAATCTGGGCAACATAGGCTTCTCGTTCGGTGGAGCCAAGGTTGCTGAGTCTGACCTCCAACAGAAGACCCAGGTTCTTGACCTGTGGACGGGCAAAATTTCGTCCAGCTTTGTCTACAATGGGTCCCTGGTCGAGGTTGAAACCTGGGCCGACACTGACTCAGACGTGGTTGGCATCAACGTCAAGTCGGACCTCCTGACGGACGGCGCATTGGGAGTCTTCTTCGACTTCCCTTACTCCGACAGGAACAAGTTCGATGCTCCTTACGTTGGTGTTTGGAACGCCTCATGCAGCCATTCGACGGTGCTGGAGCAACAATCCGATAGTCAAGCATCGATACAACATATCTTAGATAGCAACACCTACTTCGTGACAGCGAAATGGGAGGGCAAAGGCACAGTGACAGGCCCGGCAAAGGGGACTCATCGCTACTTCCTCACGACGCCCGGAGCTGATAACTTGGAGCTGACCGTTTCTTTCTCGCCTACTGAGGCATCCAATAACCGCGCCTTTAACGAGGTAACCGCAGCATCCCAGAGTTGGTGGAGGTCGTTCTGGAACTCTGGCGCCTTCGTCGATCTCACAGCCGTTAAGTCCGCCAACGCAACCGAGCTGCAGCGCCGGATAATCCTCTCGCAGTATCTCCTGGCCGTGAACTCGGCCTCGAGCAACCCTCCTCAAGAATCCGGGCTCGTGAACAACGGGTGGTACGGCAAGTTCCACCTCGAGATGCTCCTCTGGCACAGCCTGCCGTTCGCGCGCTGGAACCAATTCCCCCTGCTGTGGCGGAGCCAGCCGAACATGTATCAGCGCTACCTCGAATCGTCCTACGAGCGCGCCAGGCTGCAGGGCTACAAGGGCGCGAGATGGGGCAAGATGACGGATCCAACCGGCCGGAGCGCGCCGGGCGAGATCAACTCACTGCTGATCTGGCAGCAGCCGCACCCGATGTACCTGGCCGAGATCGAGTACCGCTCCTTCCCCAACGACACGGTGCTCGAGCAGTGGGACGAGGTTCTCACGGCGACGGCCGACTTCATGGCCTCGTTCGCGTGGTTCAATGAGTCCACCGGAGTTTACGACCTCGGCCCGCCCATGTACCCCGTCAGCGAGAACACGCCGCCCAACGCGACCGTCAACCCGACCTTCGAGCTCGCCTACTGGCGCTTCGGCCTCGACGTCGCCGCCCGGTGGAAGACGCGCCAGAACAAGACCGTGCCTGCCGAGTGGCTCGCCGTGCGCGACGGCCTGGCCCCGCTGCCCATGGTCGACGGCACCTACCCGGTGTACGAGGGCATCCCGGACATGTGGACCGACAGCGCGACGACTAATGACCACCCGGCCATGGCGGGTATATACGGCCTTCTGCCGCCGCCGATGAGCGGGCCGCCCCTGGACGAGGCAGCGCTGCGCAAGACGTCGGACCGCATCCTCGAGACTTGGGCCCTCGACGAGTCGTTCGGCTGGGACTTCTCCATGCTCGCCATGAACTCGCTGCGCCTCGGCAACGTCGACCACGCCCTCGACTACCTGCTCCACCCCATCTTCGAGTTTGACGACGCCGGCTACCCCGTCGGCGGGTCGAGGGTCCCCACGCCCTACTTCCCCAACTCGGCGTCGCTCCTGCTGGCCGTGGCCATGATGGCCGGCGGCTGGGATGGTGCGCCCGGCCCGCACTTCCCCGACGGTTGGGATGTTACCGTTGAGGGATTCGTGCCAGGGCTGTAGAGATGTTATTTTATGCGTCTCCGTCTTGTCTTGTCAAAGTTGTTGCTGGAGGATGGATGTTGGCCCGTTGAGTGTGGCCTCTTTCCGAGACTTTCGTATTTTCAAAAGCAATAGATAATTTTAAATAGGCGGTACATTCCAGAGGGAGTGAGCTTGAAAACCAGACCCGGCTCTCTTCTACGCGACCTGGACAAGGCTCTTAAACATAGGTAGCAAGTTAGTAACCCCAGTAGAGTTTGATATTAACTTGTATGGTCTAGACGTATATTCTACTCAAACCTGATATCCCATACCTGCGTTGCCTATCGATTTTGGCAACACACCTTGTACCCCATCAGCGCCCCTTTAAACACGTGGAAGGAAGAATCTTCAAAGGGGCTGCATCTCAGGCTGGTCGCTACATACTGGGAGAGCAAAGAGGGCGAACCAAGTCTTCTTGTATTATTTCATATGTTCGCCAGCAGAACCCTGAGCCCAAGGTGTGCTACTTGGTTGCTCCATCACCAAAATGCGTGGTTGTTGGCATTTCACAATATTCTGCCGTCCAACCAGGAACCCGGGATTTTGGGATCCTCAAGCCATAACATATATGGTAGATTGCCTTGCAGAAGACAATTGCAATCACAACAATATCTCTCCCATGCTCTCCCCTTCGAACCCGAGGGTCGACAGTTTCTTAATCTTCCCCTTCTCCCTCGACTTCTCCTCGGTCTTCCTCGCCTTCGATAGTGCTTCGACCATGTCTGGCGTAACCTGGTCATATCCTGCTGGTGAATCGTCATCCTTGTTGAGGTCGATTTCGCCGAGCAACAACACGTTCTCCCCTCTCACCAAGAAGACTCCGCGAGGAATGTCCGCATACATCCCACGGGGGTTATCCGGGCCGGGCGGCACGAAGATTCGTTCTATCGTCGATTGGAGGACCAGGTTCGCTGTTCTGGATTAACATGCCGCGCAATCCCAAACGAAACCAATACTTTGCAAGGCATACCGAATTGGTCCCAACTCCTGAGGATTCCCAGCAGTTTCCGTCCGTCACGAAGTGCAATCATAAGCTTCTCTGCTTGGTGTCAGCACAGCTGCTCAGTGGCCAACCGCCTCTCCCGTTACGCGTAAAAGACGCTCTTACTATCGGTGAGATCGAGTAGTTGTGCTGCCGTCGTAAACATCTGGGCCGGTAGTTGCTGAGGCCGTGACTGGACTCCGAGGGGGGCCGCCGGCGCAGGCCCGCCCCCTTGCTGAGGCGTATCGGAGATTGTTAAATTCTCCATGTTATATCATGAGGGTCGATGTTCAGTGGGCGTATGTTCGAAGTCGGCCAGTCCATTGATATCTTGGAGGCCAGCTCGTCCCAGATTCAGCTTGCTTTGGAGCTCGCTCTGGCAGCTGTACATGCAATGGGGCAGGCTTCCTTGCTCTTGCATTGGGTGGGGCAAATAGTGGTGGTCACTCAGCCGGGCCTGATCACGTGGACCTTCCCGTTGGGCGACGTGCTGGGGAGAAATAATCCGCCGAAGCCCCTCTGAAGGCCTGACAGGCTCATCCAATGATATGACAGGGGCGGGTCTGGCTGACACTCTAACCCCAAGGCTGATAGCACAAGGCGGCGGCGGTGGTGAAGTGAAGTGGGTACCCTATTGTTCTCCAAGCTTGCTATTCTTCCCACGCTTCAACAACTTACACGCCCTCAACCATGACAGCACCTCTTCTGATTGCGGAAATAGCCTCTATTGTCCACTGACCCTTCAAGAGCCTTCTATCATTCCTGCTGCTTCGTTTACTTTAAACAGTCTGCCGTCCATCCCACTGCCCCAAAGGTCGAGCAGAGCAACCGAACTTTGAGTTCGTCAACTCGACGTAGATCACAGTCCTCGCAAATCTTTATTTCCCCCCAAATTACACTGCCTACTATGGCCACCAACGACCTTTCCATGGCCGATACGCCACCATCTCACCGGGCGGACCGCAGAATGAACGGCTCGCCTCCCCTCACCATGTCGAAGCGAGACAAGAAACGGCAAATGCTGGTCGACCGCCTCGCTTCTCTCACCGACAAATTCTCGCGAGATCGTGACCGAGTGTATCGAGAGCAGCTCCAGAAGATCCAAGTAGATACGAATTTGATCATGCGGGTTGATGCCTACGCTGAGCGGCCGTTTGATGCCCTTGAAGAGGAGCACCGACAGCTCTCCCTTAGCAACGGAGATGCAGATAACAGACCGGGCCCGCGGACACTCCTTGAGATGGCCGGGCCAAGGTTTCAGGACTGGATACACACCCTCCAGGATCTCGTTGAAGAGCGGGATTATTACTTGGCCAAATACATGGTTCGTCCCGCCTCGTCCTGAAAACACTTCCACGTGGCCAAGAGACTAACATCCCCTCGCAGGCTGATTTCGAGAAGAAGGCACAACAGCACAACAATACATACCTATACAAGATGGAGACTTCGAATAGAGAACATCGAGCGCTATCACAGACCCTCAGAGACCGCTTGATGAACGCCATTGCTGCGAAGAAATTCAGGCTGAACAAGGAGAAGGAAGCTCTGGAGATCTCTGACGCATCCGCCCTACTACTACACCCCAACCAATTCAGCCTGACGAACCCTGCCAGCCCCGGTGGACCACATGGCAAGCGGGCGACACGGCTACGAAGGGAGATGGATGAGATTCCAGGCCTTGTGGACGGCAAGAAAAGAAAGCGAAACCCTGGAGAGGATGACGGCTCGCCAGCGCCCCAACGTCGGGCATTGGATCCGACAAATACCACCCCTCTCTGGCAGGGTGACCGTTTGGTTATGCGCAAGACGACGGGACCCATATACAGCATTGACAAGCTCTTCACCGACAAGGAACTCTCCATGACCTACAATGCGGCCGCCATTGCCGCGCACAAGCACATACTGCTCCACAAGCCGAAGCTAGATGAGAATGGCCAGATTGTGTCCTCTCCAGGTGCGAGCGATTCTGGAAGCGGAGACACCGAGGAGCAAGACGGCACAGACTCTTTGCCCTCGGCGGTTCCAATGGAGCGCAATGTGTCGCACGCAACTCGCAGCGCTCGTGGTGCACCAAACTTCACCGACGATAAACTGATCGGCTTGGAAGGGCTTGCAAACTTCGACTTCCCTCACAACCTCCAGAAAATGGTGGGCGCCGACCCCAAGCTGCCGCCAACCTTCCCCTCGACGTATGTCAAGGGTCCTACGAAGCATTCCGACTTCAACACACCTCTGGCCCTTTCAGCTGAGGATGTCACCTCCGACCTGACGGTCATGGGCGCCCTCAAGCAATACGACCAACAGCACGGCAGAGGCGCGAATCTCGAGAACAACAATGGGAGCAGAAGTATTCTTGAAGCTGTAGCCTATCCAGCCCGAGAGAACCGCTATGTTGCCTTCCTCCGGGGCGACCGTCTAGCAGGGAACGAGGTGCGTCGCCGGCTGGGCTTGCCGCCCGAGGTGCCGCCCGAGAAACCGGCCGAGGAGCCAGTCCTCAAGAAGAAAGGAAACTCGGGCACAGCGCGTGATGGGGTTGGCACGCCATCTAAGGTTGCGCGAAGCGCTACGCCAAGGCAATCCCCTGCCAAGGCTCTTGCGATTGCGGGCCCGACAAGTGCTCCGTCGGCTCAACTAGGGGGCGCGCCTATGAGCCGTCAAAGCAGTGCCAGCGGAGCCCCGATGAGCCGTAGCAGTAGTAGGAAGGGCAGAGCAACCAGGGGAGGCTAGGAGTGTTTGGAGGAGAACCGCTCTGACCCAGGATCGATAGCGGCGGATTGTGAACAACTTGACTGGATGCCGGGAGGAGTTTCGATTGCTTTCAATCGTGCATATGCTGTTCACATGCTTGCATTCCTCTTCATATTTTGGTATGCGAGGCGACTTGCCTCGTTGATATGCTTAGCGAATCAATATAGTATTACTTCTCATGAACAGACCAATGCAAACCAAAACCCGCTCCCATTCCCATGCGACTGACCAATACCCATAATTCAAGGATGCAAGTTCACCATATATAAAACCATGCGGCCGTTATCACTCCAAATCCACCGCGGGTAAGGGGCCCGGCAGCTCAAGGGCCAAAGACCAAGGCCCTCACCTCAATGCTCTCCCTGCCCTCGGCGTCGGGGCGGGTCCTCGGGTCCACAAAGGCAGTATGGGGGACCCTCCCGCCCTTGACGGCAGTCCCCTCCTTCAGGGACTCGCTATCAAAGCACTGCAGCAGCAGCCTCTCGTCGCCCGTCATCCCGCTCAGGTAGTACCACTTCTGGCCCGGGTCGTGCCTGATGGCGGCGGTCTGGCCGGTATAGCCGCTGCGGTAGCGGTGCTCGACGGGGACGACGTCCTCGTCGCGCAGCGTCGACGACGACGCGAACGCGAGCGGGAACGACTCGACGGGCGCCTTGTTCAGCGGCCGCCACACGTTGACGATCCGGTACCGCCCGGCCAGCAGGCGCTCGGCCTCGCCGGCGGGCAGGTGGCGGCGCACGCGCAGGGCCGCCGACGTGGCCGTCTGGTCGACGTGGACGCGCTGCACGGGGCCGCGCTCCGCGGAAGGGTCGGCGCGCCGGATCGTGTGGTCGAAGAAGACCACCTTGGTGCTGCCGGGGACGTGCGCGAGGAGCAGCTTCTCGAGCTCCGGGTAGTAGTTCGCCTGGATGGAGGCGTCGGAGGTGAAGTCGCGCTCCGCCGAAGGGGGCACGTCCCGGATGATGGCGAAGGAGTCCTCGTCGAGGGTGAAATCGGACTCCCGGCCCCGGGCGTCGTGGATGGTCACCTCGTGGGTCTCCTTGCCGTAGTTGTGCTGCGGCTCGCCCTCGGGCGGGGTCTCGACGTAGTTGAAGGGCTTGGCCCCGTCGGAGGGGTCCTTGAAGTAGTTGAGCTCGGCCTTGACTGGGCCGCGCGGAACCTGCGATGAGATCGCCATTTGGACTGATGGGGTGTAGCTGGTTGCTGTGCGCTTGTGCAACGCCGGGAGGAGTGGTGAGGATAGGGGGCGGACGAAACCGGAGATGCTTGAGAGAGGTGTGGTTGACAGCGCTTGAGGGCTGACTTTAGATGGCAACGGGAATGGCAGGAAGGCAATTACAGTATCAACGAGACTTGTCAGACGGAATTACTTGCACAGAAACTATGCTTGGGGAGATAGCTTTAAACAGTGAATAGGAGGTGGTCTAAGGTGAGACTCTTGGAATATATATCAGACCATAACACGCTTCTTGGTGATTTCAAAGCATAGATAGCTTCCAAATCAATCCGACTTACATCACACGACGACGCAATTGCTTGAGCACGTCATTACCAAAAGGGCGTTAGACACGCCCTTTAAGGTGTCTGGGCTGCATGGAGTACAGCGACTTATTAGTAATTGTGGTGGTAACGGTGGCAAATGAGGTTGTACACACAGGTATGTTAGGTTGGAACGTGGAGATGCATCGGAGAAGCGGAGTTGAAAATGTGGGTTAAAGTTGTCCCTGAGTCCCAGCTGGATAGTGGAACCACCAAAGCTTCATGGTGGCACATTATTGGCTGGGAACTTCCTACATCTGACCTTGCCTAATTCGGTATCAAAGTAAACAATGGCAAAACAGCAACGACCTTACCCTTGCAAGACACGCTCCATTGTCCAAGCATTTCCCGAACGTTGATACCCATGTCCATGTCTCTCTGGTAGACTTTGTGTCTTAAACATAATCATTGCTACTTTTGTTCATGGCATCACAGCCACAGCTATGTCGGCCTCTGTGATGGATATAATGTCGTCTCCGGACCCTTTGAACGCATCCATGGAGAACTCGGTACCACCTTCAACTCGCCGAGTAACTCGAAGCCAATCCTCCCATGGGTTTCTATCTATGGGCACCTCTCCTCGAAAGCAGAAGTTCACTCTGGATGTCGGGAACGAGCTCTCCCCACAAAAGATCCTCGTCACGGTAGAAACAGACGACAGTAACCCAGCAAATGTCAACCGGCGTCTCTTTCAGTCACCAACCCCGCAGAGGGCCATTCGGCGGAGGCAACAGGCTACAACCACCACCATTCCCCTGAAGGGACTTACAGATGACGAGGGCAGTGTAGCCAGTGGCAGATCAACTCCAAAGAGACGGCCGAGACTGCCAAAAACCGGCACTCCTGCCACCACAACCAGGAGGAAGAGGGCACCGACCCCCACTCGAACTACCCCCAGGCGGCCTCGAAGGACAAAAGCTCAAATGGAGGAGGCCTTGACTTCGGATTTAAACGTCGAGGACAGCCAGGCTACTCCGAAGGCGAGTGCGAGGACGCGGAAGACGACAAAGCGAAAAACCGCGACGCCCGCGAAAGGAGATGCTGACCATGTAGAGCTGCCTAAGAAGCGGGGTCGACGACGGAGGTCGATGACCGCCGATGAGATCCAGGTTCTGGCAGCGGACGCAATTCCCGAGGAAGCCGCGGAGGACGATAATGCGTCCGTCGCTCACACGGAAGAGAGCATCTCGGTAGCCGGCAGTCTCCCGCTCGCAGCCTCCGACGACGGCCTGGACGAGGAAGACAACGCGTCTGTGGCTCGCATAGAAGATAGTATCTCGGTGGCTGACAACTTACCGCCGGCACACTTTGACGACGGCGCTGTCCCGGATGACATCTGGATGGCCACCTTATCAGATGCTCCTGTTCCAGTGGGTCGCCGACGATCGCCTCGCAAACATTCAAGCCAGCTTATCGACTCCCCTGGACAGCGAGAAGCAGAACATGCCCAATCTGATTATGGTCGATCAGAAGTCGATGAAGCCTTCAGCCAAACCAGCGTGGACTTCGTACCCGCTGGCGCTGGTAGTGAAGCTGAGTCTGCAGCCGAGGAACCGCAGGGTCACGGAGATAAGGATACGGTCATGTTAGGGGAGGAGTTCACCATGATATCAATCGGCTCTTTGCCATCCATGCAGCCCAACTCGAGCATGGTTGCCACTGAACCCCAGGAGATGGGCGACGAGACAAGCTTCATCATCAACCGAACACTGGAATCCGTGCGGCGGAGCCTTAATGAGCGCGAGAACGATGCCGCAGAGGATGCGGAAGATGGCCCGGCAGCATCTGCCGCAGCGCCGGCTACCATGAAGAGCTTCCTGGAGGCCGGAAGCAGTTCAATGTTCGCGCCACCTAAGCCGCCCCGGGCGTTGTCCAGGAGTCCAAGAAGGTCAAAATTCCAGCCACTCGGGCGGCAGGTAGCGCTCAAGTCTTTGCAACGAGAAGATGGCCTCGAATCGCCCCGAAATGCAAGAATCGAAACGCAACATTCAAGAAGAGCAGTGGAAGACACAAGTGCATACGACGACTCTTTCTCAGAAATACCGGAAGATGTGCTTGAAGCTGCAACACCAAGGCCTACCAGGCGGGTAGCGGTGGAGGGCATGAACGGCACAGAGGACGTCCTTCAGCCTTCAGTTGAGCGGCCATCTATGGTGACGCATTCCGACCCCCAATCCGAGTCGACTAAACTATTGACTCCCGATGAGACTCCATCTCCAGTTGAGTCCGAGGGCGAGAAAGACAAGGGTTATCAGGTCTCCTCGAAGTCCCTCGCACATTCCGAAATGCGCTCTTCGCCACCTGTGTTCGCCTTCTCGCGTCGGGGCAGCTCCGAGTCGATGTCTCGACATTCAAGACATAACTCGTCCGAAACCCCTGCGGTGCAATCCCTATCCACGCGTCTACCACCTCGGATGGGGCAGATTGATGTGCAAACAAAGAGCCTCGTCCCAACTGAGAGCACACCCCGACCAACTCTCTCTCCTATTGTCCGAGCGGGTCGGGCACTGCAGCTTGTCACGTCGGACCCTCCATCACCTCCTAACCGCAATAGCGTCTTGGGGAGCCCTTTCAGGGGTTCCGTCAGCAAGTCGAGTCAGTCTCCGGTCGCTGCGCCTGCGGCAACCCAGTCGGCTCCGTCCCCTGCCCCTGCCCCTGCCCCTACGCAACAGCCCTCATCTGCACAACCGTCGAATACACCTTGGTCGAAGGCTCTAGCCCCATTTAGCCAAATCAAGAACCTAGTTTCCCAAGGAGCTCAGATGTTTTCGCCCCGAGGCGCACCTGCGCCGGCGATGGAGGACCCCTTTGGTCCGGATGCGGCAAATTCTGCCGGACTGGACGTCTTCCATCCTTCAGGCTTCAGTCTCGGTAGTGGTGTGCATCGCGGAACAGATCGTGCTGTCAGCATGACAAGCTCTACTAGAGCTGATCCGCCCAGTGAGGCTGAGATGAATTGGCAAGCGAATGACAGCCCCGCTAGATCTCACGGCGGTGAAATATCCGGAACGATTAGCTCAACTGTTCGCGGACGCAGAGGATCCAGCGAACCTGCCGCCATAGACATGGATATGGACATGGACATGGACATGGACATGGATATGGGAGGGGACCTTGGGAGCGAGAGAGACTACGATGACGATGAAGCGCAGCAGGCCGAGGACGATGAAGACATCTGGGCTGTCGAGGCCCAGCGTCCAACCCCTGGGCGGCCCAAATCTGCAGTCGCGCAGGCGCCAGTCCTCAACCCCCCTCGAAGAAGCAAGCTCCCAAGCCCCTGGAGACAGAACAGCAAGCGACTGGTATACAGCGATGAGTTGCACAAGGGCCTGGAGGACAATGGCAATGGCGACGCCCAGAATATCGAGGTTGAGGAATTCAGCATGCTGTCACAACCAGGTCAGCGCGAGGCAGCAGCTCAGCCTAAGAAGAATGAGCCAACTGCCGCAGCAGCCAGGAAGGTTGATCTCTCGACGTTCTTCTCATCCCCTGCTCTCATACCCGACGTTCAGCCCCCTGGAGTCAACCTATTCAGGTTTGCCGAAACTCGCGGTAATACAAGAACTCAACCCCAGGCACAAGCCACGCAGTTCCCTCCTCCGCCCACGGCCAACTCCCCTTTCGCCAGCCAATCTAAAACGGCACGGCCTCAGCCACAGGGAGTTGGCCCTCTCGCCTCGGTCCCGCAAAAAGGTCTACGTGTTGGGAATCAGCCGCGGGTTGATCTCTTTTCTCCCGTCAGGCGCTTTCCTAGCAGGGACGAGGTGGCTGTTGAGCATTCATCGTCACCTGTCACCCCGGAGCGACCCCTATTCGGTCACGTTCCGCAAAAGAGGAACTTTACCCCACGTCTTCGCCAGCCGACAAACTCGCTGTTCAACCCAGTCTCGAACACGAAGCCCTTAGGCTCGTTCAGTAACCCTCCCGAACTCTTCATCGAATCAGACGCCGACGAGGGAGATGAGACTTTCGAAGAATCCAGCTTCCTAGAGCCCCAGCTGAACCCCCTCCCCGACAAAACCGTGTCGCCCACCAAGTCCTGCATTCGCTCCCCGCTCAAGCCCAAGACCCCAGGCCGAGTCGTCGAGTTCGCCAGCAGCACCCTATCCCCCCTGGCCCAGGCCCAGGCCCGTGCCGAGCGCCGGAGCAGTACCTCCCCGGAGAAGCGCGCACAGAGACCCGTCGCCATGGCGGAGCCCGCCGACGCGGACAAGGAAAACCAACCGGAGGACGACAGCACAGCAGCTCCCAGGAGCAGCACGACCTCCTCCCCGGCCGGCGGCGGCCTCTTCCAGGCAACAACCGCCCCCGCGGCGGCGGCGCCCCTCAAGCGCCCGGCGCGCCTGTCGCAGACCCAGTGGACGCGCGACCACTGGCTGCGGCTGGACGAGCTCCTCCGGCAGCGGCGGACGACGGGGGCGCTGCAGTTCCAGCTCCGGCACGCGCCGTCGCCGCGGCGGTTGCGGTTGTCGTCGTCGTCGGCGGCGTCGGGCAAGAAGGGCGGGGCGCCGCCGCCGCCGCTACTGCTGGGCAAGACGGTCGCCGCGCAGGGCGAGACGATGGCGCTGGAGCAGTGGCACCTGGACGTGGTGGACGCGTTCAGGTCCGAGGTCGGCGGGTGGGAGGAGGCGGTGCTGGCTAAGAGGCTGTTCGCGCTCATGGTGGGCGAGGAGAGGAGGCGGCGGGGGAAGGTGCCTGCTCGGAGGGGGGTGAGCTGAGGTGAGGTGGTAATGTTGTGGTTTATTATACAACGTATAATGTGTGCGACTTGAAATTATGTTGTAAAATGATTGCGTGGCGTTCCCGTTGGAGGTTATCGCCTGGCGTTTGGGAGGGGACTTGTCATTGTCGGTTTTACTTGAACAGTAGCAAAGAGATACCACCAAATAAGAGTGTCGCCTTCTGTTTTTATTCTTATCGAGCCACTATCTCTATGTCCTAGTATTACAGCGTCACTGGCCCGAACCAAAAAGCCCAGCGACCCGAAACCTCAGCCCCCCTTCTCGTCCTCACCCATTCAGCAATAACCCCTTACTCGAGCATCGACGCCTGGTTGGTGTACAGGACATCGACGACGTTGCTCAGCTTCTCGATCGTGGTCAGGGCCGAGTCGTAGGCCTCGTCGCGGTGGGTCTCGTCGAAGATGAGCAGGCAGCCGGCGCCCTGATCGAGGACGCCGATGATGACCTTATCGAGTATCATCTGCGACAGCTTGCGCTCGACCTGCTGGGTGTCGAGGCCGACCATCTTGGCGATGTGGGCGATCTCGACGCGGCTGAAGGGCTCGATGACCTTGATCAGGTTCTGCTCCAGCATGGTGTCGTACAGCCGGATCAGGTGGTTGCGGATGAAGGCGTCGCTGCTCAGCTCCGTCTTATAGGCCGCCAGAGCCCGCTCGTACTCCTCGAGAGAGCGGTTGCTGTGGGCCCGCGCGATGGCCTTCATGGCCTCGAGGGACTGGCCCGCGTACTTCATGGCCTGCTTGGAGGTCATCAGCTGGTTGACGTCGTCGACCAGGTTGAGCATGATCTTGCAGAGCAGCATGTACTGCAGCGCCGTCTGCGCCCGCTGCGGCTCGTCCTGCGAGTGGTAGCCGTCCAGCGCCTCGATGAAGTAGCTGTACGCCGTGTTGAAGTCCTTGTCCTCGGCGTGGAGCATGCCGCTCTGCATGTCCAGGTTGGCCTGCAGCAGCGGCGGCGTGTACACCGACGCCGCGCTCGTCCGCGCGCTCGTCAGCGCCGCCCGGGCCTTGGCGATGTTTCCCAGCGCGTGGTAGACCCTGGATTCGAGCAGTTGGACCTCCACCAGGACGAGCTTATCGTCCAGCCTCTTGAGCTCGCGAAGAAGGCCGTTGATCAGCGTCAGGGCGTCGTAGTAGGATCGCTTTGCCATGTAAAGCGCCACGAGGCGTGTCTCGAGGTTCTGTCGGAGGAAACCTCGGCGCTCTGATGTTGCCCACTCTATACATGACTTGGTGACGGAGATCTGGATGTCGATGGTGTCTGGGATGTCTTGGAAGAGGTCGAGAAGCTGGCGAACTGGAGAAAGGGCGATGTTAGTCGAGTCGCCAAGTCTGCCCCAGTGAGTGTCCCAAACTTACCCAGCTTTGCGGTCTTAGCCTTCGCGAAGGACGAGAGGACGGTCCTGCTCCTTGTGACGAGGTCGACCAGCTCCTTGGAATTCCTATGTCGCATTAGTTAAGGACTGTTTAGGCGCACCCGCCCGCTCAGTCAGCTCACTTCTGATCCCGATACAGCTCCCCCAAGCTGATCAATGCAGTTTCATATTCCTTGACAGCCGCATCGGATGTCACAGATGGAGGTTTTGAGATGATCTCCTTGTAGATTTGCTCGGCCCCCGAAGGATTGTTCGACGACGCTGCTTTCTGTGCCTCCCTCAACCGCTCCGAATCGCCTTGGGCCATAGCTGCACCTATTATGTATCGAGATATGCCTTTTTAAAGTTTTTGCTTTTTGAATTATAGGCCCGTAGTCGGATAATTCGTCGGCGTCTGCAAAGGTTGAGGTTGATGGTGATCTAGGTAGGTAAAGCTTCAGCCTCTCTCAATGAAGGCTCCAGACGGGTCCAGGTTGCCATGAGCGCGACGTAGCCCGGGCTCCACTACTGTGGCGTACTGTGGCTGATAAAATGTGGCAGTATGTATCTCACCGCCTAAAAGTTCCTTGTGCAGCCCCGCCAACCTCGTTCATTCAAATGGTATAGTTTTACTAGGACAACGAAGATTATAGGGAGATCTTTGCATGGAAACCTGGGTGCAAACCCTATACAATCCCTTGATTTACTCTTATAAGCAACGATGGTATGTTTGCCTTGTCTAGCTGACTTCCTACTCGCCTTTGCAGCGCTAACCCATCTACAGAAGATCAAGGCTCTATCTCGATCGGCGCTCGCGCAGCAGCCGCCTGGCTCCGATGCTCCAAAACTGCCTCGTAACCTCGATCCAAAACTCCACCCCTTTGAGAGAGCTAGAGAATACAAGAGGGCCCTAAATGCTGTCAAATTGGGTATGTCGGACCTGCTTAGGATTCCAATGCGGTCTCTGCAGTCGGTTCCTCGTTGCTGACTCGAGAACAGAGCGGATGTTCGCTGCGCCATTCCTGTGCCAGCTGGGCCGTGGACATGTTGAAGGCATTCAAAGCATGGCAAAGGACCCCAGTTCTCTGCAACGCTTCGCAAGCGGTTCCGCAGATGGTGTCGTCAAAGTATGAAGGAGTCCATGTTCTTGAGGTCTAGACAAGATTGCTGACGAGACTTAGGTATGGGATCTGAGTACTAGAGAACAAATCTGGAATACGACCGCCCACGAGAACTTGGTCAAGGGTATGACCTGGACGAAAGACAGCAAACTGCTCACGTGCGCAGCGGATCGATCAATCAAGCTCTTCGACCCATACAACACGGAGAATGATTCGGTCCCGATCTCTACGTGGCTCGGGTCGAACGCTTTTAATTCCGTATCGCATCACCGTTCTCGGAATGCATTTGCGGCTGCCTCGGAGGTCATATCCATCTATGACCTCGAACGACACACCGCTGCTCCCGAGGTCATCCAGTGGCCCTCCTCGACAGACTCGATTACCGACGTATGTTTCAACCAGGTTGAGACGTCGATATTGGGCTCAGTCGCAACAGATCGGTCCATAGTGCTGTACGATTTACGTACATCGACGCCTATATTGAAGACTGTCCTCAATTTCAGTTCGAATAAAATCGTCTTTAACCCCATGTAAGTCTCTCCCAGCCTCGGCCTCATTCAAAGGGACGACTCTGACTCATACCTTTTCAAAAGGGAGGCGATGAACTTGGCAGTTGCAAATGAAGACCACAATATCTATATCTTCGACATGAGGAAATTCGACAGGGCACTGAACGTCCTGAAGGATCATGTGGCAGCTGTGATGGATGTTGGTGCGTATATCTCATGTCCTCTCGACGTCGGGAGCTCATATACTAATTCAGGCCTGTGCAGAGTTCTCGCCTACCGGAGAGGAGCTAGTCTCTGCATCATACGACAGGACAATCCGCTTGTGGAACCGCGATAAGGGGCATTCTCGTGACATTTACCATACAAAGCGTATGCAACGAGTTGTATGTACATCCCATATTTCTTGGTCTTGTTAGATGAAAGCCTCGATTTGCTAACACTGGTTGAAATAGTTCTGCTCTAAATGGACCCCCGACTCTAAGTACATCCTGACGGGGTCTCAGGACGGGAACATCAGGGTAAGTCCACCAACCCCCAGATCAGTTCTCCTAAACACTTAGCTAACGATATCTGAAATAGCTATGGCGCGCAAACGCATCCGAGAGGCAGGGGATCAAGTCCGCCCGCCAACGCCAAGCCCTCGAGTACAACGAGGCCCTGTCGGAGCGGTTCGGGCACATGCCCGAGATCAGGCGGATCAAGCGTCACAGGCACATTCCCACGGTGGTCAAGAAGGCGCAGCAGATCAAGAACGAGGAGCTCGCGGCGATCAAGAGGAAGGAGGAGAACGAGCGGAAGCACACCAAGAAGCAGTTCGAGAAGCGGAAGAGCGAGAGGGAGAAGATGGTCTTGGCAAGGCAGAAGTAGGGTTTGCCCAGGTAACAAGGCTACTTGTTATTCATTGTCCCCGGGCTGCTTGTTTTGTTGCTTACGGCGTAGTTGCTGCATTGCAAGGCGTTTTCGGGGGGTCAGAGAGACTAGTTAGTGTAGGGAAAATCGAGCAAACTCAAGACCTTCAAGGATAGTTGGATCGCGGAGCTTTGCACACCTAGTTTGTTCTGATAACGGCTCTTCTGGTCACGTCAAAAGGCTCGTCACTCATTTCGTTCGTAAGCAGCTTGCTAACTAGAAGAGCCAGTCTCCAGCCAGAGTTAGTCCTCCTGCTGCGAGACACGACGTAAAAAATACAAGCAGCCCGCAGGTAGAGACTGGTACGGGATGATCAACACTTGGTTCCCGTCTCACCCTTCGCCGCCAAATCGGCCACCAAAATCGGAGCACTGGGTTTTAAGTATATACAAGATGAAGAAGAGCAATCAAAAAGAGGCCTTCCCAGAAGGGCGAGAAAGAAGGAAAAAAAATGCCTTTCCAGCAAGCAACCCCCCCTTTTGAACGTCGACCTCACAAGAAAAGCCCCTCCGAGGGCACGAAGAGCGACGCGACAGCCACGGCTGACGACACCAAGCCGCCCCACAGGACGGCGAGGAAGACGGCCCTGTCGCGCAGCAGCTGCAGGCTCTGGTTCTGCACAGGCGTGGCGGCCTCGAAGACGCGCTCCCGCAGCGGCTTGGCCGCGTACCGGCCCACCCACGGCTCCGAGCCCGGGTCGTTTCCGGGGCCGAACGTCTGCAGGCTCGACTTGCGCAGCGGGTCGATCCGGCTGAAGGCGCTGCCGACGCTGGAGCTCGTGTCCTTGCGCGAGTGCTGCCGGTACGCGGCGCCGCCGCCGCCGGCTACTGGCGGCGGCGGGTGCGGGTGCGGGTCGTTGTCGTCGGCGGGGGCGGGCCACGGCGGTTCCACGTCCTTGCGGTCGTAGTCGGTGTGGTGCTCTAGGTCGCCGAATTGCTCCCACGGCCGCAGGTGGCGGACGTTCTTGAGGTGGAGGAGGATGGATATACCGCGGAAGGCGGAGATGGCGACGGTGAGGCCCGGCCAGAGGAGCGCGATGCAGAGGATGCGGAGGAAGTGGTTGAGCCCGGACAGTATGAGGAAGACGTCGAGGCCCAGGCCGAGGGCGATGAAGGCGAGGCCGACGACGCGGAGGAAGATAACGCGGGGCCGGTTGCTGTTGGACATGCTCCAGCGCACAAAGTTGGGGTGCGATTGGCCCTTGAGCATGGCCTCGGCCACGACGAAGGCGGGTAGGAGGGCCGAGGGGTGGGTGGTGTGCTGAACTGCGTGGAGGCAGCGCTCCCGGTCTTGCTGGACAAGATTGAGCCGCCGGGGCCCGGACTCGGCGATGTAGTGTCTTGCGATGCGGCTCACCTCGTCTCGGAAGGGCTGCACGGTGACTGGGAGGAAGTCAGCATTTGAGCTCGGTCTGGGTGACAAACTTTAACATGAGCACTTACATGGTTGCCAGTCATCCTTACAGTCAGTGGGACTCATTATTGAAGACCCGGAAGATGTGCGTGCCCTCGAGACTTTCGAGGTAGAAGACCCGTCTCTTGTGTGGCTGTAGGTCTCGTCTGTCTCGGATCCCTGGTCGCTATTCGCCATCTCCATGATGGAGATGATCTTGTTCATCTTCTCGCTCCTCGCTCTCTTGTGGCTGTATGTGATGTATCGCGAACGGGGCTCCGAAGCGGTCTCGGGATCCCAGATGGGCGCGAGGGCCTTCTGTCTGGGTAACAGATTGCTCCATCGCTGGACGTAGTCACAATACCAGAGGAAGAACTGTAACGGCTCGGCGCTGTGCTCCACGTAGAACAGATAGTCCATAAAATCATTCAGGGAGAACGGCTGCGAGGCATTGTGAGCAATTCGCACTCATATTGGACTTGCGAGCTTCGTGCTTACAGATAGTGTCTGGTTCTTCACTAGCTTGTCGAACGAGAGGCCAGCGGGAATTTTCCCCTGTGAGGCTTTCGCCTTCTCCAGCTGGAGAGCAGTCTCGACGTCCGACATGGGGCAGGTCTACTGCGTAGGACAAGCGTAGTGAAGACAGACGGCAGGAACTGTGTGGCTTTGTCCGGTTCGACGATGGCGTTACGTCTTACATCTACGTCTTGGAGATGAGGCTTTTTCGGCAGGGTGACAGGATTAAATACAATGTAACAGGAAGGGACCTGGGAAAGGACTGTTGATATGATCTCGCGCAGAGTGCGACGATCAAGCTTCCTTGCTCCCAGACACAAAACAAGGCTATGAGTCGATCATAGTTACCAGGAATAAGACTGCCAACGGGTCGGCAAGGCGATAGCTACAACCCATGGTTGCCAGGCGTCTCGCATGTATCTCAGATATACGCTAGAACGTGGAAACAAGAGCGGGAGAAGGTAGTTGGTCTTGTGAACCAATCGCAACCACGGTAGAATCAGCGTTAGTTAGCATCGTAAACATGCCCGGGGGGCGGTACGAGACGAGACATGGTCGTGATCGCATGCCGTGGAAAATGTAGTTGTGGTAACCGGGGGGTTGTTCATGCCTTCCATGCTCCCGTATTGGGCAGCTCTGTTGAGTACACACGCAGGAGCTTCGCTTGGGGGTTTCAAGCCCATGTTGGTGTGGCTGGTTCATGAAGAACCATAAAGGGTGGAACTGTGGCCAAGCGAGTGTCGGAGTGTGTTGGCCGATAGCTGTTCGCCCAAAAGAGGAAGTCTAACAGGCTAACAACCCCAGGGAGAATCACAGAGATGGGCGCTCCCAGATCCGGGCCACGATTGCTGCGTTCCCGGGGGAGCAAGCCGGCATTATGGGCCTGGATGCGAGCTTCGCGTTTCAGATCAGTAGGTGGAGGCTTAGGAACACATCGGACAATAATATAAGAGCCAACGCCTCGGCATGAAAACAAAGGGCAGAAGAGCTGTTAAGGCAACAGTCGACGGTTAAAAAGAAAAAACAAATGTCTCTGAGACCTTCAAGACGACGATGTCAAGGTGTGTACGAGAGATGGTTTTGGATTCTAGCGTGTAGTGTCGGGAGTTGTTGACTGAACAACTTGACACCCCGGGAAGGCCCGTGACATCCGTGACATGGGTCACCTTTCTGGCGGTTGGATACTGTCCTCGTGGGTCGGACATCAGAGGCCCAGAAAGTCGGTCCCAGGTCCCCCATCGGAGTCCATCCCATGCGTGAGTGCTTCATCGACACTACGATCCGTAGATCTTTCGATTCTATGCTCATCCCCAAGCAGCCGATGTTGATGGAGCTGAACATTGTGAAACCCCCTTTTTAATAAGAATGGTTGACGCGCGATCTTCCCCGTGCAAGAGGGCTGGATGAAAGAAGAGAATAGCGCTTGCTAATGGGAAGAGCACGAATCATTCGCCGGTTTCCCTCCCAAACTTGAGAATTTGACAATGTGATGTGCTTCAATCTAAGCGTTTCAGATCGTCCGTCCGTGACAAAGGGGCCGTACATCGCAGCAAAACAAGCAAAACAATAAAGAGCCCGGCAACCCGTTGTAGCCAACAGGAAGGTTGTTCTTGTTTTCTGTTTTTGCTTCAACCAAGTAAACCGATCTCGTTTGATATGCGGCTAAAAAGATTTGCATTTTGAGTTAAGCTGCGTCCACGTTGCCATGGAGGTTACCGCATGGTCGCCCCTCATGGAACGAGTACGTGGAGGATCTCTCCCTCTCAACATACCAGTCTATCTTCTACTCCTGCCCACACAAATCATTGCATTCCCATCGCAACGGGGATACACCAGGCTCGGCCAAGTGGCCACATACAAGTATTGACGTGTCTTCCTGCCGGCAATATAAGCCCAGTCCTTCCTACCCGGTCACCGACTTCAGCCTCCGATGACCCCTGAGCGCTGAGCCCACGAACCCGGCCACTCGTATATAGCCACGAGCGGGTATTATGGGGGCCAAGGGGCCGAGCCGCAACGCTAACTAGAACCATAAACAGCTGCCAGGGAACAGTCACGATGGTAGTCTGGGCAGAGCGGCTGGTTGCCGTTGGTACCATACTTGGAGTGTTATGTTAGGTGAGAATCCCAGGATCAATCGAGGAGGACTCAACGCGGTCCGGCTCTACAGATAAAACCGATCATCGTCACATTGACTCAGGTCTCGAGATCAGCTGGAACCGCTGGTCCCAGAGTTGATTCCAGTCGCCCGCCCACCGTCAGGGCTTCAGACCTGCTGAGCAGGTAGGCCTATCGTAGAACATCACTCTCCCAGACTGGCTTGAAACATTCGAACCGAGCCAGGTTATTCCATGGGTCAAGGGGCCCGAAATGCTCGATCAAGGGCTCTAAATATCATATCAAATCAGCCGTTCTACTCTACAAGTTAACCGACTTTCTCGGCATTGCCTAGGAAACTAGATGCAGGATGATTTGTGTACACTTCAACCTTCCCTCATCATGACAAATAACCATGATCCCCCTATGCCCAAGTTACTTGGCAAATCAACGACTCTTCCCTAAATACGGACCACCGGCTGGGGAACACGACCCCATTTGTTCCACATGAATACTCGTTCGTAAACCATTTCCCACGTAACATTGGCCAGCAACCAATAATCCCCGCAAAATGTCAGCCCAAGGCTCGTATCTTATGTGCATGCCAGCCTCTGCGTTTCCCATTCCTCCACAACGAATAAAAAGGGGGCTCTATTCCCAGGAAGAGAGAAAACTCAAACGCCATGTAACATGCCTCGCTGTGGCGGTATGGTGTGTATGCGAAGACGCGATCAAGAAAGCAATGCCCAAAGTTCCGCCCACTAAAACATGCAAGCCCCCGTCCGGTATAAAACTCAAATTCGTAAACGGGGGAATATCTCTCATAAGACTTCTTTCAAGGGGGTATATCATTAGGAGGAGCTGCGAGAGCCTCACAGCCAAAACGTGAAGAAGAGCATGACGCCGACGAGGCCGGCGCTCATGCCGGCGATCTCCTTGTTCGCGGGGGCGGGATTCTTGGTCGAGGACGGCGACGCTGCGGTCCCGCCCGTCTTCGAGGGTGCGGCGGTGGGGGCGGAGGAGAAGGAGCCGCTGAAGGTCTCACCGATGGTCGGTAGCGCGACGTTTCCGTCGAGGAGCCAGCCGCCCGAAGTCGAGGCTGGGCACTTTCGTGTCGAGACCTTTGGGGTGTACTCGGAGCTGGCAACACCCGTGGGGGTGATCTTTGCCCACTGGGACTTGAGGTTGTTGAAGTCGGGGGAAACCGGGAGCGGTGTGCCCTTTCGGGTGAAGCCGTCGTCGATATCCTCGCCGACGGCCGTGGGATTGAGCGCGGGGCCGTACGAAATCAGGCCGTAGTTATTTGCTTCCTCGATCCATTCGTAGATGATGGAGCCACTCCAGTCATTCACCATCTCAGGGCCAAAGATGGCGGCCTGATCGTCGAAAAGCCTGGGTCCAGGGACGTTGCAGCCAGTTTCTGAGAAGAAGATGGGAACAGGGAAGTCCACGGCCATAGACTGCAGGTTCTGATAACCTGAGTTTAGGTAGTCTGCCGGATCGCACCACTCGTACGAGTTGAGCGCAAAGAAGTCAACGTTGTCGGCCGGGTTTCCTCCGCACGTGAGGTAGTCCTGGAGCATAGGCCGCAGCTCGGCAATATCAGTGGCGGAGTAGCCAACGGGGAACTTGCGGTACCCCTTTTTGTCACGGTAGGCCTTCAAGTCGCGAGATGCCGCCTTGATGAAGGGTGCGGCCGTTGATTGGTTCGAGATAGCAATGATCTCGTTGCCAACGAAGAAGCCGAGAGTGTTGTCGAAATCAGAGAAGGCATCCATGACCGCGGCGTAGGCCTTGTATTGCGTCTCGTTCCACCACGGATTGTTCTATAAGCTGCGGGTTAGTAGGCTGGAAGAGGCGACGAAAGAAGCAGCACGTACCGGCAGGATATATGTGTTGAAGGTATCCATGTCTATCAGAGCGTATATGCCAGCCTTGGCAAACTCGGACATGCAGCCCGAGTGGTCTGCTTTGGCGTCGACGTGGTACACGCGGATAGCATTGGCGCCCAGGGTCTTCATGAGTGCAGCATCCCGGGCGCACTGCTCGGTGTCAATGAGTGGGTCATCTGTTCCACGAAAGTCAGACATGCACGAAGGCGGTGAAACGTGAGACATAGGGTTTTGGGGGACCAACCTGGTCTCAATTGGTATGCAATTCCTGTGCAAAAGTTAGAATCTCGAGCTTGCGACTGCGGGCAGAACTCATAGGAAGGTAGGGTACCTTTCAGAAAGAACTGATCGCCTTCGCTCGTGAAGAACTTGTTCCCAACAGCTGTGATGGTCGGGATAGCGAGGGTCGGGATGGCGCCGAGCAACGACCCGGCCAGCCAAGAAAGCTTCATCGTCCTGGTGTCTGGGCGATTGTGGACCGGAGTGATAGGCGACGCGTCGAGTCGAGTCGAGGGCGAGGCAACTGGGGGTTGCGGGCGAGATCACAAGAGCGACTGGAAATGTCCTTCTAGGAAGAAGAAAGCGAGCGCGAGAGGGAACTGGAGCTGGAGCTAAGTGAATGAGCTTCTCCGACTTTCCCCTATGTAAACGAAGGTTTCTTCAGTGCCTATTGCGAGAGCAGAAGCAATCTGGGCATCCGTCACGGGTTGTTCGACTACGTTGAAGCTGCCGCGATGTCGATGGAAAAACGAAGGATCCCGTGGAAGCTCCAGGCACCAGACGGGTTGGGGGGACTGCGCCGTACAAGAAGAATCCTCCAAGCTTCAGGCTAGAGGCGATTGACAATGGTAAAATTACCTGTTTTTACTTTCCTTGGCCAACTCCTCCACAACGGGAAGCTTGGAAACGGGCAGGGGGCGAATCCGCATGCATGCACACTAATCCATAGCTTCGCAGTGAATTTCCCCTGTTCTAGCGTGTTGCTGCAGGAAGTTGCAGTCGCCAACTCCCATGTAGATTTACTAGTGCAGACTGGTGGTGTATGTGTGGTGGTGTGGCTTGATCGGGGCTTGATTGGCTGCATGAGTTGCGTCACCGGGGGGTTAAATCCAGATCACCCTCCCAAAGTGCCAACTCGAACCGGGCAAACGCTGAAAACTTGATTGGTGATTTCTGAGAAACTCGAAGATTGGGACCCGGTTACGAGCCCGGCGGTGGTACTTGGGGGAGTGTACTGTCAATTAGCCAGAGCTAGCCCGAGTACCCCTACTGTAGGTGGTATACCAGATTCATTTAACGAATGTAGGTACTGTACATTCTCGTAAGGCATCTCAGCAGGGTCCCGCCCAGCCACCGAACACCTCGTACCTCGCGAGTCCCGAGTCAAACCGCAGCTGATCTATAGGTTGTCCAGGTTGGACAAAAAGACCTTTATACAACACAAAATTCCTCCATGTTTACTTATAGCAATCTAACGAGTCGCTTAGGAACGAGTCAGTCCCTTGCATTCCCGCTCTAGTGTGTGCTTTAAGAGTTTGCAAGGACCTATACCACAGTAGTAGAGTGCCCGTGCCAATCGGCTAAATATTCCGATTGGCCCCTAATTCAATAATCCAGACCAACGTCCACATATACGATATAGCCAGGGCTTGGCGGGGGCTGTGACACCCAAATTGATTAGGTACGTATAGATAGTGGCAGACTTTATGAGTGGTCCCCCTTTTACACCATAACACCGATGGACCAACCAAGAGGAAACTCGCGACTCCAGCACAATGCACCTCCTCCGGGGTTTCAAATGTTAGCGCGAGTACCTAGTGGGACCATACTGACACTCCTTTCCAAGTAGTGTTTTACCCCTGTCACGCTAATATTTGAAGCCCCGGTGAAGGTGTAGTAACCACCCTATCATGGCTTGTAAGTCACCAAAGTGTGACGGCGTGAACAGCGATGCAAGCCTCTCCACATTCCCCCGGGTTCGAATTGCCCCTGAATGGAGCAAGCCAGGTCTCAGACCGAGACAGGCCCGGGAAACTGCTGCCACTTGCCACTCCCGATGCGGAGGTTGCGAATCGACCGAAACCCACTGCCCCGGTGGGCAGTCCTTGATCCCCCCCGCGCACCCGCTACCGCCCTCCCCGGCCCGGCGCCGCAGTCGCGTCCGACCGAGCCTGTCGAGGCGCTGCCGCCGCCACTACTACTGCCCCGGCTGCTCGCCCGGCGGTATTCGAGACTTTGCGTGCTGGTCGTCTCGGAGCAACCATCGTCGTCGTGGCCGTCGTCATCGTTTCGGGCGACGCTCCCTGGACCCCCGCCGAGGCCGTCGAAGCCGAAGCCAAAATCCCAGCCGCCGCCGTTTCCACCGCCATACCAGTGTACGCAGTGCGGCTCGAAGACGCCGCCGCCACACCCGGCGGCCCCCGTGAGGATCTCGTAGATGCGCTCCTGCGCCTCGCGGGCCGCGGGCCGCGCCGACGGGCGCGGCGCGAGCATGCTCTCGGCGACGCGCAGGATCGGGCCGACGACGTCGCCGCCTCCGTCGCCACCGTCGTTGCCGAGGAGGACCTTCCTCTTCGACGACGACGACGCCGCCGCCGCCGCCTCCTTGGCTAGCTGTGCCGCCCAGCTCCCCACCTGGCCCAGGTTGCCGTGGAAGGACGAGTCCGGGACCGCTCCTCCCCTCCCAGGGGTCTTGTGCTTGGCGGCTCGGTGGGACGCGAATGCCCGGCTCTGCCTCTTCATCAGGAAGGTTAGGAGCTCTAGGATGACGCAGCCTAGAGAGAAGATGTCGGCGGCCTGTTTGTCGGGATATGGCGGCATGCTAGCGCGATGGCTCGAAGGCGAGGGCAAGCTGGATTTGCGGTGGGTCGTCGGGCTCGAAGCTGTCGCGTTGCTCCGGAGACGCTGTTCGGGGGCCATATAGTCGTACCGCTCCTTGTCGAACGGCGCCTTGTCGGCTCTGCTTGGGGACAGCTCGACGCCGAGGTGTCCCAGGTCAGAGTAGAATATGTGGTTTGCGCTGGTGTAGAGGATCGTTGACGGCCTTATATTCCCGTGGGAGAGACCTCTGCTGTGGATGAAGCACAGAGTGTCGACCAGACAGTGGATCCAGTTTAGGACGAGGTGGCTCCGCGCCTGCTTGTTCAAGTTCTTGATCGCCGTCGGCGTTGTGGCAAGCAAGGACTTCAAGCTGAAGTCGCTAGCTGGGGTGAACAAGATATAGCCGTGATTTTGGTGGACGTAGGAAGCCCAGTAAGACTTGAGATGCTCGTTCTGGACTCTCCTGAGGTTGTTGACCTGGTACAGAAAGTCGTCGTGGCTCAGGCGGCCAGGATCGGAACCTAGAGGGATGCAGCGGCGGCAGAGAACCACGTCCGGCTGGTTTGGAAGCACGACCTTGTTCCCATAACGGTTCTGGGCCAAGCCTTGCTTCCCTTCGACAGTATCCAACGGTACTACGTCCATATTATCGTAAAACACATGATATCCTTGCCGTATCGGTTTCAGCAGGTAATGAAACTGCCGGTAGTAGAATTTCCTCTCCAATTTCACATCCTTGTGGCGGCTTAGTTCCAGTCGCTCCACCTGATCGAGGGCAATAGGGAGATCATCGTCGTCCCAAGAGTCGTCGATAACATAAAAGATTTGGTCCGGCAGTCCGAGGTCTATGAGGATTAGGAAGAGACGCTTTGCCCTCTCGTCTATCCATTCCCAGTACGTGCTATCAGTTAGGCCGTCGCCGAAGCCCGTTGGCCGGTCGAGGCGTTCGACATCCTCCGGGATAAGATGGCTACAGGCGAACTGCCGGGTGACAGTCGCCTGGATCGCGTCGTCGTCCCACCACATGTTGCTGGAATGCCAATAAAGGCCTCTGCGAACTTTGGGATTGCCTCGAGGCGGAGTCCCGAGTCACTTCTTCGGCACCATTGAGGAGGGAGCACAGGGCAGACGCCATCAGAAGCAGATGGGAACGGGCACAAGGCCGGGTGGCTCCGGGGCTTGGGATATGTGATATCGAATCCAGGGTACCGTATTGTCCGAGGCAACAAGGGGCGGTACCGACTGGCTGGGACTGGGAGCACAGAGACCCGAGAGATTCTTTCCTGCTTTCATGATAACAGGATTGTCCTGATCACCTTGGTGTTGATTGCAGGGGCCCACACAATTGGCTGCCACCTGGACCGAGAGATAAGGAGCTGTGGTCCCATTGATCAAGTCTGGGGCGCCACAGGCACGCAGGATGAAGGTCCCGGGCGAAAAGTAAGCACCCATCAACAGGCCGTCCCGCTGCTCTAACCGTTTGAAGCTTCATCAGTCTGCAAGGTCTCGTTAAAACCTGGATCACAAGCTTACCGCGTATCCCTGCAACCAATATATCGGTGGCAGGCAGCAAGGGCTATGTGGAGATGGATGCGTGGGGGAAGAACACCCTCAGTCCTGGCTCCACAGGGAGCCCCAAAGTGCTCGCAGAAGGGCAAAGCTGTCAGGAAAGTCTGTTCGCGAGATCCGTTCTGCTGTCACTGTTAGCTCCAGGTCACCCTTGTATCTGGCATCTGTCATGGTGTTCATCAAGCATCCAATCAAAAACCATCCTTCCTTATCGCGAGCCGACTTCACTCACAACCCGGAATGAGAATACCCCTCATTTGTGGCTTCTGGCAGGAACAAGGGATATTGTTCGTCATTGGGTCACGATGTGTTTCTTCAAGACGAGGGGATCTGTGAGAGCCAGGAAACAACGAAGGGCTACTTCCTATCTCACAACCTGGAACCCATGGAGCAGTAACACGACCCCCCACCCTAGCCACGATTTTGATGATGGCGTGCCCATCCGTATCAGCATCTTTAAAGTTAAATTCCTTGTATATGCTCTATCCATAAGTATCTTGAAGGGAGACTGCAAACCTCGTCCGACCCTTATCTTAACATCGGGGTTTACATGAATACTTCTAGTCTCGATTAGTGTAGTCGTACATAAATCCGAGTCGTTTCACGCCCGCGCCAACAACCCGGTTCAGAGGCCCTGTATCAGGACCCCGTTCTTCTCGCTCAACTCGTTCCCCTTCCTGCCAATGAACGTTTTCATTCCCTCGTCCACGCCAGCCAGCCGTCTGGTGACGGCCTGGACACCCGTGGGCAAGACGTTGAACCAGTCGACCCACCGGGCATAGAGCGGCATCCCGATGCTGGCGTTGCGCCCGTTGTCGATGGCGTTGATGATCTCCTTGGCGACGTCGACGGGTTCCACAACGGGCGCCAGGAACGAGTTCGGTGTCCGGACCCCGTAGAACAGCGGCGTGCTCAGCTGGCCCGGAGTCACCAGCACCGTCCTGATCTCGGGATGGCTCTCGCGCAGCTCCGCCGTCAGGGACTTGTGCAGGGCCGTGACGCCGGCCTTGGCCGCCGCATAGTCCGTCAGCTGCGCGGCACCCACATGGCCGATCACGCTGGAGATGGTCACGATGGTCCCGCCGCACTCGTTGCGGGTGATCGCGGGAAGGAACGTCTTCAGGGTGTAGAAATGGCTGAGGAGGTTGGTCGAGAGACTCCTCTCGATCTCGGCAATTTCCATGTCGAGCAGCCGTTTGCCCAAGACGACGGCCGCATTGTTGATGAGGACCGTGGGTGTGCCAAGCTGCCAGATGGTTAGCACGACTGGAGACTTGAGGTTTGAGGCTTTCGGCCGGTCCCGAGGGTCTCTCTTACGTCTCTCTCAATATCGGCAGCTACTCGGGCTATCTGCGCCTTGTCCGTGACGTCGCACTTGTAGTAGGTAACTCCGCGGGCCTCCCCATTCTCCATTTCATTCACGTCCAGAATGGCCACTGTAGCGCCCCTCATGCCGTAGACTTCGGCAATCAGCAAGCCCAACCCACTCGCCCCACCCGTGATGACGATGACCTCCTCGCTGAGGTCAACCTCTCGGGGAAGGCCGAAGGCCAGCCTCTCGTTGATGCTACCGGCTATCCAGCACAAAGTTATGAAGGCCGCCCATCCTATGGATACCAGCATGGGAGGGGCATCCCATTGCATGTTTTGCGCGCGGAAGCAGAGCGGGATGATCCATGAGATGAAGGGGTGGAAGAAGGTTGTCCTGAGCACCTTGACAACAAGATCAATCGATACAGGTGCGAACCACGACTCGCTCTGCGGCGGCTGAGTGAACCTCGAAGCCATTATGGTGGTGTGACTCGGTGTGATTCGAGGGGTAGGTAGCTCCAAAAGGAAGAAACTCGATCGGGCGCTGCGTTTAGATGTTGTTATCTGGTCCTTTATACCTCGATGGTTGAACAGATCAAATCTTGTATGTCGCCCGCGATTCAAGAAGCCAGTTCCGTAAAGAGGGCAAGAAAGATGCAGAAAAGAGCGTAGAGAGAAGAAATGGATTGAAATCCAAAGATGGAAGCTGCCACCTTCTTTGGGGGGAGCTCTGGCCTCTTTGAAACACTTGGTCCAAGCACTCGAACCCCTAGCTGTTTCGATCAGGGCAATTGGAACCGCCCCTGCCCCCCTGGAGAGCCCCTGCAGCAATCCCTGAGCTATGAATGGCCCGCTAATTCTGCCGTGCGCCATGACGGGGTAGTACTATGTAAGTGTGCAGAGACGGGACCCGGCTAAGCCCCGACATCCGACCATGTGAGAACGCGGTTAAGCAGCGAACGTTGCCGAACCTTCCCCGACTCCGTGCTTCCAACGCCGACCGACAACCAGTGCGATGGCAAGCCAAGCCGAACCCCTGATCACCGATAGGGATCGCGACCCGGGGCCCGAGTCAGACCACGACGGTGGGTCCGCGACCAGCCAGGCTCCGGATGCGCCGCCTGGGCTCTTCATCTGGCTCCTAACCCTGTCCGCTTGCCTGAGCGGCCTGCTGTTCGGATGTAAGATGACTTCCGTCGGGCGCATGTCGATCACCGTCGGCTAACAAAATCGCAGATGACACGGGCGTCATTTCCGCGACCCTCGTGTCAATCGACAAGTCGCTGTCAGGCCGACCGCTTACATCCCTCGACAAGTCCATAATCACGTCATCGACCGCGCTCCTGGCGCTCCTCATCTCCCCGTTCTCGTCGGTCCTCGCCGACGCCTTCGGCCGCAGGCACGTCATCCTCCTCGCCGACGTCCTCTTCGTCGTGGGCGCCGTCGTTCAGGCCGACAGCTCGACCGTGTCCTCCATGGTCGTGGGCCGCTCGGTAGTGGGCGCCGCGATTGGCGCGGCCAGCTTCGTGATCCCACTCTACATCGCCGAGCTGGCGCCGGCGGCGCACCGCGGCCGGCTGGTCACGATGAACGTCTTGTTCATCACCCTCGGTCAGGTCGTGGCCTATATCGTCGGCTGGGTGTTCGCCGAGTATGGGAGCAGGGAGACGGGATGGAAGTGGATGGTCCTCCTGGGCGCCGTGCCGGCTGCCGTCCAGAGCATCCTCATCTTGTTTATGCCCGAGACTCCACGATGGCTGGTGCGCGCAGGCAGATCGGCAGAGGCCCTAGCGGTCATCCGGCGGGTCTTAGGAGGCAGCAGCGGGACCGCAAGGATTGCAGAGACTACACTGAAGAGCATCGAGATGGAGATTCGAGAGGAAGATGAGACGAGGCGGCTCAACAGGCCCCACCCCTCGAGTGACCGTTTCAGGCTGTTTGGCCGCTTACGGGAATTGTTCGCGACAAGGAGAAATCGCCGCGCATTGGCGATAGCCTGTCTGCTTCAGGGACTTCAACAGCTTTGTGGTTTTGTAAGTGCCGCGGCTCAATTCAGGACATACACCCTGTTGCAGCGTAATCTAACACGTCGAATCACAGAACTCCTTAATGTACTACTCGGCGACCATATTTACGCTTCTGGGCTTTAGGATCCCAACTCTTACCTCCTTGGTAGTCGCCGTCACCAACTTCGTCTTTACACTCGCCGCCCTCTTCCTCATCGATCGAATTGGTAGGAGACGAGCGCTGCTATACTCCATACCATTCATGGCCGCGGGCCTCTTATTCGCAGCCGTCGGATTCTCGTTCATCGAGCTCCCATCCGACTCCCAGCCAACAGTGTCAACAGGGCCCTCAGGCCAGGGCGCTGCGCTCCTCATCCTTATCAGCATCGCAATCTACGTCGCAGCATACGCGATAGGACTGGGAAATGTTCCGTGGATGCAGAGCGAGCTCTTCCCCCTCAGTGTGCGCGCCGTGGGAAGCGGCATTTCGACGGCGACCAATTGGGGAGCCAACTTCATCATCGGGTTGACTTTTCTGCCGCTGATGGACATCTTGACCCCGCCGTGGACATTTACGCTCTATGCATCCATCTGCGCGATCGGTTACGTCCTAATATGGAGGGTTTATCCTGAGACAACGGGCCTCAGCTTGGAGGAGGCCGCGAGCCTTCTAGAAGACGATCAATGGGGAGTTCGTTGACCTAGTTGGGTTGAGATGTGCCTCGGCGAGCAGAATGACGAGTAATGAAACGCAGCTACATTACTGAGCTGCCCTGCTTCATAGAGGCACCAGGATTCAAGGGCTCTACAGACCAACACGCAGGAGCCTCGGACTGTTCCAGATAGCGAGGTCTGCCTATAGTAAACCGTATGACTGGTATGGTTAAGTCCAAAGGCGTGTTCGGAGTATCCGTAAATACCTTACCAAATCGGGGCCGAAGAACGGCTTGACGGCAATAACAGACATAATTATTGTCTCGGTGAAAACATGGCAGAATTGTGACAATTCAACGAAGTCCAAACTTCAGGGTGGCAAGGGGTGTCATTTCACTAGCTAATACCACCCTTTCCGGCTGTCTGACGGCCATTAAGAACTAGAAAATATCCGTTGAGAGTACGGAGTACGTGCCTCGCCAGACAAAGCGCGTGACTCTGATTCGTCCCCCACCTTCATCCATTAACACGCGTACTATCTCCAGACTCTTCAAAAGGGCCGAGGGCGTGAGCTGGATCCATCGATCGTCTTGCCCGTAATTTGCGCAAATTCTCCCGAGATTAATATTAATCAAGGCAATTTCTGCCTGACAATGGTCTGAGAACCACAACATGAAGCGGCACAGGTCCCGACAGACTGGTACGCTAAAGCAGGTAGATGACTGATTGGCGGAGTAAGGATAGCACCCCTTGCTGTTCTCGCTTCTATTGGCCAGATTGACCCCTCTCCTGCCGTAAGCGCTCCATGGCCTGGTGCAATATGTGGGATGTGTGCAGAACCAGCTCAAACCATCGTGCCTGCCTATCGAAGTTCAATAAGTACCGCCTTGAGGGAGGTGACGGTCAAGACGAAATCAAGGTACACTTGTCTTCGTAATCCGCGCCGACTAGCGACCTATCCGATTCCAACTTTGAGGGTATGGGAGCTGTGCGGCTGACTACATAGCGCCAAGGGCTGCCTACACTAGTGCCTAGTGGAACGGGCCGCGGGTATCCTACCGGTGATCCGGTGGGCAGGGGGCGTCGCATTCCTGTAAGTGACGGAGTCGCCAAAAAGTAAAGAAAAAATCCCAGCGAAATAGGCAAGAATGGTGATCACAGCAAAGAGAATAGTGGTATATTGTAAAACAAGCACAGGCTTTCCTAGGTGTTCCGCGCCACTACCATACTTATTGTTCCAGCAGAGATCACCCTAACTCTGCAGGCCCCAGGTGGCGGTGCCCAGGACCAATCTCTTGGGCATAGTATGGGATTGGCGGTGGAGGCTGTTCCTTCATTCCTTGCGGTAATTGAGAAACTCTCTCGGTCAATTCGGTAAGTGCCCTCTGCTTTTTGTTGAGATACCTGAACCATATGACAACGCACGCAATGGCGGCGAGTCCTCCGATAGTAACGCCAACTCCAATCCCGGCTCGAGCCCCGGTGCTGAGCCCGCTGCTGTCTTCCGAGGTACGGATACCGGTCGCACTGGTATCACCACCGGCCGCAGTCGCATTTGCAGTTGAGTTGCGTGAGGTTACGGCTGACGTGAATGGCGAGGCTGCTGTAGGGCTTGTGGTAGAGCTTGTGGTAGGGCTTGTTGTAGAACTTGTCGTAGAGCCTGTTGTAGAGTCTGCCGTAAGGTTGAAGAAGGCCGAGGACATTCCCGGACTCGACTGGTTCCCCTGGTTGGAGGCAGCTCCCTGGAACAGCCAGAGGAAGAAGACATTGGAGGCATTCAAGTCGAGGTCGTATGTCTGGACCGGCCAGTCAAACTGGGAGATACCACCAGTTGTTGTTTCTCCACGAAAAGTCAACGTCGTAATCAGAGATGCAGCGAATGTTTCACGAACTTACGGAAAATTATGGGCCCTAACGACGCTGCACCTTTCTGCAATGACTGCTGCCAAAGAGCAATGGTGTAGTTCGAGAATGTCGTTCTGTATCGAATTGTTTGGACCTCACCAAGACTCCAGACTGTCCGCTTGGGGGGCGGATTGGAGAACTGGGAAGAAGCCAAGGGGATTGTCGTGAGGAACACAAAGACGAGAAGGAGCATTATGCTAGGCCTTGAAGTTTGAACTGGTTCACTGGGCACCTAGATTCGGGGGAAGTAGGAACTAGCACTACTTACGGAGAAGACAATCGTCGAGATGGATATATGGGTAATTGCTTTTTGGCTGGTAGAATAATCATTGTGGCCAAGGAGTTAGATCTAGCCAATAGCCAGCATTGACTACGCGCCTGGATGATTTTGAGTCGCAAGACGGTTGCAGAATGTAAACCTGGTACCAACATGCATTCGCTTGTAACCATTCAACCAACCAGATGCTGTCGGTGATCTGTCACATCGAGAAAGGGGGGTGGGAAACATTTATTGGAGGACCATGGCAGGGGCCACTTTTAGCTGGACTTCCAGGTTTATCATCTTAACCACCCCTCCCCCAGCGACAGCCTGAACTGAATCCGTCTTTTCCAAGATGCAACTCAACTCAACCAAATCTCCTCAGATGCTCCTGCGACTGCCCCACACCCGAGTCGCATTTGCGACTGGGGCCGTATTCTTCATCCTCTGTGTGATCCTGTTCCAAACACAACTGCCTCATGTCCGTACAGGAATGGGAGCCTCACCCTCAGACTTCTTAAACGATATCAAGAATTCGACATTCGGTGTCAGTATCCGTCATTTGTGCTGGGTAGTGCGATGCAGGTGGATGGGTGTGCTGACCCCCCCTCCCCCCTCCGCAGTTTGAAAAAATATTTGTCGTCGGCCTGCCATCACGTTCCGACCGCCGTGACGGAATGCTCTTGCAAGCGGCGCTCAGCAACATCGAGATAGAATTCATCGATGGTGTTTTGGGCCGGGATGTGCCTAACAAGGCAATCCCCACAAGCCCGGATCATGAACGACTGAAAGATCCCACAATAGGATCTTGGCGAGCACATATGAATGCGATCCAAGAGTAAGCCCACCGCTCCTTCAACTGCTTGGGACTAGTTCCCGACTCATGTTCTTGATAGGGTTGTACGAAGAAACTTGACCTCGGCCTTAATCCTAGAGGACGACGTCGACTGGGACGTGAGGATTAGGAAACAGCTTCGCGATTTTGCCCTGTCGACGCGGGTTCTCACGCAACCCTTGGTTGGATCTTCCGGCTTGTACGCCGACTCCACATACCCGAACCCGTCGAAGGACTCGCCAGGGACTATCGCGGATATCTCCTTCGGCCGCCTGCCCCAAACCGAACAACCGAAAATCTCCCCATATGGAGACGGCTGGGACGTCCTCTGGGTTGGTCACTGCGGTATGCACTTCCCGTCCGCAGGGAACAAGGCAATACCCAAGGGGCGCGTGGTCCACATGAACGACGAAACCGTTGCCCAGAAGCGGCATTTGTGGACCTTCAACATCCCTTTTACCCTGAAGGAGAAGTACCCCCAACACACACGAGTGGTTCATCATACCCAGGAGGGGGTCTGCTCTCTTGGCTACGCAGTGAGCCAAAAAGGCGCGCGGCGGCTCTTGAACGAGGTCGGCCTCAAGGATGTCAGCGATGCCTTCGACATACTCTTGAGATTCTTTTGCGAGGGCACTAAGGGACGGAAGTATCACAACTGCCTGACGGTGCAGCCGGGTCTTTTTCATCATCACCGGCCCGCCGGACCCCTCAGTGCTTCGACTGATATCGGAAACTATGGGGATGGCTTCCGGGCTGTCAGCAAAACTGACATGGTGAGGTGGAGCGTCAGGTTAAATGCCGACGTACTACTAGACGGAGGATCAGAATTTGTCGACCAGTATCCCGACGCCGATTAGGGATCGAGTCGCATCTGGGAAAGCGTTTTCTTTCTTGCTTGGTTAGCTTACGATCGATTCCTTCTATATCGATAGAACAACACTCCGGTAGTTCCTCTGGGAGTCTAGAGGCGCATTTGGTTTTGCAAGGTCATGTCATCCTGGCTCAGTTTCATCTTCGTGGTACAAATTTGTGGCTGCAATGGCATTCTGTCTTAGGTGTACAATCGACAGTGGAGGATATGGTGGGAAATCCGCGGTTAAGGGTCAGGAGCGTTGCTTTGGGAATGCCTGTGGTGTAATGCAGCTGCACAGGTACATAGGTACATACATTCCATATTCAGAGTCCCCTAGTTTCACGGAGTTTACAGACTGATCCAGAAACCAGGGATCTGCTTGCAAGTTATACATACAACTGGTAATACCGCACGACTGGTATGATCAGGATCAAGTCCAGGAACGGCCTCGGGGTATCCGTAACTAAGCTATATCTTCTTTAGTTCGGCATCTTTTGAAATGGTCTAGAAGCTGTAGGGCCAAGGGACGGCAATTGACGGCAATAATGGACAGGATTGCTGTCCCGCTAAAACCCGTCGCATGCAATGGCGTTACTCCACTTGTTTAAAAAAAAATTGCCAGAAGTGCAAGGGGCTTGACATCATCTAGCCTAGCATTAGCATGCCAATGACGTAACGTCAGCTCGGCCTCTCGCTCTCACAGCACAATGCCGAGGTCAAAAGACGAGCAGACGAGGGACTCCCAAGACAGCCCGCGATAGAAAGTTATGGATGATTCAGCGGTATGCGCAATAGCCAATGCGCCCGGAATAGTAATATAAGGCGTTTCTATGTCTTTCGACATTGGTTTAACAGTGCCAAACCTACGTAGCAGACCATCAAGCCTCGGCTTGAAGCTGAATGGCTGAATCAGCGGCCGACAAAACTTGGCACGCTAAAAACGATACATGCCGTCGTCTGAATCGCCGGCTCGGGACCTGGAGATAAGGATGTTCATCTAGAGGTGAGTAAAAAGGGACCACCATTCAATAAGTCCCCTCTTGTTCGTTTTGTTTCCGACACGGTGCCGAAACTAAATAGTCTGCTTGTTTGTCAGCGGGAGAAGAGGGAGCTCCAACACGAAACAACGGTACTTTGTATAACTAAGCCATGGAAGCTCGAAAACCCGCTTTGGAAAATATAGCTGTTCGGCCATGCCGGCAGCGCCCCCTCCCCCCTGCCTGCCGCTCAATTATTCAGCGCTAAGTTCATGACAGGGGATCATAGAATCCCACTTCTGCTAAAACCGAGCAAGCTTCGTAGCCGTGGTGCCAGTCCATGTATCAATTGGCGCTAGATGTACTCATATTAGATGATGGTTGCCCCCCCATCCACCTGGACTTTTCCATTGTTTCCATATACTGTACCTTGTGTGCTCTGCATCGCATTCTAGTCCTTTAACCTATCTAGGCCCATTATCTGTACCCCTCGATACCCCAACTGCCGCGCCCTACCGTATCAAGCAAACGGTAAACCATGGCGTTCGACGAAATCGACCGTGAGCTCTCAGCAGCCGAGCGCGCCGCCTCCCCCAGGATGTTCGGCGGCCGAGCAGAGGACGAGGTCGAACGGGTCTTGACCGCCTCGTCAATATCGTCGTCCGGGGGCGACACGGTATCGCGACGGCCGACGCACATGAGCCGGGTGCCGACACAAAACGATCTCGAGAGGCACCCCACGGCGCTGAGCCGGATACAGACGGCGAGGAGCCAGCACAGCAACACGGTGGGACGGGACCCGAGGAGTAGGAGGCTCAGCAAGCCCCTCCCCGCGTTCGGCGCCGGGAAGCCGTACCCGCCTCCGCTACCAGCCCAGGAGGGATATGTCGTCGAGTTTGACGGCCCGGACGATCCTCTGCACGCTCAGAACTGGCCCATGAGGAAGAAGTGGGTGCTGCTCTATTGTCGCGTCACTCCGCGGTTCCTTAAATCGCGGTGCTCCTGCTAACCTGCTTGTGATCAGACTTGTCACGGCCGCTATGCTTGGCTACACGACCATGACGGCTGCTTTCGGTTCCAGTATCTTCTCCGCGGCAACGCCAGTGGTCGCCCGCGAGTATGGGGTCTCCTCTGAAGTAGCCGTCCTGGGCGTCTCTCTCTACGTGTTGGGCTTTGCAACGGGCCCAACCTTCTGGGCTCCGCTGTCCGAGTTGAAGGGCCGGAGGCTGCCATTGGTCATCTCGATGTTCGGTTTCTCCATCTTCAACGTCGGCGTGGCGACCGGCAAGGACCTCCAGACCATCCTGATATGTCGCTTCTTCGCCGGTTTCTTCGGTGCCTGTCCCCTGGCCGTCGTTGCCGCCGTCTTCTCCGACATGTTCGACAACAGGACTAGAGGAATAGCGATCACCTTGTTCTCCATGGCCGTCTTCACCGGGCCTCTCCTCGCCCCCTTCGTCGGGGGCTTCATCGTCTACTCGTACCTCGGCTGGCGGTGGACCGAGTACCTTGTCGCCATCATGGGCTTCTTCGCCTTCGGCCTCGACCTCCTATTCCTGAAGGAGACGTATCCGCCCGTCATCTTGGTCAGCAAGGCCGCCGAACTGCGCCGGCGCACCCTGAACTGGGGTATCCATGCCAAGCAGGAGGAAATCGAGGTGGATTTCAAGGAGCTCATAACCAAGAACTTCTCTCGCCCCATGCGGCTGCTCTTCTTCGAGCCCATCGTCACCCTCCTGTCCATCTACATGGCATTCGTCTACGGCATCCTGTACCTCTTCCTGACGGCCTATCCCTTAGTCTTCATTGGCGTTCACGGCTTCAATGCCGGCCAGTCGGGGCTCACCTTCTTCGGCATGATCGCTGGCCAGCTCATCGCGGGCGGCGTGGTCTTGCTCCAGCAGCCCTGGTACCAGCGCAAGCTCGAGGCGAACAACGGGGTACCCGTCCCGGAATGGCGTCTTCCGAGCGTCATTGCCGGCGGCGTCGCCTTCACCGGCGGCATATTCTGGTTCGGGTGGTCGGGCTACCGCGCCGATGTCCATTGGATCGTGCCGACTCTGTCCGGTCTATTGACAGGCTTCGGCCTCATGTCCATCTTCCTCCAGTCTCTCAACTACCTCGTGGATTCCTATCTCATGTTGTAAGTATTGCCAGCCGTTCTCGGGAACAAAAAAGTTGACTAACGAAACCCTCCTTTCTAGTGCGGCATCCGCTATCGCTGGTAACACCTTCCTCCGGTCCCTCGCCGGTGCGGGCTTCCCGCTCTTCGCGACCTACATGTTCAACGGCATGGGCATCCAGTGGGCGTCGACGCTCCTGGGCTGTGTCGCCGCCGCCCTCATCCCCATCCCCGTCATCTTCTATCTCTACGGCCACAAGATCCGCCAGCGCAGCTCCTTCGCACCCACTGCTCCGCCGGCCATGGACGCTATGGCCGCGGCGGACGAGCAGGCCGGCGCCGACGGCGAGAAGAGAGAGAGTACGCAACAACAGCAGAACGACGAGGCCGCTCTTGGGACCGTCACTAAGAAGGACCAGCAGGCGGCGGGGAATGGTGTATAAAGCAGGGGGAGGGTGCATAAAGCTAGGCGGGTTTTGGTTGCTTGCTTGTTTCTTTTTTGTCATAGCAGTACATACATAATACGGTTCGTCGTACTCAGCATAGTTTCCTTTGTGGCCAGCGTAACGGTAAAGGGGACGAGAGAATCTTACCAAAAGGGGAATTCGAATAGAGGTATGGAAAGGCATTGGCGTTGAGGGGACTGAATGGCATTTTTAAATATACTAATATTCAGAGAGCATCTCACAACTAGAGAGGGGGCAATGGATAGGGGGATATTGTGTGAAGTCTTTGTAGAAGGGTTATCCGTAGCTATCAAGCATCAAGTAGATAACACTACAAGGAAATGATTCTTAATAAACCCCTGGTCCAACGTTAACAGCCAACCATGTAGTAAGATTCATGACCAAGGGTTGAGCTTGAAATACGCAACCAGTACCTAGGTATGCAGTCGAGAAATGTGTTGTTTCCATCCCCTCATCAACCGAAAGGGCAGGTGATCTTCCGGGGGGTTTTATTGGCTTTGACTCGCAGGAACGAACGGTGAACGGCTTATTAATCGGAGTTATTTCACCGTGATCTTACGTGATCGATCAAACGTCGGGGCTATGCAAGTCGAAAACAGAAGGACCGGAGGACCTCGTACAAAGCGGAGTTGCTGAAGCCTTCTATGCTATATATAGGTAGGTGGGTAGGTAATACCCGCCTTATTCCTAGCAACTCCATAACTTCATCCGTCCCGAAGACTACCTAGGACCAAACAACTGAGTACCTAGACAATGGCCGAGGAAAAGGCTAAGGAGTCCGGCACCTACGAGGCTGGCTGCCACTGCGGTTATATCAAGTTCTCGGTGACGCTCTCGCCGCCGCTGCCCGAGTATAAGGTGCTCGACTGCAATTGCTCCATGTGCCGCAAGGCTGGCTACTTGCTCATCTGTAAGTCTCACCCGCCCGGCTGCTCCCCCCTGGTGAGCGGATGGATCCGTTGCTGCACGAGGTAAGTGTTTCGGGGACGGGCGGGTGAGGGCGGTTGGTCACTGAAGCGCTGACGGAGGGACGCGCAGCAACACGCAGTCGAGGAAGACGCTGAGGACATGCGTTGAAACTCCCAAGATATACCTGCAGTGGGCCAACCGCTGACCGAGGTCCGGGGTCTTCCCGCGAAACAAAACAGATCCCCATCGCAAAGACGTCAAGTGGCACGGCGAGTCGCACGAACGCTGCGCCGTCTACCACTTCAACACCAAGCAGAAGGACCAACTGTTCTGCCCCAAGTGCGGGACGAGCTTGGGCATCGACTTCCGGGACTCCCGGAAGCCCAAGTTTGACGGCTACGGCATCAGCGTGAGCCTTTTCCCTTTCAGCTTCTCTTTCCTTTCCCACAAGTATTTCGTCTTCGGGGATGGTCTCACTGGTGCGATACTCTTCTCTGCCTCTAACCTCCAAAAAAGGCGCGGACGTTATACGGTATTGATCTGGACTCGCTCCGGTATGAGAAGGGCCAGGGGCTGGAAAACGTCAAGCCGTCCGGCGACCTGTCTGGGATCCAGTACGAGCTGGACGAGAAAGAGAAGGCTCTGGCGAGCGGGCCGTCGTCGTGAATCGGGGGTAGGACGCTCTAGAGTTGCGCGACATCTTAGTTGGGGTGGTATATGAACTTGCCAGTCTGGTTCTGGTTCCGTATCTAGGGTCAAGACTTTAAAAGGCAGAATGCCGATAATACGCTTGGGGTTTGCTCTGTTGAAGTCGCTTAGGGGTATATATTCCTTACTGTCGACAATGGACTGTATACGTGTAGTCCTTTAGTGATCATATCGGCCTATTGTAGACAATATTTGCCCCCAACGGCCAGCAAAGAGCCCTCTTCCATGTGGCGGAACCGTTTTGGCTTGTGATACTTCCATTCCTAAGGTTCTGAAACAGAGACACCCAAGCATTAGGCCTTGGAAGCCTTAGATTGAGTCATAGAGTCAGATCATCACACCAACCAGCGCATCTCTTGCTAGACGACCTGCGGGACTACCGACACATCCCAATCGCAGCCAGACATCCCCCATCCACAGGATCGCGCCGCTTCCAACCGTGCCCAACGACCTCGATCCTAGCTCTCCACAGCAAGTGCCTTCAGCCCCACCAGCCTCGCGTCCGCCGTCGTCGTGAGCACCCAGTACTCTGCCCTGACGCCGCCCTTAGCGACCCGGTACACCCTGACGTCGTTGCCCTCGCCCGCCCTCCTCACCGCGTCGATGACGTCCTTGTACTGACCACCGGCGTCCCAGTCGACCGGGTCCATGATCTCGACCTCCGCCTTGGCCGGGTCCGGGTGTCCGATCAACTTCGCGAGCTCCTCTGTGGGGTTGGGTTGTGGGTCAGCAACGGTATAAACGAAGGGCCCCCCAAGATTTAAAAAGGGGGGAGGGAACCCGAAGCACCCGCGAACCATGGTAGCGTCACTCACCCTCATCTGGCAGTCCCGAACTACCGCTACCTAGCTTAAGCGCAACCGGAACGAACGGCTCGTCCGCATCGCTGGTGTAGAACCTGCCCCCCTCGCCGGCGACGGCGACCAGCGGCTCCGGCACCGAGACGCCCTTCCCCACGGCCTTGAACTCCACGGCCCCTGCCTTCTTCTCCTTCAAGGCCGAGGCAGTTCCCTCGGCCGGATCCCGGTTGGCCTTGTCCAGGAAGGCCATGTAGTCGTCATCTGAGGCCATGGCTGCGGCGGACGGCGGCGGGGCTGGTCTTGTGCTCGTGGGCGTCGCGGTGACGGTTTTGTTGTTGCTGCTGCTGCGCCTGGTGCTGAAACGGCACCACCACCCGCGGCGGGTCGTCGAGCGGTGCGCCGGCCGGCGGTCGGCGTTGGCGTCGGTGCTGGGGCTGTCGCTGAAGTGGCGCGCCCGTTGGACGCTGGCGCGGGTGCGGAGGAGGGGGAGGAGGAGGCGGGGTGCTGCGACGTAGGTGGTCTGTCTTGAGAAGATCGCCAATTTGGAATCTGCGTCAAGCTAGACGAATGAATTGAGCTGTTACGTTACCGCGTGTGCTACTGCATGGGAATTTGGGGAGCCAAGCTTGGTGCCCGAAGTTGTGGGATGGTGGTGGTGGGGAGCTTTTATGATGCTGCCCAGTTACGAGGTATGTGGTTATGACGCAACTAAAGTGCCTAGGGAATCAAGAGTGGACCATGCGTTTATAGGGGACAATTACGTTTCCTATTTAAGAACCCCCTCGGCCAGTTAAGAGACATGGATAAATCAGACACTGTCACGGTTCTTTACGAGCTTGTTCAGTTCTGTCTCATTTCAGCTCATGCCACTTTTCCTTAAAGCCGAGAATGCTAGAATCCCACGCCCTAACCGACCGGGTAGTAACGAGAAAAGGTCCCCCTGACACCGATGCAATTGCAAAGACACACAAGCAAAGATTGTCATCAGCTCTTTTATGAGCTGACGGCCAGATCCTTCTTGAGAGTACCCATGAAGAGCTTCTTCTCCTCCGCGGTCTGGAAAGCACCGTGTCCAAACTCGGACGAGGTGTCGATCCATTTGAGCTCGACCTTCTCCAACGCCTTCCTCGAGGTGTGGATGAACATGGACTTGCGGAGAGTCATGACCCTCTTCTTGACACCGGGGACGGAGCCCTTGACCATGACGAAGTCGTTGTTGACCATGCCGTAGCGAACGAAGCCGCCCATGCTGAACCAATCATTAGTATAACAGTACAGAGAACGGCTGCTGTCTGTTAATTAGGATGTAAACTTACGGAGTGATCTGCTTCTTGGTGACATCGGCCTCGGTAGCAGCGTTGTCGTCCGCATCGCCCTTGCCGACGCGGTAGACCTTGTGGTTGACAGAGGTACGGTGGTGGTAACCCTTCTGACCAGCACGGGCAACGGTCCACTGGACGTGGGACGGATGCCAGGCACCGATACAAGCGACCTTGCGGAGACCCTTGTGAGTCTTACGCGGAAGTTTCTTGGTGCCCCATCTGCCGGTGACACCGACGAAACCGTGACCCTTGGTGACGGCGATGACATCGATCATCTCATCCTGCTCGAAGATGGTGTCGATCGAGACGGGCTTCTCGAAGAGACCGTGGCCGAAGTCGACCTTGTCGGGGACGGAGCCGCCGTTGATCTGGATCTCCATGAGGTGGGCCTTCTTCTGCTTGAGAGGGGTCATGCGAATCTGGGTGTGGGCGAGGACGCGGACGACGGTGCAGTACTTCTTGATGCGCTCGAGCTCGCGGGTGATGGAGGCACCGCTGTTCTCCGAGTGCTTCTTGGCGTACTTGGTGAAGGCCTTCTTCTTGCTCTTGTACCAGTTCTTGTAGAATCGTCGCTTGATCTCGTCGCTCAGGTGCTCAGCCCAGACGGTAGTGAGGGATCGCAGGCCACGGGGGGTTTCGATGTAACCAACCAGACCAACAACGATCATCTGTGAAAGATGTTAGCCATTGGCACAATAGCCAAGCGGGCTGCATTGTTCGTACAGGTGGTGTATCAATAATTGTCACAGCCTCCACGACCTCCTTCTTGTGAGACTTCGCACCAGGGCGGTCGACATCACGGACGATCGTGGTCATACCGGCCTTGTAGCCCATGGCGGCAGTGAGGTGGACGGGCTTCTTGGGGTCATCCTTGGGGAAACTACCCCGGTGAGTCCAATTGTCAGCTTCGAGCTTCCCGACAAGGCCGCCAACCTGCGATTGTGGCCTCAGAAGCTGGAGTTGGCATCACTTACGACTTGACCTTGCCTCTGTGGCGGGCAGCCCGCTTCCTGGGCAGGAAAGCGAGCGAACCGTGGCGGGGTGCCTCGAACTTACGGTGGGCTTCAATAAGGTCAGCATCGCTCGCATAAACAAGGACTGTTCTTACTTACACATGATTACGTCGTGGCGGAATCCGGGGAGGTTGTGAAGTTCAAGAGGTGAAGGATTGGAATTTCAAAAAAGTTCGGAAAACCAACTTGGAAGTTGTGTGGGTGAAAATTAAGCGAGAAGGTGGGGCACAGGGAGTTGTCACGTGCCGCAGTGTCTGATTCTGAGCTACGCGTGACCAGGGATTATGTGACCTTCCAGGGCCGCCCAGCCCATTGCTGTGCGGTCACTTCTAGAGTATCGTTTGCCATTACAAACATTCGAGTTCCCAATGGACTTCAGGTGATCGTGCCAAGCTGCTGCACCCACCAGGCGCCGCATTGGTGAGAAATAACAAGTAGGTAGCGAGTAAAGCTGTGGGACCCAGTCGAGAAATCCAAGTCACACCTAGACGGTGACGATGAGATGGCAGGAGGATAGTAGAAGGCAAGGAGTCGAGATAATCCTCCATAATCAATTTGCTTGTTCTATGGCACAAAATTACAAAACCGACTAGATTGGGCGCCGCGCACGAAATGCATGACAAGATAGCTTGGTAAATGGGATATATTCTTCTTTTCACAGGTAAGCTATCAACTTGTACCGCCTTGCAACCCGTGACTAGACTTGAATATCCTTGCCGAGTCCCGTGTGGAATCAAGCGGGTAAAAACTAGTTAGAAAGTCTCCCTCGATATCGGAAGAAACGTCTCGGGGAACACGCATGTGTGCCGACAACAAGTCAAAAGCAACCAAACTGTTGCGTGAGCATCCAGACAGTATACTCTCAAAAAAAGAAAGGAAAAGTGGGCACTAGAGACCGCAGGAACGATGCGAAATAGAGACTAGATATGTAACATCACTGTGGGGAGGGGGAAATGCCGACCCCTCTTAGTTTCCTTCAGACTTGGGACCCATCATCCCGTTGATGCCGGCACTGGTTGGGGTGGCATTCTTCTGCTCGCCAGTTGCAGAGCCGGGGCCAGAGCCGGATTTCTTGTCTTCTTCGCCGCTATCGTCATAGTCTTCATCCACATCCATCTTTCGCGCCGCACGCTCGGGCTCGCCGAGGGCTGGCGGGTGAGGTACCGGAGGTCCATGCTCCATCCGCTGTCTGTCTTCAGGCGGCGGAGGTGGACCAGGTGGGCCAGACGGGCCGGGCGGGCCGGGTGGCGGAGGAGGGCCATCGTGCATGATGTTTTGCATTGGCGAAGGGCCTTGCTGTTGTAGCGGGGCCAAATGTGGCGGGGCAGTATGGACATGGGGATGATGTGCGGCCTCCGATGGGTGGTAGGCGTCGTTAACGTGGCGCGGCTCTTCGGCACGGCGCACATCTTCAGCGCGGCGCATTTCATCCATCCGTCTTTGATCCTCACGTCGCTGGTCCTCGGCCCGGCGCTGATCCTCGGCACGGCGTTGGTCCTCGGCCCGGCGCTGGTCCTCAGCCCGGCGCTGGTCCTCAAACCGTCGCGCCTCGGACGAATTTCGGCGATAGGGCTCCCCGGGCGGTGTGGATGGTCGCCGATGGCGAAGATCGTCCATCCGCGCACGATTCTCATCAGAAGCAGGCTTCTTGGCTTCGCGTTCGTCTTCCCACTCCCGCATTCGCTTTGGGGGGGCCGATGGAGGCCGATGATCATGCTCCCGATGCATGGCAGCCTCAGGAGGTATGGGATGCTGTGGTGGCAGCGTCGCTGAAGGATCGGGCCCGAGTGGCCCGGCCTGATCGGGGTGGGGAGGGTAAGGCGGCTGATGCTGCGGGTACGCCGACTTCGGCGACGGCATGCGATTATCGTGCATGGGTGGTCGGCCGTCATTTCTTGGGCTGTTGGTCCGGTACATCATTGCATTTGGGGGCATTGGGCCGTTCTGACTGGAGCCGGGCGGGAGGGCGGCAGCCGATGGACTAGGGCCGCCATAGTTGGGGTTTGGCACCCTCTCGCGAGGCTGTGAGGCCGGTGCTGGTTGCTGTGGCTGTTGTAGAGGGGGCGGCGCATAGTGAGGAGGAGGGGGGGATGGCCCTCGCCGAAGGGGTCCCGGCCGGTTTGGTTCGCCATACGGCCTCATCTGCTCCTGCTGTCGGGGGCTGGGCTGCCGGGGAAGCGGGGGAGCAGGCCCACGGAAGGCCTCTCGGTCTGCAGCATACGGATTGGGAGGCTGTGGAGGCGGGTTGATGTCCGAGATCCTCCCCCAGCCGTTAGGGCCGGCCGGCGGGCCTGGAGGGCCAGGGGGGCCGGGAGGGCCGGGAGGGCCGGGAGGAGGCCCACCGGCCGCCTGAGCTGGTTGCGGGGCGGATCCTGCCCACTGGGGGCCCGGAGGTCCCACGGCTCCACGGTCTTGGTACGCCTGTGGGTGTACATCAGTGGGCATCGGAGCCTGACCAGGCGGCACACCATTAGCGCTGCCACTGCGGAGCAATTGCAGTCTCGCCTTGATGTGAGGGTTGGAGGGATCCAGTTCCGCTGCCCTCTGGTATGCGTCAAGTGCATCGTTGATCTGGTTGTTGCAACTTTCATACTGAAACACTAGTGAGTGGGCTATCTAACAACGATGGGAGCGGAGAAGCAAACTTACCAATGTTCCCAGGTCATACCAAACCTCGGAGATGAACGGATTCAGGCGGATGGCTCGGGAGTACGCATCTAGCGCATCACGGTATTGATTGATCTGGTAGTATAGGACTCCAATTGAGCACCAGAATGTCGGATTCCGCCCGTCGCGGTACACAGCCTGCTGATAGGCCTCGTAGGCCTTGGGATACTTCTGTTGCGACATGTAGCATCGGCCAAGGAGGTACCAGCTCTGAGCATCACCATTGTCTGTCTGGGGTTAGGGATATGATATACGCACGTGTGATTAAACAGTCCCGAGGGAAACAAACTTACCAGCAGCGACAGATTTTTCGAGGTACTCGATGGCCCGTTCTTGGCTAGAGAAGCTGCTGCTTTGTTGGTGGTGCAACCAGCCCAATTGTTGGAGGACCTTCGCGTGGTTTGGATCTCGCTCCAGCACGCGCTGGTATGCGGCCTTGGCACTATCGTACTACAGACCTGTGATTAGCGTCATGGAGCTCGTTGCAACATATGTGGGAGCCGCGTACGTCTTTATGCTGTTCATGCACGTGGCCGATCTGGAACCAGATGTCTTCCTCCGTCAATGGGCTGGGTGGCGAGTTGACGATGTATTTGAAGCACTAGGGGCCAAGTCAGTTATCAGTTCGTAGGCCCGGGAGCTGGTTGACCCGTACCTCGAGGCTCTGGCTGTATCTCTGCTGTTGCTTGTATATTATACCAAGTCGGAAATATATTTCGTGTGCTTTGTCGAAGGTCGGATCCATCTGCATTACCTGGGAGAAGGCCTCCTCGGCATGTTCAAGGGATCCATAGCGATCGTACAGGATGCCGATGCCGTACCACAGACGTGGGTCCTTGTTGCAAGTCAGCATCCGCTTGCCAAGGCTGTATCTGGCTGCTGGCAGGAAGACTAACCTTTGGATTTCGAAGATTCACTAGAGCAGTCTGGTAGGCTGAGTATGCCTGCTGCAAGTCATCCAGCATGAGGTAACAGTGCCCTGCATCTGTAAGTTAGCGACGGCGACGAGGTACGACGATGACGACGAGCGGGGGAAAACATACCCAGGCTGCCCCAGGCCTCGCCATTGTTGCTGTCAATCTTGAGGATCTGGTTCAGGTAGTCCGCCGCCTTTGCAAACTCCTCACGGCCCCTAAGGATGAGGCTGATCGCGTTGATGGCCGGGATTGACTGGGGGTTGTGCCGTATTGCGTGCTCGTAAGCAGCGATAGCCTCGTCAGGGTTGGCCAGAGTTTCGGCAAGGCTCCCTGCATTGAAATGTTAGTTTACCTCTGGGCCGTCTGCTGCTTGCCCTCAAGGACCATCGTAGGAGAGAGTCGCATACCGAGCTGAATCCACACCATCTCATTCATGGTGCTGATCTGGCGCGAGGGCAAATAAGGCGCACCCTGGGGAGGCGGTGGGGGAGGAGGAGGGCCAGGAGGCCCATGGTGCATCTGTACCGACATTGGCGGCGAGGGGTGATGGTTCGCCGCCATGATTTCCCTCCGCTCCTCGGGCCGTCGATACGGATCCAGCACGAATGATTTTTCGGGGTTATCGCGCAAGCGTGTGCGGTCAAGGAACCACTCTCCTGGACCGTGTCTCCTGGACCGTGGCGGGCCCAAGTAGGACTCTTTCTCGGGAGAAAGATGTATGGAGATGGCCGTGTTGGCGCAGAGCTCGAGATTTTATGGATCGAATATGGCCTGAATTGGCATCAGCAACATCGGCAACCTTCCCAGCCTTGTACCGCGTGTGCGCAACCAATCCTGGGGCAAGATTGGCCAAAGGGGAGAAAATGAACAATGTGCAGCTGTAAGAAAACAGTAAAGTAAGTTCGTGAATGACTTGCTTGATGGCTAAGGCGGAAACATGGACATCTGGGTCGCGGAAGGTTGCGTTGCTCAGTTGTGCCAGCGGAGAGCGAAAAAGGGGGGGCGAGGAAACCAGAGGAGATGGAGAAGGGTGCTAGGTTGTGGAAATCTAACCCAGCTCTCAAACTACCCTTACCCACGCTTCTCAATCTTGTCGTCCTCCCGTAAAAGAGGATGACAGGGGGAGGGTGTGAGGGTGGAGAAGGGGCGTTTGGGAGGAAAGTGGGAGCACCCCCATGTTCACCCGCATAATGTTCCACCGGGTCGCGCTACTTTTCAGGACTGGTCGAGTTACTTTCCCATTTCCAAGCCTCCGCCGAGGCCCCTGCCCCCGTGAGCTCCCCACCGCCAACCTGTGCCTAGTCGAAGCTAGGTAGGTAAACAGGTTCGTAACTGGGTATCTGACTCATGAATGGGCGATCAACGACCCGACTATCCGAACTGGTTGACGATAGACTTGAGTACTGTGTAGGCTACGAGAAACCTTCAAGACGAATCTAACTGTTGAGGTAGGTACATCCATAGGAAAGGGCCGGACAGTTAGTAGCCATTTCATCCCATGTCTCCCTTAGGTAAGCATTTAGCTAGCTGGGTAGGGTACCTAGGTACCACCCGACTTTACAGCTGCAGGCTGCAGGTCAGGAGGTTGGGTAGGTTTCTGCGAGTCAACGGATTGTTTCATCCAATGTTGGTTTAGGTTCCCTTGACACGGTACGGAAGTAAGCACCTACCAGTTCCCCCCATGGAAAAAATCCCATCCGGCGAAAACTTTGGCGCCTTGCGGCGGTACCCGCAGGGGTGATTGTCATGGGGCCAGAGGTATTGATACAGAAAGCTACAGACAGGGGGCGAGACACTCCCCGAGGCGGGGTGTCTCCGAAGGGATGGGCGGCAAGCCATTGCTTTTTTAGTGCGTATAGTTACCCTAAACAACACTAGCGTGTGGTAATCTAATGTACCTTGGTACCCCCTTGTCGATGTGCGTCTGTGGCAACTTTGAGCTTTTCTGGTGCAGCCACGGTCCCGCTCCAGAGCTCCACTCCCCACTCCATCCATGCATGCCGTCCGCATCAGCACCAACCTACCAAACTACCTACGGTAAGCGAGCTAGTCCAAATGAGAAGACGTACCTTGTCCCGTTTCTGGCCTCCATCCCGGCCAAGCCCAAGCAAGAGCCAAAGAGCCCAGCCCGCCACTCCATGCCTCGTCAGCCAACGGTGCGACTCAGAACCCTATCGCCGCAAATGAGGTGGTGGTCCGCACTTCGCGCACTAGTGTTGCGCTAGATTGGGGGGCGTGCGAGAAACTTGGGAACCTACGCATAAGTGTACGGATATGCGCACACTCCAGATTACAGGTCGTGTAGCGCATTCCGTGGCACGCACACACACGCCTGCCTGGGTTGGGTGGGTTAAGTCAAAGTGGGTGTTCGTCATCGGAAAATATTAACTGGCCTTGCCGCGGCGGTCCCCTCGGCTTGTCTGAGATTTGGGGCCCTTGCCAAGTGCGCATCAGGCCCCAGCAAGCAACTCGCTTGTTGTGGTGTGGATGGTGATGGTGATTGTGATGATGGTGATGGGAATAGGATGGCATGGATGCGGATGGATGTGATGTGATGTTATGAGAAAAGAAATGCCAGCTTCGCAACAGCACCCACACACGGGTGTTCGGAATCTAGAGCCTTCCCGATCTAGATCCTCCTAACCTACATGTAGCCATGGCAATATGGTTATCCAAATGAGGTCACCGTGTGAAGCCCGGTTGATCGCCCGGCTCTTTTTAAGGGCACGGAAAGGTCTAATCTCGAGGGATTGATGAAACATCACCTCTCATCTGGACCTTTTCCTTGAGGCAAATGTCGAACCGTGGGTTAAGTCCGGGTTCGGTATATATCGTGACCCTCCAATCGCGATCCGTAGGGGTCACAGGTAGATTTCCCATTGAATTGCAGACTCCGGGAAAAATGACTTGTCAGCCGGTGCTGCAAATACGTGGTGGGCGGCGCCGCCCCATGTTTGTTGTGGATGACACTAGTGCAGGTTGGTGGAGACGGGAGCAGGTGACGAGCGCACGGAGACAAGCGCCCATGAACCATTGAACACTGAACGCTGCGGCTGCGAGTGAAGATGCTGCCGGCCTCTTCCACCGCGTCAATGAAACAATCAATCCTACAGTCTAGGGAGGTAGGTAGGTAGGTAGGCTGTATGTGACTGACTACCTACACATCGTGTAGGTAAGCCGGGTACTTATTTATATACAGCGGGATCACACGTTGTCTGTCCCTGGGTCTGATAAGTGATGAGCAAACTTTTTTTCATGAGGTGTATTCCCCCTGTTGTATGGGTATGCCAAGATGGGATCTCATCGGCACAACAACTCTACATACCTAGGCGCCGAGAGGGTCCCCCAAATTTTATTAAAGGTGTTTGTTTGAGAAGGTTGGCCTGTGCCCCAGCCAGTTGGGATAACCGAGCCGAACGGAGGGTGAAATGGGAAATGGGAAAAGGGAAAAGGGAAAAAGGTGGGCACCTCATCACATCATTTCATCATTCCCCTGTCATTTTCCAGGCCCGGCAGGGAAGCATCCCGCAACAACGCTAACATATTTCTGGAATTCGGCACGTGGGTTGTCATTGTCAATTCACACTAGATGGTGTGACCAGGCACAAGCCCGCGGAGCAGCCCAGGGCTGTGCGGCAATTCTGATGTCTGGGGTGGCCGGCCAGGAAAAAGAGGGTATGTGCCCTGGGGAGGTCCTTTTTTTTTTACCAAGTTCTACCACAGTAGAGTCTGGCCGCAGAAACGAAATCCAACCACTGATCTGTCATCTTCAATTCTCCTTGAGCGGGGGAGGCGTTGTAAGTTAGCAATACGGCACTGCAGCAGGAAGTATCCCCAGCACTGTGGGATCGTACATAGGAGTAGCCGCCCACAAGCCTCCACCGATTGAATAAGGTCCTGGGGGGCCGTATGTACATCTTATATATTTCCGGGCGACGTGGTTTAGTCCGTGGTGGGCTTTTTTTTTTTTTTTTTTCCTTTTTTTGGGTATCCTTACAAATGGTACGCCATTGTGGCACCTTCCTTCCAACTCGGCTCGGCTGGTGGGGATGTCAGGTGCTGAGATGATTTCGTGATGATCACCCGTTTCACCTCAGTGTTGATCGGGTAGAAGAGGGCGGCTCGGGATGTGAGGTCGTCGTCCTGCCCTTCTACGCATCGTTCCATGGTTCCATCGGGTGTAGCTCGCTATAATACCCCGTTGTAATCATCCAGCAACCCTCTTGCGTCTCCAGGCTATTTGAGTAGGCGGCGGGATCGCCGCCAAAGAACCTCAATTTAATGACCCATATTACCCATAGGGGAACATGAGGGTGTCTCTGGTATCTTCGGGGTCTTCCATGTTGTTTTCGACTCCCGACGGACACACCCCTTTTGGTTGGTTAAATATACATACGATAGTAAATACTGCGTAGGGCACACACAAATTAGAGTCTGACGAGCCTCCGCTCACCACTCTGTTGTTGGTGGATTGTGCATTGTTACGACCGACAACCTACGAGCTAGGCTAGTTAGACCATCATCAAGAAAGAGGGAGCCAACATGGATCTCTCTCCCAATGGTGTGGCTAGGCGGCAACCGGCGGTGCGATGAGGTGGCCACGATGGCGAGGTAGGAAAACGTACTGTGTAGGGGATCAATGACCAGAGTGGGAGAAAAAGTTTGAGAGGTCAGGCAGGCATCTGTACTGCGTATCCATGCTGCATCCCAATCTCACGCATATGCAGGCCGTTGGTGCGGTGCCTGTTGCATACGCAGTGCAGCGCTTCTATTCGCCAAGCTAAAAACTCGGTAAGTTGAAGGGGTCCCACAAAAAGAGGCTTGTGGGATCTGGATTTGGGCTACCTATCTTGGGGCCCTTTCAGGGATGCTTGGGGCGTCTGGGGTCATGTCGGTCGGACCTTTTTTCCTTCTGGCTCTACCTATGGACGCTAGGATGTGCGGAGGGTAAGGTAGGATGGATGGATGAGCAAGGGGGAGAGGAGGGTCTTGTCGCCTTTCCATCCCGCCCGGCTCGCGGAGGGGTGCTGGCGGTGGACCGTCATCCCTCATCCCTCATCACTCATCACTCATCACTCATCACTCATCACTCATCACGCATATACTGTGGACAGTATGTCCTTGCATCCACGGCGCAGGTGTAACCAGACCTCATGTATGCGTGCGAGGATGCGCGCGTTAGCGGCCGGGGCATGCTTCGGTTTTGAAGAGGTGGCGGCGAGGTCTCAGAAAGCCACATTGCCTAGTCTCGATGTAGCTGCACCATTCCACTGAGACTGGCTGGGATGTGTCAGATGTGCTGGCAGATTCCTCCGTCACAAAATAGTGGACAACGACCACGACTTCACCATTGCCGGTGCCTCACAGCTCTTGGCGTCTCGGCCAACCGGCTTTCCTCCTCTACCGCTACAAAGGCCCTCGTTTGTTTTATTTGTTTTTGGGGGTTCTTTTCAGTCACCGCTTCTGTCGCCCAATGCCTGTAAATTATACACCACTACCTACCACCAACACGATGTGTACGTTGTAGACGAGTGGCTGTATGTCGACCCGATGAAACGGCGCCAGTTGCGAGGCCCCCAGGGCCCCTTTGGCACAGCTGCATCCATGACCCAATCGAGCGGTTGTGCCCAGAAAACGCCCAGAAATGCTTGATGGTTTTGGCGAGGGAGCAGGAGAACCTCCGGGGGGGCCGTCATCAAACCAGGTGTTGCATGAACCGGGGCCTTTGAGTTTCGTGCAACAGGCAGATCCTCTGCCAACGTCCCCATGGGTCGGAAGGGCGAACGAGACCCTAGGCCGGAGGGCGGGTAATATACATAGTAAGGAGACAGGCGCAAGGATGTGCGGCGCTGTGCAGATCGAATGGCTCGGCGCAAAGCGCGGCCACCTCGAGCATGGTACGTGCGCGTAACTGCAGACGGGTGGGTATACACGGGGTAATCTATTTATGAGGTATAGGGCAGTAGGTAGGCTGCCCTCACTGCAGCCCTTCCGGGAGTGGCTGCTGTGTCAGGAGGCGGGGGAAAGAGAGGAGATGTCATCTATCAACAATAGTTAACCTGTACTACTGCGTAGGTAGACGCTTTGCTATTGGGAAACCCTTCCCCATGGAAGGTAGGATCGAACTTCGAAGAACTGAAGGTGGAAGCCCTCCATCTTCAAGCGGACCCACTCTGCGAAGTGACGCAAGGTACGGCGGTACGGGCCAGTGTACAGAACACGGGCAGGTTTCCAGTTCCCTGTCGTATCGTTACCGTTACCATTACCGAAAGCAACACCACAGATAGCGGAGACGATAATGTCATCACAAAAGCACCTACCCGTCCCATGAGCTTTCATCGACGAGCCTCCACTGGTGCCACTGGTGTGTCCGATCCAGAGCTTCCATGTTAAAAGGCAGCCACCCTCCCCAGCACGCTGTGAACCCGTCTTGACCTCGTACCTAATCATTTCGGCTACCGTGCGGTTGTACGTGCGTGGGTGGCCACCGCATCCCGACTTGCACAACGCCCTTGCCGCCGCCGCCGGATTCACCTGGATGCCCGAGGCATCGTATCTGGACGGGGACTCGCTGGAACTGTGGGGTGGGATTGGCCTGGTTACTGCTCCTTTTCCCGGGTCCCGCACCTGAAGGTGGGTATTAAAGTGATCCCACCTACCTACCTACCCATGCTCTCTCCCATTCTTCTTTTTTCCCCTCAGGGTATGGGCGGGCGAAGGAAAAACGTTGGGGGATCGGGTTTATGCTTCAGGACACTCCTGCCCGGCCAGTCCACAAGCTCACTGCGGGGCCGTTGAGGAGCCAAACAAACCTTGGGCAGCACCAAGATGTGAAGGTTTCGCACCTGCACCCGCCCGCACAGGATCGCCGGGAAAGTCCATCCGGTGGGAAAGGGTAGTAGACTCGCTGGGGGAAATTCCAGCTTATCCGATTGACTCGGGGGAATTCTCTCCCAATATGATCCTTCCAGTCTCCACATCCATGCAAGGGATATCCGCCCTGACGTTGAGACGAATGTATGTATACCACCACCACCAGGCGATAAAAATATGACCATTGGGATACGAGGCGACTACGTTGAATGCGAGGGAATAGTAACTTTAGCATTACTGCGTGTATCGAGTTTTCCGCATTTCGCCAGGCCCCGTTTGAAAAGAGAGCCATGAATCTACTACTCCGAACCCAACCTGTTGACCAGCTCTGTTGACTCCTATGAATACATACGATCCTCATCGCATCGAATCCAATAAATCCAAGCTCGTGATAGGGATCTTCTCCAAGTCGGCCCTCCGAATGGACAATAGTATACATGAAACTCGTCCTTTTCAATGACCAGGAGAACCGTCACCATGAAACGTCGTTTCTATCGCCGTCCATTAACGCCTTTCGCTATTGAATGCCTTCAAACAAAAGAAATAGCCCCAGCTGACTGCTGAGTAGATGTATGGGGAGACGATCCTTGAGCCTTGGAACGAATGTTCTTGTGCGTGCTTCTTATAAGCCCTGCTGAATCGGCTGCTGAGAAAGGGGGGCCATGATGCAACCCAAGTAGAGAGTTGCAAATGCGAACAGTCGAGGGTCCAGGCTGTTGAGCAGCACGGAATCCAAATGTAAATCGACGTAAAAGAGCTGATGCGAAAGAAATTGACCCCCGTTCTCTTCGCGCGCACTGGATCGAATTAGACTGGAAGCCAAAATAGGTTTTCTCTCTCGGACTTCTAAGGTTGGCTCCAGGGTATCAAAGGAGGTACCATCGCGGCCAGAGGAGAAGTCGATCTCGTCCCGGCTTCCTAAAGTGATGAAAACCAAGTCCATATTTCGGGGGCACAGTCGCTATCGCTGTCGCGGGCCTGTGTCCCCCGACTCTATCGGAAATTGATAACGGCGAGCTGGTGATAGTGTCAGATCCCTGATGTTAGGTCATGCTCTGGAAATTGTACTTACTCGGCTGTTTGCGCCGTAGGCCAATTTCTGCCCTGTCGCATCCCAGCATAAGCAGTGGTTGTCTTCCTCCTCCTGATCACCGTTGATTTTCGGGCTCAGCCACCCTGGATGAGGCGCCCTGCTCCAGCTTGCCCTCGGAATCTGGTGGTCGCTGACCTTCCAAATTAGGATCCGGTCAGAGGTTGCACCAGCGATGAAGGCTCCGTCGGGGGTAAAGGCAAGAGCAACCACGGGGTTCTCCATCGTCATTGAATATTTGGGTCTGTTGTCGGGGCTTCGCACGTTCCAGAGGAAGATAGCACCGTCCTCTCCACCGGAAGCCAGTAACCTCTCGTCATCTGGTGGACTTGTCTGCAGCGGCTGCCATTGCAGAGAACTGATCACACCCATGTGGGAGTTGATCGACCTTCGCTGACCAGACTCATCCCACAGCTGCATTGCGTTTCTAGTCAGTCATGATGCTCAAGATCCAGAATTTTTTTCAAACTTACATCGATAGCGCCTTTGTCGCTGGAAGTCGCCAGCAACCCACACCGCCAGTCAAATTGGACTTGGGAGAAATTCTCGTCTTTGCGAGTATCAAATTGCCTGTTCGGGACAATGCCGTCTTCCGTGAAGCGAAGGGAGATTAGGAGGTCGCCACCGCATAGGATGAACTCGGACTCGCTGATCCAAGTCGCATCCAAGGGTTCTTCGCGGAGGTCGTGATCGCGGAGGAGATAGGACATAGAATTGGCCATCATGGAGGGGAATAGCGTCACCAGCGTTCCCCCATTGTCAGGCGCGACGGCCAAGATGAAAGCGTCGTTCGGACTCCAGCGAAGTTTGATTACGGGTGATTCGGCGCCATCGAAGCGATGGATGTGCGTGCCGTCAGGGCCCCAAATGTTGACGCGAGACTTGCTTCCCAGGTCGGTGGCCACGGCGAGCGCAGTCCCATCCCAGTTCCAGGCCATGGCCGACACTGTCGAATTGCGCGGCAAGTCATCCTCCACCAACTCTTCGTAGGGGCGGTGGACTCCGTCCACGTGATCAAGCACGTTATCAGGAGCGGTTGCTGTGCGTGAGACGGTCCAAACTCGGGCTAGCGCGTCAGTCCCACCAGCCGCCAAGACGGACGGGTCTCGCGGGTTCCACTCGCAGTGCAGCACAATAGGGTTCTGATTAGTTCGGGTTGGTAGCGTTTCTGCTGCGGCCTCATCGGCGGTCAGACGCAGGAAAATGGTTTCTTGAGAAAGCTCGTGGACTTTCTCGACTTGGGTGCCCTGCTCCGGGCCTTCAGTCCGGGGAATGGGCGATGCGGCTTGCTCGCCCTCGAGAGGCGACGGATAGGCGTGGTTGTTGCTGTTGTTGTGGTCTGCATGGTGGTGGTCAATTTCCATGGGGGTCGTGGCTGAATCGGGTCCATTTTCGCAGCCGTGGCTCAGTCTCTGCCGCTTTGCTGGTGATCCATTGGGCAACGAATGGTGTTGCCTGTCGATTTGACGTTTTCGTGAATTTGCGACCTCCTCAACCTCGTCGACCTCGTCGATTTCTTCGACTCCTTCAACCCCTTCAACCTCGTCTTCTTCGTCCTCCTCGTCTTCCTCTTCCTCCATCTTGTGGGGTGGCTGGGCAACCAACGGCCCAAAGACCCCTACCTGCATCGCCTCGGTCGTTGCCGGCACATCATGGGGGGCCTGCAGCGAGAATTGTCAGTACCCCTGGGCACAGCCGCGCGACTTGATTTGGCGTGGGCAGCCAGCCCATGGATTCCACTGATTTGGCCTCGGGTGAAGTGCATCAACCAAAACAGAGACGGATAGGATAGCGTTCATACCTGTTGCGACTGAAAGAACTGCCTCTCGAGGGATTCGTATACAAGACCTTTGTTCAGGACCGACACTAGCGCATAGTTTTTAACATGGGGCGCGAAGTCAAAGTGCCGGTGAGGTGCTTGGATCTGCCACTCCTTTTGGAACTTGGCAGCCGTCTCTCGATAATCTAAAGTGAGGGAGAAGCAGCGAGCGCCGCAGGTCAGTATTCACGATCCACGCAAATCCGCAAGCATGCAAGCATGCAAGCGACCCACGACTATTAGCCGTTGAGTGGTGATTTTCACGTACTTGATTCCAAGAGGAATCTGCCATGCGGGCAAGATAGCTAGCATTAGCGGGCTGCATTCTCACACAGCGTGCGGGCAAGAAAATAACGAACCTCCAGACGAGGAAGTTGACCCTGTCCGAATCAAGAAGCTCCTTCATAGTTGCGCACAGCGACGGCGATTGTTAGATGAGAAAAAAAGATGCAGCAATCCTAATCTCGGGACGGAATGAGACGAGTGTGAGCGCATCCAATACCGACACGATGGTGGTGGGTTTCTGGGCAGGATTTGAATGCTGAAGAAATGGAGAAAAGGAACCTTCAAAAGTCGAGGTTTGGGCAAAGTGAGTGGTGGTGAGCGGTGTTGCCGCGTGCTAGGAGCTGTTTTAGGCGAATGATGCAGGGAACTAGCCCAGCAGCCCTCACAGGGCCGGAAGGAGGCTGCCACAAGCCCCAGAAAAACGGATGGGTTCGTGACTTGTGTGGGCAATTAAGGTACAGGGTACCCCCAGACACCTCCATATAATTTTATGTGGTACCTGCCATTAGCACAGAGGTACACGCTACGGCAAAGCTACACGTACTTTCATACAAACTTTTCCTCTCCCTGTTTCATCTCCAGCAATCCGAATGCTGTCAGATATCTACCTAGATACCAGAACCTATCGACCAACCACTCCCCAGGTTATTCCCTAGTCCTCCAACACCATCGAATTTTGGATAAGGTGGAAACTTCCAGGTTTTTCATGTCAACCAATCCTTTGGCCGAGGTGGAAGCCACGTCCTGATGAAGTAGGTACCTCTGTTCCGGACACCAGGTACCCACCTTACGTAAGGCAGCTAGGTAGGTTGTCTAGCCCCGGATCCACTTCAAGATCGTCATTCTCCCAGCAGTCATCCGTAATGCGATCTACCGCACGGTTGGAAACCAAGCGCGGGTGAAAAAGAGGAAGAGAGGTGTAAAAGAGGTGAATGCACAAGAGCAAGACACCAAGCATAGATGCCTCATATTCCATGTCCTACTGATAAGATAATCGACCCATTTGGGGATTATGGATGGCAACCCAGGAACTAGCCGGCGTACGCATACAGGCGACGGGAGGTGTGGAACTTGAGTGCACAGGCAGGCCAAGGTAGGTACCACAGTGGAAATGCAGCAACAGGGCAAGGTCGGGTATCATATACAAGTAAGCTACTTGAAGGTAGATGTCCCTTGCCCAAATTCCCGCCCAAGCCCGAGTGATCGATCCCCTTCGTTGTCTGGCCACCTACCTACCTTAGGTACCGAAGGCAATGGCGGGACCTACCTAATGCACATGCCGGATCACGGTCTGCGCGATGCAATCGCCGCCCTTCACTTCGTGGCATCGTTTCCCTGCCGGAGAACTACTACCACTAGTTCCTAGTGGCAGTTTTCCTCGGCGCCCGGGTTTCTGTGCGCTGGGAATGGGAATAGCATGAGCCACGGACAGGAAGGCCGCTATGGTGGAGTACCAGGGGGAACCAGGGACTCCAGGCAGGCTCCAGATCATTGCCTCTGTGGGAAGCCAGCCAATCACCTGCATCTTTGCCCCATCGGAGATGCATCTGCAAGGGTGCCATGCTACCACGGTCTTTCGATCTCGCGCATTGGGAGCGTGATTGGATGTAACTTTCGATGCTGACTTCCGTTTCACGGTACACAAGTTGCAGTGTGCCCATAGGGCCATAAAGAGGTACACATCAGTCCGCCGCTCCTTCAACAATAATATCCATATCGCCACTGGGGTACGCACTTGCTATGTAAGTACCCCTAATCAGGAACTTCAGTCTGAACCCGGTCCAGTCAACAATGATAAGCAAAGATCTAGTGTAAAGGAAATTGTCCTTCTCACGGGAAGATAGACTCCGGCCGAAGTCAGATTGAAACGGGGAAGGATAGTTAAGGTTGTCAAGCGGAGAAACGGCATAAATCAAAACAAAGCCACCACGTACTAGATGTCGACATCGAGGAAGAAATAACAAGCCTCTCCCTGACTGATACTTCAGGTAGATCTATGTGGGGCTGGCTATCTACGTCCTAACTCCAAAGTCCTTCTCTCCATCACTATACCTGCCTGCACTTCCTTTGCCATAGTACCTATATGTCGGAAAACAGGTGAACGGATTCCACCTGGAATGACATGTATCATCTTACCGGCTACCAAGGTTACTTTACATAAAACTGTCTGGGGTCTGCACGATGGTCTGTGCTCCACGGAGAAATCTTACGCCTCAGGCACGCCTGGATAGGAAAATCTCCGGATCAACTTTAGGTTGTAGGACTCGACGTAGCTGGCAAGAAGCTTCAAGCACTTAGTTGATACAAGCTAACCACCATGCCGCCCCGAATAAATATACCGCCCCTAACGCGAATTCTGCTCATTCTCTTGGTACTTCAGTCACTTCTGAGTGCAGCGATTCGCTATCGCCAATGGACTGAGCATTCCGACATAGTCATCCCCTACCTCAACCTGATCCCTCAACTATCGCTTATATACCCCTGGACCTTCCTGACGACCACCTTCGTTGAGAGCAATGTATTTACGTTGACCATTGCCGGCCTGACCCTCTACCATGGAGGCAGGTATCTTGAGAGGGCGTGGTCTTCGAGGGAGTTTGGGAAATTCCTCCTGGTCACGTCTCTCGTCCCCAACACGCTCTGCTTTGGCATGATGATCTTGTTCTTCACCTTTACAAGGAACGAGCGATGGACGTACGTACCTGCCGGAATCCCTTGTGCGGGATGAACCTCTTTTCTGATCTTATTGCGCCTCTAGGTTGACGATCATCGCCGGCACCATTCCCCTGCAGATTTCCTTCCTCGTGGCCTTCAGTCAACTCGTCCCCGCGCACACCGTCACGCTCTTCCGCGGCCTCGTCTCCCTCCGAGTTCCAAGATTTCCCCTCCTCTATATCGGTCTGGTCACCGTGCTCTCCTTGACACCCCTGCTCACGAGTGCATCGTTCTTCCTCGCCATATTCGGCTTCCTGACGAGCTGGACGTATCTACGCTTTTACAAGACCGTCTTCCCCGACCTCGACGCCTCACAGCCGACATCGCTGCGCGGCGACGCCAGCGAGACGTTTGCCTTCGCTGAGTTCTTCCCGGCGCCCGCCAAACCGTTGGTGGCCGGTATCTCTGCGCAAATATTCAACGTACTAGTGGCTATGCGCCTGTGCGTTCCGTTCAGCGCGGCCGACGTCTCGGCTGCCAGAGGCGACAACTTCCTGCAGCGTGGCGTTCCGGGCAGCGCCAGGGCCGAGGCAGAGAGGAGGAGGGCGCTGGCACTGAAGGCCCTTGATCAGCGCCTCCATGCCGCTACCGCCAATGCTGCGACTCGTGCCCAGCAAGCACCGCCGCCCCCGGCTGTTCAGGCCCCTGCTCCGTCTGCGACTGGGCCCACAGTTCAGAACCAGCCTCAAGCGCAGACGCAGGCAGCCATGACGAGCCAGCCCTCGGGCTTGCTCGGAGAGACGAATTACAATCCAGACCACGATAGCGACAGAGGGGCAGCTTAAATCAATAGGTCGGCAGCCCGGGTTTTCTTAGCTGCGTCTGACGCGCGTTGTCTACGGGTATCAGGGGCCGGGTTCTTGTTGGCTCATCATTTTTTCTCACCCAGCAAACTGAGTCGGTATTCATAGGCATGGATGGCTTTGATGTGTCCAGGTTCCGGACTTGGGATGGACCGCCTCGCGGCCATAGGTTCATTATGCATTGTACTGCCAGCCGCCTGGTGTATTGGTTTCGACGGCCGGGTTGGCATCGGCAGCTAATTGGTATACGTTATATCTGTACTTTACATGGCTTAACAACAATTTGATGGGGTAGTCTTACTGCTAACTTGCCCCCCTTTTCTCCCTGGGCTTCGAGCCCCTGATTCACTTTCTACTCACCCTTCTGCTCCCGGGAGTATCACCTTTGCTGGGAGACACCTTATGTCTGCTGCCAGTATATTATCACCTTGAGATATTGTAACTATGTAGTAGTAGTCAACATCTCGTCTGATGTCGCCTGGCAAAATGGGGAGCTTGTGTAAGCATGGCCAATGTGCCACACCAGTATCCAACGTATAGTGCAGTTGTTGACTTCATCGCCAGTCTAACACTTCTCAGTAGGTATGTTTTTAGAGGTTCTGTCTCGGAATTATTGTTCTATTGTTCTACAGGTGGGTTAACACCACACAATAGAAAGAAAGCATGTAATTCCTCCAAGACAACAAAGGACCATGTGAATTTTCATACGACTCTCAGCAGACAGTCTCGTAGCTCTATCTCAATTTCCATCTTCGACCCGGATAACTTCGGGCCTTCCAAAGGCCCTGATAGGAAGAACAAGAGTATATAACCATCCAAGTCTCGACCAAGTCCTCGTAGCTGCAAAACACCATACATGACTCGTTTCCCCATAACCACCGACAACAATGTCTCTTCGCATTTCCGTCCCCCCTACGGTCCGCCCAACGGATCGGATCTGCTGCCAGTGCTGCCAGAAACACCCCATAGCCAACTCTCACCACAGCACCACCACCACCTCCACCACCGACTGCGCCCACACCCCCTGCTGGGCCTGCCTCCCCCTCAACAGACACGGCACAATCCTCCACACCCACGAGGCCGAGTCCCCACACACCTTCCGCTGCGGCACCTGCGGCGCCACGGAGCAGCCCATCCTCGCCCTCCTCGTCGACGCCGCCGACTGCTGCGCCTCCCCCTCCGTGTCCGCCGTGCACGACCACCTGGGCCAGGAGATCGCCATCCCGGTTTGGGGCCGGGGTGGGATTGACGTCGTCGGCGGCGGGGAGGAGCTCGTCCGGCTGCAGCACGGGCTTTACGGGTGCGGGGCCTGGGTTCGGCTGGGGGAGGTGGACGAGGCTGTTGCGAGGGGGCGGGACACGGGGTTGCGGGTTGTTGAGTGGATCCCCGAAGACCCGGCGGAGAAGGAGGGTGGGAAGCGGCGGCGGCGGGACGATGGCGTGGCCTCTGCTGCGAAACGAAGAAGGCGTGGGCTGGATCTGCGACCTGAATTGGCGGAGGATGGAAGAAGCTTTGGGGGAGATGGGCAGGATCCCACTCCCTCCTACAGCACGGGACTTGACTGGCAGAAGGATGCAGGGCTAGCAGAAAACGTGGTAGCAGCAGCAGCAGCACCACCACCACCTGCAGACACCGCACCCAACGACGCGGATCCCACGACCAGCACCGCTGAAGACACACCCATCGGGAATGACAACCCCAACAACAACAACAACAAGAAGAAGAAAAACAGGCGGCCCGGCGGGCATCAGCGCAGAACCCTCCTGCGGAAGCGGTGGAGCGATGAGGTCACCGCCACCGACACAGGACCAGCAGCGGCCATCAGAGGGGAGCCGATGCCGATGCCGATGCCGATCCTGGTGGACGGCGTATCATCCGAGTCAGTGTCAGCGGCGAGGAGAGGACAAAGACGGAAGCGAAGGGGGGGGCGGAATAGGAGGGAGGGAGAGGGAGGGTTGCCCCGCTCCCGGGGTGGTGACAGTGGAGGAGGGAGAAGAGGTCCGATGGATGATAAATTTCGATTGTACGAAAAAGGACAGCTTGGGGGTGCCAGATCGTTCTGAGAGGAGACAGGTTCGGAAGGGTAGTTCCATCAACACGGCGAGTATTGTTTCGAGTTCTCGTTTTTATTTCTTAGCCCCTTTGTCTCCTTTGTCCGGAGAAGCTGGATTGATAACCATCTCCTTTTTCTTTTCCATCGTTCCTAAATTCGGCAAGCCCCCCTAGCAAGGACTAAATATCAGAGAACCTCTCGGGGCGCATGGGCAGAAGTCTCCAGACGCAGGGGGTCTGTGCGTAACAGGTGGCTCCGGACCGGCATCTATTTTGGCAGCTGGTGCGACCAAACTTGCCGGTTGTCGCTGCTGCCAGCGCCGGCGCCGTAAGCCGTTGCTGTCGCCAGCACTGTCGCGATTGCCGTTGCCGTCGCCGGCACTGTCGCGGTTGCGGTTGCCGTCGCCGGCACTGTCGCGGTTGCCGTTGCCATCGCTGGCACTATCGTAGTTGCTGTTGCCGTTGTTGTCGCTATTGCTGTTACTAGCGCTGTCGCTTATGCAGGCACTGTTGCTAGCGCTAGCACCATTGCTATCGCAGTCGTGTACGACTCTCGTAGCCGGGTCTTGGGGCTGCTTTTTACAGGGACGTCGCCTCAGCAGACGTCATGCTTTCGTCACGCCAATCGAGAACGTTTTTGTTGGCAAGAGGCAACAGCGCTGGCAACAGCTTACAGCGACGGCGTCGGCAACGGCTTATAGCGACAGGGCTGGCGCTGGCAGGAGCGACAGCCGGCAAATTTAGTCGCACCAGCTGCCAAAATAGTTACCGGTCTGGAGCCACCTGCTACGCACAGACCCCCTGCGTCTTGGAGACTTCTGCCATGCGCCCCGAGAAGTTGCCAAATATCATTCGAGTTGGCGAGACAAAAGCGGTAAAATAGCGAGTAGAGTCGGTCACCTAGGTATGTACTGGTTGCGTATTTCAAGCTCAACCATTGGTCATGAATCTTACTGCATGGTTGGCTGTTAGTGTGGACCAGGGGTTTATTAAGAATCATTTCCTTGTAGTCATCCACGTGTGAGGCACTGTTTATTCGATTGCCTCAACCACCTTGCTTGGAATTATTATCTGTCAACTACCTGTATTGCGGAGTCCCGTGGTAATCTACAAGGGGCGGCGGGTAAGCTATGTATGATTCAGAGGATCTGATAGTCATAGCTGAGCCTCTGTCCCTCCTGTCAGGATGGATGGATGTATGGCACCGCGATGAGTCCGACCTGCACTTCTTTCCCCTCGGGCGACATTCCCATCCATCAAGACCACTCCTCCGTCTCTCCCCTCATTCTCCCCGCCTTCCCTCCAGGTACGAATGACCTCGGCGAAAGAAAAAAAACAACAAACTTCCATTGTGGAAGAAAAGAAAAAGATATCTGATCCACCCCCGACCGGTCTCCTCGAAAATGCCAAAGAATACAGGGGTACTACACTACAATTCTCCATGACAGGGCCGGGCAGTTTATGCCCTCCCTTTCCCTGTCACCCATTCTATGAATATGCTAGCCCCCTCTCCTCCACCTCTGAGAGAGAATAACACTGCATGTGGGCAATAGTAGAAGCCCAATAATCCCCATTACGCTCCCCTTCTCTCTTTTTCCTTTTCTGCCGTGATTTTTGCTTTCGCGCGTTTACGCGAATCCGAAGTAGTCACTTCCGGCCGTTATTGCCTTAAGGAGACGGTCGCGGAGGATATCGTAACTCTCATACTCGGGGAGATCAAGTTCTGCACAAGGCATCGTTGTTAGTACTTTCATTATACACACTCAGGGGCCAGGGGGAGAGAAATAACTTACGATTGAAGCACGTGTGCGAGCTCGGCAGCCGCACCTTGTTGCCATAGTCGCGATGGATGTTGAACCGGCTGATGCCGTTCATGCCCTCGAGTTCCTTGAAGCCGTTCAGGGGCACCTTTGAGGTGCCCGTGACGAACTGCAGAAGCTTGGCGCGTTCTTCCTTGTCGAATGATCGGACTGCTCGCCAGAACCACTGGATCTGCTGGGACGCGGCATTGTAGTTGTGGTACTCGGTATTGCTCTTCCAGTCGTCAACGTCAATGTCCGGCAGGCCCGAGATCAGCAGCTCGAGCTCTTGTTCGTTGAAGATGGCGATGAGCTCGGCGGGGATGATGTCGTGGAAGCCCTTGAGGAAGTTCTCCATCTGATCCTTCACCGAGGACAGCAGCTTGTGCTCGACCACCAGGCGCACGTAGTCGTGCTTGTTCTCTTCCGTGACCGGGATGTTGCGGCCGTTCTCGCAGAGATCCACGACCTTGGTGACTCCGAACTCATCGTCCTCGACGGAGAAGGTCTCGGTGATGATGTCAGCGATGTCGTTCTCGAGCATCCAGACGAGCGACTTGTAGTAGTCCGGATCGAACGACTCCATGTCCTTGACCGAAACCGGCTTGCCGAGGATGCGCTTGTAGACGGCGCGGCTGAAGTAGCAGTCGAGAAGCCGGCCTTCGTAGAGGGCCTTGCCAATGATTCGGCCGATGAATTTGAAGAACATCAGATGCTCATCGTTGATAGCGCTGAGCTTGTTGGGATGGAAGGTCGTGCGGTCCGAGGACACGGGGATGAAAAGCGCGTAGTTGGGATCGAACATCTGTCTCGCCAGCACTTGGAACCACTCTCGCGTCACGCCGCCGGCGTCCACTCCTTCTTCTCCATGGAAGCGGATGTTGAGCTTTCCAAACTTCATCTCGTCGCCCGACTTGAAGTACAGAGACTTGAACGAGTCGTGGAAGACGTGTTCGCGCCGGACCGACAGCTGGAGCGGCGGGAAGACTGGCCGCGTCTGCTGGTGTCCCGTCTTGGAGTGGACGCTCCGGTTGAAGTAGTTGCGCTTGTTGTCAAACTCCAGCACCTTGGGGTTCTTGACGAGGAGAGAGAAGGTTCCCGACATGAGCTTGGGATTGTGCCGCACTAACTCGTTGAGGATTCGGCGGTGCTCCTCGGTGAAGGTGAAGAATAGACCGGCCATACGACTCTCGGGAGGCGGGCTCGAGAGCAGCATCTCCTTCGCAGCTGCGGTCTGCGACAGCGTAGTATCGCCGACCGTCGTGTTCTTGCAGACAACCATGAGAGACTCGATCAGAGGCAGGAGAATTGTTGCCACATTCAGCATGTTTTCCCGTTGCCGGATCGCGTTGAGACAGGCGCTCAGCTTGTCCCACATGGTGCCGAAGGTGGGATTCCAGTACAAGGACCCCAGAAGGTCATCCTTGGCCGCTTCTTTGACGGATTCGTCATGGGCGCCACCCGTCTTCTTGGACTTGTTGTCGAAGAGGTGGTCGAGGGCCGTGAGTACGCGAAGCAACTTGTTCTGCTCCGACGCTCCGGGCGAGAACTTGGCCAGCGCCACACCTTGGATCTCCGTGCCAGTTTCCGCCTTCAGGATGTGTGGAAGGAGGTCGTCGAGGTCCGAGACGATGTTCTCGCTAAGAACGCGGGCCTGGCGAACCAGTTCCTCGCCAAAGACCTTCTTGGCATTGGGAATGTTGGAGAGATTCTTGATGGTAGAGATGGTGTTCTGGAACGTCTTAGAGCTGCACTCCCGAGCCACGAATATGTTGATGACCAGCTTGAGATTGTGGTCGGGGATGAAGGGCGGCGTCAGCTGCCGGATCTTCTTCTCCTCGGCTGGCTTCGACTCTGTCGCTGTCGAACTCTCCCCAGTGGCAGGCTGGCCGGCATCCGTGGTCTGATGATCAGCAGCCGAGGTCGCGGTCGCGGTTGGCTGCTCGGTCGCATCCGCATTCTGATGATCTGTTGCCTGCTCCGCAGTGGACGCTTGCTCGCCAGGTTCGGCAGTGGACTTGGCCCCCTCGTCGGCCTTTTCTCCCTCGGCCTCCTTCTTCTTGGTTTCCTCTTCAGCCTCCCGGCGGCGACGCTCAAGGGCCTGGAGAGGGAAGGTGACCTTGTTCAGTAGATCAGCCAGCAACTGCATAACCGCCGAGCTCTCCATGACCAGGCCGCGATCCAGGAGACCAAGCAGAGAGTTGATGGCGTATTTCTGGGTCTTCACGTTGGTATCTTTCCCCTTGCCCTTCCGGCTGAGGCTACGCTTCAGCGTCGAGGCGACGGACTCGTGCTCCGTCAAGAACAAGGACGGGATGTGAAGATTCTTCGCCGAGAGCTCGACGAGGAGATCCAGGCACTGCTGGACAACGAGGAGAGGCGAGACCTCCGAGTTGCCCTGCATGTGGGTATTGGTACCAATGCTTGTGAACGCCCGCCTGATACTGGTAGGCGTCTTGGGATCCTTGTCCTTGGGCTGTCTAGCCTTCAGAGATAGCTGTCCGAAGCTCCGTTCGACGGCATCCATGTCCGTGCTCCCATCCTGAAGGATCTGCAGAAGGGTGCTGACGACCTCGAGCCTGTTCTGGCGGTTCTCACAGACGTGTGTGAAGAGGTCGAACAAGTAGCTGCGGATGGATCCCTGCTGCGCGACGAACATGAGGCGGAGCAGGGTGGCAACGCCGGGCTTGTCGAGCATCTGGACAATGGAGCGACGTTGGGGCTTGTTGTCGACCGCGACGCCCGCCTCAAACTGGCGTGGCGCCTCCCGAGCGGCCCGGGACAAGGTCGGTGGAGCCCGGTGGATTTGCTGTCGCTGCACGAGTGCTCGAGCTTCAGCAGCCAACTCGGGAGGCAGATGTTCCATGATATCTTCGCCTTGGTCCCTGAGGACCTGCTCCCGGAGATCGGGTGGGAATGTCAGCAGAATGCTGGCAGGGTCCATGTCTTGCGGGCCGACGTCATGCCCTCCGGCAGCCGCCTGGCGGCGTTGTTCATCACGTTCGCGACGGCGGCGCTCCTGGCGCTCCTGCTGGATGATCTCTTGCCGCAATTCCTCCGGCAGGGCCTCGAGGAATTCCTGGAAGGCTTCCGTGTTCTCCCCGGGAGCATCGGCCGCCTCCCGAGCCTGGGATCGTCGGGTGGTGACGGCCTGGGCAATGACCTCTTCCCGGAACTCCTCTGGGAGCGCTGCGAGGTATTCGGGGTCGATGCCGAGCTCGGTAACGTCAAACGTCTCCCCCCTAATAGTGGTGACAACTCGTGGCAACTGCTCGCTCGGGCCGTCGCCGGTGTCCTCGTCCCCACCAGAGGTTTCAACGCCTTCCATGGCTTGGCCCTCGTGCTCTTCCTCCGCATCCTCATCGGGAGCCTCGGCTTGTTGGCTGGCTTGAGCAGCAGCGGCCTCGGCAGCCTCGCGCTCGGCCTTCTCGCGTTCTTCGGCCTCCTTCTTCTCCTTTACGGCCTTCTCCTCGGCCTCTCTGGCCTCTTGCAGCTTGCGCTCCTCTTCCTCGCGCTTCTTGCGCTCCTCGTCTCGCTTCCGCTTCTCCTCTTCCTCTCGTGCCTTGAGCTCCTTCTCGTGCTGGGCGGCAGCCGGTGCGAGCTTGCCGAGGATGAAGCTGAACAGCCGGGATGCCTTCTCGTTGTGGCTGTAACCAAAGACCATCCTAGCCTCTTCTTGCCAGCGCTCCACCGTCAACACGGGGGAGAAGGAGACGGCCTGTTGAGGCTCCTGGTAGATCTCACGACGAGGATCGGAACGGGACTCGCGGCCTTGTTGAGGGTGGCCTATTGGGATATGAAGCTCGCGAACTTCGCCACGCGGGCCCTGCTGCGTGATCTGGAAGTGGAGGGCGTGACCAGGCCGCCCATGGTTGGGTAGCGAGGCAACCAGGTCGTTGATGAGAGCCAAGGGCCCTGCACCCATCAGGGCGCCGGGGAAGCCAAGTCGGATGAGGTTGGCATTTCCTGGGCGGGGTGATGACTCTCGGCCCGAGCCGGCATCGCGGCGGAGAAGGGGGTTGAGACCATCGTCTGGGTTGTGAGAGGTAGGGCCTGGGCGAGGAGTCCTAAAGTAACTCCGGAAGTCTGGGGGGAAGTTCATCATGTTAGCGTGTCCGTCCACCAGCGAACCAAGCAAATCTTGCATCGCATTGTCGAAGTTGACGAGGGGATCTTGCTCAGCATCTTCACGTGGGGTCTGGTCAAGAGCTGCGGCAATCCGGCCCGGAAGCATCGGTGCGTGCCGGGGCGACATACCGCCAAGAGGGTCCCGGGGTCCGCCGATCATGAAAGGGGCGCCAGGGAACGGGCTTCGAATGCCTCCATGTCGATGTCGGTGGTGGCCGCCGTGATCAACCACGAGAGTGTCCCAGCCAAGGCCGGCAGGCATGTTTGCAAGAGGAGGTTCGTCACCTATGAGAGAGAGAGAGGTAGTCAGCAACCGCGCACCCGGAATCCAAGGATTCGAAACAAAACACGTACGTGGATAATCTTGATCGTAGTAGTACTCTTCCTCATCGATCTCTTCATCCTCGTCCTCTTCATCTGGAAACCGGAATTGTTAACAAGTCAAATCGACATGGGCAAACAAACACCCGGGGGCTATTGTCGACAACTTACCATCTTCCTCGCCACCATCGTCGATGTAGGGCTCCCCAAATTCTCCGACGTCTTCGCCGTCGATATCGCCCTGGTGATCTATTGCGGCAGCGCGCATGATATTACCGAAATGGCCGAGTTGGTCATCTATTCCTTGCTCGTCGAGATCCTGCGCGTCATCATCGCCATAGCTGATGAGATCTCCTTGTTCTCCTTCCTCGTCGGTATCGCTCTCCCAGTCGGACGCTCCGTCGTCGTCAAGAGGCTCGCCCTCTTCATCGAAGATCTCGATCTGCTCCTCAACATCTTCCATGTCGTCGGAACCGATGTCCTCCTCATCATCTTCGTCGCTTGGCTCGTCGCCATCATCGTCGTCGTCGTCCATGTCATCGTCGTCATCATCATCTTCGTCTTCGCCCATGATGACTTCGACAACGTTTGGATCGCCAGGAAGACCTTCGATGTCGCCCATCTCGCCGAGCTCTTCGTCCTCGTCGCTGACGTTTTCATCGTGATCCTCAGACATGTCGTCGCCGTAATCCAATTCGTCACCGTATTCGTCGTCGTACATCTCTTCGTCATCTGTTGCGGTTGTTAGCATATACTTTGGCCTGAGGCTGTATTGATAGGAGCGGGCGAGGAAGTCATTACCGTCTTCCGAGTCATCCGTGAAGTCATCTTCCTCCCGCCCAGGCTCGAGCATGCCCAGTGTCGAGTTTCGGTAAAGATCGGGAGTCTCCTCGCGATCGTCGTCCATGTCGGAGAGGGAGGAGGCCGAGGCAATCTCGTCCTCCGCGTTGTCTGTCGCTGCAGAGGTGATGAGGTCGGCCTGGCTAAGCTGGATGGCTGTCTTGGAGAGTGTGCGGAGAACGCGCAAGATGTACTTGACGGTTCGCTTGACGTTCGGGAATGTGAGGTCGATGTCGGCAATCGAGGCAGTCAACGCCGCGAGATAGCCCTTCTCGTACATTAGGCGTTTAAGCTGCTTCTGCGAACGGATGGCTGCAGGGTCGGTGCCCCGTGGGTTCGGAGGGTCCTTATCTTTCTCGCCGATCATCTGGCTCATGAGTTCGGCGAGGCACAGCATCTTCGCATATCGGATGTCGAAGGGCTCGGCCGGCGTCGCCGCGTCCTTGTATGCCTTGAGGACCGTATCCAGGACGAATCTCCGGACAAAGAGCAGGTCCGGCTCGTCATCGTACTCGAACTCGCCTCGGCGGCGGTCGAAGGGCTTCTCGCCGGTCTTCGTCACCAGGGCTACCAGGACAAGGTGAGCCTGGTTGGCCGTTGCGGCCTTCTTCTTCAGTGCAACGCTGTCCAGACCGGCGCTCAGGCTGCTCAGGCAGAGCACGTCGTTCAGGAGGTAGTTCAGGACGCTGGCACGGGGCTTAATCGGCGTGTTGGTCTGCACGGGTGCGCTGCGCTTGAAGTTGATAAACTCGACCTTCGTGCGATTGTAGCTCTGCAGAAGCTCTGCGAGGCAGTGGAGGAGGAAGCACCGATAGACGAAGATGGGGTGCTCCTCGGCCTTGAAGACGGGCTTAGCAGCTTTCTTGTCTTTGCTGTCCTCCGGGTTCGGCACAGGTGTTGCCTCTGGGGTCGACGCCAAGGACGTCGAAGGGTCGGTGCCGCCAGGCTTGGTCTCCTTAGCCGGCTGCTGCGAGGTATCCTTATCGTCTACCTCCTTATAATTGAGCAGCTCGCAGAGGAGGAAGTGAATCACGCCGTCTGGGTTCTCAAGGATCGGCCGCTTGAGTTCCTGAGCCGGAGTCCTCGGCACGCCCGCCATCTCCTTGTCGCCAGATTCGGTCGATGGCTTCACGTCGTTGATCGTGAGATCTTCCGTTGCCTGGACTGTGGGTTCCACAGAGGCGTCATTTGGCGCCGCGGGAGGAAGAATAGGAGAGTTCGGCTCCTTGAGGGTTAGAGCCACTTGACGAGGAAGACCGTCGCCCGGGTTAGGGGGCGCCCAACGCGTCAACTTGACCATTTCCGTGGTCACCTCGATGAACAACTTGGGGGATCGAAGGGCAACATGCGAGAGGTGGCGGAGATAATTCGGAATGTCGTGAGACCGGGAACCTCTCTGGGTGCTCTCCATGTAGGTGCGGATCTCGGAATGCATGAGCTGTCGAATCGTGTCTTCGTCTTCGATGATGTGTCGAAGGATGATCAGCATGCTCCTGGAGATCCTCGAATCCTTGAGATGGCCCGACTCGGCGCCGCACAACTGTTTGGCCATGACGAACAAGCGCTGCAAGTTCTTCCTCTCGCCGAGGGCCTTCGCAACCGACCGGTCTCGGGTGAGGATGACGAGGATACGGAGGACAGAGATGGCGAGGGGACCCTCCTTGCCGATGCGCGGCAGAATATCGAGAACGGCTTCTACCAGTGATGAGCGGTCCTCGGGGCTCAGGTTGGCCTCCCTCTCCTCCCACCGGGGTTCCTCGAAGGGCTCGTCGTCGTTGGCAGGCACTTTCCAGCGCACCTCGACGGGTTGCTCATCGTCCGAGAGCATGATCTCAAAGACAAGAAGGACGTATGGGATCCAGGGAGGCAGCTCCTCGCTGGTGCTGGATGGCGACAGCCGAAGGAACTTGAGACACTCGTCCATGTTGTCTTTGAGAGTGTTGACGGTCGTCTTGTAGAAGGACCGATCCTGGAGAAGAAGGGCGAGTAGATGGGCGTATGCCGCAATGCTCGGGCCATTCGACTTCTTGACGTCCTCATCGTCACTAGCAAACGACAAGAGGGCGTTGGAGAGGATATCCCCAACCTCTGCGCGCTTCTCCTCGTTTTCTGGCTTCAGGAGCGACGTCTGGATCAGCTCCGACACCTCAAAGACGGAATCTGGGTGGGCCCGGATAACTTCGAGGCAACGATCAATCAAGTCCTTGCGCAGGTTCGCACGCTGCTCATCTAGTTCGTCCTTGGTGACCTGGCTCCGTCCTTCGGGCACCGGAGCCGTGCCGGACGAGGACCCGGCTTCTACAGGTGCAGCAATGGCTCCCGACGCTGGCGCGCTGGGCCCGGAATGCTCGCTGGCGCGATCTCCGTCGTCGTTATCCTCGTCAGAGTCAACAGACGATCGATCATCCAAGTCTTCGAGAACGGCCTCCCCGAGGGCATCGCCGATCAACCGGTCGATTTCGGGCATGGAGTCCTCGGGCATGAGGGAATCCAAGGCCATCGGATCCGGGGCAATGCCGAGATCGGGCAGAGGGAAGGCCGGGGTTTGGCTGCTGGACGATCTGGATTTGGGCGTCGGTACGTCCTTGAACGCGTCTTCCTCGGGGATGGGGTTGCGTTTGCCAGCCATGTCCTCCTGATGAGCGCGGCAGTATTCCGTCGCATCGTCCGCCTTGCCGTTGGCGCGGTACACGGCCTCCTGAGCCAGGGCGGGCTCGTATTTGCGAGACAGGGACTTGGTCATGTCCACGAATGCTGCCCAGTTGAAGGGGACCGGTGCTCGCTTGAAGATGAGCGGAGGGGCCGGCTGGTCCGACTTGCGCTGTGCGTACGCCTCCTGATCGGCCCCGGCTATCGTCTTCAGAATGTCGACGATCTTGTTGAGGACCTGGGCCGAAGACTTCTCCACGAGTGGAGACTCCCAGAGCTTGCTGACGACGGGCAGAATGGCCATGCGCAGCTCTACGACAAGCTGGGGCCCTATCTGCACATCTGGCCGCCTGTCGGCAGACCGCGGGTACAGGTTGATCTGCCCCATCGAATCGACAATGTTCCTCCCGTGAACGACGAGGGCGTACAAATCGAGTATCTTCTTCATCCCAATGGCGGCGAGTTTCCCCTTGGACTCTTCGTCGCTGTCGGCCGGATCCTTGCAAATGTCATCGGCAAACTGCTGGACCATGGTGTTCAGTGCCTCGATGCCGCCCTGCTCCTTGAAGGCTATCAGGACTGGGAGGATGATCTGCACCGTTGTCCGGTCGCTCTGCCGGGTCGGGTCAACCAGCATCTCGTGCACGGTGTGCAACATGACGATCCAGTAGTGCAGGTCTTTCATAGTTGTCTCCTTCTCCGAGGGCTTCAACTGCTCCAGGATAGTCTCGGCCAGTGCCTCAGCTATGGCCATGTGGTGGGCCCGGATGAAATTATCGCGTTCTCGACGCGGCACCAGGGCCTTTCCGATGGTCTGGAAGAATGGGAAGGTTGTCGGCATGAGCGAATGGAGAAGGACTCGCAGGGTTTGGTAGTTCAGGTACTGCGGCGACGACAGCTCTTCGTCGCTTGGCTTCTTGGTTTGAGACATGCTCTCCTCACCGGCTCTCAGCACGGCGCTGTCTGACAGGCCACCCGTCGGGCGGACCTCCTCGCCGTCAACATTCTCGGCTGCGCCAGTGGAAGCCACGGCGGCGGCGGACTGGGTCGAATCGTCGGCGCTTTCTTGGATGGCGGCAGGCTGCTTCCGACCGGACCAATGGTGCGGCACCAGGTTTGCGATGGACATCTCCTCGGAGAGGGTGTTGCGCAGCAGGGGACCCAGGGACTTGATCAGTCGGATATAGTAGTCGAAGACGTTGACCAGTGGCAATGTCGAGGTGCCCTGTCTGGACGAGTACGGGAAGCTTTGGTACAGGACCTTGATGAGGTTCTGGGCGTTCAGTAGGGCCTTGATGACTCGGGTGCCCCCCTCGACCTTCCGAACAACTCCATGGTCCCATTCGCCCGCCTCGGTCGCGAGGGAGAAGTCGGGAATTAAGAATGGTGCAAAAAAGGGAGATGATCCCTCCCTCTTGACCAACGGCTCGAGTGTGTCAATGGCAGCCTGAAGCCGGTTGAGAAGCGACGGCAAGCCGATAATGGGCGACGACTCTACGAGCTGGGATACGACCTGTGATAGAGTCCGCGAGGCAGTGGACTCGCCAAAGTCGTGCGGGAGGCTGGGGGCTTCCGACAGCTCGAGGAGCAGCTCGATGCCGCCGTGGCGGATGTAGCTGGATTTTAGGCTCGAATTGGTCATGACGTGAGCGAAGAAAGAGGAGACGGCACGGATATAGGGGGTGATAGCCTGCTCGGGAGAGGCTTCCGCCGAGAGTCCTCCCCCAGTGGCAGCAGCAGCAGCAGCAGCATTCGAAGTGCTGCTCTCCGCAGGGCGATCGCTCACATCGGCCATTTCGACGTCAAGGTCGCCTACCGGGGCCTTTCCTTTTCCCTTGCGCGAGGCATCTAGAGAGCCAGACTTGTTCAGAAGGGTCTCATCAGCAGTTACCGACTTTCCTTCCGGGTCGGAGATGAGGAGCTTAGCACCCCAGCCCTCGGTAACGGCCTTGTTCTGCGCCATGAAGACAATCCTGGCGATCATATCGAGCATCGCATTGGAGATTGCAGGCCTCAGAGCCGGGTGATGACGGGCAAGCTCGTCAAAGCAGCTGCCGATAGCGGTGGGTAGATCCGGGTCCGCCTCCATGCAGCGAATGTGCTCGGGCGACTCGAAAATCTCTAGATAGCTCTCCAAGGCGCGCGATGAGGCGACCGTCTTCATGCCGGTATTGTTCAGGCATATGGAGTTAAGGACGACGGGGATGATGCTCATAGCCTCAGAGGAGGCAAGTATCCCGTTTGCCAGAGGGCCATCGCGGGGCGTTTCGAGCATGACCTGGGTTGGAGGATGGGGCCTCAAGTCGGGCTCAAAGGTGACAGACTCATCCGGATCGATAGGCGAACTCGGCTCCGCATCTTCGTCATCCGCCCTCTCGCCGCTCGCATGTTCCGGCGCTGGCTCTGCGGCCACGCTTCGGCCCGTTAGAGTCTCGAGGAAGGTCTTGATCATCCCCGACTCGGAGATGGCGGCGAAGCTCGTGGGATCGTTGTTGAGGAAGTCGCTGAGAAGGGTCACGGCATTTGTCCATACAACGGCGCCGAACAGCTCCTTGTTCTCGATGATGAGGCGAATGCTGCCGAGTAGTTGCGAGTTGTCGACCAGGTTCCTCAGAAGCCGGTCCGCGTTGCCACCGTAGGAATACGAGTTCGACATGACGTGGTGAAGGAACTTCAAGAGCCACTTGAGAGTCTGCTGTTGGCAGAAAGGTATGCGGTAATCGACAACTTGAGAATGGAGTTCCGGCCTCGTACCGTGGCCAGACTCTGCGAGAGCCTTCGATTCCGCCACCGCATCGACGGTCAGCTGGGCAATGCTGTCCAGGCCGGAAGCACCGCTGAACGACTGGAAGGCTCCCTGGTAGCCATAGATGAGGCCGTCGAGAAGGGCGAGCATCATACTGTGGTATCGACTTGCAACCTTTGACCGGAGGTTGGTGATCTCAACCAGGATGTCCATCAGGCCCGCAGAAATCATCTCCTGTCCCACACGGGACCCCATCGCCATATGCAGGGTGAGCGAGAACAGGTTGTTGCGCCATTCGTCGGCCTTCGTAGTCCTGTCATCATCCTCGTCCTCCGGGTCTTCCCTCATCCCCGCGACAGCCTTTCTGAGGACGTACAAGAGAACGCCGTGATTCACATTCGCATTGAGAGCCGATAAGACGTCCGGATACTTGGCTGGTAGGTTAGAGACGGCCTCCAGCAGTCCCAACGAGATGGACTGCAGCCAGAGGGGCACGCAATTGGTGCCGTCTGCGGATGGGTGGATGAGTTCTGCCAGCTGATAGACGAGCTGATATCGGCGTGGCTCATCGTTGTCTTGCTTGAGCACCTTCTCGATGAAAGTGGGCTCGGCATGGATGTATGCCAGATTTGTGATGGCCAAGAGTCGCACGGCAAGGGCTTGTTGCCGAGTCTCGGACGCGCCCAAGAGAGCCTTGCTGGTTCTAAGGCGATTCAGGAACTCGTATTTGGCCATCTTGGGGATGTCGGCCGGGCAGCGCGACAAGAGCTCGTATATCGACGTCGAGACCACGGCAGACTGGGGAATCTCCACAGACTTGTGGCTAGGTTGGGGGGCGACTTCATGGTTCGCGGCTGGCGTCCGGGGATGAGACGGGCTGTCATCTCCGCTGTGGCGGCTGCCCCGAGAGGGATGCGACGGCATGGTAGAGCTGCGTCGTAACGGAGTAGGGGTTGTAGGCATCGAGGAACTGCCACTGCCACTGGCCCCGCGCTCAGGGACCTCGGGTGCGATGGTTTCCGTAGCGGTGGACTTCGGATAGTAGATGACTTTGACGTCTCCCCAACCGTTCCAACGACCCTCGTCGACCTGGCCAGGGGCGGCGATGGACACCAAGTCATTGGCATACATGGATGCGACGTTCTTGTGGGCGGCGCCGTGTGACAACTTGTCCTTCCCCTTGCCAGTAGAGGCTGGTGTGGTAGGCGGGTGATCAGAAAATTTGGCGATGGGAGTTTTTACGAAGGATTGGGCCAGGTGCTGCACTTTCTCGAGCTCGATGTTGTAGTGGTTAGCCAGCAGAGCATTGCTCACCTGGCGTGAGGGCGAGGTCATGCGCTTGACCGAGGCCTGGTATCGCTGGGCCAGCTCCACACCGACCTCAAGTGTTGCATAGACGACATTGAGATATGCGCTGTTCAAGAGGTCATTCAGATGGGCACTGCTGGCATATATGCTTCTATTGCCGCAGTGTTCCAGTAGCATTCTGGTGAACTTCAAGACGGCTATAATAAGCTGGCAGTCTCCATCTTGATTAAATCCCAGCTTTGCTAGGCGGTCCATGTCCCACGCTTGGTCGTCACCATATTCAACCGGGGCTCCCTTGTTCAGGAGGAGATCACATCCAAAATCTCGCATCTGAGGGCCGTCGTTGAGGCTGTACGTCGCGCAGAAGGCTTCGAGGATGCCGTCGAACCGGTTGAGCAATGGTATCCAGTGGTAAAGGTCACCCCGCGGAAAAGGCCATCTCGAGGGAAACTTGCTGAGATGCTCGGGGAGGAGGGGCAAGGATACGGAAGATGCAGCTTGGACGTACTCCTTGAGCCAAGGAGACTGGGACAACAAGGGGTGTCAGTTATGCTTCACTAGAGGTGTTCGAGACGGGGAGGGAAGGAGGGAACTTACCAGAGTCTCCTTGTGCTTGGGCTGCATCGGCTTCGTTATCTTACCCATGTTGAGAACGGGTGCGGCAGAGCCGCGGTAGAAATTGAGAACTCCCCCTCCACTGCCAACACGTCACCCAAGTTGGTGACAACAGCTTGGATTATTATGGACGGTTGTTCCCGAAGCAGAACAGCCCTGTCCAAAGTCGTGGTGATGCGTGGGGCGGTGTCGTCGTCGGAAATGAGATGGGATGGTGGTGTTCCGACTGCTGGAAGGCGTAGCCTTTGCGGGCGAGGTAGGGTAACGAGAGCTCGCAGGCAAATGGGAAACCTGCGCGTGGGCGAGCTGCGTAGATGGTCTACGATGACAGTTCGGTGGGGGAACGCAGTCAGAAAGTGATTTTGGTGTTGGCGCGGGTTGTCAGATGCCGGATGGTTTGTAATGCGGAAGGAATTGGGAGCTTGGGCGGAGAGGACCTCAAAAAGGCGAGTGCAGGTCGCCAGTCAAGTTCCACTAGGCTTCGCTCAGAGGGTCGCCGCAGGTTGGTCGATTAGTACAGAAGGATATCTTCTGTGCGAGAATGCAGCACCGGCTTCCAGATGATGGTCGGTTGGAAAGGACGGGCAACGTAAAAATATGAGTTTAGGTATTTTGGGAAGTTGAAGGTGAGGTTGGTCCTTCAAAACGAGGTGGGAAGGCTCGGGTCTTTTTTTTGCGTAAGTAATGACGGCAAAGGCACACAGTGGGTCCACGCTGCATGCCGTCACAGACCTACCTGTGGTCCGCGCAGCTGGGCAAGATGTAGCTACCTAGCGACCAGGCAGAGCCTAAAACACCCATACGGCGTACCGAATTTAAATATTCACCGGCAGCTCCTGCTTAACCTCGTACCAGGACGTGACCGGGCTGCCCACCTGACCTTTCAAGGAAACATATAGATGCCCAGAGCAACCTGGAAGGTGCCCTCTATATTGCTCCAGCTACCCGGGCACAGTGTCAGGTCATTTTGCAGAAATACAGGCGGATCCAACGCCATAAACTTGGAGCGCTAAACGCCTTGACGGAGACCTTTGGCGTTGCATATTTCCCTCCCATCTCCAACGGATACTCCCCCCAGTTCCCCACCCCGTGCTGCGTCATTCGGCAATGAAGCTTGAGCCAAGCCAAGAGACCAAACACAAATAAATTCAACAGAGTGGGAAAGAGGGGGCCAAAAAAAACTTATGAGCCCAAGGCCGACAGCCCGGCCGGGCGGGAGTCAGGCGTCCGAACCCAACGGCCCCACTCCCGAGCGAACATTCCCAAGCTTCGCTATTTTTGTATTCCATCTTGTCTGTCATATTTGTTCTCGACACGATTTACATACCACTAGGATAGCATAGCACTGCAGTGACTGAACCAAGCGAGGTGGAAAATATCTGCTCTCATCGTATGAAACAGTTGGCCTAGAATAATATAACTGCAGCTCTTGAATGTCCGATGCTGCTTCTCCCAGAGTCCTCCACTCTAAACCCAGTATCCCGATGGTATCACTCGTATGGTTATCCTCCTGCCTTACGCCCTCTTGAAAGGTGACTGAGGGCCGTGGCCAGGCATTTAACCCCCCTTTGCCAGCTTGCCCTTCCCGTGAATTAAGATGTTAAGGAAAAGGAGAAAGGAACGCAGCAGATGAGGCAGCAAAAGGGCCAAAGGGCCTGTCCAACGAAAACGCCCTACGCCAGACCAGACCACCCTCCCAACACCTCAGAGAATAGGAGGCGTGTGCCTCAGTGTCAAGACCAAAAACCCGTAAAGTTACATATGGTAATACAGACGGAGAAACCAAAACGCCACAGAAAGAAAAGGGCAAGGGAAGGGAAACAATAAAAGATATAAAAAAAAATGTCGGGGTATCTCTTACTCTCTCCTATTCCACCACGTTCGGGTATTAACGCAGACCCAGCCGTCCCGGGCCTCTCTCATACTGGTCCAGGACCATCCCCACTAAGCGTAACAGAACTCGAATTCGAGTCTCCGCCCGCAGTCTGTGGCCTCTCCCCCTCCTTGTCCTGGTCCTTCTCATCGTCCAATCTTAGGCGCAACTTCTCGTTCAGCATGCTCACCAGTCTTTCGCTGTACTGATCCAAGAGGCCACTCAGGACCGTCTCGCTGACCGGCTTGCTTCTTTCTCTCGTCTCCCTGCTGCTCCGGGTCCTGATGGCTCGTTCCCCCAGCGCCGCAGCCGTCAGTCGCAACTCGGCATCCAGCTCAGCCAGGACGTCTGGCCCGATGGGGTCTGTAGACGCGAGCTTCTTGCGATACGCACGGAGCTGCCGGCACGTCTGCTCCGTCGCCATGCTCAGGGATCCGAAGCCGTAACTCGCGCGGAGGTTCGAGGTGGATGATTTCTTCCTCGCCATCGCCGCGGTGGAGGGAGGGGTGCCGTTCAGAACAGGTAAGGACGGGCGCCTAGTCATCCTCGCTCTGCCCTTCGGGCTTTCCGGTGGACTACCAGACCGGCTCCCGCCTGACGATGGACGCCTCGACGGGGTGTGCTCGGCGATGGTACTCGCGGGACTGGTCTGCAGTGTCGTGGTCGGGGTGCGGTTTGCCGCCGAGCTCGAGAGATTGTATCTCGACGTGCGCCGTTGCAGAGTTCGGGGAGGAGAGCGACGACCGCTGACGGGCGACGACGATGGTCTTTGAAACTCGGCCAATTCGGCTCTCGACAGCACCCGTCTCAGGGGCGGTTGGTTCGACGTTGGGAAACTGCTCTTCTCCGGAGAGGGCTCTCGGCTCGCCGGAAACGTCGAAGGCTCCTGCATGTCGATTCCCCAAATCATGATGGTCCCATCTGAGCCAACACTGACCACCTTGCGACCGCCCTCCTCATCATCGAGTAAGAGAACCCCGTTGATGGCTTCCGTGTGTCCCCACTCCCGATCGAGGAACGCGCCGGTCTGGGAGTCGTAGATTCTCACCGACTTGTCCGTATTTGAGATTCCCAACAGAAAAGTCGACTCTTGAATCATGGATTTCCCGTAAGTGAGCGAGTCTAGGACGACCGATTCTATGCCGCCTTCGTCGATGCACTTGAACGAGTTCGACAGCCGCCCGGAATCGGTGTCGTATTGGCATACAGAGCGATCCAGCAGTGACACGTAAATGGACTTGCCGTCGGGGGGCATGGCCATTGACAACGGCGTCGCCTTCAAGGAGATCACTTTCAGAGGTACAGCTGCCATGACATCTGGCTCGCCCTCCTTCAACACCAGGTCGTGGACCTGCAAGGTTCGGTCCAGAGAGCAAGCCACAATTCTCTCGTGTGAGGGGATGAGGACTTGGACTACTCGTGCTGAAAACTCGAGGGTCTGGAAGTGTTCGAAAGCACCGTCTCCCGACTTGCGAAAGAGTTGAGCCGTGCGATCCCTCCCACAAGACGCCACCAGCACTCTCGTATCGTCCTCATAAACTGTGATGTCTTGACAGTCCGATGAATGGGCCTTGATCTCCATACAGCATTCACCGGCCGCATGGTCTATGACTCGGATGACGCCGAATTTGTCTCCCGCAATGAACTGCTTAGCCCCTCTCGTCGCTCTGACGATAACGAGCTGGTTCACCCGGTCTGGTTCGGTCCCGTTCTCGATTTGTTCAAGGCCGATATCGAAGGATGATTTCACCCTGCCTTCCAGATCCCAGAGATTGACTCTCCCACAGGCGGACCACGTGAAAAAGGGGGCGTCAGACTTGTTCATGCCGTGAAGCTGTTGGATTCCGACGATAGGGTCTCCGTGGCCGGGGATTGGGATATGCGCCGTGTCTTGGTTGCTCTCCATGAGCAGATAATCTGCGCCCCAAATGTCAATCGACCGTTTCGTATTGATTGTCACCATATTATCAGCCAAGAAGCCCATGGCGAGCAGACCATTGGAGGCCCGGGAGCTCTTGAGAATGGGATCGGGATGCCCCTCGAGGATCATGTCGACGCTCAACGCTATAATTTCGCCCCCTTTCCCACCGATATAGATGTTGTTCTGTCGGATCGAGGTGCAATTGACGACGAATCCGGCTTCGAGGATTTTGATCAGCTTCATCTGCTTCTGGGTGTCGTCCAGCAGACAAATATCCCCGCTCTCGGAACAGATGATGGCTCTGTTCTCGTCGATGGCGGCTGCGCAAGTAAAAGTCGAGTCCAGCAACGACCCAAGCAGGATATTCCTACCCGGAAGAGCTTTCTGTGTCTGTGGTTGTGGCAAAGGGCCGTCGGCAGAGAACTTTGACTTTGTGGGAGAAGTATTCGGGCCGCCCTCCTCGACCCTCCAGACCTTGACATGTCGAACACCTAGCGTGACGAGGCTGTTACCCATCCAGATCATTCCTCGAATGAAAGAGGTGCATCGATTCTGCTGGAACAACCTGGCCGCGCCTGTCCGTGGGTCAATCTTCCAGAGGTAGAGAAACCCGTCGTTTGCGGCACCAAGAGACGCCAAATATCTCGTGTCTTGAGACCACGCCACCGCTCGGACACCAAACATATGCTCGCTGATGGACACTAAAGGCGTGTCAGATGAGTTATCCTGAAGGTTATAGATCAGCACCCGTGGTGCGTAGCCCGTCTCGCCAACCGCAAGGTATCTCCCGTCGCAGCTCAAGGCCAGGCACGTGGCCGCCTTTATTCTTTCGCGGCTTGTCCATGTTTTCGACGTTGGGGAGTCGGACCAGTCGAGTGGGCCGTAGAGGGAGTCTCGCGGTGAGGCTGCAACCCTATTCCTGCTATCATTTGCTTTGGGGGTCGAGTTTGGGGTTGATGGTGCGTGAGAAACGGGCGAGACGGAGAAGATGGGAACGGCCGTGGGCCGAGCTCGGTAGAATCGCTGTGAATAGTGCCCTCCACGAACATCCACAACGACAACGGCACCGCCGGCGACGTAGGCAAAGGACGACTGGACAGTGTCGAAGCCGGTAGGCGAAGAGCACGTAGTGCCTATCACGCGCTTTAAAGAGAGTCGAGAATCATTAGGGAAGGCCCGAGGACGTATGGGGGATCGAGAGGGTCGCTGGAGGAAAGGTGAGTTGGAGGGCGTCAGTCGAAGTCGATTGTTTGAGGGAGTGGACGCCATTGTTTCGCCATTGGCTTGCGGCAGAAGATCGCTTGGGTTATCGTCGGTTTACGGCTTTCATAGAGACCCCGATGGCATTCTAAAAACACGAGGGCTGAGGCATCCAGACAACATGAGGAATTGAAAGTGAGGGCGGTGAGATCTGAGTTGGTATGGGAGGAGGCAGGTGAGAAGGCAAGTCAATTGCCTAATTGCCTCGATTGATAGAAAAAAGGGGATTCAATTGGATTCCGGCCCTGGGCTGGGGGCATGCAAGTAAATGCAGAGGACGAAACAGCAAGCAGGTTGAGGCACACTTTTGGTCAAGAGACAGCGAGAAAAGGCAGGGCGGTCGGTGTCAAATGCCCCTTGTCTGTTAGTGCCATCCTTGTTGCTTGTATTTGTTTTTCTGCAGGGGCGGGGGTTGGTTGACCGGGTTGACCAGGGGAGAGCTTGACGCGGCACATTGCACCTTACCTGGTTTGGGTAGGCATGGGGGTCCCAGCGCCTATCAAATCGAAGCAGTGGGAGTGGATACTACCTATCCCACCAATCATCTTCAATCTTGAATCTTAAAGTCTTCCCAAACCTTTCCTGGTGACGGCTCGACATCTTATGCTCCGTACATTATGCATCCGAATAATTCATGGCCTCGGTTTTAACCCCTTTTGAGTGCTCGTCATTAAAGTAGCTGCATTTGGATTCCCTCTTGGACACCAGGATCTTGATCTTGGAGTCCGAGGGTATGTTTCATTAGGTAGGTTCTTCGGTACCTAGCGTGGCATGTCCCGGACTTTGCAATGGGGTTACATTATGATTTGCGACCTTGCCGAGTACGTATTATCAGAGCTACAGGCAGCTGCAGCTGACTTTGCAGCTGGGTTTCGCGGGAACACAAGAAATGGATGGGAGCAGGTACCACCCTTGGGGGTACAACACAACGAGGCACAGCCCACATGAATCACAATTGTTGTACGCATAGTGCATGATAGCTCTCCCGCCAATTCATTAAATAGACGGCAAGATCAAAGCTGCCCTCATCGAACTGGGCTGGGCCTCTTTTGGCTGCTGTGCTTGAGAGGGAGCCAGCTGTAGAGGCCCTACCAGGTCAAGAGAACCCTCGATCGCCACCGGCTTCGTTCACATGATGAACTGGGCATCATCTAATTCGATCTGCTGTAGCATCGCGTGGGTCTTGAATGGCGTCAGAAAAAACGCCGGGTATAGTATAATATTGTACAGTATGGGATAGGATAGGAGCTGAGAAGTCCTTGATGATGGACATGGCGATGGCCTCTCGAGTTACCGTCTCTTCACCAGGGATTCTGCTTGGTAACCTTGATTAAATTCTCGCTCTCGCTTCCTGTCTCTGGTCTATCGCGAGCCTGCTCCAGGCTCAAACGGCGCAATGCCCTCCCTTCTTACGTTTCATTGAACGTTCCGTCCGTAGTGGTATCACAGCAAAGTCTGTGAAAGCTTTTTCTGGGCACTTGCACGACTTCGCCTCCCTTGACCGGCGTCACTCTTCTCGTTCCATGAAGGGTCCCTGGTAATTCCTTCCCGGCGCCATCTCTGCGGTGGTTTCTTGCCCAGCGCGGCCCAGCGCTCCCAGACCTTTTTGCCTCTGCTGAACCATCTCTCCTGGCGGTCAACTTCTTCCTCTGGCGACGGGCTCCACTTGCTCCTGAGGATGCGGCGGATCGCCTCAGGAGAGACCTCGAACTTCTGAGCCAGGATCTCGGTAGAGTATTCCTCGGGGAACTGTTGATGCAGAGCTCTGATGCCCTCCAAGGCGTCGGGAGAGAGTCGCTTCCGGGGATTCCATCCCTCGGGAAACTTGGCCTTGAGGACCGCCTTCTGGACCTGCCAGGTTTCCTTGCGCCTCGGATCGGCCACCTCGTAACTGTCGTCTATCGGCGCATCCTGCTTCCTCGCCTTGGTCTGCCGGGAACGAGGAGTTACTGTGGAACCTCCCTCTCCAAACTCGTCGAAAGATATATCGCGGCGGCCTTCTTTCCGTGGAACAGCAGTGGTTCCGAAGCTTCTGTGGAAGGTACCGTGGACAGTTTTCGCTGTTCGAATTTGCGTTTGGGGCGGAAAGACATGGGACGGTCGGTAAGCTTGGGCGGGAATGTGGGATTCAGCAATGCTTCGGACAAAGATCCTCAAAGCAGCCGTTCGGCAAGAACAATTCATTGTTGGTTCGTGGTTCGAGTGTCCAGTTGCGCAGAGGACCAGGCCTGTGGCGGATTGATTCCCAAACTCGAAAGTACCAAAGAAAAGTTCACCAGCTAGAGGTGGTCAATGCGAACTTAATATCGGGTACCTACCCACACCTCAAATGGGGTGCACGGGCCATTTCTTAATCAACATGTCAAGCTGGAACTCACCGAGGTAGGTACAGTACCTCTGAAGATCCTTCTCAACCACGATGATGGAGTCAGAAGACGGCGAATGATTAATTCTTGCTTCGGCAACTCTTGTGATCCCCGAATAGAGGTTGTCTCCGCGGGCAGATTTTGGCTATTCGGGCAGGGGGTTAGTGCTGGGTAGGGGTTCCGGGCCGGTAGTTCTTGACAGGTGGAGCATGGAATAGACCAGCTGCCAGCCACTGGCCCCTTGCTCGAGTACGATGGTAGTAGCCAAATGCCCCTGCCCGCAGAGACGACCTCAAGGGCAGCCTGACCTGACTAGGTAGGTACCTACCTACCTACTCCACCCACCTGGGGAGTTTGGGGAGCATGTGGCAAGTGGCGGGGTGGTGAGTACGAACTCGATTTCAGCGCACGGTTTGGATGACTTCAGCCCCCTCTCAGGGGCAAGTTGAACAGCCCGCCTTAGTGTCTAGGACTCTAGGTACCTAGTCCACGATGTGGCCAAAGAAGAGTGAACAATGGCGAAGTGCCTGGGGCTATGATTTTGAGTGGACCCCTGAACACCTTACTGAGGAGCAGGTGCGACCCTTGATATTCAGTTATGACACGCTTGCTAGCGAGTGCCTAGAGCGTCTAGATCAGTTGTCGCCCCAGCCGATACGCACGCAGCCCAAGAGAGCCTCGGGAACTGCTGGCGACGCGGAAGGTGAGGATGGGAAACATCCCAATCTGTATGAGCTACTCGAACGTCATAAGGGCGACGATGAGAGCCTCCAGACGCTATGGCAGGAGGTCAACACCGTTCCCGAATGGGTTGATTGGCACCAGATCGAGCGAGGCCAGAGGGTATTTTACCGGTATGCGGGACCTACCATCATAGCCCTCACCTTCCAATCCCTCCTGGGCGGCATGGGTGGTCGGCGAGTTGTCGAGACACTGTCCCGGACTGGCGGGTTCGGGATAAAGGTCGCTCGACGGCGGCTCTTGGAAACCTTCCAGCACCTCCTTGAAGTAACTCGGGACATCGACTCGATCAAGCCCGGCGGCGGGGGGTTTGCCTCGTCCATCAAGGTCCGCTTTCTCCACGCATCGGTCCGCAGGCGGATCATACAGCTCGCCCAGCAGAAGCCCGAATACTACGACGTCAACCAATACGGCGTCCCCATCAACGACCTCGACAGCATCGCCACCATCATCTCCTTCTCAGCCACGCTGATCTGGATTGGCTTCCCCCGACAGGGCATATACCTCCGGGAGCAGGAAGCCGCCGACTACATCGCCCTGTGGCGCTGGGTGGCGCACCTTCTCGGCACGCCCACCGACCCCTTCTCCACCCCAGCCCGGGCCAAGGCCATGATGGAATCCCTCCTGACCACCGAGATCCACCCAACCGAGACCTCCCGCATCCTAGCCAACAACATCATCGCCAGCCTGCAGGACCGACCGCCCACTTACGCCAGCGCCGCCTTCCTCCAGGCCGAGGCGCACTGGCTCAACGGGCACGCCCTCGCCGACGCCCTGGCCGTGCCGCGCCCGCCCCACCACCACACCGCCCTCGTCGCGGGCCAGTGCCTCTTCTTCATGGCGACCTGCTACCTGCGCCGCTGCGTGCCGGCCTGGGACGACGCCGCCATCGCACGCTTCCGCCTCCGCCTCCGCCGCGTCGTCGCCGATATGGCCGACGGCGGCGCCGTGGGGGACGCTGCGCACGAGTTTAGGTACGTGCCCGCCTTCGGCCTGACGACGACCCGTGGGGGCGGCGAGGCGGAGGATGGTGAGGAGGGGGCGGGGGCGGGGAGGGGGAAGGGCGTCGAGATGCGGAACCTCGGGGCGCTGCTGGTGGGCGCCGGCGTTGGGGGGATGTTGGCTTGGATTGGCGTGAGGAGCGCCTTGAGCATGCTGTGGAGGTTCTAACGGCCTATTGGACACCGAGAGCCTCCTCTGCACTAGTACTTAGAGAGAAAGGGGGAGATAGACCGTGCGAGGGCCCTTACAGCGTTTGAATTAGCATTGGGGGATCGCGGATCTTGAATGATGATCCGCATGGTTTATAACCTTACAGCTCTTGCCGGACATCTAGCAAACCAGGTGATGGTTGCCATCAGACTAACCTAGTTTAACTCTATCTCATATTATTCATATTACTCATATCTGAATACACAGGTAATATACTGCGTACGCCAGCTAGGAGCTGAGAATCAGAACGATTTCAATTCGACCAAATAGTCGGCAAGTCGTACCAATGCGAGTCTAAATCACTATTTCCCTTAAGTAGGTACCTACTCTAATAATCGCCTCTCTGAACGATACCTAATACACGCCTTCCCTGCTATCGCCATGCCGAGAGACGCCAATATGCCATGGAACGGTTGATGCTTCGTTGTGCACGCAACCCGCTTTGTCTCTACAGAAGACAATGAACCCAAACGCCAGACCCCGGGCTCTCCCTCAGAACCGTTTAGCAAGGTATCCGGGACAGCGGAAGCCAAGCATGCAAATAAGAGTGACACCGACCCCCCGCCCTCAAGCTCAACCATCACGCATCATAAGCTCCACCGGCGGCCTCGACGTGTGCGCCATGATCGGCCTCGCCGGCCCGTCGACGCTGGGGCTGATCTCCTCGGGCTCGTCCGTCATGTCGTCGACGGCGATGCAGGGCAGATTGGGACTGCTACCGTGCTCTTGGGGGTGGAAGATCAGCGTGGAGCTCCTGCTTCGCTGCCGACTTCCGGCGAGGTCGAACGACACCTCGCCGCCAGCGCCACCCCCCCTGCTGCTGGCGGGGCTGACGGGGCTATCGGCGTTGGTGGCGGCGTTGTGCCTCAGGCGGGCGAGGGCGTCGGCGAGGTCCTCAGCGTGGACCATCTTGTTCGGGGCATCCTCGAGGCGCATCTCCCAGCCGTGCGGGGGCGAGGGGGGCGGGCTGATGAAGAACAGCTTGCCGGCGTCGGGCAGGGCCAGGTGGCGGTCGCGGGCGTCGACGGGGGTCGGGTGCCCGAAGTAGACACGGCACCGCTCGCCCAGGATGGCCTCGCCGTCCCAGATGGACCGCACCTCGATGGCGGACTGCTCGTCGAAGAAGGAGATGACGATGCGCCGGAACGACTTGAGCGGCGCCCAGGCGTGGATCGGCGCCGTCTGGGAGATCAGGTCGCGGATCGTCTGGAGGTTGTCCGGCCGGAAGACGTCGAGGGATTCGAGGTTGGTGAAGAGCAGGGTGTTGGATGGCGGTGTGGGTTGTACGAGCGGCGGGAGGTTTGAGAGGTCGAGTGTGAGCGACTTCTTAGAGGCCACGGAGGAGGCTCGCGATGACCGAGATGGCGGGGACGGCCTCGTGTCTTGTGCCATTGTGAGAGAGTCTAACGAATTATTCCTTCTAGAGAAAGAGTGGTCCAATGTAGGTAATCCGGAGGGGTCCTAAGGTAGGTGATTCTCTAACCGAGTGATTTGCTTCGCAGAAGTTGGGATGTTGAGATGTTGAGATGTCGAGATGTTGAAGATACGTACGTCTCTTACGTCTACGGCGGTTATATATGTTGGGTTGGCTACAAGCGGCCGAACACATAGCCTACATCATTTGCCACAACGGAATTTGCCCTTAGCACCGCCACAATGATACAGTCTAACAAGGAAAATCTTGGCGGCCCCACTGACGTCTGGGCCAGTCTGGGTTGCCTCTTTACCTCTTACCGGATCTGTCTGGATTCAATCCGAGCGTGCAAACATTGAAAACACAGGTGCCCACTGGGCTGTGATCTTCCAGCCTGATACATGTTCATGGCCACTGAATCATGTCGCGATTGCGAAAGACGACGGAGTCCGGCAATGCCCTGTACCTGTACCTACCAAGTAAGATACATAGGAATTGGGGCAGGAGCGGGGTAAAGATAGGTACCTACCTAATCGGGTAGTTACTTATTAGAGTCAGGCACAGCGAGTGGCTTGCGATTTTGGAGAGTTGAGACTTCTAGCTTCCGTATTAGTGACGCTAGAAAAGCCACCGGCGGCTCACGCATCCCCGTCGATGGGGAACTCTTGAGCAGGCTGAGCCTAGTCACGCCTCCGCAACACGCCTCCGCAACTTTGTTTCTCTTTCCTTCTCACCCTATACTGGGGTCAGTATTGCAATCCTCATCTGACGGGAAATCTCTGTGCACTGCCCCGCGGCACCTCAGAAACCCATGCTCGGCGCCATGCATTCGTCGAGGCGGCCTCGTTTGCAACGTGTAGGCGCTTCGGGCCTCCCCAAGAAATTCCAAGCCCTTCTCGAGCGCCTGGATCTCGGGGGCTGCCATTCCAGACCATAACGACGATGTCTCAGCCATCCGGTAGGCATATGGAATTCCATACTTGGCGCGGGCGCCGCCAAACTGGTAGAACATGCGGATCCAGGTCCCCGCTTGAACCCAGCCTTCCGGCTTAGACTCGCCCGAACACGACGACTCGTCCTACTCAGCAAGAGTCAGGGGAGCATTCCCGCAGTTTGGACCCGGCGAGGCAAAACCTGCCGTGCTGCCGCCGCGCAGTGATACCTTCTTCACTGCATTGCCTCTGTCGGGAGTCACGACATGCTCTTGCTAGTCTGACTTGTCTGATTTGCACAGCTTGAGGCTTACAGTGGGTTCCTTCCTCGCAATATGGTGCAATATATCGAGTTGAAATCGACTCCTGGGGAGGGGGGCTCGATAATTCCACAAGTGCCGTATCAAGGCAGATATCATTTGCAACCCTCACACAGACAACACCCAACTGTTTGCACAGCATGCATGCATATTAGGTGTTTATCGTACATCAAGCTAGGTCCTGACCGAGCAAAAGCGTGTCCCCAGCCGGATTCTAGGCTCGAAACTCTAGAGATGGAGCATCAATGAGCAGGCTCAGCCCCCCCCCCCCCCCCATCTCGGTTCAACTTGCCCCGTATTATTGATGCTCTGCAAGCTGTCTCGGGCAGTCTACCTGATCTCCACGCCGAGCTTATTCACCAGCGCCTTGGTGACCTCGCTGTGAAGCTGATTTGTCTCGGAATTTGTCAGGGTCCGCTCCAGACTGCGGTAGTTGATGCGATAGCACATGCTTCGCCGCCCTGTCTTGGGGTGCGAGAACTCATCCACTAGCTTGACGTCCTCCACGTCATGGCCGGCTATGTTGCGGACGACCTCCATCAGGTCGTTCTCGTGCCAGTCCTGCACGCTCGCCTTTGTGTTCCCCCCAGCCGCCGAGGTGGAACGTAGCCAGAAGGACACATCCTTGTAGCAGGCTGGGTACTTGGAGAAGGGCACAAATCGCTTGAGCGAATCCAAGTTGTCCGACACCCCCGTGAACTGGTTGAGGAAGCGCTCATCCGTCGACCAGAACAGCCTGATGTCGGGTATCTGGAACAGAAGCATGGCTATGCGGTCCAGGCCGATGCCAAAGGCCCACCCCAACTGCGAAGGCACGCCAGCATTGGTGAAGAGGTCCTGCTTCGTGACACCAGAGCCCAGGACCTCCAGCCAGTCTCCCTGGTAGTAGATCTCCAGCTCCCACGACGGGCTCGTGAACGGGAAGTAAGCCTCGACCCACCTCACCCGCAACGGTTCGTCCACGTAGTCCGGGTCCGCTTTGGCAGCAGCAGCCTTAGCGCGGGAAAATATCTCCACCACCATGAGCTCCAGCGACCGCTTGAGATGTGTTGCAACGGCCTCCGCCTCGGCAGGAGAGTGGTGTTCGGACTGTAGCGGGTTCCGCTCTGCGTGGAACGGGGGGTTGGGGTCCTCCACCTTGACGTTGTGCTTCGGGAGGCGCTCGAGGTCGGCGTACACGGCCGCTACGATGTCTCCGTTCGGGACCTTCTTGCGGTCCCATACTCGCGCCCCCTCCATCTGGTGGAACACGGGGTAGTGCGTCCTGTCGACTTCATCCCGCCGATACACGTCTGCGCTGATGAGGTAGCCGTCGCTCTCGCTGGCGCGGAACAGGCTCGCCTGATGAGCGCTCGTATGTGTCCGTAGCAGGGTATTTTTGTTGATATAGTAGGTATCCGACCGATTCCGCCCGGGGTGGTCGGGCGGGAAGCCGAGCGAGTCGAAGTTCTCGTGGGTCGAGACGACAGGGTGGAACGTGTTATGGGACTTGAATGTCGGCCGCGGGTACACCGACTCTAGAATCTGTCTTGTAATGCAGATGGGATGGTCTTTCTGCAGATGCAGCTGGCGCGCCGTTGAGGCCAAGACGTTGGCAGGCGCGTTGAACCATGAGTCCGTGGTAAACGTCCTCCCATTGACTTCAATAGACGACGGTTGAGATGTCCCGGCTGGACTCGAGCCTGCGGCCGGTGACGATACACTTGTCGCAGACGCCGACGCCGACGCTGACTGGCCGGATGAGAAACATGCCTGCCAACAATTGCTTGAACCGCTCAAACGCAGCCAAGCCTGTCTTGTCGACGGCCGAGGCGACCCAGACGCAGCGGTCAGGGAACGAATCACGTGGACTCCGTGTCCCCTTGACGCCGCCATCGCCATTGTGCTGCGGTGGAAGAAAGCACTTATATCCCCGAGCTTGGGGGCTCGACCTGGAGCTGTGAAGCTTGAATTGACATTCCAGAAAAAAATCGCCAGGATAGCTGCCCGAGAAAGTCGTGTCATACAATTTGTTCTTGGCACCTGCAAAGGGTCCAATAAATGGTCAGGGGACCCCTGCACTGCACAATGACATCGACGTTAGCTCTGGGCTAGCAGCAGAATCGAGCCAGGCTGATGAGTAACAAAAATGTTCGGCAGCGAATTGACGAGAAATATTCGAAAGCCTAGGTCTACAACTCTCTGTTATAGTATGTCGGCAGCGACACTCGTCCGATTGCCTTTCTTTGCTGTTGCTAGTGCTTTCCCAACCCTTAGCGGAATCCATGTTAATACGGTAAACCGACGAGTAAACTGCCAGAATGGAGGCAGCGAAACAGCCGGCAGCCGTGCCTCGGCGGGCAGTAGCACCACAGTCTGCCGAGAAGGACAGTATAGGGGGTAAGAAGCCGATCCACTACCCCTTCTGGTTTGGAGGAAGCGCAAGTAGTATGGCCGCGAGCGTAACACATCCATTGGATCTTGGTAAGCTCTCCTTGAAGATCTCTCCTTATCGTAGATGCTCATGATGTACGGGGACTCGGCACTCACTCCTTTATAGTCAAGGTATCTCACCCGCCCTCCATGAGCCTCGGCAGGGGCTGTCATCAGCCACCATGGGAGGAGAAAACTAACAAGGGCCACCCCGAAAGGTCCGCCTCCAAACCCGGTCCGGCAACATGCCCAAGACGATGAGCGGCACCTTTGTGCACGTTGTCAAGATGGACGGCTTCCGCGGCCTGTATAGCGGGCTCTCGGCGTCCCTCCTCCGGCAGCTGACGTACAGCACGGCGCGGTTCGGCATCTACGAGGAGCTCAAGCAGCGGTCGACGGGCGCGGACGGCAAGCCGCCGTCGTTCGCCGCGCTCGTAGCCATGGCGACCGTGTCCGGGGTGGTGGGCGGCATCGCAGGCAACGCGGCCGACGTGCTCAACGTGCGCATGCAGCACGACGCGTCGCTGCCCGCCGCCGACCGGCGCAACTACCGGCACGCCGTCGACGGCCTGGCGCGCATGGCCCGCGAAGAGGGCCTCGTCAGCTGGTTCCGCGGCGTGTGGCCGAACAGCATGCGCGCCGCCGCCATGACCGCCAGCCAGCTGGCCAGCTACGACGTCTTCAAGCGCTGGCTCATCCAGTTGACCCCCATGACCGACAACCTGGCCACCCACTTTACGGCCTCGTTCCTCGCCGGCGCCGCAGCCGCGACCGTCACGAGCCCAATCGACGTCATCAAGACGAGGGTCATGTCGGCAAAGGGGAAGAGCAGCATCCCCAAGCTGCTCGGGGAGATCTACGCCGCCGAGGGCTTGCGGTGGGTGTTCAAGGGCTGGGTGCCCAGCTTCCTGCGCTTAGGACCGTATGTTACTGGTTTCCCCCTTCCCGCCTGATGGATTTCCCGTCGGGTCCCGTAGTCTCGGCAGGAGGGCGTACCCGAAATCAGCTAATCTCGGAGATCTAGGCACACCATTTGTACATTTGTCTTCCTCGAGACTCACCGCAACATCTACAGGAAGGTTCAAGGTTTGGAAACCTCGGTATAGCCGAGATGCTAGGGAGACGACAACACGCACCACACATACACCACACACACATACATATATACACGATAGAAAGGCTCAGCTCATGCATTAGAAACCCCCTTGGAGAGCCTCTGTTTTTAGGATTCTGCTCTTAGTTTTCCAGCGGCAGTTTTTGCGCTTTTTACGCTTATTGTACAATACAAACTCCGCAATAGGGGGGAGGGAGTTAAACAATCCCCTGCCAGCCCCTAATATCAACCACCCTTTCCCGGAATCCGATCTGTTTCGCCCCGTGGATCTTGGGGTGATGATATGTATGCGCTTCAGCTGTGCGCATATCCCGTATAATACATGGATGAAATGTATAGCAACCTTTTTTTCCTCTTTCAGTCCGTGACCATATGCAAATGTCAAAAGCCGGTAAACTCCAGTTCGGCAGCACTCTCCTGGCCCACGCACCATCTAAAAGAGATTCCCCGCAAAAGCAAAAGAGATATCGTTGGTTGCCGTGCAAAAGCAAAAAAAGCGACGGTTGACGGACAAGCATTATAGGAACGGCGCTTTCAACTCCAACCACTCTGGCCCGGGTTACCGTAAGGCGTGGTGCCGTAAGGAGTGGTCCCGCCTGCTGCTCCCCCCCAGCTGCTCTGGTTCCCCCCGTTACCGTATGGCGTCGTGTATCCTTGGTCTTGCCAACCGGCCCCTCCGCTATACTCGGGGCTCTGCGGCCCGTTGTAGTTGGCCCCAGCACCACCCGCATCTCCCTCGCCCTCGTTGAGCTCGTGAATTAGACCTGCCAGCTTTTGCTGCAGAACTTTGACTCCCTCCTGCACGATAGAATCCGGGGGCAGGCCCCCGGCGGTCTCGACCCGGACATAGAAACGGCTTGGTTCGGCGTCGTAATCGAAAGGCTCGCCCTCCTGAGGAGGGTCCTCGTAAGAGGCGTACTCGCTCGGTGGCCTAGTGTCGTCAGCCTCGAATCACGTTGCCGCCCGTTTGAGAGGGGGGAAAAAAACAGCACTTACCACTCCGTCTTTGGGTCATTCTCGTACCACAGATCTATGTGGCGAAGCTTGTTGTGCGGGTCATACTCGAACCCGACGGCCGTGGTGGCCATCCACTTGGCATGCTCCTTCGCGATGCCCTTCTTGGCGATGCACGTCAGCTTGATCTCCTGGTCCCTCCGGAGCTTGGCGATCAGGGGCCCGTTGCCATCCGGGTCGGTGATGACGGGGCTGCCAACGTATTGGTTCGGCCGGCCCGGGTCAGGGATCAGGTCGCGCGCGTAGACCTTCATCACCTCGTCGCTGGTGCACCGGGCGTGCAGGGTCAGCTTGACGCTGCAGTGCTCGCAGTACTGCTCGCACTCGCACTCGCGCGTGTACAGGAGCGAGTCGACGTCGGTCGCGTTGAGCGGGATGAGCCCGAGGCGGTGGGCTATGAACTCGTCGGCGAGGACCGACGTGTTCTCCTCGACCTCGACCAGGTCGATCGCGATGATGGGGATCTCGGACTGCATCACCCGCCGCAGGGAGTTGGACGTGGAGAGATCGACGTTGTTGATCTCGAAGGACACATAGGTCGGATCGGCCTGTGGGACATCACTCAGGCGTCAGCTCGTGCCCTTTGCGCCATGCGAAACGAAGGGAAAGAGGCGCCGCGAGGATTTATTTGTTCAACGTACGTGATGGATCTTGACAGACGGTCCCAGGGACTCGCCCTCATCCATCATCATCGCGTCATAGTCCATTCTAGCAGAGCCAACGTAGATTCGTGTAGCATGAATTAGGTCTGGCGGTTGGGGAGATGGCGAGGAGCAAGCGCTGGTGATGTTGCGCCTGAGGTTGGCTGAAGCTTGAACAAAGCCTCTAAATTCCTCGATTCAGGGTTTTATACGCGCAACCCTCCCGTGGCGACTTCACTCCCCTGGAAACATTACTTGGGGTGTGTCTTTATAGCCGACACCACCTTGGCTTTTAATCTCACCCCTGATCCCGTCACCATCTATCGGCCATCCCGGGCCAAGCCTTGGAGCTTCCCGGACCTTTGATGATCCGTCACTGCCCAGAGCTTGGTCAAGGCCGTGGAAATTTTCATGAGCTCGGCTTAAGACGAGCGACTCCCCTATCCCTCAAATATTTATTGCTCCAAGTCAGGCGACATTGTCAATTATCGCAAAGGACCCCAGTTAAAAATGCTGCGGCAAATCATCTCCTCCGGCCCCGCAAGAGCTGCAAGCTCAGGTCTAAGGCTGGCCGCTCAGAAACCTCTATCCAGACCCCAATTCCGCCAACTACCTTCAATATCAGCGCGTGCAATCCGGCCAGCAGCCTCGAGATGGTATAGTGCCGAGGCGGAGTCAGCATCGGGCGCCGCAAAGGAGGGCTCGGAAGCGAAGTCGCAGGCCGAATCGCAAGCCAAAGATGAAGGATCGGACGCGGAGGCAGCTCTTAGGAAGCAGCTGGAAGCCAAGGAAGTGGAGGCAAGAGAGTGGAAGGTTCGCTTCACCCCGTTATTCCCCCCGTCTCGGCCCCCCCGTACTCATGTGCTGCAATGTAGGACAAGTGTCTGCGCTCGGTTGCAGACTTCCGGAATCTCCAGGACCGGACCCAGCGTGAGATGAAGGCAACACGCGACTTTGCGATCCAGAAGTTCGCCAAGGACCTAGTGGACAGCGTCGATAATTTCGACCGCGCCCTGGGCATGGTATCGCAGGAGAAGCTCAACGCTGAGGACAAGTCAGAGGACCTGCAGGAGCTGTCCAACCTCTACGACGGCCTCAAGCTGACCGAGGAGATCCTGACCTCGACTCTCAAGAAGCACGGCCTCGAACGCTTCGACCCCGAGGGAGAGAAGTTCGACCCGAACGAGCACGAGGCCACGTTCATGACGCCGATGCCGGACAAGGAGGACAGCACCGTGATCCTCACGCAGCAGAAGGGCTTCAAGCTTAACGGCCGCATCCTCCGGGCCGCCAAGGTTGGCGTCGTGAAGAACAAGTAATGGGTTCTAGGATCCAGGGGATCTTAGCGCCCGTGTACCACTACTACTGTTTTATATAAACCGATACCATGACCACCGGCGTTTAGGTCTGTGTATAATGCTCCTCTCATGACGGCAACTTGGTGGCATAAGGATAAAATCATAGCAACGGCCTGGAAACGGTCGTACATAATCGATGTATATAGAGCACCTCCTTGGTTAACCGTCCACTTTTAGACACGTGCTGGAAGTTACTACATGCTAATCAAACCCGAGCTACAACCTACAGCCACCCTTTGAGGATATTTTGGCCCCTCTGTGATCACTTGTTGGATGGATGATTAGAGACTAAATACTCTGACAGTGTTTGACTCTCTCGTACAACTTCGTTTCGTTACTGGTACAGCTTATCCTGACCATATTAGTATTATGCGGCCATTCGTTCTCGAATGCCTCGTTCGAAGGCTTAGCCCCTTGCCCTCCCAAATCACCAGCTGTATCTTGCTGGGAGGGCGAGGGAAGAAATCAGAACTCCATACTCAGACGCGTAACTCCGATATCGTGATCCAGCACCACAAGCCATCGATAGGAGCCGGATTCTCCACGGCCAGATCTGCAGCAACAAGCCAAGTCCAAGTCAGGAAACCAGCGAGAGAGACTCCCTCTCCGCGCCGAGAACAGTTTTTTGAACCCGCCCCCTCACCAACCGCCCAACCTCCCACCCGGCTCCCCAAACCTCCCCTTCGCATCCAGCCCAGCGGCAAGACCTCCAAGCGGAGAGTGCGGCCTGAACAGGTCCGGGTGCAAGGGGCGGCGACGGATGCCGCAGCGGTGCCGGGGAGGCGGGTACACGTCTTCTGTGGCCGGGTATCGCAGCGCCGCGAGCCCGTCGTCCCAGCGCCCGACGGTGCTGGACCAGAGGCAGAAGGCGCAGGGCGGGGTCCTGGCCGGGGCGGGATCCCCTTCGTCGTCCGAGATGAAGCCTTCTTCCCCTTCCCCTTCCTCCTCCTCCTCTTCGGCGTCGTCCTTGCTAACCGGGGGGTTGACGTTGTTGGCCATGGAGACGTCTGCTGGGGGGGTTGGGGTCAGCTCCGGGGTATGGTCAGGGGAATAGGTGCACTGGGGGGAGGGGGTGACGGACGGTTGGAGACGGGATTTGGTGGTCCCTCTGGGTCTAGCGATGGCTGCGACTCCGGCTGAGGGCTCATCGGCTGAGGGCTTGCGAGTGTCTCGCTCGTGGGCAAAGCTTCTTAGGGGTTAGTCGCTGGTTGGGCAGTCACGGGATTCATCTACTTACGCGGCTCGGCGGTGTCGGAGGGTTCATCCTCAAATGGGGGCCTTGGGCAGCAGCGGATACGCGGCTCATCGTATCTCTGGTAGATTCCTGCCAGGAGAGAAGGGGGGGGGGGGGGGGGGGGGGGTTTTTTTTCACGTTCACCATATTGTGTTAGTAGGTGCCCATTACGAACCAACAAACCACCACCACCTACCCACCGACCCCCAACACCCCACGCG